GTAGTTTGTATTTTTGTTAAATTGTTAATCATAATTGAAATGGGGATCCTCCTTGTTAGTATCATTCAAACAAAGAAATAATAATAATAATAAAGTACTCAGTTTTTGAATGAGATACACTAATTATTATCAGCAACTATTCTTATTATTATATATACATATTGTTCTGATACAAGTACTAGAAAGTAAGTAAAATAAGAACTATAGTAGCTTTTATCATTATTTTACACGTATAATCATCACAAACATATTGGTTAATCACTTTTTATGGGACAAATAAAGTCATAATATTCAAAAATTTCTTCGTGATCTGTTTGGACTAAATCGCTTAATATGATAGCTTTTTCTTCACTGTAATATTATATTAAACCATATTAGGGACTATATATATAATTCTTATTTACAGGGGATCGAATGACATAGGAAACTATAATTTAAGCATTAGTATTTTTTTTTTTTTTTTTTTTTTTTGCATTCACCAATAGTCATTAAAAAACAGCTACAGTGTAGTCTGTTGTATTGTAACTTATATGAAGGGATAATGCAAAAATAAAACAACAACAATAGTTACAAAAAGTGCGCAAAACATATATTCTATATATATGAATAGATCCTAAAATAATAAAGAACATCTACTAAAAGAGTATAATAGTGTGAAAGCCGGCACTAAATAAAGTGTTGTATAATTTGATTCCTAAACATTTACTTACAGGTTCCTTGGTATCTTCAGAATAAAAGATAAAGAACTATTAAGTAAAAAAAAAAGTGTTAGGAAACTCGTAATATATTATTTGTATGATATGATATGAGCTATCCAGTCAGATATTCTTACGAATTCAAATACTTACATCTGTTCATTAAAGAGGATAAAGATATATAAATAAATAAAACTAAATAATTGAATTGTAACTAACTTCCGCGTTAATAGTACTATATCAAAGAGGACCTGAAGCAATTACTCTCACTAAAATAAGATCAAACAACAATAGTCCAGTATTTGAAATTAATAAGTATTTATGAAAATTGTTAAAGGTATCTGTGATTAGGTGTGAATCAGAAAAAAAAAATGTTATTTGCAGCCAAATGTTATATGTAACAAAGTGTTATTATGTGTTAAAATAAATTATGAGAATCAAAATTAAAAAACTTTTATGATCTGCTTATTTAATCAGGAAACATATCATTATAAATCAGCTCAAAAGATCTTTTTTCTTTTTCTAATGATAAGGAATAGGAATATAGGTTATATGTAAACTGTCACTTTTGAGCTTATTCAATGATTCTAATTACAGTAACAATGAGCAGACACTGTTATTGAATCTATTAAGGTCTATCCATTTTCACATATTTATTTACTGAGCCTTTTGTTATAGATAAGAGTATCATCTATAATGCATATATTGTTTTAAACTCTTGACTGTCTATTGTAACACGGACTATTTTACAAAACAATCTTTAGATGCCTAACACTTTTGTATACGATAAACTAATATTATTCGTGACTAATATTTTTTTTTTGTTCAAACCACTCTTATTATCAATAAACATTAAACTACTATTCTATGATTCTGTGCTGATGAAAAGTAGCACAGAGTTCCTCCACTGGGGGCACAGTACAGACGGGGCGATTCATGCATCACTGTCCGGCTTAAAACAGGTTCCCCATATTGCCTCCGCGTTCGAGTATTTAACGTGGTGAACAAGGCGGGCTCCACGGCTGCGGTTGATTGGCTGATTTAAAAAAAGAAAGAAAAAAGAGAGAAAAAAAAAGGGAGAAATTAAAAATGTGTGCCTTTTTATATCTTTTTTTTTCATAATGAAATGTTACACAAGTGACTACTACTTGTATATTTATTATTATCATAAATCAATAAAAAAAAATTATATTTTAATATTCTTATTTTATTTTATGTTTTTTATTAAGATAAGCTAATGTTATAATTTTGATAAGAATGTAAACGAAGCAATAGAAATTGAAAGAATAAAGAAGACCTTCTTAAAGATATAAATGTTCATAGCACTGATTTAATGGCAAAAAAATGAAAACGAGAAATCAAAGAATTGCGATTTGCAAAATATTGATAGTAATCATAAGAGTAAACCCCCCAATTTAAACGTTGTGATATTTTTATTAAGATATCAGTAAATAAACACATATAAAACTATGGAAAGACTAGTAAAGTCAACGAGACCAAATAATAGTTCTAAAAGTCGATTATTTTATTTATGCTTTTAAATGATGAGTATTTTTATAAGAATATTTGAGATCAGAAAGGAATTAGAAAAGTAATAGCTAAGACGACTGAATCATATTTAGGATTTTTAATAAAGTGTACAATGTCTTTAAATTCATAGACTATAAAGAAGTATGTAAATAAACTATTGAAATACCATCTTTCATATTATGTGTTTAGATACTTTTAATCTAAAGAGTTATTAAATAAAAGATAATTAACTCTGATTACTTTATTTTCATAATCGTCAAATTATTATAATAATTTATTTAGACAGATCGTGGCATCCTGTTACTCCCCATCAGACAATATATCATCTCAAATCTACATATACATTTACATATATTTGTAAATTTGGTTTTATCATCGATACAAAAGTGTCTCTTCTATTCCGAGAATTAACTTGATAGTGTAAGAAACAACTATGTGAACTAAAAAAAGATATCCTTAACATTTAGTCCATGGGTAGAAATTAACAAATATGGGACTCTACAAAGGAATGAAAGAGACGTAAATATTAGTAACACTACGTGCCAAAATCAATGAAAACTTACATAGTATGCAGCGTATTTACCATTTGTGTAAGTGTATTGTTATTTGTAACTATCAATAAGATTAAATTGAATTCAGAAGATTAGTTTGTAATTCTGCAAATCAGCTCAAGATAATTGAATATATTATATTTGTTAACTTCATACACCACTCAAAAGCTATAGGATTTAAATCTTGACACTTTTCACCTGCAAGCATTTATTATAAACTATTGTTAGTACTGGTCATATATATATTATTTATCTTTTTAATTCATGATGTTTACTTTGTAGTAGACTTATCCATTTAGTCTCATAACTACATACAATGATTCAAAATAAATATATTATATAAAAGAAGTACATTTATTCTACTACTGTTTGATCTGAATATAGGCTCTCCCTTTATATGGTTAGATTATTTACTTTATTAGTATCTTTTATCAAGAATATAAAAAATAAATATTTAGAAATAATGTTGTGATAATGTATAACCAGTGTTAAACTACTTACAAACGGTTACAATACTATAATTTAATCTAATGATATATTTTATTTTCAGACTTACCATATAGTTCATGTACATCATAATATTTGTACCAAAAACTTGTTCTATAATATTATCAACCAAGTTTCTTGCACGCAACTTCTTACTCATTACTATTTTTATTAGTTTATTGTATGAATACCACTAGGTCATATTGTATAATTACTTAAAAAATATACAAGTATATAAATCTACAAATATTCTTGATGGTAAAAATTATAAGTTTAAATAATAATAATTTAGTGACAGTTTACTGAAATAGAAACAAGTAATATGTATACATGTATATATATTATTATTTTATATAAAATAAAACAGGTTGGATAAGCTTCAAAAAAAAAAGTATGTAACATACAAAAGGAATCATATTTTTGTCATTATCATTAAATAAAACTGATTTCTATTTAAATATTTACATCATATAAGTATCTAGAATATAATTTAATGTTTCTGCCCATAATCGGGTTGTTTTTCTCTTCTCAAATTCGTACGAATCAGATGCCCTTGACTTTCTTTTAATACTATCCATTAACTGATCAATAAAGACTTGCTCATAAAAATAATAACCACTTTCTTTTGAAGATACAGACATGATCTGAATTAAAAAAATCCAAGCTTCCACTAAATAGTCTTTCGTGTTAGAATTGAATCGTATAGATTCATATCCAATATAAACAAGAATATCCATTATAATTTGTGTACATTCTGTTACAGACCAATCTATCGGATGTACTCCTAAATGATGTAATCGACAGGTCCAGTCCAGTATATAAATTAAAAGCTTAACAATTGAGCGCCATGGTAGTGTTAACTGAGAATATTCATCTACTAATCTAAGTATTTGCCAAGCTAGACTTCGAATATGTATCATAAATAACTCAGTAAGTTGTATACGGCTTTCATATGCATGAAGAGGTATCCATTGAGTGAGACAAATAGAAACAAAGGTATAAAAATAATCATGACCAGGTAAATCCTTTTCGTTATCTTTCTTATTTGAACATGCCAAAAGTATATCACGAGAGACTTTAAAGAACATGTAGTCGATAATGTGACTTTCTTCCATAGTAATATTGGTCCAAAGAAGATGCTTCTTAAACAAGTTGAGTTCTGCATAAGTCTTTCTAAATTTACGATAGGCAGACTTTAAATTTGGTGTTGCTGATAGGAGCGGCGCAAGTAATTGATGATGCAAATATACAGTATCTTTTAATCCCTTAATTCGTTGTAAGTCATAATCATAGAGATGCTTTATTCTTTTAACAACACTTTGTAGAGAGTAAACTAAGGGTAAGTTAGCTTTTATATCAATTATATGTCCCTTCATTTGTAAAGGATCTTCTATAGCACTAGTCAAACTAGAGCCCTTATAATTATCCACAAGTGTATATCTTGCTGTATGTTGTGTACCAACATAAATATCATCAAAGGCCTTACGCGGTAAATGATCAAAATCTTTGAAAAACATACGTCTATTAGTATCCGGCATCTGACCAGATCTATCATTCCAAATTCGAGACGGTGCATGAATATAGATATCATCCTTACATCGCTTTGGACGCTTTCTTCGACGTTGTGGAGCGGGATTATTTCTAATGGAAATAGATTGCACAGTCGAAGATGTAATATTAGTTGGTTTCTCAATTGCAATTGATGATTTTGGTGTTATTTTTTTAGCATTATTCCTAGACTTAGATTTCCCACTTCTGGGGTTCTTTTTGTTGCTAGAAGACGTACGATATCCAAATCCTCTTACCCTATTATCCTCTATTGGCTCTTCATGTAAATTATCCATCGAAGTATTTCTTTTCATTAATGGATATATTACATCTAATCTATTATCTGGGTGTAATTGATTAGAGTTTACTGAAATATTAGAAGCTTGAAATACTGTGTTATTCGCATCTGAATTTACAAATGATGTAGGGATATTAGACGAAGTTTGATTAGTCCCTGCCTGTATAGTCATATTTTTACGTGTGTCTTTACTACTGTCATCGTCTTTAGAAAAAATATTCCTTCTAGATGTAAATGAATACCTTGGTGGAATGTATAATTCGTTAGATTTAATATGAGACAGGTTGGAATCCTTTATTGACTGAGTATCCAATTTTATTACATAGTCATCCATAGTGGTTGTATATAAATCTTGCATATCATCAGAGCTCTTGTCTTCTTCATCACTTTGAGATTCAAAAGATATTGTAGATATTTCATTGTCTTTGATTGCTTTTGAAGCTTCCAAAACAGAGGAACTTCCGGATACATTTGTTGAAGTTGTAGATTTCGTTGTCGATTTCATTGCCGACTTTGAACTCTGTTTTTCTGATTTAAGAAGCTTATCCTCTTCCAACAGCTCCTTTTTATAGATTTTAACAAAGGAAGCAGGCAAAACACTCTTCAAAAGTTTCTTTTTCTTGATCATATCTTTTAGTCTAATACGTCGTCGTTTATTTTCTCGATATTCAAATTCATCAGCAATAACTGGAATAGCATCATTGTCATGATTGGGTTTTCTGGGAAGACGTTTAATAGAGCTTAGCTTTGATAAAGTGCTAGGATATTTAAACATATCATCTAGTTCTTTTTTCGTTAACTCCCGATTCTTCTTATGTTGTTCACTACTGTTTTCCATTTCAACATCATCTTCATCACTACTATTTAGCCCTAAATGGCGTTTGTTTCTAAGTCGATAACTAAAATTTAATTGTGGCTCATCCATATCATCATCACTCCCATTATCATCTTCATTATCTGACGTTGTTGTACTTGTAGATAGAGAATAACTTGTATCAAAATCAAATATATCCGCCCCTGGGGTTTCCAAGTCATTTGCTGTTTTTGCCTTAGTTATACTCACATCGTTTGTTTTTGGTTGAGTACGAGCACTAGACGCTGCTGTTAAATTAAAATTGGATTGGGGATTAATATCAAATGCAAATATATCTTTATTTAATGGGTTTGAAAATCTTAAAGGTTTTCGTGCTGTTGAGCGTTTTTTTCTAGAGCCTTTCTTTTTATCAAATGTAATTATTTTATTCTTTTTCTTGTTCGATTTTTCTTTTAAAGAAGATGGCAAAATTAAATGATCTAATCCGTATTTTTCAAGATCTTGAGTATCTAAATCAAGTTCAAACTTTTCCTCTGATAATGTTGGAAGTTGCTTTGTTTGTTTTCGCTTCGCATTTTTTGATGGAGCAGAAGTTCGTTTAGTTTTATGCTTAATATTTAATGTCTGTTCTTCTGGTGGCACATATTGCGATGCTAATATTTCATCATCTGGCTGTATATCAATTAACTGGGCATCATTTATTTTTCCTTTCAAAGCAGATTTACTAATAAGATTACGAAATTGAACATGTTCTAATGTAAAAGGATGAAGCTGAATAGCATTTCGTTGTCTTAATGATATCTTTCGTATGGGGATTCTACTTGTACTTTGAGCAGAACTATCTATAGTTTTACTGTTTGTATTGTCTTTGTCCTCTGAAGTTTGTAAACTTTCGGCATCAAACTGTAGATCAGTTGGATCAAGTAGATCAGCTTGATTAGATTTTAATGATTCAGTTGTCTGTTGAATCTCGACTTCTTTAGAATCGTCATTCTTTTCTAATATGGCGTTTTTATTTGGTTGATCTATGTGTTCCTTTGAGAAAATCGGTAATTCATCCATTGAAAAATCAGGAGCATCAGGAAACATTTCAACTATATCTTCTGCATCAATCTCGTTGTTGTTTATGGAATTTAAATCTTTACTTTCTACATTCTTTTTCAATTGTTTCAATTTATCATTGTTCTTCTGTAGTATATCGTTATTAAGTAATTCGCTCTCTACTTTAATAGAGCTATTTTTGTCTTCTGTCTCAATTACTAAATTCGTATTCCACAAAGACTCTTCATTTATCAACTGCATAATTTCGTTATCATCTTCACCAAAAATATCTAGTTCAAAGTTAGAAGGCTCTTGAATTGGCTCATTTATATTCGAATTGTAATTATAACTTTTTTGTGTTTCATTATCTTGATCTTTAGACATGTCTACTAATTAACTTGAAGAGTAAGACATAAAAACTAATGTTTGTAAATTATTTTGAAATTGTACCTGCTTGATTATTATTATTATTATTATTCATTTCGTTGCTGCCAATTATGAAGTTATGTAAGTTTATGTCCCCATTGCTAAAAGTTCTTGAAGTCATAAAAAATACTTGACATTAAAAAATATTTTTTTTTTAACAGCTGAACATAAACTTGGTTCGCGATTTTTTTTTTTTTTTTTTTTTTTTTTTTTTTTTTTTGACAACTTAAGCCTGGTAAATTATTTGTCCTTAACCATAGCAAGCTCATATACAAATATATATTTTTTTTAAAACGAAATATACAGGTAATGATAAGTAATACAAATTTAAATACACTATATAATATTTGTAGCTATTTTAGATTTATTAAACATGTATACATAATACATATGTATATAAATAGGCATTATTTTAAAGATACACATGATGCAACGAAATTACGCTCGTTACGTATCTTACGAATGGTATTCTCATTTGCTTTTTCAAGTACAGGTAAATTTTTATATGTAAATGCACCAAAATCATCATCATCCATTGCTAGATAGTCCTTATACGAATTATCATCAGAAAGTATTATGTTATCCTGATTTTGTTCATCTATAACAGCTTTTACTCTTTTTACTTCCGCTAGTGACATGCTTTGTAAATTATCATTGCCTTGCCATTGTTCAGAGACCATCATTGCGCCTCGAGCATCAAAATAGTCTGTATCTTCTGTATTTACTGGACGTGGAATAAAACATGGTAGTTCAGTCAATAGATTATCCCAATCTATATCCATGAAAAAGGGATGCTGCATAACTTCTTCTGATCCCCCTTTACCGAGTCGCTTTTCAGGATCTAAAGTTAATAAGCGCTCCATAAAGTCATATGCTGCCTCTGGTAGTTGAACCTCATCTTTATGCCAGTTGATGCTCCGGGAAAGAATGTTTTCAAATACTTTATCGGGGGCCTCTGCATGAAAGGGCGGATAGCCGTAGAGAAACTCATAGCAAATAACCCCAAGTGCCCACCAGTCTACCATAGAATCTTGACCTGTACCCAAGATACTTTCTGGCGCTAAATAATCAGGTGTACCTACTGCATTCTCTTTTTGCTTAGTATACACACTTTCTTTACCCATAGTTTCAAAAGTAATACGAGAAGGTGTATTTGCATGATGAAGGAATGTTGCAGGTGTTTTGGCAACATTAGTAGATGATAGAAATCCTGTGTCTTCCTGAGGAAAATGAAAAGTTGAAGTTGTTCCAGAGTTAGGTAATATACTACCATTATAGCTACTTAAACTGGTATTATCATGATAGCTAAATGGTGAAACAATATTACTATTTCCTGTATCATGACTAAACAAAGATACCGAAGGAGTTACATCAGCACTATTTGTTTCACCGCAAGAAAGAGTGCTATTGGTTATGAAGGGGCGACATTTTCTATCACGGTCAAATAATAAACTAAAATATGAATGCTTGTATAGTTTACTATGATAATTAGACAAATGAGCTGATATAGAGTCTGAAGCTGGTGATTGAAGCGGAGTAGTAGATCGAGAAGGTACAGGAGAAAATGGAAGATTGGAAAATGGCTTACTACTTAATTCGTCACGTACTCTACGATCTAAGAACCCAATTCGAGATAGGCCAAAGTCAGTTAACTTTAAATGCCCATTTTGATCTATTAATAAATTATCTGGCTTAAGGTCTCTATATATACATATATGCATGTATATATTTATGAAAAAGAAGACTTAAATGTGAGATTTATATCCTATTATATATTTTTTTATGTTTTGCTTAATTTACCTATGAACGATGTGTCTTTCGTGAAGATAACTCAATCCTAATGTTACTTCTGCAAGATATTTCCGTGCCCATTTACAAGGTAGACTACCAAGTACTTTAATTAAAGAAGAGCAATCACCACCATTTAGATACTCCATCACCAAATAAAGATAGTCTTTGGATTGGAAAGTATAATAAAGTTTTGTTACAAAGGGACTATTTGTTTGAGTTATAAGAATCATGCGTTCTGCTTTCACATTTGTAACCTGATTCTTAGCAATCATATCTGACTTTTTTAAAAATTTGATGGCATAGTAGTCACCTGTTGCTCTTTTTTTAGCTAGAAAAACAGACCCGAATGCTCCTTTACTTATCGGCTTAACAATATTAAAATCTTTAATACTAGGCGAAACTGATCTTGCAGCTAATAGAGAGGTTGGTATTGGTGATACTTGTGAAGGGGAGCAAACATCAGACGACCTTTGCTGAATCCGTTGATACTTTTGCTTACTTCTTTTTGACATGGAAGAAAATGATATACTAGAATCTGGCAAAAAGTTAGGAGTAACAATTGTTTCCATATCAACAATTTTTGTAAAACTTCCAATTGATGGTGAAGTTGAATTTGTAGGTGTTGGTGTCATGATATTATAGGTCATAAAGTGACTTACATTATCACTTGGATGGCTATTCTGTCTTTTTATCTTTTTCTTACTGCATTTACTCTGCCTTAGATTATTACTTTGTTGTTTCTGATTACCGTTGTAGTTTTTATATTTAGACTTCCAATTTTTGATCCTCTTCATTATTTTGTTCTTTAATTTTTGATTTATCTCATTCTTTTCTTCCATTTTTTGTTTAATTTTCGCATATAAAAGAGGAGAAGAGATTTGAAATGAATCAAATTGGGGCTCTGGGTTAATCTCTAAAGTAGTATCTATACTAGACTTATTTGTATAGCTAGTCTCCATGTCTTTTGTAAATTTATCTAGATTATTATTATTATTATGTTCCTTTTTTGTTGTTACAAATTCATTCCAATCCTCATTTTTTATTACACTTGATCGGAATTCCTTTCTTATTCTTTCATTGTATTCTAGGCAATCTTGCATACGATTAACTGCATTAATTTTTGATTTGATTGATATTTCGACATCATTGATCAAAGATTTAGAAACTTCATCTTCAGCTTGTGGAGCTCTCCAGTAAAGGATTTGTATAATTTTCGATTTTGATATTGATGCCTATATATAATTAAGATATAACAGTTTATTATTCTATTTTTTTTTTATTCCTATAATTATCTTTTACTACTAACCTCAAAATCCAATGAACTATATACATTTCCTCCATTACCAGGTGTAGGAATAGTTATTGCGATTTCCATAATATTCAATAGATTAATATAGTTTTCCAGCTCTGTGTGTTTTTTTTCCAATATACTTGCATTATCTTCTTCAAGTGACAATAAACGGTCTCCAAAAATAGAGCCTTGACTACTATGTATACTAAAATAATCTTCTACTTCATCATATTCTACTGTTGATGTCTCCAATGTATTCTGTACGCACTGATTGCTACCATGCCTTACTTCAAGCTCTTGGGCTTCTAGTTTTATTAATCTGTAGAGTTTATGTACATAATGTCTCAATTCAGTAAGACTGTCATTACATGTCATCACATCCATTTCTGCTCGATGGATTTCAGCACATAATTCAGAATGTTGCTCAAAAAAGACTGCCTGTACTCTTCGTTCGCAAATGTTACACAATGCGGGTTCAATTGTCAAAAGATGAGCAAGTGTGTCCAAGTTTCCTGAAACTGGAAGATCACCATATGACATTGATTTTTTCATTGTTGAGGATGCCGATCCTATAGGAACATTAATATCTGATAACGAAAATTCAGATGAAAAATGTTCAATCTGGTCAGAATCTATAGGCAGCGTTACATTATTATTATTATTATTATTATTATGGATAGAATAGAGGTTTTCTTGTTGTTGATTCAAAGAGTTAATTTGTTCTGATGGGACTTTATTGTCATTCGTTAATTGCTGTTTCTTTAATAATTTTATAAACCACATAGTATGGCTTGGATCACCAGTAACTCGGTTATACATCAACATTCCTTTGCCCTCCATTTCAAATGGTACTTTTGTAGTAGCATAATTATTGATAATTTGAAAGAAAACCTCTACTGCTTTGGTTTCGTCTTTAAGTATCTCTTGAGTAGCAATAGTAAATAAGTCCTTATCATTTGGCTGAAGTAGCTGTGAAATATTTGATCCAATAACTGCTTGGGGTTGTGTTCTATGTTAGTGTATTAGATCAATATATACATGATTTACCAAATAATAATAATAATAATAATAAATGAATGCCTACCCCATTATATCAAACCAAACAGGACTCAAATATTGTATTATAGTTCGGCCTAAAGAGAGTTCCATTACGATTGTATTACTTTGTCCAATCTCACTATCTTCTTTCAATTGGTAATTCCCTTCATCATGATCTCTCTGGAGAAGCATAGATAGGACGCTACTCTTACATATATGAGAAGTCTTTGAGGACGTAATAGCTTGATTATCTTTGTCAGTAGATGAAAGAAGATCTATGTCTTCGTTTAAGATATTAACAGCATGTGTAGAGGGATCAATAGTATCTTGTTGAAATTGCAGATAAGGATGATCTAGCTGTTGATAATAACAATAAGGTGTATTATTAGCTAGAGGTTTTTTATCAAATAAAGGTGTTGTTATCTTATCCACTATACTATTTGATGATGTAGTAGAGGCTGTTGTTGCTATTGTTGCTAATGATGAAGACCAGAAATTACGCTCTGCTTGCCACCACTCAACTACTCGATTAAAGGCAGCAACACTTAACAATAGTCGAACATATAATTCTTTAAGTGGCCATTGTTTGTGATAATCCCACAATACACCAATTACTAAAATATTTGATACGATATCTGCACATACTCCAGGATTATCCAAAAATGTTTCCAATTCAGTATCTAAAACACTTTGAGCTAGAGATATTAAATCTTGCAATATTGACATAAAATGAGTGTCAGCGATTGTGCAGCTTTCTATATATTCATTCAAACTATTCATAATAATTCTTAATTCCAGATTGCATGCTTCTTTAGCTGAACATAGTCTTGCTTTAATAATCAATTGTGGATAGTCATTACTACCTTTTAGGTGGTTATTATGATAAGGTGAGGTAAGTTTACTATAGCTTTCACCAAAATGAGCAAAAGAGTTTTTGTTTGGATTATGAAACTGATAACCAACACTTTCTACGTTAGGCAATAAGGAGGAAGTATGAGATGTTAGCTTTGATGGTATTGAAGCCGCCTTTTGAGAAACAGGTAATTTGAAATAATTTTTATCAGTAAATTCATTAGGGATATCATGCAAATCAAGTGACATGTGAAACTTTTGTTTGCCAACTGATGATCGATTTTGTGGCGGAAAATCAACCACTGATTTTTGTATTTCTTCTTTAGATTCTTGTTGAATGGAAGTTGAACAATTGACACTGATTTGCTGTTCGGCTCTAATGATAGTTTCATCTTCTATCCAATTTAACCACTTTTTATTTTTCAAGTATAAAGCAGAAGAAGACCATTTTCTGATTTTATTTAGTCTTGATAATTGTAACATTTTCGTATAGTTGTACCTGCGTTCTTTCTTATCAGCTGATGATGAAGGGCGTCTGATGGGAGCACTCTTTGATACTAAACATAAAGTATAAGGTTATTTGTAATAATAATAATAACATTTCAAAATAGTTTTTTTTTTCTTCTAAAATATATATATATATATATACCTCGATTGATAGGAACAGGTAGTGCAAAATAATCAATGTATTTATCCTCTATTCCAGGTGCTGAAGTATCAAAGTAATAATGATCACAACAGGATTCAGAATATATTAAAGTATTGCTTAAAGAAGATTTTTCATTATTAGGATGCAGAGTAGAATACATATTCAATTGATTACGATCGTTGTCTACATTAAATAATTTAAGGTTATTCTTATTTCGCTGGTTTTCTTTTTCCACTGCATTTTCAACATTTATAATCAATTCAGATGGGATGGTCTGATCTTGTGTCATCATTCTTGTACTTAAAAGGCGTTTTTTTAAAAATACTTGTATGGATTGCTGATATTCTAATAAACCCTTTATGTTCTTTGATATACCCTGATGGTCGGCTGCTTTATTTAAAGAAGAGGCGTTGTTGTTATTGGTATTATTATTATTAAAACCTGAATTTGACATATTTTGAAAGGTGCAACACATCGAGTTTTTTTCTATATACATGTATACATTTAAGTCATCTGGTTATCTGTACAACAGAATATACAATGTTACCTTTTTCTACTGATGACATTGAGTTATATAGATAAGTATTAGAATTATCTATTAGTGTTAACGAATTATTCTGTCGGTAGAAATTATTTTCATTCTTTGTAATATGCATTTTATCATTAAATATTTTTGATGAGTCTGATTTGTAATCAATGTGTTTAGACGAATCTGATGATAAAACACTGGATGGATTTTCGTTTGGAATCAACATTTCTTGTTGTTGTACGTCTTTGGTAACTATTTTCAAAAGCCTTTTATTACCTGATATATCGACATTCAGACTTTCATTTGAATGTGTGCGCCTTATTGTTGATTCCATTGTATAATTATCACTTATAGGTGGTCTATTAAGGTTAAACAAAGGGGTAGCTTTTTGAACGCGATATTAAATTTTAATGCAATAAGTTATGTATACAAAAAAAAAAAAATTCTATTATTGTAATAAAAAGTTACTACAAACCTTTGTCCTTTGTCCCTCTCGAACTTGTTTCAACAGCTTTACTTTGGACTGAATCACGATGCTGCGTGATAGAGCTACTTTCCTCTGATGACGTACTGTATGTCCTGAAATTATGCATTGTCGGACTAGCTAATTTAATAGAGGTCGTATCCTAATTGACTGAAATAAATGTAGGACTAGAATAGGTTTGAGTTGATTTGAGCGACTTGTTGGCAACGTCTTCTATTATCCGAGAAGCTATCTGTTCCATAAAAAGTTCGTTATTGTTATTTTCATTTACTTACTTATAGAAAAATCGATATCTATAAGTTAATTTCTTTTTAATGAAAGGTATAATCGCTTTTTTTTCCCTTTTTATAAACAAGAGAGAGAGAGAGAGAAAAATAATAATAATAAAAAAGACAAAATCTTGTATTAACATCTGAGTCACACAGTGATATTTAATTGGTTCCAAGTATTTGCATGAGAGTAGCAGTAGTTCTTTAATTTTACTTACACTCTATATTATTGTTATTAAAGTTGGTGAGTAACAATTATTAAGAATACATGTAAATCAAACATCTTCAGACGCTATTTCAACACTATAAAGGTAAAAAACGCAATTCAGTTAATTACCCTTTTTTTTTTTTCATATAAAGCATAAAGAATCTAAAATATTTATTGTGTTCATACAATTTCAAGTTCTAATTTATTAAACTTCGCCAGGCTTTATAAAACTTAAAATTTATATTATAAATAAAACAGACAGATAAGTTATATATGCGTATAAATGTATTATTTGCTCCTAAATTGCTAGTATCTTTCATTTAAACATAAATGCTCAAATCTACACTAATTTTTACTATTTAAGGATGAAATAAGGGTGCAAAATTTAATTTTGAATATTACACGTTTTCTTATTAGTTGCTATATCTCAAAAGGTTACTAACAAGATATACATATATATTTTATTAATCGACGCATTATTTAGATAGTAATAAAAGCAAAATTTAATCAGGTTCTAAAAGATATATTTTCTAGTTTTAGGAAGGCCATTTAAAAAATGATCTTGTATCTGAAGTAATACAGTTAACTTTATAAGAATACCTTTATTCATTCTCTTTCAGCCTCTTAGAAAGAAAGAAAAAAAAAGGCTTTAGAATTAACATTTCTCAGTTCGGAACAAGATCAATAACATTATCCACAACGGACCAAACTGCTATCATCAATATTAATAAACTTAGCTTTAATAGACTGTGTTTTTATTATTATTCATTTCTATATCTAAATCAACTATGGTCATCTATTTACTGGTACTACTGTCTGATGTTTTGGGATTTATTTCTTAAAAGATATCCTTTTTTTTTCACTCTAAACTCTTAATGACATGTCGATTATACGTTTCTCTATTGAATACCTATTATGTCATTCAAAAATAACGCGTATAAATGATATTATTGACTATAATAGCTATCTTTCCTCAGTCCACTATTAATTTAAAATTAACATGAAGCACTTAATTTATAGTTTACATATGCTTAATTAGCTTCAAATACTACATATTTGTTATTAATTGATAAACTACTTTGCTCATTTCCCAATACTTAAATATAGTTTTTTTTTTTCTTTTTTATACATTTATAATAATGAAATCATCCTTTTCACTTTCTAATTCAGACACTAGAGACTTAATTGATTACTCATCACTGGACACTTTGTTGCCCTTAGCTACCTAATTTTATTTTATTTTCCCCCTATTTCTTTCATGTCCTTACTTTTCTATTCACCCAAAAAAGGATATTTCGTTTCTTTCTGATCAGATCAGGGCAATTAAATATTATTAGCAAGTGGCCGGTTATTTAAAAATTTTACAACAACTAAAAATTTATTATTCAATTTTAGTGTACATTTTTGTTGTGAAATCCATCCTTTTTGCCTTTTTTATAATTTCGCACGAAAATATTCGTTTTCGTTTTCTTTTTCTTTTTCCTTTTTTTTTTCTCACTTTATAAATTAGAAATGTCGAAACCAAAGATTATTGGTGAACTAGTGATTGTCGCCTACAAAGCTGTAAGATTATAACATTGAATTGTCAATTTTGAAAATAAACAGTAGACTTAATCCTTTCTTTACCTTAGAGGCATTTACCTGAACGTGAGGTATTATGATTATTTTGCTTTCCTTTGAGAGGAAAAATAATAATAATAATCAATATAAATTCTATAATAAATAGGTTGTCGGTAAGCAGGATCCTTTTGTTATATTTCGCATTGGCGAAACAATTCAAAGAACAATAACTGATATAAGAGGTGGTCAGCATCCTACTTGGGATGATCAGGTACTCTATATTTACACATTTATCAGGATCAAGAATATTAATTGAATTCTATACTATAAACGTTGTTATTAGGTTGTTTTACCAATTCCTGAAAATAAAAAAAAAGTTGTTGTTCAAGTATATGATGAAGACGGTAAAAGACAAGAATTAATATCAGAATGCGAGCTTGATATTTCTAAAGTCCTCATGGAAGGGGAAGAGGATAGTAAGTTTTACAAAAAAAAAAAAAAAAAACTTGAAACATAGTACCTAATTATTTCTTATTTAGATTGGTATCCTTTAACTTATAAAGGCCGACCTGCTGGTGAAATTTATTTAGAGCTCACATTTTATTATGCGGTAAGTTTTTTTTTTTTTTTTTTTTTTTTTTTTTTTTTTCAATTTTTTAGTATACGTTCGAGTAATAATACTGAGTTGTATTTTGAACCATTTAGCGCCCTCCACCAAAACGTCAGCCCACGCGATATGGTATGAGTAGGCCATTTAAGCCTCCCGGAGGCTATATACCTACTGTACCACAAAATAATAGACCCTATCCAACTTCAACTCAATATCCTCCTTCTCAGACAACAAATGGAATAAGACCCCCTCCTACTCCTATCGAGTCTCAGTCAACACCTACAAACTGTAACGACACTCATTATCCTTCTCAGCAACAACCCTTTTATAATTATGACGCTACACCTCGCCCATATCCTCCATTAAATCCAGCACCATCTATCTCTACTGGCTCACAACCATCTTATCGTCCACAACAATCCTCTTATCCACCTAATAATGACAGTCGACCTATGTCTTATGGAGGACAGCCTCTATTAAACTCAAATAGACCTGTTTCATTCTCTGTACCAAACCCTAATTATATGAATCATCCAACAAATATGAATGGTCCTCTTCTTTCCTCTTCTTACAATCCATCAAACCCTCCCAATATCAATTACGGTAATAAATAGACTAGAAATTATATGAAACAGACTGAGATAACGAATTTATAATATAGGCTATCCTCCTCCTACTACAGGTTATCCTCTTCCTAATAACCACAATGGATATCCTCCTCAAACTAATGCTGGTAATAGAAATAGCTATCCTGGATATAATTCTAGTTCTTATATTCAGCCTAATCGATTCCCTGAGCCACAACAGTTCCCAGGGGGTTATGTACCTCACTCTGATCAATTAGGCACCCCATTTGCAGCTCATCAAGACATTTATCCGCCTTTGAACCAAAATTATACATCTTCATCCAATACAAGTTATCCCCCAAATAATTATTCACAGTATTAATTGTTATAAATATATAAAGAAGAGAAGAGAGTGAGTGAGTGAGTGAGTGAGTGATAAAAAGAAAGATGTTAGAAGAAGAATATAACATTTATACATGATCAATATAAGAATGCTTTATAATAAATATATAAATAAATAAATAAAAGAAGAAGAGTAATATGAGAGTAATAGTTATGATAATGCTATACTACCTAAACAAGAATATAACAAAAAAATAAAAATAAAAAAATAAAAATAGGTATATGTTTTTATAAATAGATTACTTTATAAAAATGGTGAGTTTATCCTCTCTTCTTAAAAAAATCCGTTATTATTAGTTTTCGCTCTGTTGGGTGTTTGCAAATAATCAAATGAATGATCACCTCTAACAGCAGAAGATGGATCGAATTTAAAATCATCCTGCTGATTATCATAGGCAGCCGTAGTACCATACAAGTTTTGCATAGGATAATCATGCTGCTTGACTGGAGAAGAATTTGAACGGTACAGGTCATCATAAGAATCTCTCTGTTGGCTATTATTATTATTATTATTATCATTATACCTTTTTGAAGGTTCAACCATAGCAAAGTTGATAGGATGATTCGTATATGGGTCATCTACAGTAGTCATGTTATGACTTGAAAACATGGCTGTCGACTTGTTTTCGTTATTAAAATGATGTGCAGTAGATGGTGAAAATGAACGATCATGGATAACAGAAGGATGATGGTAATCGACTTCAACAGGAGACATGGGTCTTAAGAAATGACCGTTATTATTATTATTCATCAGATCCTTTCTTCCATTTGATTCATGAACTGTAGAGGACTCATTGATAAGGGCATTACTATGATTCGATACATGATGCTGAGCACTACCACCATTTGTCTTGCTTTCTATAAAATTTGTGATACGTTGGCTTAGTCGATTTGATTTTATACATTCGGAAAATGATGACGAACCATTATTATTATTATTATTATTATTAAATCTACCACTATGATTGATTTCTATATCACCCTCTTGATTATGAGTTGTCGTCATACTTCTTGAACCGAGTGAAGAACCTAATTCTGAATTACCATGTCGAGGATGAAATATAGAAATCTATTCATTTAAATAAAATATTTAGTATTCCGTTTATCGTTTATCGTTTTTTTTCCTTCTTCCTTACACCAACAATCCACATCAAGACGGAGGATACATTACAAAAGGCAATCAAGAGGTCTGAAGCAAACTTATTAGAATTAATAGTCTTAGTTGAAGTTATACCATCAATGCAAAGAATACAAAGACTGATTCCATAAAAAAAGAGAATAATAGTAAGATAAATATTCATATCTTTAAAATACGCAAGTTTTTCTACGATTTTAGCAGCTCCATGCTTCAGGTTGCGAGAGATATTTAAAATTCTCTTAAATCGTCTATGAGAACGAACACCTAAAGCTGAAGTAATAAGAACTATATTTATAAGAGTTAGTAATATACATATATACATGTAAGTTTTGTTTGTATATGTTGCATGTATATATATTTATATATATATATAAACCTTCAATTGAATATGCTAATTGTGGAATAGCTTCTCTCTTGGTTGGATCTTCTCTAAAATACCATTGCAATATAGGGAAAATGGCAATACTACCAAGAGCCCTAAAAAAAAAAAAAAAAAAAAGATAGTTTTAGTAGATGCTATGATAAAAAAAAAAAAAGCATACCAAAAAATATAAAACTTGAATTCCCAAGAACTCATGAATGTCCTTTTAGCAACTGCATTAGACAGATAATTCCAAAAACATTGCAACAAGAAAAAGACGCCCGTTTGCATAGATAAATTTACACACTCTACATAATCCATTGCCTATGAAATAGATATATAAATATATACAAACATATAAACTAATTATATTCAAGGTAAAAAAAAAAAAAATACCATCCATGATTGGTTGTACCTGAGCAACTTCTTTATGTTGATTTGTCCAATTATCATAAGGTTTAGATATAATATGGTCGGTTCCAGGTACAACAATGAACTTTTCAGTATATTTAATCCATGTTGATACCACATCTATCAATGAAAAAAAAAATACGTTTAATTGCGAAAATAAAATAAAGTAAAATAAACAAAATCATTCTCATACCCCATGATGTCTGCATTACTAGCATCATTATATATAATACAGTAATAATACTTCTTAATTCACCAGCAAAAATTCGCTTTGGATGAAGACATTTAAATCTGTCATTTGCCCAGACTCTATACAATAAGAATAAAGCCATATATGCTTCTAAGGCGCATCTTTCTATTATTCAATCGAAGTATTAAAATCAAATTATTATTATTATTTTTCTCTTTTGGATGTATTTACGTAAATATGAAAAATCACTATAGAATTAAATTATTGATTAAAGACAAGAGAAAAAAAAAAGCGGGAGGGGTAAAGTACATGGATATTACCTCAAATGTGTCATTGATAATCTAGGGTGTGTATCTATCTATCTGTGTTTGATGGGCAGACTTTACTATTAGTTTAATTGTTTATATAAATTGCAGAAAATAAAAAAAATATATGTATTTATATATATATGTATTTGTATATGGATATATACTTTTTTTTTTTTCAAAAAAAAAAAAAAAGAAAAAGGATAGCTTCTCACCATTTTTTTTTCTTTATCAATGTGCGCTAGGACAGTTACCATGATTACCTATTTTGGCTATTGATCTATAGGTGTTTATTTGAGTGTAACGTATACTAACCTTGAAGACTTATATTGCATCTTGTCAGACTTGGTTGGTACAATCATAATCCAAGTATTATAGCAATTCTAATATGTTCCTATGATACTCTATTATAAGAAGCACATTAATATACCAATTTTCCCACAGATAAAAAAAAAAAAAAAGGTATTTGGATCCATATTTTTTATAGTAAAGAATTGCATTCATTGTGTGTACACATGTTTATTTTTTTTATTTTAAAATAACTAAATAATTGTGTTTTTATGATGGCAAGGAAATAGATTAGCTGTTTTTAGTTTGAATAGAAAAAGATTTAAAGGAAGGAAAAGAAGCCTTGCACCCTTTATTTCGAGTAACATGCAAACGATACACAAACAAAAAAAAAATAAAATAAAACAAAAATACCATGTATTACATTTTTACCGAGTCAAATACAAAGATAATTCGTCGTTAAAAGGAATTGCTAAACTTCTTTAAAAGAAGTGTGAGCTTATTAGGGATTTTTGATATAAAAAGACCTTCTTAAAGAACACGTTAAAACTCTTCTAAAACCTATAAATTAGCCCAATTGTTCTTTTTTTTTTTTTTTTTTTTTTTTTTTTTTTTTTTTTTTTTTTAATCTATCAACAGCACATAGCCATCTGTTATTATCTTCATTAGTGTAGATGATGAGTCAGCTATTAAAGGATTATGTTTGAAATCTATAAACTTTATTCTACAGCACTTTACTTTATCTTTTCAAAGAAATACATCTTATTCTATTCTAATTCACAAGCGTTTTAAGTTGTATTAGGTGGTACTACATGGAATCTCATTTGTTATCTATCTGAATCACTTTCTATAAAGAAGATACAGACGTGTTAATGTAGTAGCTTACTTTCTTACTTCAATTGCTGCATAAAAGGTGTTAAATAATACAAGTTTAAAAGCAATTCTATTTCTTCATAAAGGATTCTTTAATAACTGTCTAAATGACTTGGTTAGCATATTTAGATAACACATTTTCCCATTTTCAAATCTAGAATTATACATATTAAAAACGAAAAAAAAATGGATATCACACAGCGTAAACACTGTTGATGATATCTTTAAACATGGATAATTGTAGTGAAATTATACATGTTAATGGTCAGAAACATGATACATCAAGTTGAATGTATTTTTAAAAAACTATAGGCCAGTCTGGTTGACTTTCATTTGTCTGTTTTAATTATAACTTATACCTTTAATATTCATCCTTTTTTGTTGCATACCTTTCACTCGCTTGGCTTTCTTGGCATAGTCGAATCTATTTTTAAATATTTTACAAACTTATAAACTATTTTATACTAATACATATACATATTCGTCTGCCTACATTTATTTCATAAAATTTTATTTTTTTATTTTAATGCGACGACTTTACAGTAATGGTTAAAAAGACTATTGATATTGAAGAAGCGACTCATGAGGTAAAAACAACATAGTAGAATGACTATCATTCAGTAGTAATTTACTGGTTTTTTTTTTTTCTTCAATTAGTAGTTATCTTTTTTACCAAAATTATTTGAATGGTTCTTGCGCAAGAAAAGTAGAGTCATTTTAAAATAAACATATTATGGTATATTTTATGAAAATAATATATTTGCTTATTTCAAATGAGCAATAATCTGCTCTTTTTCTTTAATAACAAATTTTGTATATGTATTTTCTTGTACATTATGTTTAATTCAATAATATACGAAAATAAAGGTCAATATTTTTCATTTTTTTTTTATATTATAAAAAATGGAGTTAAATAATATAGGCTAGCCTTCGAGTTCAATGACAGATAAATTAACTGCACATCAAATAGATACGACCGTCTTTTTTTTTTTTCTAATACCTGCCAAAAGACAATACTTTTGCTCATAGAATATATATTCATCCGCAAAAATATAAACGTCCTTCACAGTATGTAAATTTAAGATCGAATAAAGAAAAAAAAAAGAAAAAACACTAAATAAAAGGCTATTTCATAAAATTTATAGAAAAAAAAAAAAAAAGTTGAGGAGTCACATGTGACTGTAATCACGAGAAAAAAAATTTTTTTTATTCTCTTTTTGTTTATATAAATTATAATTCAAAATCCTTGTGCAATTTTTTTTTTTTTCCTTTTACTTAGGGTTAGAGGAGGTGACAAGCTTATGTATACGGGCAAACATACTAAAAGATTTATTCTTTAATAATGAACATATACCCGTGGGAAGGTCTGAGGAAAGCCGTTAAACATCTTTGCTGGATAACCTGTGAAAATGGGGGCAGTGCTACCAGAAATTCTATCCTCTTGAACCTTTATAACCTTTGAAGGATGTTAAGTTCTGATGGGTTGGTTTAGGATGGTTTACTGTAATGGCCTGTGGGCGGTAATGCTATGAAGTGCAATACATGAGACCAGTTTATCTGGTAACTCAATTCAGACTACTCTGTCTCCTCTTCTTTCCTTCTCTCTCTTTTTATATTTATATATTAACGAAAATGAAAAAAAAAACTATTTATTATACTATATATTTCTTTGGAAATGTATACTTTTATGTTTTATTCTAATGGTAGCAATTATGATTACGATCAAGTAAACAGACCGAATCACACCTTTAATGAGTAATGCTTTCTGGGGGTTTTTTTTCCTTATTCAAATAAATATTTATTTTGTAATAGAATGGTGTCAGTAAATATATACGTATGTCTGTTGCAATTTGATCCTTATAAAAGAAACCGTTAATAAGATAATTATCTAAAGAAAGTGATTCCTTAAAATAGATAGATATTAACCAATAAGATAAATAGAATTGGGATGTTCCTTTATTTCTTTTTTTTCATTTTTTTATTTTAGTCGTTGATTTTTCTTTTTGTTTTTTTTTTAAGAAAATAAGGAAAAGCATATGCACATAGAGATTAAGCAATGACAGCCGTACTAGAACTTGTTCCAGAAAAATATATTGTAGCATTTGTTACGATTCTTATAACGCATCTACATTTATCAATCAACTTTTACATTATGGGACCTGCATTGGGTGGTTTGCTCTCTCCACGATCATTGAAAATACTTACCCCTTTGAACATTCTTTTGATTTCTATTTATATCAATTACTATTTAGCATGTACAACTAATCCCGGAAATATACCTGAAGGATGGGTAAAAAAAAAATAAATAAATAAACAATAATAATACACCAAAGAAAGAAACGATCCATTTATTATATTATCTATAATAGGAGCCTCCTTCATCAGTATTGGAGGACGATCGAGTTTTACCGGTTGGCTTTCAAGGACCCAGATTTTGTAAGAAATGCGAAAAATACAAACCACCTCGAGCCCATCACTGTAAACAATGTGGTCAATGTATACTAAGAATGGATCATCATTGTCCTTGGATTGGGAACTGCGTTGGTTTTGGAAATTATAGTCATTTTATACGGTTTGTTTTCTCAGCTGTGGGAGGTTGTATCTATGCTGGGTATTTATTATTATGGAGATTACAGCGTATTATTGATGCTTGGAATTCTAAATGGGTAAAACAACAATAACGATAAAAATACGTTTTTAATTTATATATCATGATTATTATAGCCCGCTCTTCAGCCAAGTACATTAGAAGTTATTATAGTTATCCTAAACATAGCATTGATTGGTGTGACTCTCTTTTTAGTGGGGATCTTGGCTATCTATCATACCTTTTGTCTCTTTAAAGGCCAAACAACAATTGAAGGTTGGGAACGAACAAAGACTAAAAAGATGATTCGTAGACGAGCGATCGAACCTGTAAATTTACAACATTATTCTAACAGTAAAAAAAATATTATATGAATATGCATATATAAAAAAAAAATAACATGGTCTTTTTTTTTTTTTTTGGTAGGTTGAATTTCCATTCGATATTGGTTTTTATAAAAACATTTGTTCAGTATTAGGTGATAATCCTTTATTATGGGCTTGGCCCCAGTCTACTCCAGGAGATGGGATTCATTACACTGTTAAATCAAATACAGGTAAATACAATACATACATACATATAACTATTCAAAAAAAATGTATGATAATCTATATTGTAATATAGACCCTGTAATCGTTTATAGTTGGCCTCCTCGAGACCCTAATAAAGTAGGACAACCTGCTATGGAAATAAACGATGGTTGGGATAAAGGACACAAGTTAGTACGTCGCGACTCAGAAGGATACCTTGTACGAGAAATTACAATGGAGGATAGAATGAAAATGTTAGAAGCTGATTTTATGGATAATGAAAGGGATCCTTTAGAATTTGAAGCTCATCAGCAATTTTTGGAAGAGACGAAGATAATAAAGGAAAATGAAGATGAGATTGCATAATATACACATTATGACTGCTGCTGCCTAATAAAAATAATTCTGTTTCACAAATAAAAAAAATAAAAAAAAAAGTCCTTTATGAGTAGATTTTCACAGTATATAATAATAACAATATATAAAAAAAAAGGGACCCATGTATGAAGAATTTATACAAAATGATAGGGGCATATAACTAGTAAAAATAAATCTATGTATAAAGAAATCAAGTATGTATGTATATATATATCTTAATTTTCAGTAAAGTTAGAAACTAATAAAGACCAAGCACCAGCAACACCAGCACAAACACCAGCAGACACCATAGCAGCGCGAGGACCTGCAGTAGATTTGAATAGAGCACCTGAGATGGCACCACCTGCTAAACTATTAAAAATATCATGCTTACCACGAGAGGCATCCATCATGGCTGTAGCTCCATTATAAATCATTGCAATAACACCCATTGAATTACCAAGACCGGGACCACGACGAGTAATAGAATTCAATGTTGTATTTAAACGCACCTTCATATTTGGAGCACTAGCACTCTTTTTTAATCCTTCTGCCAAACCAAAGGCACCGCCTAGTGTTAATCCTGCTAAATAAGTTGTACCCGTACCATAACATAAATCGTCTGACCATCCTCTTGAAGGTGTGAATGAAGCACCACCACTTAAACTACCTGTAGTACCTTCTCCTTCAATTTGTAAAAAGTCAAGACCTCCTTGTAGTGCAGTGGGTTGAATTCGAGAAACGTCATAACTAATACTTGACATAAAATCTGGCATCTTTTCAAAGCTATTGCCTGTATTCTCTCCAAAATGCTCTTCCCCTCCAGAAGGTGAATATATATCGTTCAAGTTTTCTTCATTGTTATTACTTGATCCATTAAAAAGCCCCATATTATTATATTATGTGTGTGTGTGTATATATGGTTTGTTTTTTTTTTCTTTATTCTTTTTTTTTTTAAAAAAAAAATAGAGAGAGAAGAAAAAGAAAATAGAAGAAAGAAGAATAAAAAAAAAAAAAGAAGTATTCCCATTTCCTTTCTCTGCTTTACTTTTGTTTCCGACATCGGTCCCCCAAACAAACAAACTAGCGAAAAAAAAAAAATAATAATAATGGACGAAACGAAAGACTACTGTTGTGGCTTATTAAAATAATTAAAATAGATCAATAAAAATGCAGAGCAATTTATTAATCATGCATATGATATATATAAAAGCATATAAAATAACAATAATATGTACATTTAAACAATTAAACATAATAAACGAAATAAAAAAAAAAGATAAGAAACATACATAAATTCATAGAAAGATTAACAGCAACAAAAAAAAAAAAAAAAAAAAAAAAAAAAAGAAAAAAAAAGGAAAGAGGAGGAGGAGGAAGAGGCTTATTTATCTAAGTGTGCTTGCTGTCGTTAGCATTCTTCTTATTGAACTTGTTGACTTTGGTAAAAAACCCGAAGTTTTTTTTGCTAATGACGCATGAAAGAATCCACCACTACCACTACCACTTGCCTCCTTTTTTGGTGGCGCTACTGGAATTAGGGTATCATTTTCAGAATACACAACAGGCTCAAATTGATTCATCATAACATCATTTGGCAAATGTATGTTTTGTGTTGTTAAAAAGGGAGAAGGTAAAGAACGATATTGTTCTTTTAGATGATAAAAGCTGAGTTCATCAAGGTCTGCTATTAATCTTTCATGATTTTCAATCATAATTGTCCAAATACTCATCCAGTGTTTGTTGCGTTTCATGTGTTGATTGATCATATTGCGATTACTAATACTGTTATATGCATCAGTATACTGCTTTTTATTATATTTTTTCTTATTAGTTGTAGATGAAGTCGAGGTAAATAAGGTAGGTATCGCGGCTGTAGAAGAAGAGATGGATTTAAATAATTTGAAATTATGAGTTGTACTATTACTATTACTACTAGTAGTAGTAGTATTCATATTATGACTATTATTAAGATAGTTGTTATGGTGATGAATTGCTTTCGTTTGTTCTAAAAGTGACTTTTCAAACCCAATACAAACAGGAGCAAACACGGTAGCTAAGGCCTCTGGATTCATCTTATTGATATCAACATGTTGCTGTATTTGAGCAGATAGTTTCAAGATTGCATGTATAATGTGTCTATTAAAGAGAGGAAGTCTTTTGATCAATTGAGATAATTTATGAATTTGCTTTGGAGGCATTTCAAGTGCTTCAAATTCTTCATGAAAAGAAACAGGTATAACTGGATCAGGTAAATCACGAAGATATTTTTTGACTAGACTTGAGACAGTATGCACATCATAACGATCACATCTGATTGCTTTTCTTCTAATAGGATCGTACTTGTTAATCTCTTCTTCTAGTTCTCTAACCTCTGATGCTGACCCCGATAAACGAAATATGCCTTCAGTAGTCAAGCCTATAATTATTATTTTAATAAATAAAATTAATTTTATAAATGCATATACATATAAATATATAAATAGATATATATGTATATATATATATGTATATATTTTGAAACCTTACCACGATCACTAATTTCTTGGAAGCACATAGCAACAGGATCAGGTACTTTTAAATCCCAAAGAATTGAACCTATTTTTGCTGCATCACATAAAGGAGCACCAAATATAGCTATTGGTACAAGAATATAGATAAATACATGTCATGTATAAATGTATGTAAATAGAATCACATATATACACTTTATTTGTGTGTGTGTGTATGTATGTATGTATGTGTGTGTATGCGTATGTATGTGTACCATTCCTGTTTTCTTGTTCATTCATTTTTAATGTTTTTTTATTATTTCCCGAAAGCAATTTGGAAATTGTTCTTTTCTCCTTTCTTTTTATTGTTTGCTGCATTTAGAAAGTAGGTATGTATAAAATAAATAAATAAAAAAAAAAAGAAAAGAGAGAGAGAGAAAGAAAGAGAAAGAGGAAAAAAAAATACTAAAAGGAAAATCATATTATTTTGTATTGAATCAAGATTTATATATAAAAGGTAACTCATTGTTTTCGTGTCTATCCCAAAACAGGTCTAAAAAACATGTAAAGCATTTTGACGGAGATTTAAATTAATGATTCTGCTCTTTACAAAATGTCAAAGAAACACATGCATTATTATGTCAACAACTACGACAAATTGTCCTTATTATGTGTCTATTTCTATTCATTTAAACAAAAACCACAGCAAGAAAAAGTTGAAAGCTCATGTGCAAAGAAGAAGATATGTTTGCTATGTGAATACGAATGTAGTTTTGTTATATCATAAATGATGAAATTATTATAGATTTATGATAAATATGCATCGTCACTACTGCTAGTAGTAGTAGACGAAAATAATGGCTGCTATTACACACTATTGATATGCTTATTTTATTTTTATTTTAGTTTATAATGAAACAATAAGATGATATTGTAGTACTGCTAATATATTTCTTTACCATAAAAAGAAGAAGGGTTCCACATGCTCTTTTACTGTTTCCAAAGAATGTCTGATAAGACATAAATTCAACATTTCTTCTACAAAGACATGCTTAATAAATCTATTATAACGATATAGAGTGTATCTGTATATGTATGTTATACACTATCGAACTTTAATAATATGCTTTCTTTATTTCGAGTATAATGAGTTCTTTTTTTTTTTTCTATACAAATAGTGTAAACTTCTTTAAAGTAAGTATACGTCTTGGAAGAAACTCTTCTTTATCATTTTTCTATCCCTTTTCTTTTGTATGTGTGTCTATCTATTACTTGTATCATGTACAATGTATTCACTTTATATACGTTTAAAAATAAGAGGATGATGATGTGTGTACCCAATCAATAAGGGACATAACACTGAAATCCTTTTTTTTACTGCTCATATAAATTAACTTTCTTTTTTTTTTTTTTTTTTTTTTTTTTTTTAATTTCCTCCCTCCCTCCCCTTAATAACAAATATGCAGACTAATAAAACTTTATTCGTATTATACTTGTTTTTTATAATAATTCAAACCATTCATAGTATAGAATTCAAAAACCAAGACCATTCTAATTATGGCAATGAAAAAAATAATAAAGAGTAAGAATCAACCATGAGTTAGTAATTCATACATTAACTCTACTTAGTCACATTCGTGAACATTTAAAGTCATTAGCTGAACAGTCAGATGATAATACTGCTATTCCTCCAAATCTAAGTGACGAGGATATGATTTATTATTTATTTTTAATACATGATGTTAATGGAGACGGTTTCTTAGATGGACATGAATTAAGAGCTGCGTTTACTGATTTTGGTGAAGAAGAGGCAACGCAGTATATATCTTTAGAAGAGGTAACTGATATGGTAGACCATGTATTAGAAGAAGATGATTTGGATGGAGAGTAAATATTACATACATTCATATATAAAACTGTGTACTCATTATTATGTATAGTGGGCTTATTAGCTGGTCAGAATATTTAGAATCACAAAATTATCATAATAAATAAATAATACATTATTATAATAACTCTAAAAATACATGATATAAAATTTGAACAGTGGCATCTAAAGGACCAGGTATACAATAACGTAGGCAATCTTGTCCTCCAACATGCCCATCAGGTCTTAAATCAATCATTGCAGCCAAATCAAGGTAAACACCTCCTGCTGCTTCTACAACGGCTTGTGCAATAGCATTTCTTCTCTTTATTTCACTCCATCCATAAGGAAGCTTTCTGAGTTCTTCATCTTTTAAAACTTCTTGAAGAGGTCCGTGTGCGTCATCACAAAAGGGATGTCCAATAAATGTCGATCGATAGATAACTAAAGTATCAGGTGAAGTTTCACGAATCACTTTAAGAGTTTGAATTAATCGTCTTGTAAAACTTAAATCATCATCACCTAAGATAGCACTACGACTAAGGATCAGAATTGGATAAGAAGACAATATATTAGATGTCACAAAGGGCCACTCAATTATATTAGCTAAAGGATGTCCTCTTTCTCTATTTTGAAATTTTCGAATCGTAGATAATACGTCATTACGAATATAACGAAGCCGTGTATCCCTAGGTGACTTGCAAATAGTATGATCTATACAACAATACCTTAATTTATACGTCCCCCTTTTTTTTTTTTTTGTGATGACTTACCTTTGCAGTTTAATTCGCCAAAACAGACTGTGGGATCATCTCTAAAGGCATCCAATAAAATTTCATGAAACTGATAATGGACTAAATCACCTACTAATAACATATGTCTCCCTTGTAAAATATGACACCATTGTTCGAGATTGAGTTGATGTTCAAATCGACATTCCTCAGCTGGCTGCCAGCGATATTTTATGGCTTCTCGTTTTTCATCTTTAGAATGTGTCTTGTAGAATTGTGCATCACATGTACTATAAATGGGATCTTGAAGATGTTTTAGTTGATAGACAGCATCTTTGCCATCATCTCGTATCCAATGACCTCTCTTTAACCAACAATCTAGCCTTTTTCTAAATGCAATTGTTTTTTCTAATGTATTTACAGTTGTGCTTCCTTTAATTGATGTTTCATAATCTTCTTTAGGGAATCTTCTATAGGCCAACTTTTTTGCTTGAAGAACAGCCTTTTGTTGCAAGATATCACGTTCCTTCAGTGTAAGATGAGTAGTAGTCAAATTAGAATTAGGCCTGTATTGAGGTCTTGTATGTTTTGTTTGATACCATGGGAAATCAAAATAAGTTTGGTTATCTTGATAAAAATAAAGTATATTTTGTTGTTTGTTGTTATAATACGTTTTTTCTTTATAATCTACATGTTGATCTTGGTTGACAGTAGATTGAATAACATTTGGGAATAAAAGTTGGTAAATTAACTTTAAAAATTGGAATGTAAAAAATAAAATGATGAAATAAACAATAAAACGTTTCCAGTTTCTTTCTTTTCTTTTTGGTTGAAACATACTGCCATTCATCATGATGACAATAAATGAAAGAGAATCCTTTGTTTCTTTTTATTTAAAGAAGGGGCAAGGCAAATCGGAGTAGCAAAGGCCATTTTTCTTTTAGATTTTTTTTTTTCCAATGAACTTGTTAACTAAACAAATAAAAGAGATTTCAAGTGACCAAGATAACTTGTTAGTTATTCCCTTCTCTTGCTTAACTAAATAATACAAGTAGTTTTTATCTTGAATTACATGTTTTAAAGCTTTGATTTTTTTTTATCATGTTTTCTATTATCCAACTTATTGCATAAAAAAGGTCCAAATAAGTTTGAATTTTATACATTTCCAAAGTAAAATTATCAGCTAATAAAGCTATAAAGAAGCCTTTATTGTTGAATGAAAGAGTATTAGTTGGATGATATAAGCTTTCTTTGATAAATTATATTTACAGTCTTGCTGTTCCCTGTGATCTTTGTTTTTATATGTTATTTTATACTACACATAAATTGAAGGATGACTATCCTAACCAGTCTTTCTTATTATACCTTATATATAAAAAGAAGACTTAAATTGAAGAAGCTTTCGCCCAGCATTTAGTCATTTAACATTCAGAGTGGCTACAAGAGTCATAAAGACCACTAATGAAAACTTTTTTTTTTTTTTTTTTTTTTTTTTTTTTTTAAAAAAAAAAAATTATATAAACATGTATGCTCTCTTTATCACACAAATTTACAAATATACCTTTTTTTTTAATGCCCATTATAGATTACTCAGAAACTGTAAATGAAGAAAATAATAAATAACTAATTCGGATCTATTAATGGTTATTTGATAGGCTAATGGCGTTTATTATACATTAAAAGGACATAATGTTCCTAATGAACAAATATCAGCAAAACAGCTTTTAGCTACTCGTCCTTTACTAGTTGAATTATACGAATATAAAAACGATGTTACAACTGAGAATCGAATAAAAAATAAGTTAGAAACTTGGGATGATTTACCCAAACGCACACAATTAATGATTATAGATTATTTGGAAGTTGGACATTGTAACATCAATAAAGATTTTTGTCATTACATCTTTCGATCTGATCCATTTTTTTTTTCTAAATTATAATAGTACATGTTGGCATGCAATTAATAGAAGATGCAAATGCCATGGGAAAAAAACCGCCTTTGTAAGCTTTCCTTAAAAGTAAATCTACGTCTTTTATATATACATGTATGTTAAATCGACGTAAATATAGTTCTCTTTTACTATCTCTAGTTAATCTCATCTTACAGCCTAAAGAAAAATTGAAAACAAAAAAGTTATTAAAAGAACACTGGATCTATTGTAAGAGGGCACATGCTATTTTGATGGATGCACTTTACTTATTTGGAACCGAGATCTATAGTCCTTTGTGGAATCAATTTAGAAACTTTGAACTTATTCCAACAAAAAGAGCACAAAGAGCGCTTGATGATGACTATAATGTCTTGGATACAAACACATTAAGAGAATATAGTGATTTTTGGGGACTTGTAAACCGAGTATTAAATCATGGTGGTAAGGATCTTGAAACAAAGGTAAATCTTTATTATGAAAAACTAGCTTCTTATGTATGTATTAAAATTATATATTTTAGTGTCGTAAATTAATATTAGATTTATTTGTCAACATATTACAATATGATTTAAAATCAGTTATCAATGACGAAAACGGAGTAAAAGATTCGATTTTTATACAAACATTAAAAAAGGATGCATTATGTACTCTAAGTAAATTTGATAATTATTTAAAAATCTTGTTAAGCAAGTTTCCAAATGATGACGAAGAATTAATGCATCTTTCAGGAGATATATTTAATATGGTAAAAAAAAAGCTTCTTTTTTATTTTTTATTTTATTTTATTTTATTTTATTTTTTTTTTTCAACGTATAATAATGGATTTCTCTCTTAACATGTTAGGATAGCTCATTACAATCAGTTGTTATGAACAAATTGCTCACATGGACGAACTTGTAAAGCAAACATATAAACTATTTCAAAGAATGGATGCAGAATCCTGTCAACAACTTATGCAAGTTATCAAGTACCCTACTTTTTTAATTTTACTTTGTGATAAAGCACTTGCAGATACAAATATTATTAAGGTCCCAAAGGAGCATCAACATTATCGAAATGCACCTCATGTTCCACTTCATTTAGAGAAAACATTCTTTTATGTTCTAAAAACATTACCTAACGATAACAACACCTTAGAAGGCATCTATCGACACGTTGCTATTGTATTCAAATATTGTGCGTGTGTCTTTTCAACAGCTACAATTAGTCATAAGCGAGATATTACAGAGACCAATTCTGCATTACCAGAAGATCAACTTATATTACTTATTACATTTCAACACCAAATTATTAAAGAATGGGAAAATATGGTTGAAGAATTGATAAATAATGTCGGGTTTAGCGATCAAGAAGATGTGGAATTAGTAGAAAAGATTCGATGGACCGTTAAATTAACAAAATTATCTATTATAGAGTATTTTTAAATGATTTTTTTTTATTTACCGCTGTTGATTAAACTACTATCTTCTTCTCCATTTATTTATTTTTATTTTTATTTTTTTAAAGAAAAAGGAAAAAAAAAAATGTCTGCTCGAACTTTTCTTACCACTGGTAAAAAGATTGTTGCCATTGGTAGAAACTTTAGGTAATTGATAATAATAATAATAATAATAATAAATAAAATATTTAAATGACCACAAACATAAAGTGAACATGCTAAGGAACTGGGCAATGCAGTTCCCACATCCCCATTTTTTTTCCTGAAACCTACTTCTTCTTATTTGGCTAATGGAGGAAATATTGAAATTCCAAACGGTTGTGAAGTTCATCATGAAGGTAAAAATAGTTACATTGATTCATTTTAATTATAGTTTATCCATTTTTTTTTCTTTCTATAATAAATAAAGTTGAATTGGCTGTTATTATGGGTAAAGAAACTCGAGATTGTCCTGCGTCTAAAGCCATGGATCATGTAGCCGGTAAAATAAAAATTTTATGAAAAAAAATAAAAAAAAAAAAAATATATATAAAATAAAGTAAATAAAAAATTAAGCTATAATTTTATATAGGCTATGCACTAGCTATTGATTGTACCGCCAGAAACCTTCAAGTAAAATATATTTTGATTCTTTTTTTTTTTTATTTATTTGTCTATTTACTTATTAACTACATAAAATTATAGAACGAAGCAAAAAAGAAGGGTCTTCCTTGGAGTACAGCTAAAGGATTTGATACATTTTCTCCTATCAGGTATGTTTATTGTAATGAAATAAAACAAAAAAAAAAAAAAAAGTGCCCGAAAAAAGCAAAGCAAAATGAAGCTAACTTCTTTCTTATATATAAAGCGAATTCATACCTAAGGATAGTTTTGTAGATACAAACGATATTGATCTTTGGCTTAAAGTGAATGACACTATTCGTCAACAAGGAAATACAAAGGATATGATTTTCAAGTAAAGTGATATATATATATAGGTGTATACTAAGATACTAATGTCTTTATAAAGGGTCCCATTTCTTATTGAATATATCTCTTCCATTATGAAGCTTGAGGTAGGAGACGTTATTTTAACAGGCACACCTTCTGGCGTAGGGCCCATTAAGGCAGGTGATATAATCACTGCTGGTATGAAGCCGGGAAAAGCAGAAAAGGATATTATTAATGTTAGATTTAATGCAGTAGATAGAAATGGTCTATTTAAAGCATAGAAAAATAGTTTATATAAAATGGAAAGATCCAATAATAGTCATATTTTTTTTTTGTACCAATTTCAATTATATGTAAAGCTCATGAGGCAGAAAAAGAAGAGTGTATAAATTAAGAGTGGTATATTTCTTTATTACACTTAGTCTTTGCTTATTATCAAAATTATCATTTACCATGTAAAATACATATAAATATTCCTCTTCATTTCGTTATAAGTTATTTTTCCTTTAAGTAACTTTGTGTCTATTTTATTTTATTTTATTTTATTTTTTTTTGCTATTCAAAACACTATGAATCATACTTCATTAAAGATATAGTCATATAAAAGCCTAATTGCTTCAATTATCTTTCTTGAAAATGAACACTTACCACCCACCCCACCCCCTCCAACTATAAAATCAAGCTTAGATGCATCATTAAAAGTATCTAAAGTATCTGATTTAACAGTATCCTCCATGCTCTCCTCTTAAAGATCATATTTAGATGTCGTTCATTATTTCCTATAGTTAGTACAGACTGTTTTATCTATTCCATGTACAAGTTAAATAATAAATGTTTAATGAAAATAATGAGTTATTATGTATTGTGTCATTGAGAAAAATAGATTATTCCTAATAACTTTACTCAGTTCATAGCACTAACCATCGGGAATTAAAGAAAGTAACGGAATCCGAGCGTAGGTTCATTTTACTTCTTCCTGAAGCGAATCTTTCGAATTTTTTTTTTCTTCTTCTTCTTCTTTGTACTTTCATATCTTCGATGTGTGAGCCTAATAAATGGCTATTATTAATAATGTACTCGTATAATGCTGCAAACAAAAGAATGATTAGAATATGGGACGTATTGAAACTTATTTATAGAAATTGAAATTTCAAACTATGTTTCCAATTCTTGAGTTGCTGTAAGCTGACTAAATAATATAACTTTAGGATTATTAGTGTGTAAATACAAGTGCATAAAGGCAAAATCTATTATTCAAACCTAAATTTTAATTAAACTAAAATTTCGACATTAATGTTTAGCAATCACTTGCAAACAAACTATGTAATAAAATTAAAATAGTAGAAGGTGAATAAACAATTAGGAAGAGATCCATTCTCAAGTAGCTTGTCAGGTATTTCAAATAATAATAAAAAAAAAAGTTGTATATCTACACAATTTACATCATATCCTTTAATTCAATCGATTAAAAGGGAGAAATATCTCCGTTATGCAAAGCAGAATGGAATAAATAAAGAAAGAAATCTTTTCTATATCAGCCTGTATAATATTTCAAACCAACACTATAATTTACAATGATAACTGATGCTACATAATTTTTTTTAAGAATAATAATAGTAATAAAAAAATGATATTATATAATACATAAATCTACTCCTAATTTGAGGCACTTCATTCTATTTATATATCAGTAGTAAAGACATTATATAAACATCTAGTACCTCCCTTGTACTGTGCTCCTCATTGATATGCTATCTGATTACTTCATAGTCATTTATGATATAATAGTAATATATATAAGTTTTTTACAAAGATACTAATGTCTTTATAAAGGGTCCCATTTTTCATTGAATATGTCTCTTCCATTATGACGCTTGATATAGGAGATGTTATTTTAACAGGCACACCTTCTGGTGTAGGGCTCATTAAGGCAAGTGATATAACTACTGCTGGTATAAATCCGGGAAAAGCAGAAATAGAAATAACTTTTTAAAGTATAAAAAATAGTGGTAGGGTTTTTTTTATTTTGGTAAAAAAGGAAAAAAAAAAATACATTAAGGTTAAATAATTTAAGCAGATGTACAAAAACATAAGGAGACTAAAATGTGGCGGCCAATGAGACTTGCCTTTTTAATGATAGAGGATTCCAATTTTAAAGGGTTTATGTAATATTCTTGAATTTGAATTACATTAAAAAAAAAAAAAAGTGTCGGATAAACATAGAAACACTACCGTTAAAAAAAAGGAAAATTTTATTGGGAGGATGAAATACACTACTTCAGTTTTCTTCTGTCTCAGTAATAATTAAGTCTCCGTATATGCCTTTTTTTGCTACATTTGTATTTATAGAAAAAGAAAATAACAGAAAATTTATATTTCTTAGAATATAAAGTCATAATATGATCATGTAAAAAGAAAAAAAAATGGATTCATATTTTTTTTTCCAATATTAAAAGAAAATATTTTGAACTTATCGTAGAAAAGAAAAGATTAAAGTATGGAAAAGTCTGAGCTGGAAAACTTGATTAATTAAATGTCTTCTCTTTCTCTTTCTCTTTCTCGAATCTCCTTTCTCTTTTCTTTTTTCCTCTTTTCTTTTTGTTCTTCTTTCTTTCTTTCTTTCTTTCTTTTATATCATATTCACTACATATTTTATATTTTTTATTTATTTTAGTTTTTTTTTTAAACTATACCTATTAACGATATATATATATATATATATATAAACACACATATATAGATAGATAGACTACAGTATCAAATTAAATTTTAAACTTTATTACATTACAGAAATACATACACAGCGTAAGATTTATAATATATGTTTGATGCACCTGAAAGTACACTTTATGATTCTTTGAATACTGTATTCGAAAATCCAAAAGAATATTTGGCCGATATATGTTTTGTCTATCCATCGGACGATATCTGGGCACATCGAGGTAAAGTGAATAGATAACATATTTTAGATATACAAAATCCTAACTCTATTTATTTTGATAGCTTTGATTTTGGCTCGTGCACCAAAAGAATTTATAGACCAATATTTACCGGAATTGTTAGAACCTAAAGAATCACCATTAAGACTAAATATTAGCCATATTATCCCTCATCATTTAATAATTCCTTTACTTCGATTTTGGTACACTGCATCTTATTATAATACTGTATCACCTCAGTCAAGTCTGTCGGATCTATCAACGATTGCATCTCCTATAACTGATAAAGATTCTGCCATCGCCCTTCCTTCTTTATCAAATTATGACATACAGAAAGAGATAGAACAGCTGGGGCTTGAATTAGGAACAGCTTTATTACCACCTCATTGTGAATCAATACCCGATTTTGTTCAATTAACAAGTGATTTAAAACGTATGCGTAACGAAGAACTAGCCACAGATGTCACGATCAACCTTATTTCATCAAAAGCGAATAACGATAATATACCTAGTATCCTTTCAACAACACCTGACAATCATACACATGAAATCAATGTCCCCATCGCTTCCTTTCAGGCTCATAGATTCATCTTAGCCGCTCAATCTCCATACTTTTATTCACTCTTTTGTACTCAATTTCAGGAAGCTTCAAGTTCCGTAGTTCACTTTACAGATGACCTTTTCAATGAAGCTATCATTCATGTCGTTCTTAACTTCTTTTACACTGATAAGATCATTGTCAAGCCATTACCATTCAATTCTACCATGACAGCTTCTCGAACCCAACGTCGTCTTCAACAACATAAATATGCCCTCCGAGTCATTCAGAAAACATTTCATTCTGCTGATTTCTTGGGCCATATTGATACCCTAGGACAAGCACTGCTACATGAAATGGACACACTTTGTCATGGTTTCAAGTGTGTTTGTTCTGAATGTGCTGTTTTATTACCTTCCATGTTAGCATGGTCAGATAAGCATGCATATATGGTTCCTAATTTACGGCGAGCCCTTATTTTGCATTATTCGGATCCTGTCCAGTCACTATCCTCTCTCTGGTCACAACGTCCTTTTGCTTTCCTTATCACCTCCCTTGTACCCTCTTCAGCAAGCCTGGGTGAAGAGACATTACAGGCCGTAAATAAACAAGAGCCTCTCTTTCGCGCCCGCAAGCCTGAGACCCTGATTCACGATATTGAAGAACGCACATTTTATAATATTACAAAACATAATGCAATACATGTCTTACACTCTTTACACCTCTGTCTCTCACAGATACGAACCGTAGATCCTAAACCTACCTGGTCACGACCCTCTCTCGACCTCATTAATCCTATCCTTCAATACACCGTCAGTATGGTCTCTCAATTCTTTGATTTTTATTGTGTTGAGTATCCTATCCTCTTGTCATGTGTAGACGGTATCGGTGCTGGATTCTCTGTTGATTTTTTAGATTTCTTACTTCGACATGTTTTGAGTGAGGGTATCAAGGACACAAACGCAGGTGTGATCTACCAGGGTATTCGACGTGATCTAGTAGGGCGTCAAGAGGTAGTGAAGAATATGGCAATTGATGAAGTTCTTATTAAGGGACGTATTCGATGCGCTCAATACATTAGTAAAAATTGGGTCAATATTAAGGCGCAAGGAGGCTTTAGGACACTTGAGAAGGCAACACTTCGTCAACTCGCAGAGGACATTGATGTACCTTATCGATCCCTTACGAAACCCTTTGATGACTTTGCTAATATCTTTAGTTTCAAGCCTCGAAGGTCCAAGAAATATCAGGAAGAATACAAGAGTTCTTCATCATTCACGTCAGCCTATACACGGCGTCTTTCCTTAACACATCTCATGTCACAAGATAACACACGATCTCAACGACCAAGGGCATTATCTACAGAATCTGTTCTAGTTAATTTAAGGCGATATCGCACAGCAGAGCAAGCAATACCTCCACCAACAAATAATCAACCTCTGATTCATCTCTTGTCCTATGAGACTCAGGAACGTGCAAAGAGACTTGAAGGAGTAAATGAAGTAGAAGATACTGTACCTAATAATGATGATAGTAGTAACTTTAGACCTATGTTGAGAACGAGTTCCTCTTTCACTTCCTTGACAGATCAATTATTACCTCTGGATGCATGTTTTGTGGAACATCACCATCAAACACCAGCACTATCCCCATCCCCATCCCCATCATCAGATACAACACGGCCTTTAAGACTTAAATTCGAGTTGCCATCAACACCTGTACGGGCGAAATCGCCATCTAAATCAAACAATGGGTTCTTATCACCACATAGTAAACAACGAAGAGGAAGTAAGAGTGGTCGTCGATCGAGATGGAGCATTGGTAGTAGTAGTGATGTAAGCGATGAAGAAGAGATAGTGCAACCTGTATTAGGTGATAAAATTGAACTCCTGAGACGACCGTTACCTACGTTGGGGACAATTAAATATATTGGGCCTGTTCAGTTTGCTGAAGGCCCCTATATTGGTGTTGAATTAGAAAGTCGACGTAAGTTTTTTTTTTTTACATAATTCTTTATAATACAAGTGTAATTCTTATCTAATAATACATTTCTATTCTATTTTAGTTGGGAAGACAGATGGATCAGTCGATGGGGTTCGTTATTTTCAAACAGATCCACAAAGAGGGCTTTTTGTTAAACCCGATGATTTTATTATCATTAATTCACAAAAATAAATATTTTATATATACCATTTTTTTTTTCTTTATATTACTACTTGTAAAAAAAAAATAAAAAAATAAAAAATAAAAAAATAAAAATAAAAAAATAAAATAAATTTTTATATTTTTTATCCCTTTTTTTATTTTTCTTTTTTTTTTTTTTTTTTTTTTTTTTTTTTTTTTGTGTGTGTGTGTGTGTGTGTATTCTTGATAAAAAAAAATTGGCAATATGTGTATGTTGATTTTAAGACTGAAGTTTTTTTTTTTTTTTTTTTTTTTTTTTCGTATATGCATATATATACGTATTTATATATATGTATATGTATATATTTACTCGTCATCGACAGGTGCCTTTGAATCATCTACTCTCTCTGTTTCTACACATAGGATGAGTAAAAAAAAAGAAATACATATCAAGGTATTCATTTATACTATTTACCTTCCTGAAGATCAGAAGTCCATAAAGTCAAATTATCTCGCAACAACTGCATAATCAAAGTGGAGTCTTTGTAAGACTCTTCACTCAAGGTATCAAGTTCGGCAATAGCATCATCAAAAGCTTGTTTAGCCAACTCACATGCCCTATTGGGGTTATTAAGGATTTCATAATAAAAGACAGAAAAATTAAGAGCGAGACCTAAACGAATGGGATGTGTAGTACTTAAGTCAGCTGTGGCAACCTCAGTAGCCTTTTCATAAGCTTCATGAGCAGAGTCCGCAGATTCTTTACGAGCAGGGCCTGTAGCATACTCGGCAACGTAACGATGATAGTCACCTTCCCTAATATTAAATTGTTAGGATAGAGGCATGGAATAGGTTACACACATACTTACATCTTATAATAAAAAACTTTAGCTTCACCTGCTTCAGCAGAAGGAATTAAATAATCTTTCAAGAGTTTCAAGATATCATTACAGACATCATATAATTCTTGTTCAATTTTATTTCTGTATTCTTTAATTTTTGCTGCTTGAGTACTGTGACCTTTACTTTCTTCTTTTTGCTCAATAGAAGAAACAATTCTCCACGAGGCACGACGAGCACCAATCACGTTTTTGTACGCGACTGATAAAAGGTTACGTTCTTCCACTGATAAGCCATTATTTAACTATAAAATACATATACACACACATATATATAAATATTAAGTATACTCCAAGTCATAATAAATAGACATGTATACAAGACTTACTTGAACAACATCTTTCATATAATTGACCATTTCTATACATATAAGCAATAAGTGTGAGAACTGGTTGTTTTTTGTATCCAAATATAATCTTGTTTTCCCCTTTTGCTCCCCCCCTTTTTTTATTATTGTTTTATTTTTATTATTTTATTTTATTTTTTAGTGTGTGCTCCCTTCCTGCCCCTTCCCTTCTCACTCACACTCTTTCTCTCCTCGGGAGCCTATCCGAAGACAGCTTTTTGTATCCCCGCTTTTTTTTTTTATTATAATTTATGTACTTGTATACATTAATTAGAATAAAAAGAAAAAATAGGAGAAAGAAAGGAAAAAAGAAAGAAATAAGCACTTACCATCATAACGTTCAGCTTGTTCAGCAATTTTAGCCATGTAGACCTGAACAACGAAAATAGATTATAAACATCTTTTTTTTTTAAAAAAAAAAGACAAAACATGATTATTCTGCTTACCTTGTCTTCACGTTCCTATTTGAATTAAATTAAAAGTATTTTTAATACAAAAGAACGTATATATCCTGATTAACAGTAATATACTTACAGTAGCAGCAGTCATTTTATAGTAGATATTTATTTATGAAATAAAAAGTAATAAAGAAAAGAAAAAAAAAGAGAAAGGGAAAAAAAAGAAAAGAAAAGAAAAACGATTTGTGTGTATGTGTGTGCATATAGGCAGCTGTTCACAAAAAAAAAATAAAATAAATAAATAAATAAATAATGACGACACCACTAAAGTTTATTAATTGCATGATTTTTTTTTTTTAATTGTCAGGTAGGACTTTTTCTGGATTCATTAAACCTTTTGGATCTAAAGCCATTTTTATCTTTTTCATTACATCTATGGTATTATGTCCTAATTCTTGAGTCAAAAACATTTTTTTGCCAATGCCTACACCATGTTCACCTGTTACAGAACCTTCCATACGAATAGCACGTTCCAATAAATTTTTATTCAACTTCTTGGCTTCTTCATATTCTGTTTCTTTATCAAACAATATAAATAAATGAAAGTTACCATCTCCTACATGGCCTACCATAGGACACTTCAAGACAGATCCCTTAATGTCTTCTTCTGTCTCAGCAATAAGATCTGGTAACTTTGAAACGGGCACGACCACATCTGTAGTCCAAAGTGAAGCACCTGGCTTTAATAACATCGATGACCAAAGTGCAATCTTTCGTCCCTCCCATAACTCTGCACGTTCTTGCTCTCCATGAGCATATTTAAAGGCACCGCCTCCATGACTCTTGGAAATATTTGAAACTACTTTAATTTCTTCTTGCAGTTGTTCAGCCGTTCTACCAGAAAACTTGAAAAACAAGGTGGGGCGTTCTTGAGCATATTCAAGTTTAGGGTTTGCAAGACGAATGGCCTTCATCATGAGACTATCTAAAAGTTCAACTGCGCCTATTTGAATACCTGCACGGATAAGATCAGGTACAACAGCAGCTGCATCACGGATAGAAGGGAAATCACAAACCGCTACTGTCTCATGAGCAGGTAAAACGGCTAACTTGAGTGTAATTTCTGTCACAACACCTAATGTACCTTCAGAACCAATATAAAGTTTAGTAAGATCATAACCAGCTGAAGATTTACGAGGTCGTTGTCGTGTCTTGATAATTTCTCCTGTAGGAGTAACGACGGTTAAATTAATGACCCATTCACGCATCGTACCATAACGTACAGCATTTGTACCCGAACATGAAGTCCCTACCATACCTCCAATACAAGCTCTAATTACATAGAATATATGTATATAAATAATTTACGTCCTTTTTTTTTTTTCTTCTACTTTACCCTGGGCCAGGATCCATTGGAAAAAATAAACCATGAGGTTTTAGATAAGTATTCAAGTCTTCCCATTGTACACCTGGCTGTACAACGATATCCATATCTTCAGGATGAAATTCAACGACATGATCCATGTGTTCAGTAAAAGAAATCGAAATACCACCTCGAGGTGCTGTAAAATGACCTTCAAGAGATGTACCACCTGAAAAGGGAACAACGGGTACACCATAACGGTTTGCAACTTTAACAATTTCAGAGACTTGCTGTGTTGTTTCAGGGTAGACGACAATATTAGGCGCTCCTTCATTATGATAAGAGTTAGATGAGTAACCATGTTGTTTGAGCGATTCTTCATCTACCGAGACGTGTTCCTCAGGTAGAATACGACGAAGTTCAGTAAATACCTTTGTGATCGTTTCACGGCTTGGAATATCCGGAACAGGGACTTGAGGCTGCCTTTGTTCTGTAGTCAGCTTTGTTACTACTTTAGGTGATGGCTCTAACGGTTTTTGGGACTGATTATTATATGATGCAAACCAATACCCCGAGCCTCCTGCAACAAGCGCTGTTAAACCAATCAAACCATAATGTCGTGAATTAAGGATTCTTTCTTGTTGATAAAGTCTTTTTTGAATTAAAAGGGAATTGACTTTATTGGTATAGTTTTTTAGACTTGTTCTTAACATGGAAATAATTATCTGGAGAAGAAAAAAAAAAAAGAGAACAATAAGCTGGGGAATTTTTTTTTTCATTGTTTTAATTTAACATTCAGGCAAATACATTATCCATCTTTAAAAAAAAAAAAATACACATACATATTTAGAAAATATGCATTAATACGGGGTTTTTTTTTGTCTTTATTGTATATAGATAGGATGCATATTATATATTATATTTATAGCCTTCTAGAATGCTGTCAAATTCATACTAAGCTTATATAGGTGGATTACATAATACTTTATTTTTTTTTACGGGACTTTAGCATTATTATTTTTTGGGCAAGTTGTATTTTAGATTGTGAAAAGGCAATCCTTTTCTGATTTTGAATGGCTTAGATAAAGCTGGAAGTGATACAACGTTATCATTTCTTCTGTGTTTGAGAATAGAATTAGCTTCAGTCATAGTTGTCCATATTAGAAACAAGAAGGTTGCTACTACGGCTATTAAGTTAGTCTTCATAATAATAATAATAATAATAATAAAGAGGGAAATAAATAAAATGTTTGATTATTTATATTTGTGTGTGTGTGTGTGTGTTTTTATAACTAAGCCGACTTCTTGTATACAAGAGATAAATTGTATACATATTTGAGTAACAATATATTTTATCACGATATTATGTAATAAATTACTCTTGACTGTACATGATAATAATAGTAATAAAAGGGGTTCTGATAATATTATGGTTCTAATTTCGTAAAATCATGATAGACAAAAAGAAAAAAAAATGCCTATAAGCTTTAATATTTAATTGTGAATATATACAGATATACACAAGACAGTAAGATAGTTGGTGTATCTGTTACGTATATAATGTAGATTTTCCTTTTAAAAGACACATTCTCTCCTTCTTTTTCGGAGACTGGAGGGGAGGAGGATTAGTAAGATAGTCAGATATATGATTTCTTATATATACTCTCCGTTTTGTTTCGATTAAATGATTGATGTACTATATATAAATATACATAAAAAAAAAGTTTCTGTAAGATATAACTCCTCCTCTTCTTCTTTTTCTTCTTTAAATATCATACGCATTAATGAATAAAAGAAAGATGTTTCAGTAAAGTAACATAAATAGCTCTTTAGTACAATAATAAAGCTGTATAATGATGGCTAACATGAATGTGAAAGCTTTATGTATTCTCAGCTTTATTTAGTTATTTTGAGTTTTTTTTTTTTTTTTTTTTTTTTTTTTTTTTTTTTGAAACAAATTTAATATAATATAAATAAACAATAGAAAAGCCGGGGAAAGGAGATTAAATTATTAAAGTAAAAATGATGAATAGATAGATAGTAAATAAGACCTTGTTACAAAGGAAATACGTTAAAAAAAAAAAACTCAGTTTAAATTAAGACTGCTCAACAGGGGCGTAATAGATTAGTAAACTAAGACAAAAAATAAAAAAAGGAAAGAGGAACCAGGGACGATTAAGTGTAATTTAGGAGGAAATAATACTGCTACATCATAGTTATGAACTCCCTTCTAAAATGCAGTTCTGCACATGTAAAATTTCCTCTTCCTTTTTTTTTTATTGCAGCATATAATTAACGTTTAAAATTCAAGGATTATCGATTTATACACTATATAGAAAGTAAAGATCTTAAGCAAATATAATATAATACATTATACAAAGTGAATAATAAGGTATTAAATATAACTAACCATTTTATTCCTTAAAGTACATTTAATTACTTTTTGGTAATAAATTCGCAACTTCATCTGCATCAAAGTCTAATCTTAAAGCCAATACTTTTTTAACTTCTGTTACTGTTAAACGCCAGCTTATCGAACCTGTTTTATTTCCCCAAAAATCATAAATTTCAGTTGGCTAAAAAACATATACACATATATATAAATATAGATTGAATAAATATCAAAGTAAGTAATTTATATCCCAAGCTTTTTACCTCTTCAAAGTTCAATAATGTAGCTATTTGATTTAATCTGGTAAACTTGTCTCTTGATAACCATTCTGATAAAGTAGATAAATAATGAATAATAGATCTCAAATCTTTATCAAATCTAAGTGCACCATATTGATTAAATCTAGTTTGTAAAATTATTCTTTCCCATTGTGCTGTCATTATATCAACTAATAATTCCATAAGTGTATTGAAATTATTTTCTGTCAAGGTCTGTTTATAAATCTGGACAAGCTTTTCAACTCCACGACAGAACCTTTTTATAAATCTTTCATCAATATCTGCTTCATTATATTCATCTTCTTCAAGAACATATTTTACTTCTTTATATGCTTCTTGGAATAAAGGTCTAACTCTTGGTTTCAAAATTTGATTGATAAGTTGCTGAAGTCCAGTCTAGATTATAAATAACATTTATAAACATTCCTTCTTCTTTTTCTTCCTTTATATATATATATATATACCTGTAATAACTGCTTAAATTTATCTGAAAAATCCTCAAATTCTTTCATCGTCTCTGATATCTTTTGTATATCCTCATCTTCATTTAACCAGATACCTTTTGTAATATCAGTTTCTACTTCCTTTATTAGACGATGCATGTAATCTGCACTAACATCCAAGTTGTTTAAAACTACCATGTAGTTCACTTTAGCCTGCTCAATAGCCCTTTCTAAATTACGACCTGATGTGTCATGGGAAGTAAAGATAGTCGACATCCTTTGTTGAAACTGGTTCAAATATCCTATCTCTAATATCTTCATCTCTGTCTTTACTGTTGAACAAATTACTTCAGGATCATAAGTTGAAATACAACGTTTTAAGGCTGCCTTAAGAATGAAAAACACATCATCAACACAAGTTGATACTGGAGAACTTGAAGGATCATAATCATCTATTTTCATAGCTTTATCGATACTTTTTTTGATTAGATATTCATCAATGACTAAATAGGAGCTCATTAATTCTTTTACTCGTTTTGTTAGACCGGACGAGAGTAAGATACCGTTACTGCCATAGAAACGGTTATCTTTGCCCTTCATAACGAGGTCCTTTTCAGTTTGTTGAATGCTTTCTAAATTGTCCATTTCATCACTGGCTCTTTCGTTAATAAAGGATGTGAACAAGACACTTCGCTGACTAATTAAGGATAATTCATGAAGATTAGCGTCTAATTGACGAGGCTCAATTAATGGATTGGTAGACTCTTGATCGATTTGCGGTGATTGTGGATTAGAAGTTCCCGTTTTATTTATTGAATAAGTTGTATTGTTACGCATGATAGCAATCAGTTGAACTTGAATTTCAACCAGCTAATTTTTTTTTATATATACATATTTGTATGAGCATTTAAAAATGATGTTAACATATCATGCATGTATACAAAACCTTGGACTCCAATTTACGTGCTTTCAAAAATCGATCAATAATAGTAATGCTTTGTATATCACTCTCTTCTTGTAAACGTTGTATCACTCTAAGCATTTTTCCTTTACCATAATGTGCCTCAACAAGTGGCTGATGTTGATCAATAATAACTGCAATATTTTCAAATAATCGAGTTAAAGCATCAGCAAAATAAGTAGGTGCTGCGACTTTATGATTCGGAAGAAAAAAAAAAAGAGAAAGAGAAAGAGAAAGAAAGAGAATAAATAAACAATCACATTGTATTCAATAATTCTCTTCACTTACTTAAACCATTTCTAACCTCTTCAGCGCATCTTGCTTTGATGATGTTGCATACAAACCGGGAATATTTATCTAAACCTTCTGTCTGACAATTAATAAGAGGGAATAGTTTAAAATAACGTGTTATATCTGTCTGGTTTCTTTGTGCCACTGCATCATCAAATCGATGTGAAAATATTTCAAAAAGTGTTGCTTTTGTATCCGCTAAAGTTTTTGCTGGATGATCTGGATTTTCAGAAGTAGGCTTGTATATATACAGTTAATAATATGCATAAAACAAAAAAAAAAAAGACAACATCTCACCACCGTAAATTCAGCTAAGGATCCATTAATGATGGAGGGATCAATCTTCGATGCCCTTTGTAACAAAACTGCCGCTGCATCATAATCTTTCTTTTCATTCATAGCCTCTTGAAGATTAGCAATACAATATTTCAATTCTTGCACATCCTCCACATATTTGATGGCTTGACGCGCTCTTGATTGCTCCTGATCCAACTGACGCACTTTATCACTGATGACTTCTGCAAGTTGAGAGGTTTTATCAAGTGTCTCGACAATTTTGGTAGAATCAATCTGAAGTGCATTCAATTGAGGTCTATTTACATGTGTAATAATTAATAATAAAAAATAAACAATATATATGGAACTAAAAAAAAAAAAAAATAAATATGCCTGATAAATACTTGAGTACATTCAATGTATTTAATGAGTGATCTAGTTTATATTCCTGCGCTAACATGTCATCAAGTGTTTTATCAATGTGTCTTTCTTCTTCATCTAATAGTCGTAGACATTCTCTTATTTCATCAATATTTGTTAATTTTTTAAATTCTCGAGATAACAAAGATACAGAATCTTTTTCTTCCTTAATTGTTATATCATTTTGTATATTGTCTATAATAGTAGAAGGCATATTATATATGTATTAAAGGAAGGAGTAAGAAAACTGGTCTTTTTATACAAGAAGCTGTTGTTCATTTATGATAATGAGAGTTATTTTTAAAAGACCGCATAAGCCGTTAGAATATATTTGTATTTGCTAAAAAAAAAAAAAAAAAAAAAAAAAAAGGAAAAAAGAGAGGGAGAAGAGACAAGTTGATTATATAATATAAAAGCTTATTTCTTCTTCTTTATCACTTGTTCTTCTTCATCATCAGATTCTCGAAATATAGGCTTTGGTTGAGTCTTTTGATATATGTTATTAACCCAAATAGGATCACTATCTGCAATATCAGCATATTTAAGAAGAGCTTCACGAGGATCCTCATCTCTTGTTGTATCCTTTGTAAATGATTTGATAACAGCTTGTTGTTGATTTACATTTAATCGACCGCCCTTACCATGACCAGTAACAGGTAGATCAGGTCTATGAGATGCAATAGGATCTTTACGTAATTTATCTCTTTTCCTTTTAGATGTTCTAGGCTCATCATCCTTAAACATAGGTAATGCATGAGGAGTAATAATAGGTCGATTGATTTCATAATCATCTACTGCGCGTGTCTTTGGTGCTTTCATGAGAGCTAATTTAGCACCACGACTGGAATGTGTAGGACTATAGAATACGGTAACAATACCGTCAGCACTTCCTGTAATAATTTGATTGATACGAGGATGCCATAAGACCTTAACAACACTAGACTGTGATACATCTTTTTTTTTTTTTTTAATATCAGTAACTTATCCTTTTTTTTTATCTTTTAATTTTTTTTTTGTTTACTTACTTATTGCTTCCTGTACCTCAAGTGTTTCTCTATCTAGCATGACTAGCTGACCATGACCTTTCCCTTTAGGACATGCTGTACCCGTTAAAATTAACTTTTCATCGGGACTAAAAATGACATTTACTTCAGGATTTACTATATCTAAATTGTATGCTGTCTTGACAGGCTTCTTTGCATTTCTAAGATCCCACACTATTTAAATAAATATTCATGTGTTACTTCTTTTTCTTTTCTTTTCTTTTTGAAATGAGAGGTATAATAAGGAAAAAAAAAAAGCAACAATAACTTACATTTAACAGTATCATCACCACCTCTTGTTACCATTGTGTTATTATCTCTTGAAAATAGGATGGAAGATGTTTCTGTTCCCTTCTGATGAGCATCTGGAATAGCAATTGCAGGTCGAAGTTGATTTCCTGTTGAATTCCAAACTTGAAGTGAACCATCTTGGTAAGCACCAGCTAAATATTTAGCATGATGACTGTAAGCTAAAGCAGTACAAGAAGATCTACCGCCTCTTTCACGTGACTTGTAAACAATCGTCATTTTTTGCTTCCTTTTACGTTCAATATCCCATTCTCGAATGGTACCATCTTGGGATGAAGTTGCAAAAGTTTGTTTATCATTAGGATGCCAACAACCGCTTGTAAGAGCACCAACATGACCATCTGTATGTCTAAGATCACGAATATAAGGATCTCCTTTTGCAAATTCAGTAATTTCGTTACCATCACGACTATATATCTTTGCACGTGCACTACCAGAAATGACCAAGATGGAATCACCTGTTAAAGAATATTGAAGTTGATGGATTTGGTGATCTCCACAGGGTTGTATTGTACGAAAAGGTTTAAAAGAACGATCCATACCGGAAAAATCCCAAAATTTAACGTCATAATCATAACTTCCTGTTACTAATCGTGTACCAGAAGGATCGAGAGTAAGTGCTGATACAGTACGTTGATGGTCATTTAATTTAACTTCATGTGTGATTGGAAGAATAGAAGATGAAATAAAGCTATCATCGTTGTCATCAGCATCGTCATCACTACTGTCATGATCGGAATCACTGTCCGTTTTATCTTCTTTTGTTGACTTTACTTCGATTTGTTTAGTTTCTGTAGGTATTTTTTTATGATTGCCACTAGTAATGTCCTAAAATGATAATAACAAAAAGAAACTGTTTACTATATTATCCTTTTATAAATTATTTTTATACATATTTCAACCCACTTCTCTTTTTGTCTTTTCAAATTCAAAACTCATATCTTTTTTCTTCTCTTGTTTTCCAAAAGAAGTGGGCATAAATGCACGTAAAGCATCCCAATCTGTTTCTGAAGAGGCTTTTTTAGTTGGAGTTGAACTAGTTTTATTAGATTGTTGGCCAAATGATTTAGGCAGCATTTTTGATAGATCATCATTCTAAACATGATTTAAATGAAAGGAATAGCTTATGTTAATAATACTAAAAATAAAAGAGGGAGGGGAGGAGGAGGTTAAATAGGAATCATTTTAAATTATTTACTTACAAAGTTTGACATTTTAAATGTACGTATTGAAAAGATCTATAGGATTTTTTTTTTCTTACAACAGATACGTCGTTTTAGAATTTAAAAATTGCTGACTGTTATTATTAGTACCCAACTTTAGGAAATATGCTAAACTTTAATTAACTTTTTTTTATCATTATTCTTAGTTCATTATTATAATAAAAGATTCAATTGCTTGTAACAATACACTTATGGCTTTAATCTAATACATCCATAAAGTACTCCTTTAATAAACAGGAAAATAAAAAGAAGAGAGAGCCATTAAAATGGCTTTTTTTTTTTTTTAGCTTTATATAAATTATGACGATGTAGTTTTCTTTAAGATCAAATATCCAAAAAAAAAGAATGAAGCTGTTGTGTATACTTTATTGTATCGATCTAAAAAAATAAAAAGACAGACATAGGATGATATAAATAAATATCTTCTCCTACCCGCGTTTCTTTTTTTTTTTATTGTAACAGCAGAACAAACAATTAATTAAACAAGTTATGCAGATCTATTTTTATACATAAGAGAACAAAGTCTGACGAGCTATTGTAATATGAGACAAAAGAGGCCTTATTTTGTATTAATAGCTTTCAAGCTATTATTGATAAAAGATTTATGTAAACTATTTGTTTATTTAGTTGTATGATAACTAATAGTGAAATAAATTCAACGTAGAATTAAGAGAATCAACTCGATAATATTCACTAGCAACTAAATAATCCTTATCCTACTGAATATATGGGCTAGAACATAAAATATTTAATCGAGCTACTTTATAAAGAATTGATCTATTTAATAGCTACCAACAAAAAAAAGGTCTAATCATGATAATCGATACAGTTCTAATCTTTTATATATCAAAATAATATAGCAAAACCTTCTTTCTTTTATAGTAATACATTTAATTTTAAAATAAGAACTAAATTTAGATAAACTTACCACAACCATTGTTTATTCTAATAATACAAACATTTGTGCTATTGTTATTATATAATACTAAACAGTGTCATTATCATCTTTTATTCTTCTAAATTTAGCTGCAACATATCCAATAGTAAACGTTAAAGTTTTGTAGAAACAAAATTTTTTTTTCTTTTTTTTTTTTTTCTTTTTTTTTTTTTTTTTTTTTTTTTTTTTTAAATCAATGCTGTCGCTGAAAAACATTGAAAAATCAACAAAAAAAAAACTTTTTTTTTTTTTTTTTTTTAAATTACAAGACTATAAATTAATTTATTTATTAATTGTTACTGCAAAATACATTTGTAAAATACTAATAAAAATACTAATAAAGAAAATATATTGATTTAAATGCAAGCTTTTTTTTTGGCAAGAACCAAAAGTAAAAAAACGTATAAACGAAGAAAAAGGTGTTGCAGAATTACAAACTCTATTTTTTTTTCCCATTTATTTGTTACTTAATTGGGTTAACAAATAAAACGAAAAAAAAAAAGGGCTGGAGTCTTTTAATCATCCTATCTCCACTGATAAAGTTGATAAGTTCTCGATTTTTTTTTTTTTTTTTTTTTATAGATATCTTGCTTTATTTTATTTCGTTTAAAATTGTATTATTTTTTTTCTGTAAATAATAAAAAGATAAAATATTATAAGCCTTAATGATATGTATAACTTAATTTTTATGTAAAATTTGGGATACAATAATAAAGAAAAGAAAAAAAAAAAGAGTCTTTATAAATTTTGTGTTTTACAAATCTTTTTAATCAGAAATCAAAAAGATGCACATAATATTTCTCCCTTTTTGGATAAAATGTTTCTTTTAAAAAAAAATTAATTATCGAAAATAAACAACGTTATCAATATCAGACGATTTCTTCATTTCCTCTGGTATACAAAAAGTTCCCATTTTATTTATCCTTTTTTTTTTTTTTCTTCTCTTAACTTTTATCCTTACATTAAATTATGGCACCACCTAACATTGAATTGACTTGTCAAGACGGACAAAGTCGTTCGTTTGACTTTGCAGCACCAACAGGTCCTATTGATACAAAAGATATTGGAACCCCTGATGCTCATGTTTCAAGAGATCCTAACTTAACTCGATTGACAGGAAAACACCCTTTGAATGCTGGTAATATGTTTATTTATGTCAAAGTATCTACAAAATTTTAATTCTATCAATATTAGAATCTCCTGTAAAGCTATTGTTGGAACATGGATTCATTACACCCAATGAACTTCATGTTGTCAGAAATCATGGTCCTGTCCCTAAAAATGATTTTGAGACTCATACAATTTCAATTGGTGGTTTGGTCAACAACCCTATCACTATTACAATGAAAGATTTGCTTGAAATGCCTTCTCATACCTTACCTGTTACTATTTGTTGTGCTGGTAATAGACGTAAAGAGCAAAATATTATTAGACAATCTATTGGTTTCTCTTGGGGCGCAGGAGGTACATATAGTTAAAAACTATGATATATATATATATGTATATTTTGTACATATTTGTATATTTTGTATATATTTGTATATTTTGTATATACATGTATATTTTGTACATATTTGTATATTTTGTACATATTTGTATATTAATTTTTCTTTTTTTTTCTCGTTTCTTTTATTTATTTATTTTTTTTACAGGTGTTAGCACTGCTTATTGGACAGGTGTATTCCTTAGAGATGTAATCAACAAATTTGCTGGTGGTCTTAAGCCAGAAGCACTTCATATTTGTTTAGAAGGAAATGATGCTACTGCTAAAGTAAATGATTTTTTTCTTTTTTTTTATATATTTATATATATACACATATATATACACATATATATATCTTTATTTCTAAACATGATTATTTTATATTCATTTAGGGTCCTTATGGTACTTCACTTACTGTGAATCGCGCCATGTCAGAAGAATATGATATTCTTATTGCTTATAAGATGAATGGTCAACCAATTCCTTATGATCATGGTTATCCAGTTCGTTGTGTCGTGCCTGGTTGTATCGGTGGTCGTAGTGTAAAATGGCTTTCCACTATTGAAGCTACTACACATGTTTCTCAAAATCCTTATCAAGATGCTGATAATAAGGTTTTCCCTCCTACCGTCTTAACTCCTGATCAAGCTACAGCTGAAAAATGGTGGTCTATTCCTGACTATTCTGTCTATGACTTGAATATCAATAGTGTGATCGCTGCCCCTTATCATGGCTCAAAGATTCCTCTTAATGATCTGAATGCCACCGTCACTCTTCGTGGTTATGCTTATGGTGGTAGTAACCGTAAGATTACTCGTTGTGAACTTACCTTGGATGATGGTAAAACTTGGAGATTGGCCAAGATTCATAACGAGATGAAGGAAGCCGCTGATCGATATGCTACTGAACATTTTGGTTTGGATATGTCTCGTAATACATCTGCCTATTGGGAATCACGTAACTGGACTTGGGTCTTTTGGTCTCTTGAGATTCCTGTTTCTGACCTTTTGGGTATCAAGGAAATTTGTCTCAAGTGTTGGAATGATGCGAATAATTCTCAGCCCAAGGAACCTACTTGGTCCTTGATGGGTATGCTTCATAACGCTTGGTATCGTGTTCGTGTTCATTTAGTAAAGGAACCTGAATTGGCTCTTTTGTTTCAACATCCTACTACTCTTCCTGGTGATGTCACCTTGAAGGATATTGACCTTCCTGGTTGGTTGGAAGGAGAAAAGAAAGAAGAAACTCCTTCTGCTGCTGCTACCGCCGCCGCTGCTACTAAAGAAAAATCGAATGATGGCAAAAAATTGAAAACATATACACTTGAAGAGGTAGCCAAGCATGCAACTGAAGATGATTGTTGGATTGTTCTTAATGGTCTCGTCTATGACTGTACTCCTTTCTTGAATGAACATCCTGGTGGTGCACAAAGTATTGTACTTGCAGCTGGTACTGACTGTACTGATGAATTCTTTGCTATCCATTCTGAAAAGGCAATCAATATGCTTAAAAAATATCTTATTGGTGAGGTCCAACAAGAAGCTGCCACCACTCCAGAGAAACAAGTATCATCATCCCAGACTCAAAAATCAAATGTCATTACTCCTTCTTCCCAAAGCACTAATAATAATAATACTACTACTACTACTGCACAATCCTTCTTTGACCCACGTGTATGGAAGAAACTCGTCTTACAAAAGAAAGAAGCAATCTCAACTACCATTCGTAAATTTACATTTGCTGTTCCCGAAGGCGTTGATGAGGTACTTTCATTACCTGTAGGTTTACACGTTTATATGAAGTTGAAGGAAGATATCAATGATCAATCTGAAAAGCCAAAGATCGTGATACGTGCTTATACTCCTAGTAAAGTAAATCAAAAGACCATCGAATTTATGGTCAAGATTTATTATCCTTATAACAACATCCCTGGTGGTAAACTTACGACTACACTTGATCAAATCCGTATTGGTGAATTCGTTGACTTTAAGGGTCCCTTAGGTGAGATTGAGTACTTTGGTAACTGTCAAATCTCTCTTAAAGGCCAGAGACGTCACGTTGATGAAATCAGTATGATTGCTGGTGGTACCGGTATTACCCCTATGTGGCAAATAATTCAAGCCTTGGAAAAGGACAATGTCAATAAGCCACGCATCTCACTTATCTATTGTGCTCGTTCATTGAATGATATCATCTTCTATAAGGAATTAAATGAATTACAGGAAAAATATGGCTCCGAGTGTTTCCGTGTTAGGTAAGAGATTGAACAAAAAAGAAAAAAAAAAGTTAAGGTTTTAAACTTTTCTTTTTTTTTTGATAGATTTATACTCGATGAAACACCTAAAGGGGTTAAATGGGAAGGAGGTCATGGTTATTTCTGTATGCAAGAATTAAAGGATCATTTATTCCCATTCAATAGAACTCAATCATCAACTAACTCAAGAATTACTTTATTATGTGGTCCAGAACCTATGATGGATAAATATTGTAAACCTTTATTGAAGGAAGCCTTAGGCGAAGAATATGTCAAAAAGAATGTTTTCGAATTTTAATCATATAATATTTGTTGAACCAATAAAAATCTTTCATTTATTTGTTTGTTATATTAAATTAGAAATTTGCAATTCGAGATTCCTTTTTTTTTTTTTAACAAACAAATATGAAACAAATACTGTTTCTTTTGTATCATTGTTTTCCCGTGTTCCAGATGCTTATTGTCTATCATGTATACATGTATATGTTTATATTTTTTATAAGCTAATATGTAAACATGTTTGCGTTTGTGTTACATATAGATAAGTATAGAATCATATGTTGTTTAGTAGTTTATCTAACAATCAAAAGGTGATAAATAAATCTCATTTAATATAAATATACAAAAAAAAGGGTCATTTAAAAGACCGCTATCCAAAAATTGTGTGATAGTACTATGTATATAAAAAGAAATACATCTATATAAATAAAATTTTTATATACTCTTTATCTATTTTTTTTTCCTCTTTTTATTTTTTTTTTCTATTACTTTCGTTTGCTAAATAAGTTCTTACATTAAATAATAGCAACAAAATAAAAAAAAAATCCAACTTCTCAAATATGCCACCAAACGTCAATGCTAATGATTTACCTACCAACACTTCCCAAAAAACCATTGTTGTTGTAGGTTTGGGTATGGCCGCTGTAGCATTCATGGAAAAGATGATTGCTTATGACACTGAAAAGAAATATTGTATTAAAGTTTTTGGTGATGAACCTGAATGTAATAATAATAAATATAAAGAGTTGTTTATTTAAGAAAGAAAGAAAGAATAAAAAAAGAGTACTAAATATCATATAATAGTGGCATACAATCGTGTTGGTCTTACTCAGTACTTTACACATCGAGATCCTGAAAAGCAATTGATGAAACCTAGATCATGGTATGATGAAAATCAAATTGAAGTTCATGTAGGTGATCTTGTAGAAGAAATTGATACAAAGACAAAGATGATTAGAGCTAAGCATGCATCTTGGGTTCCCTATGATGTCTGTGTCATTGCTACTGGCTCCTCTGCTGCAGTTCCACCTAATGCACCTACTGATATGGATGGTGTCTTTTGCTATCGTACTATTGAAGACCTTGAGAATATCATTGATTGGGCCTCTCGTCATGATGTGAAGACCGCTAGTGTCGTTGGTGGTGGTTTGCTCGGTCTTGAAGCTGCTAAGGCTGTTTTGGATCTTGATCTTAAAGTCTCCATCTATGAACTTTCCCCTCGTTTGATGTTTAGACAACTTGATCAAGATGCATCTGATCTTTTGGAAAATGAAATTAAAAAGTTGGGTATTGAAACGTATCTCGGTAAATCTCCCAAGGAGGTACATGGTCAAGAAGACCCTGTTACAAAGCGTACTCGTCTCACTGGTCTCACAGTTCAAGGTGATGAGGATAAGGGGGTTGTCCCGACTGATATGTTGATCTATTCTATTGGTATCAGACCTCGTGATCAACTCTGTGCCGCTTCCTATGGCGCCCTTCAAAGAGGGGACCGTGGAGGCATCAAGGTCATGGCTGATATGTCCACCTCTGCTCCTGACGTCTATGCCATTGGTGAATGTGCCTCCTTCAATAATATGTGTTATGGTTTAGTGGCCCCCTGTAACGATATGGCAGATGTCTTGGCCAAGAACTTGACTCAAAAGGGACCTGCTGAATTCAAGGGTAACGATATGTCAACTAAGCTCAAATTGATGGGTGTCTATGTCGCTAGCTTTGGTACCGTTTTCCCTGATCCCTCCCTTGAGACTCAGCCTCTCACCTATCGTGATCCCTTCAAGAGCGTCTACAAGAAATACATCTTCACCAAGGACGGTAAGAAGCTTCTTGGTGGTATCATGGTCGGTGATACGAATGACTATATCAAGTTGTTAGCCTATGCTCGTAGCGGTAAAGAGATTGAATGTGAACCCTCTCAATTTATCTTGGGTATTCAAAGTGGTGAAGCTGAGGGCGCTGAAGCTCTTCCAGATGAAACTCAAATCTGTTCCTGTTACAATATCTCCAAGGGTGAAATTCGAAAGGCCATCCGTGAACAAGGTTTAACCACTGTGGATCAAGTAAAGGCCTATACCAAGGCCGGTACTGGTTGTGGTGGTTGTGTCCCGTCTGTTACAGAAATCTTTGAGGCTGAAATGAAGGCCCTTGGTAAGACGGTGACGAACTATGTCTGTCGTGACTTTGCATATTCACGTGCTGAGCTTTATACCATTGCCAAGATTAAGGGCCTTCGTTCCTACTCTGACATCGTTGAGCATTGCGCAATCGATAAAGAAACCATGGGTTGTGAAATCTGTAAGCCTACTGTCGCCTCCATCTTGGCCTCACTTTATAATGAAAACGTGTTGGATGCGGGTCGTGGTGCGCTTCAAGAGACAAATGATCGTTATTTAGCTAATATCCAAAGAGGTGGTCTCTATAGTGTTGTTCCTCGTATCGCTGGTGGAGAGATTACCCCTGAAAAGTTGGGTGTCATTGCTGATGTTGCCAAGGAATACAATTTGTATACTAAAATCACAGGTGGTCAACGTATTGATATCTTTGGTGCTCGTAAAGAAGATCTTCCTGATATTTGGGAGAAATTAGTGAATGCTGGTTTTGAAAGGTAATTTTTGTTTTTGTTTTTTTTTTAAAAAAAAAAAAATCCAAATATTTATATAATTTTTTTTCTTCTTCTTCTTTATATACATATATATTAGTGGTCATGCTTATGGTAAATCTTTGCGTACTGTCAAGTCTTGTGTTGGTTCTACATGGTGTCGTTATGGTCAACAAGATTCAGTCGGATTCGCAATTCGTCTTGAAAACCGATATAAGGGTATCCGTTCACCACATAAATTAAAGGGTGCTGTCTCTGGTTGTATTCGTGAATGTGCTGAAGCTCAAGGTAAAGATTTTGGTCTCATTGCTACTGAACAAGGTTACAACGTGTACGTATGTGGTAATGGTGGTAGTAAGCCTCGACATGCAGATCTTTTGGTTTCTAACGTATCTGAAGAAGATGCCACGAAATACGTGGATCGTTTCTTGATCTATTATATTATGACAGCTGACAGATTACAACGTACCGCTCGTTGGCTCGAAAAACTTCCTGGTGGTGTTGATTATCTTCGTAAAGTAGTTGTTGATGACCATCTTGGTATCTGTGAAGAATTAGATAAGCACATGAGTTATTTGATTGGCACCTATGAAGATGAATGGGCTCGTATTGTCAAGACTCCCGAATTAAGACAACGCTTTAAAGAGTATGTAAACGCCGAGAGTGAAAAGGAAACGATGATTGAAATGATTGAGGAACGTGGCCAACTTCGTCCTGCTAACTGGCCAAAGGAACTCGAATCTTTACCTTCATTAGAGGCTGAAATTCAGAACAAGTCCGCCTCTCTCAACTGGATGCATGTCGGATCCTCTGACCTCTTCCCACGTGATGAAGGTCGTGTTGTAAAAGTAGGCAATGTCCAAATCGCTGTCTTCCATACCTTGAACGATCATTATTACGCTGTTCAAAACATGTGTCCTATCAAGCGTGATCTTGTGTTGTCTGATGGTATCCTTGGTGAGATCAAGAAGGAAGATCACACCTCAGTTTATGTATCCTGTCCTATTCACAAAAAGAACTTTGACTTACAAACCGGTGCTTGTCTCTCTAGTGGAAGTGAAAACTACTCAATTAATGCTTTTAACGTTAAAGTTGAAAACAATCAAGTTTATTTATTATTGCCTTCAGTTGAAATCCTTAACGAAGCCCTTAGTTCTGAGAGATTCATTATTAAGAAGTCAATGACAATGAAAAAGGATTCTTCTGATCAAGCTATTCCTGTTGCTGTTGGTGATAAAGATGTAAATAATTGGTAGTTATACTTTATATAATTTCTTTCTTTTTTTTTCTTTTTTTTTTTTTACACATCGTGTATATACATCAATATGTATTTCTTATTACAATAATAAAGAAAAAAAATAGCATTCATCTTATCATTGCATAATTTTTTTTTTTTTTTTTTTTTTGGAATTACAATATTAAGCAAAGAAAGGGTTCATATTCCCTAAAATCTTTTGAGCAATACAATATTGGTTGATTAAATGAAAGATAACTACCTATAAGCTTGGGTTTATAATAATATTATGGCCCTAATGCATTACTATATATGAGACAAGATGTTGGAATAAATTACATATACGAAGAAAAAAAAAACCAGCATCCCCTTAATAAAAGGATGAGTATTATAAAGTTATGTTGGTATGTATCTTTATTTATACAAGTCTTGAATTTTAACTTGATATAATTTAATTAATTCTATTCTTTTACTTTTTTTTTTTTTTTTTTTTTTTTTAATTAATGTTACCTCCTTTACATCTCTTTCACTTTTATATATTCTTCTCAGCGTTTTCCTCCTGACTCTGAGAATAATAAACTCATGTGAGTTATTTGTAAATCAAAATAATTATCCATTTTTTTTTTTTTTTTTTGGATAGTTACAATTAGTTAAGAAGAAGCTCTGTCTATCATCAAAATATATTAAAATAATAATCAACAATATTTATTTATTCTATAAAATTCATATAATCATGTATTTTCACATAAATTTAAATATATGAAGTTTAGGCATAAAAAAGATTACATAGAAAATAAGTTATAAAAATATATAACAAAATTAGTTTTCATAGGAAAATGTATGTCAAAAAAAGGGGGGACGACGAGAAGGAGTATGAAGGAATATAAACCATCAAATGACAATTCCAAAAAAAAATAAAAAAATAAAAAAATAAAAAAATAAAAAAATAAAAAAATAAAAAAATAAAAAAATAAAAAAAAAAATAAAAAAAAAAATAAAATAATATATATAAAGTTACATGCATCTAGCGATAATATTCCTTCTTTTGACATTACTATTTTATGCCTGATGTATAAATGACGAGTTATGATCTGACATACGATAAAAAGCTGATCTAATAGCTGTAGGCAAGTATATCACATTATTAGGAAATGATTTATAAATCAAATAATCGGCATTTTTATCTTCATGATGATAGTTTTTTTGTAGAAAACTTACAGAAGGCGAAGTTAGGGGTGACTCTAAATCTGATTCATAACTACTTGTAGGTGAATTAGTAATAATTGGTGACATATGTTCTATTGCAGTAGAAGTTGTAATCACAAAGTTATCATCTCTTATCAAATCGCCTCTCTTTTTCTGTTCCAAGCTAATACTATAAAGAATATTCAATTATAAGTTGTTGCTTTTTTTTGATTTATGTAATGTATGTATTTTACTTGTAAGTTTTCCATTTTGGATCATGACAGTGTTGATGTCTTGATAAAGTTGTTTTACGAGTAAATGATTTTCCACAATCAGCAAATAAACATATATAAGGTCTTTTGCCTGTATGCGTTCTTCTGTGTCTTGCTAATGAAGATGACTATATAAAGAAGACTTTCATATATATACAAAATATTGAAATGTTATATATATATATCAAACTATATACATCGCTAAATGATTTTCCACATGATTCATATTCACATAAATGAGGTCGCTCTCCAGTATGAGTCCGATAATGAACGGTTAGAGCTGACCTTTGAATAAATTGTTTTTCACATGTTGGCCATTTACAATGATAAGGTCTTTCTCCTGTATGAATTCTTGTATGTCTTGAAAGATCTGAACGACGAGAAAATGATTTAATACATCCAGACCACTTACAATGAAATGCTTTTTCGTTACTTATTGGCGTATTTAATAAGTCTCGAATATCCATATTCAAAATAATAAGAATGAAATGGAGACAGAACAAAAAAAAAAGTGGTTATTATAATGTAATGATATGTATTTATATTTAGAAATGTCGAGGTATATAAATATAGCCTAAAAAAATAACTAAATAAGATTTCTTGCTTGTTTTATAATAATACCCTTTTTAAATATAGAAAGGAGACAGGTTATAAATAGAGGGCTGATATAAATATTTATAAAAAACTTATAAGGAGATCAAATATAAAGTAAATGATTCACGCAAATATGTATATTGTTTATATATGTATAAAAAAAAAAAAAAAACGAAATTTGAGTTTTTTTTTATTTTTGTTATTATTCTTATTTTTTTATTTATTTATTATTATTTAAATAGGAAAAGAAGGCACTTGTTATCAATCTGGGAATTTGCGCTATGTTTTAACCTTTTTATGTGCCACAGTTCCTTCTAGATAAATAATATCGCTTTTTTTTAGTTATTAACATAACAAGACTCAATTTACATATTTTTTTGTATATAAATAGTCTGTCTATTTTATGCGCATAGATCAATTTTAATGAACATTATATAAAAATAGAAGACACAGTTTTTTACTCTATTTTTCTTATTATATCCACATTCAATATTATGTATAGGTCAGTATACCTTTTTCCATGCTTTGAAGAGAGTAAGTATATAGCCCTTTTCTTTCCCCCTCCCCTCTTTTATTGGTAAATAATTTACTTTAATAACTTCATATTAAGATATTATGTAATGAATAAATTAAGATTTCGATTTTATTTGACTTTTAAACTCGTACAATTGACTAGATATGCCTTTTAAGTATTATTTCATCGTGAAAAAAATAAAAAGCTTATTAATGCCTTTTTTTCTTAAAAAAAGAAAAAAAGAAAAAAAAATCATTAAATCATTAAATCAACATTTAGGCTTCAATAGATCAAATCATTTAACAGACTCTATGCTAATAGAGAACTAATATCGAATTACAAAATAAAGCATAAATTCAAACCATTGATTAGGATTGTATTTTAAGTATAATTTAAATGCCACGTTTTTTATTCTATTTATTACTATATACATACTCGTGTACTATATATGGTTGTCATTATTTATTGAGGTTAGAATCTAATTTAGATATGAATATATTTTTTCTTTTTTATTCTGTAGGACACACGATTTAATAGACACAATAACATAATTTAAGCCATTCTAAATAAAAGAATAAGTTGTTTGTTTTCTTTTTCTTATATGCTTATAGAGATAAATGAGGGTGGGATATGTATCTTCTCACTCACTCACTCACTCACTCACTCACTCTCTCTTTCTCTTTTTTTTTTTTTTTTTTTTTTTTTTTTTTTTACCCCTGAATTTTTATAGAGATTTTTTTTTATGTATAAATATAATAGATCACGTGCTTCTTTTTTCTTATAATAAAATACGATGATCCGAAGTCTGTGTGCAAATATAATTCACAGTAAATAAAAATGACAAAATGAATGAATTAGCATTGTACGACCCTCATAATACAGTAAAAGAAATGTTACTATTATCTGATTGGTGTACAGTGCTGATGGCTCCAATTGGCCGAATTTAAAATATTAAGATAACACATTAAATATATATGATACTCTAATCTATGGATTTGCAGGTGTCTATATTACGTTTCATTTTTTTTTATTTTTATTACTATCCTTTAAGATGAATCATAATAAGATATAGATTTAAGGATGAATACTTGGTATAGTATGACGTTAATTGAGGATAAAAAAAAAGGGAATGAGAAATTAAATAGTGGTAACTTATATGTAGGATCTATTTGTGATGATTACACAGACGATTAGAAGCCTTTATTTCTTTAATCCCTTCATTAAAAAAAGAATTTTTTTTGTAAGCTATTAAATAGGAAGAATGATTAGTATAGCTTGATAAAATACCTAAATTTGGATAAAGAAAATCAAAATAGAATCCTGAATTGGAAACAAACCAATACAACTAATTTTACTTAAAGCTAGATTTAAGATGTATCTTTTAGAGTTGTACGCAACACAATTAATAATGAGGCTATAGGTTGTTTAACCAGGACATTTAGTGATTTTGGTTCAAAGAGAATCACACTAAATGACTTTACATTAGGTACTTGTGAACTTTTTTTTTTTTTTTTTTTTTTTTTTTTTTTTTTTTTTTTTGATTAAAAACCTTGGTTATCAATGTTGAGGCTCGAAATAATACTAACTGCATTAACAAGTTTTATGATTTGATGTTAAAATGGACAATGGCAGATATCGATTCCCTTAAAAATTATATTAATATGAAGCTATTTGTTTGTGGAACACATATTATAATAACTACTACTACTATCAAATACACCTTTTCTCAAAATGATGTCGCACTTTCAAGAAAGAATATGCCGCACTTTTCAGAAAAAAGATATCGTATAAGAATCAGTACTCTTTTTCTCTTGAAGTACTTTTGTAATGAGCAATTCGCTTTATTTCGAGGATGGGCAAGGGAACGTTTTGGATGAAGATGGAAATGATCCAATGGATATTACTGAGAATGAAGATCCGTACAAGTTAGATGAGCTTACATCTTATAGCGCTTATATTGCAGCTAGAGACAAGTTTATGATGGAAGTTGATCAGGATCCAAATTGCTCAGAATAGAAGACGACTAAGAAACAAAAAAACGAGCTCAGAGAGGCAAAAAAAAAAAACAATCTGATAAAGAACAAACGTGTCAGTAATGAAGTTAAGGCACATGCCATTCACTTAGTGAATATTCATCCAAAAAAAACAGCGCTTTAGATTTAGGCTTAGAACCAAGAAGTGTACAACGGTGGCATAGCACCTGGAAGAAAGACTCAGACTCCTTGTTCAAAACTATCGGTCGACCAAGAATCATTGAAGCAGATGGTGACCTAGCAGTAGCAACGAATAATACTGTTACAGAGTTTTATTACAAACAACCTACCGCTACTGCTGACCAGCTACTTGATCGGTTGACTAGTACTTTTGAAGGTCTGTCGCTTTCGAAACCTATATTATATCGTTATTTGAACGATCTCTAGTTCCGCACTTTGAAGAAGGTACAACTAGAGCCTTTAGAGCGAAATAGTACAGAGGGGATTCAAGCGAGAAAGAATTGGGTGGAGGAGATAAAGAGCATGGGTGTAGATTATATGAACAACTGTGTCTTCATCAACGAAGCAGAATTTAATGCGAATCTGAGAAGAACTCGGGGATAGACTCCGATAGGAGAATTAGCTATTGTTAAGGTACTTACGGCAAGAGCAAACTCGATCTCAATCTTGGGCGCTATATCAAGTAAAGGCTTGATCAAGGTTTGTATGAGAAAGCCTATTCCCCCTTCAAAAAAAAAGGAAAGCTAGCAGGAGGTGCTAAAACACAAACAAGAGGTACAATAACTACTCACTACCTGAACTTCATTGAAGATATCCTCGAAGAGATGGATAAATATCCTGAAATGAAGGGACATTATTTGTTAATGGATAATGCTCCTATTCATATATCTAAGTTAATTAGAACTACTATTGAGTCTCGTGGATATAAATATATCTACCTACCACCCTACTCCCTTGAGCTCACTCCAATCGAGCTATTTTGGTCAGTTATCAAGAGTGGTGTTAAGAGAGAGTTTGTTATCAAGAAAGATACGCTTCCTGCTAAAATTGCAGATGCTTGCAACAGTGTATTGCTATCATCCTTTGAAGGTTTCACTCGTTATTCTGTAAGGCGGTTCAATGACTGTTTGAATTGTCTTCCCATTTAATAAAAATACGATGCGACATCTTTTTCTTGAAAAGTACGACGGTTTAAATTTTAATAGTGCGACATCATTTTGAGAAAAGGTGTATAAATTTCGTTCCATTTTGAGAGTGATCTCTAAAGCAGGAGTTATTATTATAAGTGTATGATTAGCCAAAATGAGAGAGCTACATAGCCTCATTTTTGCATTTTATAAACAAAGAACACCTATCGTTTTTAATTATATACCATACCGGTAAAGAAGATCCTCTTATCCACAGAGATAAACTAATGATTACAATAAATTGAATTCTTGCTATTGATATACCAAATGCTTTACAGTATATATTTTCTGCTGATGTAAGAATCCATACACTTATTTCTCACATTAGTCTTACGGAAGGAGTAACATACGGATTATAAATTTACCAAGTCAGCTATGGAGTTCTTCTTTCATCTCTATCTCTTTTTCTTTGTAACCATGTCCAAGATACCTTTTTTTTAAAAAAAAAATAATATCTCATGTAATATTATCAAACAAATGCAAATATTAAAGGTAATATTATCATTTATAAATTATTTTTTCTAATTCACTTGAAGCTCATGATGTAGTATTAGGGCTATATTCTGTAATTAAATCTATTATGACTCATTGATGATACTTCGACGTTGTGTAACTAGTCCTTTTTAAACCATAATATCTTTGACTTCACACATATTTCCTTTCAATATGAATATGAATATGAATATATACATATCTATTAGTATATAAATATAATAGCCTATCGTTACTATCATGCTATTCATCATAATTTTAAAGATGATCATTATAAACCTTTACATTTTATTTTCTATTGTTTTTAAATAAATAAAGATAGCTACGACTATTGAGGCCCTTAAATTTAAAAGGAAAAAAAAAAGGGTTTCGTTAGTATCCTTCTTCCTCCCCTCTCGCTCCCTTTTTTTTTTTTTTTTTTTTTTTTTTTTTTTTTTTTGTTTACTATTTATAGTCATTAGGTTATTATTAAGGAAAAGGAACACAATTTTCTTTTTATTATTTACTATAAAATGCAAGATTAACTTAGTAACAATAAGCGGCTGTTGTACAAACTCATGTTAAAGTCATGAAGCATACACACACAGTAATAATCATTCATAATTAAATTCTTGGGCCCTTTTTTTTAAAAAAAATTACTATTTATGTTCTTACCTAATAATTTTAGTTTATAAAGTGATTTTTTTAAAAAAAAGTAATACTCGTAGTATTATATATCCACTTGTTGAATTAAATAAAATACAATTTACATTCTATATATTATAAATTTGAGGGTAGGGCAGGATGTTATTCAAAATATATAATATTGTAGTAGACAGGTGCTTATACAAAGAAATGAAACCTTTGTGTGTGTGTGTGTGTGTTTCCTTATAAATGTTGTAGCATACATATATCACATTATTAGAATATGAAGTAAGCTTTCGTACAGCGCCCAATCATAACTTTTTTTTTCTTTTTTTTTTTTTTTTTCTTTTTTTTTATATTCATATATAAAACTCTTTTACATATAACCACCAGAACCAAACCATGTTAAGTCGTTTAGCTTTATCAAAGTTATCGAGAATTTTACAAGATAATGTAAAGAATTGTATAATTAAAATGCCTCCATTCTATCATGTTCGTTCTGTACGTATTCTATGTATAAACATTAAAGTAGAATCATTAATCATCAATTATATAGATTTCAACAGAACAGCATCTCCATTTTGAACAAGATTTACCAGAAGTAGTAAATAGCGAAATACAATATATGTGTATATATAACTAGAAAAAAAACTATACTAGAAGAATGAATAAGCTTTTTTTTTTTTTTTTTTTTTTTTTTGGTATTATTATCTATAGGTTCATGTATTGCAGAGAAAGTTATCTGGAGCTCGAATGTTTATACTTAACAGACCCGAAAAATTAAATGCTCTCGATTTGAATATGATCAGAACTATTGGGCCACAATTGAAAGCTTGGGATGTATCAAAGTTAGCCAAAGTTATCATAATGAAAAGTGCTGGAAAAGGAAAATTTAGTGTAGGTGATGACATCTTGGGTAATGAACTATAGGATACTTGATTATTGCAACATATATAACTTGATTGATTGATTTTATGATGATTATTATTATTATTTTACAGATATTTTAGTTAAAGTTAAAGAAAAAAATCCAGATGCATTATATTTTTTTCAGGATAAATTTAGACTTGTACAAATGATTGCAACTTTGCAGACACCTTATGTTTCTATTTTAGACGGATATGCATGTAAAGTATATATATATATATATATATATATATATTTTAAATGAGGAATGGATATTAAATCTGTTTGAAATAGTGGGGGGCTCCTTGGGATTATTTGTGCATGGCCCTTTTAGAATTGCAACTGAGAAAACAATCTTTGCTGTACCAGAAGTAAGTTTAGGCGCATTTCTTAACTCAGGATCAAGTTTTTACCTATCTCGATTGGATGGTGAGATTGGGACTTATTTAGCATTAACAGGTGCAAGATTAGAAGGAATAGATACATTGTAAATATATCTTAAATGAAAGAAATGGGTGAAAGAAAGAAAGAAAGAAAGATATAGAGTTTAAATATATTCATCGATTATAGTTTTACGGGCATTACAACACATTATATACCTTCATCAAGACTAGCAGCGTTAGAAGATAAATTGATTGATCTTGAAACTTCAGAACATGAAATTATTCAAAAAGTATTAGAAAACTTTGTAGATAAACAAATCAAGATTGAAAGGATTGGATTTCAAAAGGAAATACGGGAAAGGATTGATAGGTATTGCATATAGATTGGAAAAAGAAAAAAAAAGTATTAAGTTGCTTTTTTTCTTTTATTATCATTAGATGCTTCGCTTTCGATAGCGTGGAAGAAATTATCTCAGCCTTGGATAAAGAGAAATCAACTACTTGGACAAGAGAAACAAAGCAAAAGATAGTATCCATGTCACCTACAAGCCTTAAAGTGACACTTAAAGCATTAAGAAAAGCTAGAAAAATGACATTTGTGGAATGTTTAGAGATGGAATTCGATTTGATTCAAAAGTTCCTAGTAACAAAGGATTTTCATGAAGGTGTAGAATCAGCATTTATAAATAAACCAAGAAGAAAACCTCAGTGGCAACCATCCCAAATATCGAGTATTTCGGATTATGAGATAGATCAACTGTATTTTACTGAAGCGTCACCGAATAGATTAAGTTTACTTTCTACTTTAGACTTTCGATCTTACCCATATGCTAGATATGGTTTGCCGTCTGAAAAAGAAGTACGTTTAGCGATTACAGGTAAAGGCCCCGAGTATGCTATTGAAGGAAGACTAAAAGAGAAAGAAGAGGTATTGGCATGGTTCATGAAGGGTCATAAAGGAAAATGGGGGGTTCGAGATAAAATTTTAGATATACTTGATCGCAAAACGATATCAACCAAAGAAAATGGTAGTGGCCTTGTATGGAAGCTTTAAAGTTTATTTTCTGTAAAAAGGAGTCACACTATGTATTCTATTAATTAGCTATTTTTTTTAAAAAAAAAAAAAAAAAAATAATAATAATAAAAAGACTTTATAATGTCAACTCATTATGAGATATTACAAGTAAGCGAAACAGCTTCGTTAGATCTTATTAAACAGCGTTTTCAACAGTTAATATTAGAAGTAAATTGTTGATTATTTTATATAATCAAATAAAAAAAAAAAGAATCTATAAATTGATCTGGTGTTACTTTAGCATCATCCTGATAAAAGTAAATCAAATGATGACACTCGGGCTCACAGAATTTTAAAAGCATGGGAAGTATTAAGGAATCCGACAAGCCGTAAGAATTATGACATCGAACTTCAAAGTAGTGTAACAGTTTATTTATTTATTGTGCGATTCTTTTGAAAAGAAAAAAAAAATTATGCTCATTCCCAATTTTCCTCTCACTCCAACTTATTCTGTAGGTCAACGAAACAAAAAGGATTTAGCTATAGGAGCTGAAGTTGATTTGGATGATATGGAATACAACGAAGATGAAGGATCATATTCGTATGTTTGTCGTTGTTCAGGTGATTACATAATCACAGAAGAAGAATTAAATGAAGGCATCGAAGTCATTGGCTGTAATAATTGCTCATTAAAGATTCGAGTTTTATATGACGTTGTTGAGAGTGATGAAGAATAAGAAATGGACCATATTTATATTATGATTTGATAATAATTAAAATAGATGACAAATGATAGTATAGAATTTATTTTTATTTTGTAAAAGAGAATGAGGAATCATTAGATGATTTCTTCAAATGAAAAAAAAAAAAAGCCAACAAACAAACAAACAAACAAACAATTTTTTTTTAACTGTTATTGCTTGCATTCACTATTTTAATTTAGGAAATAAACAAAATAAATAATTAAATAAGCTGATATAATTTATTGAATAACAACAAGGCTCAGCAACAAATAAAGGAGAGTGAGTTCCTTAAGAAGATATATAATGCGGAGGTTATAAAAGAAAACAATTGTTTATTTCATTTTATTTTATTTTTTTATTTTATTTTTTTAATTGAATTCTAATGTCAATCTTGACAAAATTAAATTTGCGTTTTCTTACCATTCCATCATCATCATCGTTTCTAAGAGCTTTATCAACCAGTAATGCGTTAAATTCAGAAAGAAAGAAGATCATTTTAAAAGATGAGGATTTAATTGAGACTTTTGTTAAGGGGTCTGGTCCTGGAGGACAATGTATTAATAAACGTTCAACATGTGTTGATTTACGTCATATACCTACAGGTATAAGAGTGCAGGTAACTTGCATAGATTTAATATATGTTAAACTAAAATTAGAAATATATATACATCTATGTATGTATATATACATATGCTTTCATTAGTGCCAACAGTCAAGATCTCTAGCGGATAATAGAGGTATTGCTCGCAAGTTACTTCGAGAAAAATTAGATGAACTTATAAACGGGCTGTTAAGTAAAAATGCACAAAAAGCAACCAAAATAGCAAAGCAAAAAGCACGTAGAGCAAGACGTGCAAAAGCAAAATATTCGAAAAAAGAAGATAATGATACTAATATTGAATCTACAACAGATGAATAAGCTTATTAAAAATAATAAAAAAAAAGAGAGAGAAAGAAAGAGAGAGAGAGAGAGGAAAGGGAGAAAGGAAACGTATTTTAATAAAATATACCAAATGGGAGAGAAAAGGAAGACGAATAACATGAATGATTATAATAGAAATGAACAGTATCTATATTGATAATATTATAGAATGCTCCTTTTCACAAAATGAGCATATATCCATTTGTATACTTTTTTTTTAAAAAAAAAAAAAAGCAAAAAAAAAAAAAAAAAAAAAAAAATGAATGAGAAAATAGCAGGGCTAGATAGTAAGAATTGAATAGAATAAAAGAAGAGACAGAGCCTAAGATTAATATTTATTAAAGCATTAAAATGAAGCTAAAGAGTTTCTATAATAAACATAGATGCATACATTAAAGAAGTCTTAATAATATACTAAATAGTCACATGAAATATTCTCCATGTGTATTGCATTATAGCTACATTTGTAATAATGTATATGTGTATTTATGTAATCTCTCCTATTACTCTTCTATTGTTTTGTCAATATATTGAGAAAACGAGGGCTATTTCTCCCTCTTTGTTTACAATAAATTAAACTATATATTATATGCATAAATAAAAGAGAGAGAGAGAGAAAAATAAGAAGAAATAAATATACTTTATGTTTTAAAGTAGGCTATTGCAAGCTTAATGTATATTAATATACATATTTATGTATATTAATATATTTGTAAGTGTGTATAAAAGTAAATTTATACCTACCTATCTACATACATACATACATATATATATACATATATGTATGTATGTGTGTATGTATATGCAGGTATGTATGTATATGTGTATATACTATACTCAAGTATTTATTTATATAAAAGTGAGTTGTATATGATTCTATGTAAAGTTTTATTTATTGACAGCTTATATGTGAGTATAGTATATAATTTATGCTATTATTTAAAAAGTACATAGATGCATATAATTACTCCTTGATTATCATAACACTACGACTAAAGACAGGACTGCTACATTGATCAAGTTCAAGTCTGAATCTATAGTGTATATAATACACATGCTATAATAAAATACATATAATCGATCCTAATAAAGAGAAGGAATGATTTTACTTGGTATCATATAATGGTAATGATTATATTTAGATGCGTATGTTATGTATGACACAGGAGCTAATAATACATGTAATGATATTTTAAAAAAGAGTAGAGGAATTCAGGAGAAGAATATAAAGCAAATAATTATGTAATTTGTTTATTAAAGCAGAAAAAGATATGCAAATTAAAAAGGTTTCTTTTCCTTTTTATTATTTATTTATTTACTTGTATTCTTTCTATCTATTTCCCTTTAAAAGAAAAAAAAAAAGAATGAAATATTCAAATCTTGATGAATTTAGTAAATACGCTTCTAGACTATCGCTTCGAAAAAAACCTAAAGGGTTTCATCTAAAAAATAATCCTTGGTCAACAAGTACACCAAAGTCTAATTTAAAGAATAATATTATAAACGATGATAAGCAAATTAAAAAGATAACGTTGAGAGATACAATATTAAATTTGTCAATCAAAAAAAGAATAGTATTTTACGAAGAAAGATATATTACATGTATGAGCTCGCAAACAGAATTGTCAGCTTGGATAAAATCAATTAAGGAAAAGGGTAAACCTAGTCCCTTAACAGAAGGTATAAACAACCATGTATATTTTCACAATTATGAGGGCTATATTTATATAAATGTATATTAATTAGGCTATGTACCTCCAACTCGATCAAAGTTTTCAGAATTCTTACATAATACCTTGTCTATTAAACAAAGAAAGCGAATGAACATATTCAGCAATCATGTAACTACTACTGCATCTACACCTAAATCTTCATTAAGTCATTTTTTTAAAAAGACTACTAATAACTTATCAACAACACATAAATTGAAACAACATCAACAAAAGCAGCATACCAATTCTGGGCCAACTCCTAGTCCACAAATAAAGAATAGTACAATGAACCAATCCTTTCGTAATCGTTTTTCACTAACTGCTTCATTTACTCGATTGTCCTTATCTTCAAAGAATAATACGTTTCTTAGAAATACTTTATTTTCAGAGGATAACAATGATATGTTAGCTTTAGATAAAATCAATCCCTCTCAGAATGCTAAACCTACTGATAATTTCAAAATATTAAAGCAGCAAGCTCAATTCTATCATGATAAACATATTCCCTCAGCAGTTCCACAACAAGAGACAATCAATTCTACTGTCGGCTATCAAAGGAAAGCAGTATCGAATCTTATCAACTATGGTACAACTGTTTTGATGAAAAAAAATAAAAGACCAAGATCGCAAGCTACTATCCTTCCTAATTCACCTTCTTCCATTTTTTTGGATAAATTGCAACAACCTCTATGCAAAAGAAGTTATAGCCAAGATAGCGATGATAGTAATAATAACGATCATTCAATAGCTAAACGATATCCGAATATAAACTTCAGAGAGCCGCAATATTGCCACAATTGTATTCTGCAGAACGCCTACATTTCAAGTGGGATTAACCAAAAAAAGGAAATGGAGAGCACTACATTGCATTCATCTACTCCTTTGTCAACAACTGAAACGGTCTTTTCATCCATATCTACTCCTGCTCTTGCTAAAAATAGCAAAGAAGTTGATTGTCAACTGGCGACGGAACAGAGACCTTCATTAACAAAGACCATCATAGTTGAGAAAGCAAAGAATATAATACAAACATCAATAGGGAAGAAAAGAGGTGATAGAGTACAAAAGGGCAATAAAAATAGTCATGAAGAAGCGAATAATAATACAAAAATAAAGGAAGAAATAAAAGTAAATCATGAACATTATTCTTCGATAACAGCCAAGCCGCATCAAAAGCAACAATTAGAAGGTCTAAGAAAGAAACGCAAATCTCTTTTAGTAGCTCCTTCTTTATCCACTTTACGACTTTTATCTCAAAAAACACAGTTATTAAAGCGTCAAAGCCTACGAGCTTAAAAATATATAAAAATAAATAAAAAGCATGTATTATATAACACTTGATAACAATTTTTTTTCTTGAATCCTTTTTTTTTTTCTTCAAGTAACCTATCTCCAGTTACTTTTTTATTTCATTTATATACTTTTTTACTTCTAACTATAAATGTGATATCAATTTGCTAGTATTCCACCTTCTTTCCCTTCTCCCCTCCCCCTTATTTATCCTAATGCCCCCCTTCTAATTTCTACAGTAGAATTATGGCTTTTACTTTGTTTGTTTGAAAAAATATAACACAATTACCAGTAGTTTTTATTTATTTATTAACTATTTAACTATCTTCTGTGCATATATTTTATAAATAGTATACAGCTTTAGAAAAGAAAGAATTATATATGTATATAAATGAAGTCTAACCTGGTTCTTTTTTTTTATACTTTTCAATTAAAGTGTCAAATTCACGGTAATAGAGTTACAAATACGATTCCTTAGTTTGAACAAATAGGTAGCCTAAAATTGAATGAAATAATGAAAGAGAAATATACTTTACATTTGTTCATCATTGCAATTTTTTTTAACCCACCAACTTATAAAATATATGGTATCAGTTGTAGATAGCTTTACTTACAATGAGCCGTTTTCATCAAGAAATAATAATCATACTTTTTTATTAAATTCCCCCCTCGTATGCTTTCATATTATTGTATACATACATACATGTACCTTGTTTATAACTAGATACCGAAATAAACAAAAGAAAGCCTTGATGATATATATACTGTAATAAGTAGAGTGTAAGAATTACTATCATCTATATATATATATATATATATACTCGCAGGAGAGTGAAATTTGGAAAAGAATACAATGAATGAAGTATATTGACATAGCTATAACTATATTTGCTGAAAGATAGCTTTTTAGGATATTGAATACAAATGCGATCGACAGTTATTTTTTATGAACCTTTACTCCTTCCCCTCACGATAAATACATCAATTGAACTCATGAACGTGTTAGATTATTATCACATATTAAAGCGTCTATAGTATCATAAGCTTTTTATTTTTAGAATTATTAGAAAATAGTATGGATTCACTATCAATAAAACTTGCATAAGCTATATGTGTATGTATATATATATATAAGGGACGAATGGATTCTGGTACATTTGGTTATAAAAATACTTTTTTTTTTAAATGGCAATAGTAATTAATAGTCGTTTCCCTCCCCTCCTCCACCCTCATCATCACCACTAATATGATTATCATATGAAAAAAAAAAAGATGAACAGCTTATCTTACATAATAATAATAAATAATCCTTATTGATTGGATCTCATGATAAAATATATACCCCAATTAATGGTTTTTTTTTCTTTCACAAGTTAAAATCATTCAATGCATCACGTGAACAAGTTAAAATCTTAGACTCATCTTCTATCTCTTTTTTTTTTTTTTTTAAAAAAAAAACATGCCAACAGAATGACGTTGCTTTTATTAGAAGAAAAATAAAACTGTACTTCTTTACAATTTTTCTTTTTTTTTTTCTTATAAATATTTTTTTTTCTTCTCTCTCTCCTACACACACACACACACACGTTATTTAGAATATAAGCATAAAAATGGGTATAAAATTAAATAATCATATATTGATATGATAGAATAGAACCTTATAACATTACAAAAAAAATATATAGATAAAATAACTCCAAGTCATGATGATGAGAAAAGATATTTAACTACAAACTCTCCCTTATTACCTCGTGGTATCGATATCTCTGCTTATGATTTTAAGATCAATGAGGTAGTAAGCCAAAAAAAAAAAAAAAAAAAAAAAATGTGTCGAAATTTATAGACAAGACTGTATATAAATATATATCTATTTTTCTATAGCCACCTATGGATCGTCCAGTTCGTATCTATTGCGATGGAATTTATGATTTGTTTCATTTTGGACATGCTAAAGCATTAGAACAAGCCAAGAATTCATTTCCCAATGTTTATTTGATTGTAGGAGGTAAAAAAAAAAAAAAAAAAAAGTGTGTGTTTTGATGGTATTCATCTATGTAAAAGGAGGGTACACTAAAATTGATGTATATGGACTGTAGTATGTAGTGATGTGGAGACTCATAAACGTAAAGGTAAAACGGTCATGACAGATATCGAACGTTATGAATCTGTTCGTCACTGTAAATGGGTGGATCAAGTGGTACCGGATGCACCATGGATCGTAACTCAAGAGTTCCTGGATAGATATCAAATTGATTATGTGGCTCATGATGCGGAACCCTATCAATCTGCAGAATCAGGTGATGTCTATGCCTTTGTAAAAGCTCAAGGGAGGTTTTTACCTACTCAACGTACAAGTGGTGTATCTACCTCAGATCTTATTACTCGCATCGTTCGTGATTATGATGCCTATCTTCGTAGAAACCTTGAAAGAGGTGTTACGGCAAAGGAATTAAATATTTCTTTTTTAAAGGTAAATCATTAAATAATAACGAGTAGGAAAAAAAAGAGAGAGAGAGAGAGAGAGAGAGAGAGAGAGTGAGTGAGTGAGAGTGAGTGAGTGAGAGTGAGAGTAGGGTTATAAATACTGAGTAGTTATTATAATGGAAATAGGAGCAGGAAATTAAAACAAAAAAATCGATTGATGATTTGAAAAATCAGATAAAGTATGCTATATTAGAACATTTGGGCACTTGGGAAGATCAGAGTCATGATTTTATTAAAAGCTTTGCTGGAAGATTTGGTGCAAAAGATGTAGTGGAAAAGTTTTTAAATAGTCGTAGATTAGTTTCTAGCTATACAAACAGTAATAAACGGAAAAGAAATTCCATTACTCATCAGGATAACAGCAGTGATTCAAATTCCTCCATTCAATAGTATAACACAATGACTTTCACTATACATTATACCTTAATTATTTATATACACATACATACATACATATTTATGTGATATTATATTATTATAGCATTGATTCTTCAACATATATAAATACAATTCTTTTATAAGAATTTATTAAAAAAAAAAAAAAAAAAAAAAAAACGGATTCACATTTAAATAATATGTGTGTGTATCTTGGTGTATATAGGGTGTCATTTTGAATAAATCAATAATCCTCTTTTAAGCTCCCCACAACTTGCTAATAAACGCAGTAAGTCCAATATCATTTGTATTGAATTGATAACTGGCAATAACAACACCGGTTGTAGTAAGCCACAAAGTACCCGTCATTAATTTATTTAAAATTACACTTTTACGAGCATTAAAATAATCTAAAAAAAAAGAAAGAAAAAAAAAATTAGTTCTACCCCGCATTTTTTCTTTAATCCCATTTTTTTTTTACCAGTGATACAAGAGTCCCAGCCTATCATAAAAAATAATAAATGATTTAGTCATTTTTTTTTCAGCATATCAACTTTAAATAAATAAATAGAAAAATTACCGATATGAAGATGAACAGGAAGTACAACACCTAAAAGAACATCAGTAACAGGTGAAGCACCAAGAGCAAGTTGTGATGCAATAATAGGAACTAAAGCAACGGAAGCAGCACGCTCAATGTCCCAATGATAAGAACCATGAAGACGATCGGGTTTATGTGTTGCAATAGCATTATTAGATTGAACAACAGCTAATCATGTTAAATTGTTAATTAAAAAAAACGAAATGTAAGTAAAATTGAAAGAACTTACAAGAATGAATCTTGACAAGACCCATAGGTTGTTGACGCATCATAAGACGAGTTGTAGAACGAAAGGCAGAAGTTGAAGCAAGACGAAGAGCCATTATTATATATTCAAAGAGTAGGGGGAGGAGGAAGAAGGGAGGATAGGGTTTATTTTAAGAAAAAGAAGAAGAAAAAAAAAGAAATGAAATTATTAACTAATAACTGTAAGAAGTATAAAATTTATGAGAAAAAAATCCCCTTGATCATTTTTGCACTATTTCGGGTAGACTCACTTCAGGTTGATGACGCAGTTTGTAAATGAATTGCTGTGGAGATTTTATGCGAAAAGCATGAGTTTGTTTCCCAGAAAAGCACGATATGTTGAGATATACACACTATTTCTACAGTCACGTTCTATATTTGTATATGCATTTATAAAAAAAAAAAAGTTGAATGCTTTGCATTTCGTAACATGGACACTGTTATAGTCTCTTCTTATGAACAGCAATAAAAAATGAGTAGATTAATCTTGTTTTTTAACTTGATTAAGAATATATAATATTATTGATTTCAATGTTCGATTAACTAACTTTATTTATCAACCGAGATTAAAAAAAAAAAAAAAAAAAAAAAAAAGACTTTAAAGAAATGTGAAGCGAGAGCAGAAGGAGTAGCTTATACATACATAAATACCAAAAATAGATAACTAATTCTAATATAGCAATTATTATTATTTATCTTGGATTGTTTCTTCCCTTTATAGAATGAGTAAATAAGCATTTATAAGTTTAAGAAGCCATGTTCTTATCAATAGTACATATAAACATGCTTTGACATTATTATATTTCTTGCTTTTCTTAGCTTCTCCTATTGTCTGATGACCTTAGTACTAGTACCCTGAATGCTGATAAATGTAACAGACTTGAATTTTTTTTTTTTCAAACTAAAAAATTTGGCATACACAAATTTGAGACCGACCGAAAAGCTGTAGTTAAAAAAAAATAAAAACAAAAAAAAAGCTTTCTTTGTTTTATTTTATTTTAAGATTATTCAATTCGTGATATTTTTACGATGGAAACGAGGAAAAATTTTGATCAAGACAAACAATTGCTTTTAGAAAAAGCATTAATAGGACTTGAACAACTTCATTCTAATTTAAATAATTTAAATCGTAATTTAGAAACGATCAATGCCATCGGGTTGCAGTTTGAAGCACCAGCTCATCTTTGGAGTAGCTTCCATAAAAGTATTAAAGTAAACGTTGAACCAGAAAGTACTAAATCGAATGCTATGCAAAAGGAACATTCAAAAACGATATTTGATAATACAACAAGATATTCTTCTTTAACTACTGAAGAAAGATTATAATATTTTCAATAACAGTTTTTTTTTTTCTGGATTTTGTTTTGTATTGATCGCAAGATTTTTCTAAATCTTATATACCTTTTTTTCTTGTATTAATTATTTAATAAATGTTAAATATTTAGAGAAAGGGATATGATGTAATCTTATTCAATTTTGATAACCATTAATGAATTATCTAGTTGATCCAAAACAAATTATAAGAAAAAAAAAACTAGGGGAAATAAATGATTAAGCATTATGAATGTAATGCAATTTTTAGTTTGTGCATCGAGTTTTTCAAGTTTGTACTTTATTTTTTTCTTTTAGTTTCTATGTTCCTTTTGTATATCCTTTACGTAGCTAGTCATGCTGTAATAAATGTTTACATAGAATCTAATAAATAAAATGATACATTGTTTTCATCTATTTAGATTCTGATTATTCAAAAACTAGGAAAATGGAGATGTGGAAAGTATACATGTGAATTATAACAAAAACAGAAAAGTAATATCTATTGCTCTTTCTTTTTCTGTCTTTCATTACTCATTTATATTTGGTAAAGAGAAGAGTATACGATTATTCAAGAATCACATGGGAAATAGACTATGAATGTATACATGGAAAGCATAAATTAATGTTACATTAATGAATCTTGAACAGGGAATGAACATTTCCTACTCCATTATTAGAAAGAAAAAGATGAATTATAATTATTTTTAACCATGTACAAATTTATTAATAATGGAAAAAAGAAAAGAGAGTGGTAATATAAATATAATAATTAAATCCAAATTTCTAATTTTTCAACAGCAGAAGGCTTATGGTGTCTTGCTCTATTAATTTGTCGAGCCATTTCTAAATCTTCATCATCAATGATAAGTACCTTCTCTTCAACTTCATCTTTATAAGCTAATTGAATAGAATCCGGACTGGTATTAAACTTTTCAGCTATTCTTTTCTTTAATTCCTGGAAACTGATATCAATAGGCGCTAATAAAATCCGAGTATCTGTATAATGACATTTAATTTTTAATTTTCCTGCAGTCGTCGCTGTTGATATTGACTGAGATAAATTTGGATCCGTCATTGTACGTGTTATGGTCTTTGGTCTACTATGATGGATAGTCTCATTCTCAGTCAATGAGGGACGACGATGATGCTGCTGTTGCAGTTGCTGTTGCTGAGAAGAAGATAGGTTATTTGTTGAATATCGATAAGAATCCTTAAGAAAATGACTGCTATTTCGTTTTAATTCATTTTCAATTAGACGTCTTGAAAGAGATTTATTATTATAAGAAGGCGTTACTGGAGATGGAGAAATAGGTGAAATCAAAGAAGAAGAAGAAGAAGAAGAGGAAGAGGAAGAGGAAGAGGAAAGTGTATTGATCGGATTAGGTCTTATCGTTGTCGTTGATGATGTTTGATCTTTCTCTTTCTTTTTTAGTACATCCTCATTTTCCTCCGATGACTGATATAAAAATATTGAATTTTTTCTTTTCGAAACAGACGTATCGTCATCTTGTTGAAACAGATGGATTCCTTTTAATTGATGTAATCTAAACTCCGACGGACGAAAAAGTAAACCAGGTGGTAATGAATAAACTGAGAAACCTTTCCCGCGAGTACGAACGGCTTGATCGATGATATCATGTTCTTCAGTTACTTTTGATTTTTGTGCATGATAGAGATCCGTGAGACCAGCATCGATATTACCCAAATAGAGTTGACATATACCACGATTAAATAAGACTTCACAAGAATATAAACGAAACTGAAGACCTAATTGTTGATAATTAATTAAGCTATTACCCCGTAGTCTATGAAAAGCGCTATCAAAATCATTTTTGGCTGATTCTAAATCGCCTAATAGAAATAATGATACACCCCGTTGAAAGTAACCTACAGCAAAATAAGGGTCCTTTGTGATTGCTCTATTGAATGCCGTTATCTATTATTATTCATCATAGATACGTAAGTGTGTGTATGTGTGTGTATGTGTGTGCGTGTGTGTATATATGTGTGTATATATATGTATGAATGTATGTATGTATGTATATCAAAGTTTATAATCAATATTTACAGCTCTTTTTTGATCATCCAAGCATAAGAAAATAGAACCAATATTAAAATGCATTTTAGCACTATCGGCTATGCTCTAATCTAGAAAAACGAGTCATTAGAATTTCTACTTGTTATGAAAGAGAGAGAGAAAAAAAATATATATATAATTAAAAAAAAAAAAATATACAATAAATATTTTAAGTGCTTGGTCGTAATTGTTGGTATCAAATGCGTCACAAGCCTTTTGCCATTGTTCCAACTCGAACTATTTTAAACTGTCAAAATAAAAAAAATAAAAAAAATTTTATGCAAGGAATAGAAATTTGTCATACCTTGAATGACATCTTGGTCTATTTCATATATGTATAAAAAGAAGAGAAAAAGAAGAGAAAAAGAAAAGAAAAATAGAAAAAAAAAAATAAAAGACAGAAGAAGGATAATTACTCAAATAAATAAATAAATAAATAAAATCATTATTGTATTTTTATTTGAATTCAAATTCAACTTATAAATTTAAGACATAAAGAAATATCTCCCAACATTAAATCTTTTCTCCTCTTAAATTTAAATAAGCTTATACTACATTTCTCTTATTTATTTTTTTTTGGAACGGGAGAAGGAAGGAAGAGAGGAAGAGAATTTCTAAATAGCTTCTTGTAGCAGTCATACATACCTTGAATGACAAGTAGATTAACACAAAAAGAATCCTTTTCTTAATAAAAAAAAAAAAAACTGACAAAGAGTTTAATTTATATATGACACAAAAGTTTATTATTATAAGAGATAGATCAGATTTGAAGAAAAGTAGATCTACAGCGACTGGAAACTGAGTAAGATGGAACTATTGTTCGGTTATTATTATAACCTGCATAAATGCTATCTAGAAATAGTATAAATTATTAATTGTTATAAATATAGTATTCTATTTATTTGACCGAAATCAATGATTTATATTGCTTTTTTGAATACACGTTTGTTCTGCATTATTTACAATCATGTTCAAGCCACATGCAAAAAGTAAAAACAAAACAAAAATAAAAATAAAAATAAAACAAAACAAAACAATACAAAACAAAATAAAACAATAATAATAATAATAAAGAGCGCTGATATATTTCCCCCCCTTCCCCCTTCAGACTGGTATCAATGTACTGAATCACAAATGCATTATTAAGGAACATGTAAATAGAGACATGATATTTCACGCTGAATATTATAACTAAATTACTTTTACTTCTTTATTCTCAGAGGCAAAAGTAATGTTAAGTGAGCCTGTTATGGTCTACAATGGATACATTCCTATCATCTACACATGTGTTTATAAACTCAATTAACACCCTGGATAACCCCTCACCAAAATAATAAGATGCCTTACATTGTGCCCTTAAAGAACACTTGGGATAGACTTGTGATGTAGAGTGCTCACTAATGAATTATAGCCAACTTAATGTACTCGTTTGCTCCATTCTTTCAGCAGTCCTTGTAATCGTTTATCTATAACTTTATTTGCACTAAATAATATAGAGGCTCAGAACTCAGTAGTACAATATGCAACTACAATAGACAGATATTAAAAAAAAATAAAAATAAAAAAAAAGGCAGCAAATAGAGTGACTTACTATTGTGACACTTTTTTTTTGTTGTAGTCAAGTAATCCAAATGAGATATTCAAGTCTTTCTTTCTTCCTACATTTAAGCCATATTCCATGTCAACAGCTCAAGAGAACAGCAGTAAAAAACAGCCTCCTGTCATTCTCTGCATTGGTATGGCAGGATCGGGTAAAACTACTTTTATGCAAGTAAAGTAGCGAATGTTACAAAAAAAAAAAAAAAAAAAAAAAAAAAAGATAAAATTAAATCTCTTTATTTTTATTTTTTTTTTTCACTTCTTTTTAGAGAATCAATGCTTATCTTCATGAAAAGAAAACACCACCTTATGTGCTAAATCTTGATCCTGCAGTTACTTCTCTTCCATTTACTGCTAATATTGACATTCGTGATACAGTTAATTATAAAGAAGTGATGAAACAGTAAAAATAGAACTTTTCTTTATTGAATTTTGATCAAGCAATTACTTACATTTCAAATAATAGATATAATCTTGGACCCAATGGTGGTATTTTAACCAGCTTGAATCTATTCACAACTAAATTTGATCAAGTACTTAATCTTATTGCTAAACGTGCTGAGAATGTTAGGTATATATATATAAAAAAAAAAAAGCTGCGCAGATTTTTTTTTTTTTGCTCTTCATTTAAACATAAAATAATCTATTATAATAGTCATGTTTTAGTAGATACACCTGGCCAAATTGAAATCTTTACATGGTCAGCTTCTGGTGCAATTATCACTGATACTTTAGCAGCTACTTATCCTACTATGATTGCTTATATCATTGATACACCGCGTACAACTGCTCCAGCTACATTCATGAGTAACATGTTATACGCTTGTAGTATTCTCTACAAGACAAAGCTACCATTTATAATTGTGTTTAACAAGACAGATGTTGTTTCTCATGATTTTGCAGTAGAATGGATGACAGATTTCGAAAAGTTTCAAATGGCACTTAGCCAAGATACCACTTATATGAGTAGTTTGATGTCCTCCATGAGTTTGGTGTTGGACGAATTTTACAATCATCTTAAAGTTGTTGGTGTCTCGGCTGTTACAGGTGCAGGTATTGATGACTTTTTCCAAGCTGTTAAAGAAGCTGCTGAGGAATATGAAGCAGAATATAAGCCTGAGATCGAAAGAATGATTCGAGAAAAGATGGCAAAGGAAGAAAAGAATCGCGAAAAACAATTAAGTAAATTAATGAAGGATATGAAAATGTCTAAGGGTTCTGAAGTTTCTTTAGATAAAGAGGGTAAGCTTTGCTGGCTTTTTTTTTTTTTTCTGTAGATTGTGTATCATTATCATGTTAATTATAAATTTTTATTAGACAATGATAAATGGGAAGAAGAAGAAGAAGACTATAGTGATGAGGATTATGATAGTGATGAAAACCCATTACCTAGTGCATCTAAATATCCTCCTTCAAAAGCTCAAAGAGAAGAGGATGAAAAGTTCAAAAAATGGTTATCTCATACGAAGGAAAGTACCATGTAATAAAATAGTATAATATTTTTGTCTTTTTAGAATTCGTATGATTGTACACATTCATACTATATATGTATTTTTTTTATGAGTATATTTTATATTTTTTAAGAAAAAAAAAATAAGAGAAACAAAATTTAACGATCCTCGGCCCATTCCTAATAAACAAAGTAAGAAAATTAGACCATGCTCTTATCTCTTTTAGTGTCTACTTACATTTTCCTTTTTAATTTGTGCTTCTTCTTCGGGAGTGAAATCATTTGTGATATTAAAAGTTCTTCTAATTTCTTCAGCAGTCTTACCCTTAATCATATTAGCAACAGTCTTACATCCAACATCAAGAAGGGGCTTGATATCAAGATAATTAGCAGCCTGTAAAATATATCAAATTAAGGTATAAGATATTTATTTTTTCTATCACGCTTTTTTTTTTTTTTTTTTTTTTTTTTTGGCTTACAAGGATGATGTCGAACAAAGTCTCTTGATCAACTTCCATGTACTTTTGATCCCATTCATCAATATCAGTATTGCGTCTTTCTTGATCATCTTGGGTAACAGGATCATCACGGTGATGAGTACACCATTCAATTACCTAAATGGACCAATGTTAATTTATGGTCTATAAAGAAACAAATAAATTTGCCTAATCATCTTTACCTTGCCTAGAACTTTAGATGTAACATTGGGGAGAGGAATTGGGGCATCAGAATCTCCAATATCTAAAAGCATGAACATAATGTGTGGTTTTTTTATTTTATTTTATTTTTTTTAGTAAGAACCGAAACTATTATTTTATTCACATTCATATACATGAATGTGGATCTCTTTGTCTTTATTTTTACCTTCCAACATATTTTTGATCAAAACAGAACGTTCGGCAACATCTTTGTCAACCTTGAACTCTTCATTATCAGAACTTAAAAGATGCACGCTCATGATTTCTATTATGTCTTTTTTTTTTTTACAATATAATTGTTGAGAAAAAAAAAGAAAAAAGAAGTTATTGAAGAAATTTAAAGAACTAGTCGGAGTTTAAAAGATGACGTACACAAAAAGAAAAGTGAATGAATTCACAATTCATAGTGTAAGCAAGCAAAAATACTAATAAAAGTTATGATTGTCATATGACGAAACACAGCCTTCTTTATATATGTCAAAATACATTATAGACAACCACTGTTCTTCTTGTTGTTGATTAGATTTTTTTTTAATAAGAAGGACACTATTATCGATTAAAGTAGTAATAAACATAATATGCATGGACAATAATAATTATTAAATATTACAGCAACATTATCATGAAGGGTTTATTATAATTAAGACGCGTCATTATACATTTAACAGAGTTATTCTATACTTAATGTATCCAAATAATAATGGAAAAGACGCGTCTATCTTTATAATTTATTTATTTTTTGTTTTGTTTAGCTGAAAGCCTGCTTTTCAATAATTTAGCATAGTTTGCATACATCACAAATGAGGGGTACTTGCTAGAAAATTGAAATAGATAAGAATATTTGCATATTTATACATGTATAAAAATGCCAAAAATATTACCCTTATTTAATATAGCCAAGTTTTAAATATAAATAATAGATGCAGTCTTTTTTTTTTTTTTTTTTTTTGTTAGTCTTTATTAACTAGTGATAAACATATACTTAAATATGTATAGTTTTCCTTTTTTTTATTGTATTTCTTTGTTTGCAGATTTTACTTGGTTAAAAACATTTACATATAAAGAGATTGTTTATTCCTAAAGGGAAATGAGTATGCAGCTACTTTACATTAATTTGTTATGCAGCAATAGCATCTACATATTAAGTCCTTTCTGATTTACACCACAGCCAAGTTTTTTTTTTATGATAATAGCTTTAAATAAAAGATTGACTGCTTTTTTTTTTTTGACTCTTCTCATTTCTTCATATATCCTTCATCCTATGAAAATAGATGTAGACTACTTTGAAATATCGAAAATAATCGTCTAACATAAGCTTTAAAGAATCTGAATTATGCATAGACGTATCTTGGGTCTATGTATTCGGCTTTTTAACTTGAATCCTTTGTTTACTGCTAGCATGCATTTATCTCTATTTCCTATTCGTATATAAAATAGAGAGTAGTAGTATATGATGATGATACATAATGATTACTATTCTATTGAATAGACATGTGACTTTTATTTATTTTATATTCCCTCTCTTCCTCCTCTTCTTAATATGAAACCATTCTATTATTTTAACACTCAAACGAAACGTCATCATATGTAATAAGAAAGAGTCATTATTACAGTGAGGAAGGGGTAAAATATATTAAAGGAACACAAAAGATGATTGTTAGTCGTATAATTATTGTATATATTCTAAACGAATAGGCGTATAATTAAACTAAGACTAAGACTAAGCATATGATTTAAAGTGCAAGAAAGGAAGAGGGTAATTATTACTTCAAATTGTTTATAATTACAAAAATGGTAAGAATTTTCTTCACCCAAATTAGAATTATTAAGATACACTGTCTGTCTTTTAGATTGTTTTTTTTTTCTGTCATTTTTAGTGCACCTAGTCATTAGAAAAAAAAATTTAAATACTAATAACTCTTCGAGTTTTTATCTAAATACAATATTTGAAATCAGGGAAATTAGCTCTTTCATTTCATATAAAAGTATTTGGGAAAATCAATTTTTTTTTTAAAAAAAAACATGGTGAAAGTAGGAGCTATTTGCAGTGGACGCTAGCTTTTTGAAATTTGGCTTATGGGCTTTTGTTCCAAAAGCTGTTACGGATCTTAAAAAAATAGACTGAAATTTAATAAAATATTGATAAGACAAAAAAAAAAAAAAAAAAAAAAAAAAAAAAAAAAAAAAAAAAAAAAATAGCATACTGTTCACTAAAGACTAAAAAAAAAGGTCGTTCAGTTTGACATATATTTATAATAATTAAATTAGGGGTAAGGAGACTGGTGACTAATTATTTGAAAATACGCGATATTGGGATGTTACCAACCTTAGCTGCTCATGCTTAGATACTGTTTTTTAATAAAAAGCATGTTCTAGATGCCATTCTTGAAAGCTCTTGGTCTGGTCAGAGGTCTAGCTACTGGCTGTATAGCTGCCTCATTTACGTCATGATGATTGCAAGGTCCTAAAACCTATTTATCTGATACGAGACTAATAATTGCTAGAAATGGCTTTTAGCAATAAAGACTCTAGACAAGTTACCAAAAGGCCGGTGTTGTATCATATTTAATGTGAGGCTTTCTCGTTGCTAATAACGAAAAATCTCTTAAATTTACGACACCTTATAAAATACTTCGTATGCAATCTCTATAACATTTTCGTACCTTTTACTACGTGGTGAGCTGTCATATTTACATATCATCACGTCTTTTTACTAACAAGCTTACCCTCTCTTTTTAACTCATATCTCAATTCTTTTACTACAACAAAATATTCATTCAATTTTTTTTTCGAAAACTTATGAAATACAGTAAGCTTTCTCATCGACTTACTGTTTTCTTACGTTTTTATCCCCAATATGACATCCTTGAACACATATTATAATAAATTTAGTTGATAAATAAAAAGAAGAAGATAAAAGGTTTATTAAGTAAACTGCCAATTGAGTAACTGTTTTACTAGCCAACCTTTTCCCCCTGAGGTCACCATGTTCATCTTTGTAAAAAAAAAGTGTTCTTTATCATACTAGTTAGTTATAAGAGCGATGTCTTTACACCATAGTCGACAATAGCCACCAGTAACATCAGTTTGACTTCGCCCAAAAAGACAATATAAACTTTCAAAAACGACAATCGGTTGCTTAAAAAAGCATAACATAATCATTTCCCAGCTGGACGTATTGCCGAACGAACGGCTCAAAAGTTAGCTAAAAAGACTTAAAGAAGATAAGGACTGGAATATTTTTTTTTTTTAAAAAAAAAAGAAGACAAACTTAGTTAATGGACCAAAGACTTAGCTAGGACCAGAACATGAAAGTCACCTAGTAGTTTTTTTTTCGATGATAACTCGCAAGCACGATTGACTGACGCAGTTGATTCTCTCATTCACAACTTTGCAGACTTAAGCATTAAAAAAAAAGTACTGTTCATAACTTCTTGAAGATCGAGTGTAATCTTTCTTTCTAGAAAGTAACACTTCAACCAGTTGCTAGAAACAATAGTACGATGATCGGTAATCGACTGGTTTGGTTCAAACAATAGACTGTAACGGATATAAATTATCTTGAAAAATACGTTTTTGTAAATGAATCTGTTTTTCAATATCAACATGCAACCTTTAGGTGGTTAAACTGAAAAAGGGAAAATCAGCTATTGTAACCACTTCCTCTAGGAGAAGTAGTATCTCATACGATTTTGAGCGCCATTTCTTCTAAGTTTGTTATATCCATGGAGCTTCGAAACTCTCCCTCCCTCCCCCACCAAAAGGAATGATCTAAATGCACCAAGATTGATTTTTACACTCGCAAAAGAAAAGCACCATCTAGTAACAAAAAAAAAAAAAAAAAAAAAAAAGAATCTGTACCTAAAGGTACTGTTACTGGCCATTATCTTGTATTTCTTGAGAAAACTATGGACGATATGGACTGTCTCCCTAAAATGAAGGGTCATTACATAGTTATGGATAATATGCCTATTCAGGCTGCTTAAGAAACAAATAAATTTATAACTAGGAGAAGCTATAAGCCTATTTATCTTCTATCCTATTCCACAGAGCTCAACCCAATCGAGCAGTTTTGGGCAACAATCAAGAACAAAGTCAGGCGTAGTAAGTTTGGGGACAAGGAGGACCTAGCTACACAAATTTCTAAAGCTTGTAATTCTGTTCCTCCCAATCGTCTCCATGCGTTTGTACAGCATTCTGCGAACGTTTTTGAAAAGTGTTTAAATGAGGAATATATTTAAATCAACACTCAATAAATAAAGATTGTTAAAGATATCAAACTTCAAGAAAAAAAAAACGCTGTCTTTTGGTAGGATAAGAACCGCCTTTTAACAAAATAAAAATCGTTTTTTTTTTCAAAAAGCCGCGCTTTGGCGTTGGAACGACTGTATATGATGATTTCTATTATAGATACATGAATATTTATTGTATTCTTTTTTTATTAATAATCGAAAGACTTTCCTGTTAAAGAATAAAATGACTTTTATAGTATAGAATTCCTTTTTAGGATAAAAAGTCCGCTCCCTCTTTTTAAGTACATGTAAGACACAATAATAATGATATATATAAAAGCAACTATAAATATCCTTTCATTTCGTTTTATTTATTTTTTGTTTTTTGTTTTTTTTTACCACGCTTTTTTTTCACCTTACTTTCTTTTCGTTTTCTCTCTTCATTTTGAATAAGGATGTGTACTTCAGCTGCAAAGAACCCTGAACGTCAAGTTTTACCTACTAATGTCAAACCTACTCATTATGATTTGACTCTTCAACCTAATTTGAAAACTTTTGTTTTCCAAGGCCATGTTAAAGTCAGGTAAAGTACAAAGCATATTTAGTTTAAAATAATAACAGTGGTAAACAAAAATAAAAAAAAAAACTGACATATTATTTCTATGAACCTCTCTACATAAAAAAAAAAAAGTTTGAATGTCAATGAAGATACTAAGGAAATTACTCTTAACACACATGATATCAAAATTCATTCTGCTGTCTTATACTCTGAAGACCTTAAGACTGAGTCAAAGTAAGTATGATATATTATTTTATCTCAAAGAAAAAATAGAGTACTAAAGATCATCAAATTATAGACAAAATGCTACTGATATTTCATATAATGAAAAGAAAGATTTAGCTATTTTAACTTTTGGTGAGACAGTTCTTGCTAATACAAAAGCAGTTTTAGAAATCACTTTTGAAGGTGAATTGAATGATAGTATGGCTGGTTTCTACAGATCATCTTATAAAGATGCTGAAGGAAACACACAATACTTGGCTACTACTCAATTTGAATCAACAGATGCTCGTAGAGCTTTCCCCTGTTGGGATGAACCTAGTCTTAAGGCTACTTTTGATGTTACCTTGGTTGTTCCCTCTGAACTTGTTGCTTTATCCAATATGGATGTTATTTCTGAAAAACCTTATCAAGATACTGGTAAATTAGCTGGTAAGATGGAAGGCAAGACAGAGTTGAGTGATCACAGTTTGAAGGAAGTTAAATATGCTACAACTCCTATGATGAGCACTTATCTTTTAGCTTTCTGTGTTGGTCCTTTTGAATACATTGAATCATTCACTAGTGGTGAACATAATGGTAAACCTATTCGTGCTCGTGTCTATACTTTGCCTGGTGCTTCTGAACAAGGTCGTCATGCTTTGAACGTTTGTACTAAAGCCCTTGAATATTTTGCCAAGGTATTTGGTGAGCCTTATCCTCTTCCTAAGGTTGATATGGTTGCCATTCCCGATTTCGAAGCAGGTAAAAGACATATATATATATATATATATATATTGTGAACTATGGAGTATTCATTTTTTTTTATAGGTGCTATGGAAAATTGGGGTTTGATCACGTACAGAACAGTTGCTTTATTATTTGATGAAAAATCTTCATCTATTGTATATAAAAAGAGCACAGCATATACTGTATGCCACGAATTGGCTCATCAATGGTTTGGTAATTTGGTCACCATGGAATGGTGGGAACATTTGTGGTTGAATGAAGGCTTTGCTACTTGGGTAGGTTGGCTTGCTGTTGATAATATCTTCCCTGAGTGGGATGTTTGGACATCGTTTGTAAATGACGATATGCCTCGTGCCTTGAATCTTGATGCCCTTCGTTCTTCTCATCCTATTGAAGTTGCTGTCAATGATCCTGCTGAAATTCATCAAATCTTTGATGCTATCTCTTATTATAAGGGTGCTAGTGTGATTCGTATGTTGAGCTCATGGCTTGGTGTTGATACCTTTTTGGCTGGCGTTAGACGCTACTTGAGTCGTCACAAGTTTGGTAATGCCTCTACAAATGATTTATGGACCGCCTTGAGTGAGGAAGCACAGGTTGATGTCTCCAAGTTTATGACTTTATGGACTAAGCGTGTTGGTTATCCTGTCTTGAATGTCAAGAAGAATGATGATCATTCCATTCAAATCACACAATCTCGTTATCTTTCTACTGGTGACTTGAAGGAAGATGAAGATGATACTGCCTGGTGGGCTCCTCTCAGTATGCTTACCTCCGACAAGAAGGTTGAATCTTATACTTTGACTGAAAAATCTCAAAACTTTGATATCCCCTCTGATGGTTTATTCAAACTTAATGCTGGTCAAACCTGTGTTTATCGTGTCAACTATCCTATGGAAGTAATCCGTGTCCTTGCTGAAGAAGTCAAGAAGGGTGATAAGGGTCTTTTGACGAACACCGCTGATCGTGTTGGTTTGATTGCTGATGCTGGTAGTTTGTGTGTAAGTGGCGAACAAACGACAGCTGCTTTCTTAGAATTGGCTCAAGCCTTTGTAAATGAAGATAACTATTTTGTTTGGTCTCAATTGAGTACTCATCTTAGCAAGATTCTTAGTGTTTGGTATTTACAACCAGAAGAAGTTCGTGACGGCCTCAAGGCCCTTCGTCGCAGTTTATTTGCCCCCTTGGCACATAAACTTGGTTGGGAGTTTGCTGAATCAGATGATTATCTTACAAGCAATTTACGTGCACTTGCCATTGCTAATGCAGGTCGTTCTAAGGATTCTGAAACGGTTGAAGAAGCCAAGAAGCGTTTCTCACAATTCATGGAAGGTAATATGGATGCTATTCATCCCAACTTGCGTGGTTCTACTTATAGCATCGTCTTGGGTGCTGCATCAGACGATGAAGAGGAAGAAAAGAGAGTATGGGAAGAAATCTTGAAGATTTACCGCGATGAAAGTTTGCCTACTGATCAACGCTTGATCGCCCTTAGCGCCTTGGGTGGTGCTAAGAGTAAGTCCTTGGTTCAAAGATATTTGGAAATGTCATTAGATGAAAAGGAAGTTCGAGGACAAGACTCTTTATATGTCTTTAGATCAGCATCTACTAACCCTAATGCTCGTGATCTTTTCTGGGAATTCTTCAGCAAGAACTATGAACTTCTTCATTCCAAGTTTGCCAAATCTTTGAATTTGTTTGCTTCTGCTGTTCGTTCTGCTGTTGATGGATTTGTTACCTTTGAACGTATTTCTGAAATTGAAACCTTCTTTGCTGATAAGGATACAAAGGAATATGATCGTCCTCTTCAACAAGCATTAGAAGCCTGTAAAGTAAACGCCAAGTGGGTTGAAAGAGATCATCAATTGGTTGCTGACTGGATTAAAGATAATTTGAATAGCTTTGCTTAAAAAAAAAAAAAAAAAAAAAAAAAAAAGAAAAAAATAATAATAATTTTTCTTTTTTTTTGTAACAATGTAAATATATCTTGTTTTTTTTTAAAAAAAAAATAAACTATAATATTAGCTCCATTATTCTAATTTGTAGTACTTTATTTATCATTCAAAAGAAGAAAAAAAAAAAAAAAAGAAAAGAAAAGAAAAAAAATTTTTTTAATAATATATCTTTATAACATTTGCGTGCATGTTAATGGTTATATAAATATATTTTTTTTTCTTTTTATCTATTGAGCAGGAGCGGCAGGCTGAGCTTGAACAATAGAGTAACCAAACTTAATAATTAAGCCCTTAATGACATTATAAGCATTTGGTACAAAAGCGGGGATACGAGGATCTGCTGAAGGGGGTAAAAGTAATTTATCAAACTTGATGCGAAGTTCAGTAAATGTTTGACGTGTATAAGTTGATAAATGATAACGGAAGCGAAGGAATTGGGCATACAAAATAAAAGGCAAGAAGTTGAAACTAGTAGGAATAGCATTAGCATCTCTCACTCACTCACTCTCACTCTCACTCTCTCTAAAAGATATCTTTCAATCACACACACACACACATATATATATATACATATATACATTTGTATCTTCTTCCTCTCCTAAATTATTTTTACTTACCGTAATAAACCCAAAACTAAACGAAGTGCAATCATTGTGACTTCAGATTGAGCAACAAAACGCATTGCAACTGTATAGTATTTATCAGTCCAAGATTTAATTGTTTGTTGAGTCTTAGCTTGCCATGTTGCAGGAGCAGAAGCATCTGTTGTGGTAGGTCGAGGGAAGATATTAGGAATAATATTAGTACGAACATATCCAAGAGCATGGAAAACCGAGAAAGTAACAAATGGGATTAAAGTAACTGTAAAGAGAGAGAAAAAAAAAGAAGAAGAAAGAGTAAAGATTATTACAGTGTTAAAAAAAAATATCTTTTTCTTTTCTTTTACCAGCAATTGGATTAGTAAAGAACCAAAAGAATGCAAGTAATAAATATTGGGCATTTTCATCCATAACCAATTTACGGGCATATTCAGCGTTTGGGCGAGGCTTCTAATAAATAAATAAAAAAATTAATACACATATGCAATAATAATAATTAGTGTATTATGAGGTCATAAATTGACAAATAAGACTTACACCATGAGATTTATAAATGACTACACCATATGATAACAATGCTCCAAAATAAGCCATTTTATAGTAGTATCGGTTTGCACGAAACAAAATAAGAGTTAATGCATATAAGAATGAACCGAGAATAGTCAATACATGACCCGAAAACCAAACAAATTGAAGGGTCTAACTCAATAAAATAAGTTTATACTTGAATTTTTTTTAAAAGATAGTTTCGAGTGTCCTATATATATATACCTTAACAAGTGCAAGAATACGATCTTGTAATGAAGTAGATGATGCTGGTGGCGCCATTAAAATGCAATTAAATAGAATAAAAAGAAAGAAAGAAAGAAGAAAAAAAAAGTCAATTACACGTAAATGTTAAAAAAAAAGAAGCGTCGGCATCTCATTTTTAAATTCAATCTGTTGTCTTTAAAAGAATAAATAAATAAATAAATAAATATTACGTTGCACTTGATTGCATACAAGATGTATAAAACTTCCTCCTTTTAGAATACTGCTCAAGTGAATAGAAACTTTCTAATAGAAATTAAACAAAATAAGAATCTCCTTTTTTTTTTCGATCAAGGGGTTAAATACTTGTCGTAAATTCAATACAAAAAGAACCAAAACTAACAAAATAAATAAGACTTATTATGAATTAAAACAAGTTATTATATTTTGTCCATAAACGATTAAACTAACTTGAATCAAATTTGCTTATTTTTGCATTCTTTTTTTTATATTTATTGTATTATTCCTTACAAGCTAAACAAACTATATCACGTCTGTGTAGCAGGAAAAAAGAAAAGACACTACGCTCCCTGGACTACTCGCATTGTATACTTGAAATTATAATAGAATACTAGTAGAGAAATTCTAATTCTGTACAACAACAGAATAATGAAGTTCAACAGAATTTTCTTCCGTATGCAACAGAAGTCTATTGTGATGTACTTTAGATTAATAGTAACAAAAATAATATATTAATATTACTATTGAGCTTACAATATGATTAATATATATAAATGGAAAGTACATAATAATATAGCCATAATCTATGCTACTATCTATTTCACTCTTCTTCCTATTTTGTACGTCATATTCAAACAAAAAGCTTCTTTTTTTTTCTTTCTTTTAAGAAGGAAAAGCTCTGCCTAAATTTACTCTATCCAGCGAACTTAAAATGCACTGTTCTTTAAATTTGACTATAGAATTATGTCATGGAAATAGAGTTTCCTGAGTATTCCTGATTTAATTCATTTTTTGAGGCTGTTAATATGATTTTTATATATACAGAACAATGTATATTGTATCTCTTACAATGGTTTCTTTTCAACATAACTTTTCTTTTCTATTCAAAGACTTTCATAGTTAAGGTCTGTTTCTTTTAAAACGACTCTACAATAGAGAAAAAAAGTATAGTCCATTCTAACTTTAACCAAAGTTTTCTCGATTACTCGCATTATTTACTAACCAAGAAAAAAAAAAAAAAAAAAAAAAAAAGGCAAGAGTAATAAGCCCAGCTGCTTGACAAAAAAAAAAAAAAAAAAAAAAAAAGGAATAAACAGTGACTAATAAAAATTTTCGAGAAAACATTTCTTTTGATTTTTTTTTATGCCTAGAACTCGTTCAAAGAGAGGTATATTAGAAAAGGCCTCTCTGGAGGCAGTTGCTCAATACATTAAAGATAACGATGGTAAATTTAAATTCTATTTTTGCATGTAAATAAATAGTAAATGACATTGACATAATTTTATTTCAATTCAAGTTAAAAACATCATTGTAATGTCTGGCGCTGGCATCTCTACTGCTGCTGGTATTCCTGACTTTCGTAGCAAGGGCACTGGCTTATATCACAATCTTCAGAAATTTAATCTTCCTTATGCTGAAGCTGTTTTTGATATTGAATATTTCCTTGTAAAAAAAAGAAAAGAAAAGAAAAAGAAAAAGAAAAAAAGAAAAGAAACAACGTTCTCTAGAAGCTAATATACATTTATAATTTAAATTGTTTTATATATAGGAAAGACCGGAGCCTTTTTATGCATTAGCTAAAGAACTTTATCCTGGTAGATTTCTTCCAACAAAAACTCACTATTTTATACGACTTTTACAAGAGAAAGGAATTCTTTTAAGAAATTTTACACAAAATATCGATACACTCGAACGTATGACAGGCTTAGATCCAACGTATATTATTGAAGCACATGGTAGTTTTGCAACTGCTTCTTGTGTTGAATGTAAAAGGAGAGCAGATCCTGAAATGGTGAAGAAAGCAGCTTTAAAGGGACAAGTACCTCGATGCATAGATTGTGATCAATTAGTTAAACCTGACATCACCTTTTTTGGTGAAAATTTGCCTAAACGATTCTTTCATCATCTTCAGGTATTTTATGATCGCATCCATATTTAAGAGCAGCTTATTAATCTGATAAAAATAGGATTTTGAGAGAGCTGACTTATTAATTATTCTTGGTACAAGTTTACAAGTTCAACCATTTGCTTCACTTATTGAGGAAGTTCCTGAACATGTGCCTAGACTTTTAATTAATAAAGAACTAGCTGGTGTTCATAGTAAATCAAGAACAAGTGGTTTTGACTTTGAATGGAAAAATGGATTAAATCGTGATGTTGCTTATTTGGGTAGTTGTGATGACGGTGTAAAAAAGCTTGCTGAATTATTAGGTTGGGAAAAGGAATTAGAGCGTCTATATACAAAGGGTAACGAGAAATTAAAGGCAGTTTGGAAAGCTGAAGAAGAAGAAAAAGAAGAAAAAACAAAAGCTACAGAAGAAGAGGTTATTGTAGATCAAAAGAAGGATCCTGAAGTCGAACAACTAGCTGAAGAACTTGAACAAAAGTTAACTACATTACAAAAGGAAGATTCATGTCAAGAACAAAAAGAAACGGCCGAGGAAAAGGAAGATAAAGATGAGAAAAAAAAATGAAACTTCCTAAATCGAAGCCCTTGAATATAAATACTGATGACAAGCTGAAACCATTTATTTTGTTACTAGACTATTATATTGGCATTATAAATATAATTTACATATCTATCTATCTATATACACATATAATATAGTATATATACATACGTATACATATACATATAGATATAGATATAGATATAGATATAGATATAGATATAGATATAGATATAGATATACATACACATATACGTATACATATACATCTACATATACTCAGTAAATAAAATTAATATATCATTTTTAATGATGTTTTGTTTGAAATAGTTTTGTTAATAAAAAAAAAAAAAGAAAACGAGCATCCTATATGGTAAAGATAGATACTTATGCAGCAGTAATAGTTTGATGGCAATATTCTATATAGATATTATCATATACAGTAGCTCAATTCTACTGCTACCCTCTTTTTATTTCTCTTCTTTCTATATGGTTTTATTAAATACGCTTGTATACTTTAAATGCTAGTTGATTTCATTATTACTATGATAGTGTTACTTTTACCTATTATGACTTTAACTATTTGACCTTACTATTAGTTAATGCTGTATAAGTATCATACATTCCATTTTAAAACAAACATACACTAATAACTACTTTATAATCGTATTTGTAAGTTTTGAACCAGTACAATTGCAGTAGATTGAGTTTTAAATAAGTTTTCGGGTTCTGCCTTTTTTTTTTTTTTTTTTTATTTTTATTTTTTTTTCCTCATAATTTATTAAAATGGGTTTTCATTTTATTTTATTTTTCTTTATTATTAAAATTTTACTATGGTGGATACAACTTCTTCCCTAGTAAAACGAAGAAAAATTTCTCAAAAGACTGCTTTATCAGATAAAGCATCTCGATATCCTATTAGTCTACATTTTTCAGCTTTAATATATAAACAAGCACCTACCTCAATCTCTATTTCTCCACAGAGTATCTTGACCTGTGCACCTATTCCACCCAACCCGACTGAATTTAACGTTATTGATGGTGATATCTTTAGTTTGAATGGATCTATTCGTAAAGTGCATGTCAAACTATTGGAAGATTATCACAAACAACATACAATCACTCATCTAAAATGGAATCAAAAAGGAAATGTTCTCGCGTCTGCAGATGAAAGCGGTCATTTAGCTCTATGGCAGATTAAAGTAATGTATACAGTTTTATGCTCTACTCCCGTCCTATATATATATAAATATATATAATTGCTAACTTTTAATGGTATTCATTTCTGTATTTGTAGAGTTCAATCCATGATTGGGAATTAATTTATAAAGTAGACATTAAACAACCTTTGGCAGCATTCCTTTGGTTAAATTCTGAACGTCAGGTAAAACATATACATGTTAATCAACCTTTATGTGAGCTTACACTTCTAACCATTCATATAGTATTCAGCACAGTCTAAAAACACATTAAGCCGTGATCCTATCTTTGGGCCTCGTAATCCTTATGGACAACTCGGATTCATTACAGTTACAGTGCATGGTGAAATCACAGTTCATTATCAAAGAAATGGTTCCTTGTTTTCTAGTTTTTCAACACCAATACCAAATATTGGAAGACGTGAAATTAGTCGAGCCGATGCTGGATGTTTCGGCATGTCTCTTGCTGGACTGGATGACTGGGAAAGAATCTCACATGCAGACATTACCTTGGACAGGGATGGGTTGATTATTCTTGCTATACATAATGCTTCAATTCAACCAAAATCAATATCACTTCATAAAATTAAAATAAAGTTTCCAAAGAGATCAAATGAAAAGGGAGCTATAGAATGTAGACCAACAACAACACTAAAATTACAGCCCCATCATAACCTACTTAAGGATAACCATATTACTCAGCTTGTCTTCAAAAAGAATACTTTACCAGTTGAACTTGTCATTGGATTAGGAGGTAAAACGAAAGATTAACCTTATTGCCTTTTTATTTATTTTATAATAGAGAAAGGAGATAAATATCAATCGTTTATTTCAACTTGGCAATTGAAAAAAACAAAGCAAGTAATTTCGAATAATACATTTGGGAATATTACGAGTGAACGAGAATGTTTATTGTACAAGTCAGGGACAAGAATTGAAGGACGATATATAGCAGCACTTCAATCATCAAATACATCCAAGATGATTGTTGGACTCTCTGATGGAAGTATTTATATAGAGAAAGAGACTTCATCATTAACGAACAGTATAGATGATCCCAACTCATATTGGAAAGTAGTTGATTCTCATAAGATGAGTGATGGCTATGTAGATCCTATTGTAGATTTGAGTCTATCACCCAACGAAACTCATATAGTCTATACATTTTCATCCGGAAATCTTGGTGTTTCTAGAATTGTAGATGACACAGTAATAGATGGTAAAATACAGAAACATACTGCTATATAGTTAGAACTAACTTGCTTTATATATATGTATATATATCGGAATGGCTGTATAGTGAGTGAAGTTAGCTGTAAATTAAAGCTATGCTTATTAAATAATGTGGATTATCTTGACTTGATATCTGTAATTATTTATTTAAGTAAGCAAGAAGGCTATGCAGGTATTAAATAAAAAAAAAAAAAAATTAAGTCTAGTTGGATGCAAATTTTTATTTTTTTGCTTTGATAGATAAACCAGAAGAAATTTTAAACGATGTATTAAATATGTACGAAGCTTATTATTACAATTGTATGAATCTTAATGGTAATTTAGAATCAAATCAACCTCTTGAAAACTGGAGCCTTGCACACTTGGAAAAGGCATATTCTATTGCAATGGCGGTTTATAAACGATTACCAGAGAGAGAAGTTCAGAGTATTAATCTTTCAAGGGCTGTTCAGTTACCAATTATCCTGGAGACCTTTTTAAATAATTGTACTCTAAGCTATTCAGATATTATGAACATATTGGAAAAGAAGTCAATTGATGATGATCATGTTCAGCTAGAATTTTATGCAAATAGTTTATGGACACTCGCATCGTTATCTACTTGGACCTTAGATTATTTGAAATGGATCCTAAAAGAATGGAATATGTTATTTAACTATAAAAGACCGAAAAATTCAAGTAAGTAAAGATATACGTATGTATTGACCCTATTACTTATATATGCATATATATATATTTTTTAGAGTATAATAATATAAGTGAAAAGCCAGTACATGCAGTATTATTACTTCATCAAGATTCAAGGATTGTATTATGTAAAATATTAAAAATGATTCACCATTTTATTAGATATACAACTACTGCCACTTATCAATTAGAAAAATCACCAGAATCACAGCCTTTATTACAAAAATATACATCCACTTTATTAAATAATGGGATTATTTCCCTTGAAGAAATCATACATTTTCTAAATGCATTAGAAGTGATAAAGCCAATCAATACTGGTAAATACATAAATATGTATATACTATTTATAGTCTGCTAACCCTCCCTTTTAATACAAGACACAATAATAGAAAATCGATGGTCAATATTATTAACATCCAATTTGAAGAAATACAAAATAGAAGATATACAAAAGATTACTAATGAATACAAGGATAAATGTGTTAAGCCTTCGATTTATATTGATACTCAAGAACCAAATACGTTAGATATTGTTTGTAAAAGAATGGGTATACACTGTATAATGTAAATAAAATGCGTATATCTATCTTGACTCCTTCCTCCACTTTAAACCATCAAATATCGATAATACTTGATATACACTTTCTTTCTTTCTTTATATGTCATAAGTTGTTGTTAAAGCTAGTATTATTTTACTCGTTTTTTTATGTAGAAAAAAATACATAGAAAATAGCTACTAAGTATTATTCTTTAACTATTCTAGCATAAAATTATTCTTATTTTAGGACTTTTTTTATAAGCACCACGTCGCGAACAAAAATTAAAAATAAAATAAAAGAAAATAAAATAAAAAAAAATTTTTGAGTCTAAATGTTCGCGCTTACCATTAACAATTTGATTTCTTAACTTTCTCTTTTTTTTTTTTTTTTTTTTTGATTTTTTGTATATTTTTTTTTTTTATAAATAATGTCTTTACAATTAGATTATAAACGTTTTCATAGAAGAGCCCGTTATCTAATAAACAAATGGAAGGTAGAATTTCATTTATTAAGTTTGACATGTGTCCTTGTCTTTTTAACTTATTTTGGTTACGCTTTTTTTTTTTTTTTTTTTAGAATGATGCAGAATTATTCCAAAATGTGGATGCTGTTGCTGTTATTGTTGGTGATGACGATTATGAGAATCCATATCTTAAATCCCTTACAATTCAAGTAATTATTTTTGATTGATTAACTTGATCTTTCCAGTTTGTATCTAACTTTTTTTTTTATTCATTTGTTTTTTTTTTGCTAGACTTGGTTATTAGGAATGCCCATTTATCAATTTTTAATGGTCATTACACCTGATAAAATTACTTTCCTTTGTAGTCACAAAAAGGCTGATATTATTGAAACACTTAAACAAGGTGATAAACAGGTTCCAATTGATATCATTCGTAGAGGAAAAAATCTTGACGAAAATGTTCCTTTATATGAAGCCATTATTAAACAATTAAACAATGTAAATAACAACACTAAAAACTATCTATTTTCAGATGATTAATTTTTTTATTAATAGAAACGAGTCGGTGTTTTTGTAAAAGATAAATTTAAGGGCAAGAATATTGATGAATGGCAAAAGGCATGTACTCAATATAATAAAGAATATGAAGAAGTGGATGTTTCAATTGCTATTTCTGCTTGTTTAGCTGAAAAGGATGAAGAAGAAATTGTAAGTAAACTCTAAGTTACATTAATTTATATTAAACAATGTCATTGAATAGAGAAATGTCAGAACTGCGGCAAAAATTAGTTCAAATATGATGCAATATTTTTTTACTCCAGAAATGTCTACTTACATTGATGAAGAAAAACCTATAACAAATGAAAAATTAAGTGAATTAACAGAAAATGCTTTAGAAGATCCTAAATTGACAAAGCGTATTCGTATTCCACCAGAGGTAAGCAATAGATAATTGTATATCTATATCTATTATATGTATTAGTTATTAATATGGTTGCTTTTTTTTTACCTTAGGTTGAAAATCAAGACGAAATTGATTGGTGCTATTCACCTATTGTTCAAAGTGGCGGGAAATTTGATTTAAGATCATCAGCAACATCAAATTCAGATAAACTTTATCCAGGTGCCATTATCTGTAGCTTAGGTATTCGTTATAAATATTACTGTTCCAACATTAGTCGTACATTTTTGATCGATCCTAGCAAGACGCAAGAAAAGAATTATGAGTTTTTATTAGAGGTGCAGGATCGTGTGTTGAGTAGTATTCATGATGGCGTCAAGATTCGTGATATCTATCAAAAGGCAATTGCTTTAATTAAATCAAAGCGTCCTGATCTTGAAAAGAATTTTATTAAGAATGTTGGTTTTGGTATGGGTATCGAGTTTCGTGAGGCAAACTATGTGTTGAATGGTAAAAATACGCGTGAATTGAAAAATGGTATGATTCTTAATGTTCAAGTTGGTTTCTCTGATCTCGAAAATCCCAAGGCAACTGATGCTCGTGGTCAGACCTATGCTCTCATGTTGGTTGATACTGTACGTGTCACACAGGATTCAGCTATCATCTTGACCTCTGACTGCAGTAAGAAGCTCAATAAGATTTCTTATTTCTTTGATGAGGAGGAAGACGGGAATAAGAAGGAGACAGGAGATGCTAAGAATAAGGCAGATCCTGTTGCATCAGGACCTGCTGCTGCTGTTAAACGAGAATCAGTTGCAAAATCAGCTATCCTTCGTAGCAAACTTAGAAATGAGGACCAAGACGAAGAATCACGTGAACAAAAACGTCGAGAACATCAAAAGCAATTATTTGCTCAGAAATTGGCAGAAGGTCTTGCAAGATTTTCTGAATCATCAGGTACAGGTGACGGTGAAGAGAAACCTATGTTCCGTAAATTTGAAAGTTATCGTTCAGATGCCAAATTACCTCGTGAAGTTCGAGATCTGAAGATTGTAATTGATAAGAAGCATGATTCTATCATTTTACCTATTTATGGTATGGCTGTTCCTTTCCACATCTCTACACTTAAGAATGCTAGTAAGAGTGATGAAGGTGATTATGTGATGCTCCGTTTAAATTTCTTAAGTCCTGGTCAGGCAGGTGGTAAAAGAGAGGGTATGCCCTTTGAGGATGCAAATGCTACCTTTGTTCGTGCGTTAACCTTCCGAAGTGCTGATACGTATCGTATGAATGAAATCTTTAGAGGTATTACAGAAATGAAGAAGGAGGCGACCAAGAAGGAAGCTGAACGTCGTGAAATGGCTGATGTAGTTGAACAAGATAATCTTATTATGGTGAAGGGCCGTCGTCCCCTTCGTTTACCTGATGTCATGGTACGTCCTCAAAATGAATCCAGACGTCTCCCCGGTGAACTTGAGATACATCAAAACGGTATTCGTTACCAATCCATTCGTTCTGATTCCTCCTTTAATATCTTGTTTAGTAACATTAAACACCTCTTTTTCCAACCTTGTGATAATGAACTCTTAGTCTTGATTCACATTCATTTCAAGAATCCTATCTTGATTGGTAAAAAGAAGACGAAAGATATTCAATTTTATCGTGAGGCATCTGATATTCAATTTGACGAGACGGGTAATAAGAGACGTAGATATCTTCATGGCGATGACGATGAATTAGAATCTGAACAAGAAGAACGCCGTCGTCGTGCAAATCTGAATAAAGAATTCAAATCATTTGCAGAAAAGATTGCAGAAGCAAGTGATGGACGTGTTGAATTAGATATTCCCTTTAGGGAACTTGGCTTCCAAGGTGTACCTAATCGATCCAACGTTTTATTACAGCCTACCACAGATTGCTTAGTGCACTTATCTGATCCACCTTTCCTTGTCATTTCTTTAAATGAAGTTGAGTTAGCACATCTTGAACGTGTTCAATTTGGATTAAAGAACTTTGATATGGTGTTTATATTTAAAGATTATAATCGAACTCCTGTACACATTAATACAATTCCGATGTCACAATTAGATAATGTAAAGGATTGGCTCGATTCTGTTGAAGTTGCCTTTACTGAAGGACCAGTCAATTTGAATTGGAGTATGATCATGAAGACTGTGAACGATGATCCTGGAGAATTTTATCGTAATGGAGGTTGGAATTTCCTTGGTACAGGAAGTGATGAAGAAGGATCAGATGCGGGATCCGAATCTGGTAGTGAATTTGAATTAAGTGAAGATGATTTTGAAGAAAGCTCTTCTGAAGATGATGAAAGTGAAGCCTATTCTGAAGCTTCTGAAGAATCAGAGGAAGAAGAAGAATTATCAGATTCTGGTGAAGGTAAATTTAAAGATTTGATAGTATAATTAAATATAAGTATTTGGGGTTTTTTTTTTAAAAAATATATATATATATATATCTTATTTAGATTGGGATGAGTTAGAAGAAAATGCTCGAAGAGGTAAATAATGCTTATAACATAGAATATTCTTTATTTTAACGTATATATTATTGTAGCCGATGAGCGTAAAGCAAAAAGAAGCCACGATTTTGATGAAGCGCCTAGCAGAAAGAAGAGTAGACGTTAAGATGAGATTATCATTTAATATAAGATAAAATATATTTTGTACAAATCAAAAAATACACGTTTAAAAACGTATATTTTATACTCAATTCACATTTATAATATATTCTACGTACATATGCAAATAAATAATAATTATACAAAAAAAAAGACGAATATCACCATTTTTACTGTAAGGCTGGTAAATATTGGCCGATTTAGAAATTTAAATGATGAAAATAAAAAAATAATTTGACCCTAACCAAAAAATAATTTGGCAAAATGATAAAAAAATGATAGGCTGTTCTGAAATATTTTATTGGCTCAATGGAAAAAAAATATTTTGGCAGCTTTAAGATTGGCGATTGATTAAAAATGACAATAAGTAATATGACGCTTAGAATGGCCGCATAATCCGCGAAGGTCACAAACGTGTACATTATTGTAAGCATCGGCAATTATCTGTGATAAAGTCTCCTCTGTCATCTGGTTCTCGTACTTCATTTTTCCTTTTACAATAGTCCAAAAGTTTTCGATTGCATTCAACTCTGGTGAATACGGAGGTAAATACATGACTCTGTAACCTCTGCCCTCAATTTTTCGAATTATAAGATGCGATTTGTGAATGGTGCAATTGTCCGTCACAAGATAACTGCCTTTTAGGCCTTTGTCCGTATCCATAATGTCAAGTAGTTCATTTATGAACTTTATAAAATGAGTCATAGTAGTGCCTTTTGAGGGGGCTTTATTGGCTTCAGTTCTGTCAACGTGTTCAATCTCGACATACTCTACCACAGGTTTCTCAATGACGATCTTGCCCGCTCTTTGTTTGCCCTTTGCAAGCTTTCTCTTTTTTGATTTTTCACTTTTATTTGCCGCAGATTTTGGAGCCTTCCCCTTTCTTGGTGGGGTTTTTTTCATTGCGACATGAATAACACTGGAGGAGCGGATAGCACCGACGATGGTGTGAGATGGTGCACGAGTCTTCTCAAGCTCTACAAAGGCAGGGATTCCTATAGCTGACCTTGCCCAGCTGCTCCTCATATTAATATTAAAGCCAGCCTCATCAATGAAAACGCAGTTTTTATCGAAGTCTAGATCTGAATCCTTCCACTTCATGAACCATTCATATCTTGTTTGTAGGTTATCAACTGAGTTTCCTATTTTTGTTTCAAAGGTTGGCTTCTTAACGGTGATAAACATATTGTTCTTCAAGTGATGATTCATTTGAGATTTGGAAATTAAGAAGTCTTTAAACTTAGACACGTCAACGAGTCAATGATATCAACAGTACGCAATTATGGATCTTTTTCTACTATTTTTTGAATGTGTTCTTTGTGTTCTTCGTGTTCTTCAGTAAGAGTTCGAGGTTTTCCAATATTTTTCTCAGATTTTTTATATGTCTCTATGCAAACAGGACGAACATAAAATACTACTACTAGTTTGTTATATTATTTCAATTATTCACACATTTATGTAGACTGTCAGAGACACCTGTATATCAAGCTAAACGTCCAAATGAAGCCACATTGCCGCCCATACACAGCCTTTCAATTGCAACAATCATTTGTATGGTGAGGTCTATTTGTGGATTTCGTGGGTTGAACTGGTATATCATGCGATGTTTGATTTGTTTCTTGATGAAAAAGAGATGCGATTTGGCCATCCTTAACTCTTGCTTGAAGCGAATCCCACCGAGAGCTTCAACGAGCCAATTGAGATTTGTTTAAAGTTTTGGAACTTCAATTCAAATAGACAAGTATCTGTGTCCTGAAATTACGAGATATGCGAAAATCTTCGGAATATCATGTGTCAAATCAGTTAAGGAAAAGTTCCCTTGCAGCTGTCTCACTAATATTTTTGCTGTTATTTTATCTTCAAGGGAGTTGAATAGTCTTCTTCTTTCACTGATTTTAGGTATCTTATGTGTAATAGAAAAACGAACAACAGAAACCTAAATCTCTACACCAGATACTTTTTTAGATCTTTAAAATCTGTTGAACACTCTACATAAAAAGACATAAGACCGAAAAACTAACTACTGTTCTAGCCTTAGCCTTGTTAGTCAGTTCTTAGCAAATATCTTGTTAGCTTTTATCATTGTTGCGGAACGAGACTCCGCTTACCAATGCCAGCGCTGCTAATTTGGATGAGTTTATGTATGTAGAACAGTATCTCGGCAATAATCAGCCCACACTCATTCTTAAATATTACTTTTTGTAAGCACTCATGTCACTAGAGATTATACAATAAATAATTCATACTGCCTTTGTTTGAAAATCGCTATGCAATCTACAAAAAGGGATGTAGATCCCATCGATATAATTTATTGGATATAAGGTTGGTTGGATATGACATTGGATATCTTAAGTATAAAAAATAAAATTAAAACATACTATGCATTACTAGCAGTATCAAGTCCTTCGGTGATACTTTTATGATTGTCATCTTAAGCAAAGTCTCGTTTTCTTTTTGAATTCTTGTGAAAAGTGGGTGGAATGGGAGGATCTTCTCCAAGATCATACTCAAGTGCTGACTCGTTTTTTGAAATCAATAAGTGCGTTTTTTCCATGTTTAATCGAGCTGTATATACCAATTTCATTATAGAGACAAGCGAACTCATAAAATTTAAGGAGGAAACGGGAAAATATAAAGGCTTAAGCCTGCTTATGCGGCATACATTACCCCCTGGTGAGTCCATGATAATTAGTGAAATTTTAGTTTCTATATAATACAGAATGAGCTATTCTACGAAGTTTAATAAAAGTATTCATTTTTTGTATTTACCCATGATCATCAAGCTTGAGATGGTGATATCGTTTACTAATGACGGTGTTTTCTTTGCAAGACTATTAAACATGTCTTTCATAATGATCGGAATTTTGAACATGCCATCAGAGAGTTCTTTTGTACTATTGTTTTCGTCTTTCCCACATTCCATACATCCATATTCATTAGGTTGAAGTTTATATACCATGTCCACTTTTCTTCCCATTAACTTTCGTGCAGCTTGGTTGATATTTGCGATAGTTCGTGCAACGTTCAGTCCATAGGATGAAGAAGTACTTGATTTCTCCCCACTTTGAATAATAGTTAATAAAATTGTCAATAAAACAAAAAAATAAAATACCTTCTTGATTTGATTGCAGAATAATCAAATACAGTGTCTATTAATAACCAGATACGGCGTAGGATATCCGCTTCAGATTGGTCACTGAGAGGGAAGTAATTGGACATAAAGAGCTTTATCGTATTTAGAACAATTGTTTGTGCCCATGCTAAAGCTTTATCGTTTCTAGGGTGGAAATTGGCAGCCTTCACGTTAGTATACAATTTGTCTAAGTCGTTTTCTGTTGAGAGTAATAGCAATGAGTTAAAGTAATTTTCCAAATCAGTAGGTAAATTTGGTAATCGTTTCAACTTGAATGTTTTGATCTCATTCAAATCCTCTTTTGTAAACACTGTCTCCCAGCATTGATCTCCGCTGTCAAGAATGAGGGAATGACATGGACTAAAGAATCGGGTTAAAACAAGGAAAAAAAAAAGAATTCAATACTTACTGTTCGAAGGTGCAAGCTAGAGCAAATTGTTCCATTTTTTTTTTCGACTATTGTACCAGATGATAATTTCCACATGTTCATCGGATTTAAATTTTTATAAAGTTCTTCAATAGCTATCTTATCTTCCGGCTCTAATAAGGCTTGTTTCATCATGCTTGATCCACCACTAGATGAAGAACTTTCTTCGCTTGCAACTCTTGAAGTAGTAGTTTTACTACTTCTAGAATCATACAAATTAGGGACATTCTCTACATTATAGATTCCTAATTTTTTGTCTTGAACATGACAGAAAATGTTCTCCCAATTAATTTTGCTTTTTCTCTTTAAAAAGAAAAGGTTCAGTATATGTTTTCTACATGATCATGAAAACTTACGTAAGGGATATTAAAGAGCTGTAATGTTTATATAATTCTTTGGACCCATGTCCCTTTGTAGATAAAAAATGATGTATCGTCGTAGCCGTCCACGATGGTTGACGTAAGTTGCTGGGATATCACATTGACTGACATAGTTACACCCGCAGCAGAGATTTCGGCAACGGCGGAAACAATCGCTAAGCAATAGTTAGTAAATTAGTCTTGCATTAGATGACTAAGCTAATAGGTACCTTCTTTATGTTTAGGATCTATGCTTGTAATATCTGCACTCATTTTCGATCGTGCTTTTTCTTTTCTTTTCAAGAGGAGAATAAAGGTAATCCATTTATACGCGTTCCCTATCTTTTGACAAAAAATCGCGTCGGCGAGCATTATAAGCTCCGAAAGTAGAATGACCATTTTCTATTCGGCAGAACCTGAAAAAAAACAGTAATGTAGGCACATCTTCTATAAATGTACTTATTAAAACTAACCATAGTGATATGACTCCTTTCTTCACTGGAGATAAAGTCCTCATTTCACCATGGTGAAATGTTGGTGAATGTGGTAAATGCAACCATGGTGAAATGTTGGTGAATGTGGTAAATGCAACCATGGTGAAATATTGGTGAATGTACTACTATCACCATAATAAAACAACCACTTTTACCATGTTTCCTTTCATAAAACAGACCTTCCATTGGCTTATTTCTTTAAATTTTTACTATATTTAATCATGTTTCATTTTTTTTCATTGGCCTTTTTGAAATTTAAATTAAACGCTTCTTTAATTCTTTTAATATGACACATTTTACACTTCTTTAAAATACAGTTATTAATGGAGCTTATATTATTATTGAAAACGATTATATCCTTTCTTTTTATTATATTAGCCTTTATTATTTCCTTTTTGGGTTAAAGAAGTACAAATAAAAATACGTATAATATTTACATATATAAAAACGATTATAAAAAATGTATATAAAAATAGGTATAAAAATATAAAAAATAGATGCAAAAAATGGTTATAAAAATGAATATTACAAAAAAAAATAAGAATAGATAAATAGATAAATACAGAATAAACCAGAATAACGCGTATATTAGATGTGCCAGAACATCCTAGACAGCTTCTTTCGTAATAAGAGCAGTGCCTATTAAAAAAAAAAGAAAAATAATTAATAAATAAAAAGATATGATAGTTAAATATATTTGCTTACCATTAAAGAAAAAAGCCATCTTATCTATAAGCGTTATCCTGTAAAGTATAGAATAGTTTTCACTTACCTAGATTAAAAGAATTTAGTATTGTAATTATAAAGTAAATAGTATATATGTTTATATTTACCTTTTACATTGCATATAGTCATTTATTTTAAAAGATAAATTCAATAAAATGTGTCTATCTTTTATTGATAGTAAAATTAAAAGGTGTTAGTCTAATAATTACCGAGATTAGGCACTATACGTATGGTATTTACCTTTATATTTTATAAAGAAATCCAATTTAGAAAGCCTCAGATACGATTTCATATTAGATTAGAAGCAAACAAATACATTATAAAGACATATAATAGCCTAGAAAAAAAAAAAGATAAAATATTTTTCAAAAAAAAACAAGTTAGCCTTATCTTTAAGGATTGTAGTATGAAATTAGATATGTGTACGCTTACTTCAAACATTATAGTATACACCCAAATATTAAAATGAAAGCAAAAGTTAGCTATTTTAAAAAAGGATACTACCGTTTGTTATTTCTTTTTTTTGGAAAAAAAATAAATAAAAGATAAAAAAGAAGGAAAATTTTTTTCAGAAAAACAACATGCAAAATATTATATGCATCTTCTATAATTAGTTTTAGTATTATCATTTCATTTTTGTCGTCGACAAAGAACTTAGAAGATAGTAATGCTCGAAAGGAAAATAAAGCAACAGTTGTTATTATTATTTATTAAATGCTAACATTTTCTTCAAAAAAAGATACTTGATAGTGGATTGATTTAACTTTGTTTAGTATTTGTCATATGTTTTTAAAAGATATTATTCTTTACTACTCAAGTCTTTATTAGGAAAAGTAAAGGAAATGAATATAATTCAGACAGTAAAACAAGACTTGATATTACAAAAGCCGATCTAGATATATTTTCACTCCCTTCTTTTTCCATTATCAATAAATAGTACTCACCTTTACAACATGAACACCAACACCAACACCAACGCCAACAACAACAACAACAACAACAACAAGAGAACTTTTGGAGGAATGTCTTCAGAAGACAGATTTGGTGGTCGCCGAATGTACACAGGCACCCCCATTCTTCCTCCCTCCAACACCAACAGCAGCAGTGGTATCCCTGCTCTTATGATGCAACAAATGCTCGAAAAAATGTCAGAAATGAATTGTAAGATCATTCAGCAAGATCAAAAAATAACTCAACTTACCAGCTAGTTGGAAATGGTGGTTGCTAGCTTGCATCAACTACAGCAAGCTAGAACAACTGCCGCCTCTACTGAGCAAGCTTACTGTTTCTACAGCTTTGATTTTGATTTTGTTTCTTAGTTGGTTCTTTTCTTTTTTTTTTTTTTTTGTATATGGTAATACGATAAGCACACAACCAGACGAACAAGTAACGTAATCTAATTAAACGATTGTAAAAAGTTCTGAATTACAAAATATATTTATTACAAGTTACTATGAATTGACTAAATCTAAGTTATGTATTTTTATCTGGCTATTTACACTAAAGTTGTCTTCATCTAATATTACTAAATCTTATTCCAAAGTTCTATTATTAAGTGATTTCAGCAAGTTGATTCCAAAGTGAATTCTAAATCTTCTGACTATTTCCTTATTAATATGATCGCTATCATTGGTCAACTAAGTTTATGACCTCTACACTATATTACAACATTTTGAAAAGCCAGTCGCATTTTATGGGTATAAATAAAAAATTTTTAACGCGCGTCTTTTATTATCTTTACCTTTACATTTTTTCTTAACCATTTACCACTAAAAGCTAAGTCGTCTAAGTAGTGTCATCTTCTTAATGCGCATCTTTATGGTATTTGGTTCTCTAGCGGTCACTAAAAGCTAAGTCGCCTAAGTAGTGTCATCTTCTTAACGCGCATCTTTATGATCGTTGGATTTTTTTTCGGGAGTAAAATTGTCTTCACCTTCACGTGGTTACTTCTGTCAGTAGAGCCTTTTTTTTTGGCTTGAAGCCGAGAGAGACATTCTATATATAAAACAAATGGTTTAAATTTACTACATTAATAAAATATGCAAAAAACTGGGATCACCAGATTTTCATAAGTCTGTCTTAAATTGCCTCGTCTCTACATGCCTGATACATACAGTATGGCTGGTAAATATTGGCCAATTTAGAAAATTAAATGATGATAATATAAAAATAGTTGGCCCTATAAACCAAAAACTAATTTGGCAAAATTGTCGTATTTGAGGGTAGTTCATACAGTAACATTTACTTGATAAATCATAAAAAAGGAAGAAAAACAAATCAACACAAAAATCATAACCAAAAATCACGTTGTTTACTATGACTTATTATACTGAACAACTTAAAAATAAAGTATGAGCTTAAAATATAGGAAAATAAACTCATAACCAAACTGTATCTATAATACTATGTTGTACTTGATTAATAAACAAGGCAATGAGTAAACACGAATTCATAAACAACACATACATCTCATCGTTTACGTCATAGCCACAACCATATAAAGAGTTCAGGAACAAAATTGATTAGAGTGCGTCTGTACTGGAATAGTCAATTTCTCTAGGTTTCAAAAAAAAAAAAAAATTAAACAGTAAAAAAAAAACATAATCTTTATACGTTATAGGATATTTTTCCTTTGTAGTAATAACACTGAGCTTCCTACAAAATGTATTTTATGCCATTATAAACGTTCTGACAGATGCGTTTTAAAAGTTTCCACAAAAAAAAAAAGAAAAAAAAAACTATTGAGGTCAAAGTCAGTCGCTTAAAGGTGAGAAGGTTCAAGATGTCCGTAGGCTGGTAAAACAATTTGGTCTTCGCACTGCAACCAATAGGATCTGACGGCATTTAGTATAACCGAAATTATTTCAATCTTCACGTCAATGAATTGGATCAAAAAATTGCATTAGTTAAAAATAAACAATTAGCGACTTCAAACTCGGTAAAGTATTTAAACATACAGAGGCAGCTTTGATTCGTTTTAGTTTTCTATATATATATTTTTTCCATTATTATTACTATGCCTAGATTATCTAAAACTAAATCAGCCATGCGCCAAAGAAGTGCTGTTGCCTCTGCTAACCGCTGGAATAAAACTCTTGCTACAGCAGTAAGGCCTGAAGGATCAAAGCCATGTTATTACCAAAGAGGAACAGTTATTTTTAGATCATGCGGTTACTACAGCCGAGCTAAATGACTTAGTTGATTGCGACAATCAAAACGAAGCTGATGCTTCTAACAGCAACAACGTATTAAGCTGCTTAAACTGGAACAATGAGAAGAACAAGAAATGACTAGAAGAGGAAAAAAAGTGAAAAAAAGATTCAAAAGAAAGAGACCTTCGCCGTAAAAAAAACAAAAAACAGAGATAATTCGGAGGGAAGTGGGAAAGTGACTGAATTCTATAATTCAACTGAAAAAAAGATGCTAACTGCTGAAGAAATAGAAACAGAAGTAATTGCAACAGAATTGAGAAAAATCAAAGCAGCAATTGCCAAACTAGACCTAGAAGTAAAGCCTGCTATGAATATGAAGTCTGCTGCTAACAAAAGCGTCGACTTTCACTAATCAAGACTAAGGGCAGTTCGAGTTTTTTAAAGAAAATTGTTGAAAGCGAAAAGAAGGCCACAATTGCAGCAAAGGAAGCAGCCGTCGAAGTGTGGATAACTCCCTCGCAATATCATCGATCTCACTCATTCCACAAATGGGTCATTGAATATGTTGAGAGTAGTGCTTTGTCAATGCACATGTAGGGCAAGCATATGAAAAGAGTATCAGTTTTAGCCGACCCTGATATCAAAAAGGAGGCAGTCGAATGGCTCAGGTCTCAAAAGCCAACGCTCAGGACTATTCCTGCCCTTAGAAACTAGCTCAAGGATGTTATCCTTTCCAAAAAGCTGAAAATATCCAATGCTTCTGTAGCGTCCGAAGATCTAGCTGAAGATACGCACCCTCTTTCAAACTATGTGCTTTCAACATACCTACGTGAATAGGGTTTCCAATACAAAACAGGTAAATATATATATGATTATATTTAAAAGAGCACATTATCCAAAATACATACTTATTTTTCAATACAAAACATAAGGTAAATACAACAGGACATACTATGAAGGGCACGAGAGAGAAGATGTGGTTGAATACAGATCCAAATGGGCAAAAGAGATGGTGGAGTATCACAGACGCATGGATAAATATTCAGTTGACGATGAAGCGAATATTGTTCCTCCCACTCTTCGCGAAGGTGAAAAAAAAATAGTGCTTGTCACTCACGATGAAAGCACATTTTACTCTAATGATGGAAAACTCATCAGGTGGTGCGAGCAAAATGAAACTACCATTCTTCTTAAAGGTTCTGGTGGTTCAATTATGGTCAGCGAGTTTATGTGTCCTTGTCATGGAACTATGCGAGGCAAAATAAATGGGAAAGAGAAAACCTCAAGGAAACTATTTTTTGCGGGAAGTTCGAAAGGAAAAGAAGGGTGGTGGACGTGTGCTCATTTAGTAAAACAGCTAGAAAAAGAGGCGATTCCTTTATTTGAATTGCTTCATCCCGGCTGCACTGGCTTATTTGCTTTTGATCAAAGTTCAAGCCATAGAGAGTTCGATAAAGATGCGTTGATTGCCAGTAGAATGTCGTCTGAGGACACAATTTTCAAAGATAAACCTGGCGGCTTCAAGTTTAAAGACGGTTGGTTTAAAAACAGCTTCACCAACAAAAAGCAAATGCAGCCAATGCATGCGACAAGAGACTTCTCAAAATCAGCAGTCAGAAATGATATTCAAAGTGCACTTGAAAAAAAAAGAAGCTCCTAACATCCAACGTATTATGAGCAAACATAGAACTGGAATAGTAAGTATAGTAATTACATAGATGAAGCGAACTAGATTTCATCGACAAAAAAAAAGTAATTATTGGCACAGCACACTAACGCTACCACATCAGTTTAGTATCGTGTTTATTTCAAAGGAACGTTTAATATCTTGGATGAGCGTGGTCTATTCAAAAAGTTGGCCAAAAAACGTAAACAGAAAAACTCAAAGCATGTGAGACCTTTGAAATGTTGTGCTGAGAAGCTTCATTCAGTGCAACCAGACTTTAAAGAAGAAAAATCAATGCTGGAGTGACCACTTTCAAATCATGGTCATATCATGACACTTTACCCCAAATATCACTGTGAGTGTAATTGGATTGAAAGGCATTGGGTTGCTGTCAAAAGAAACGCTAGGCTTCAATGTGACTACATATATGCATCTTTGAAAGAGAATATCGATTTTTTTCTTGTTTACAATCAAAATCACAATCAAGAAACCAATAGAAAGTTCTTTAACAAAAGTTTCAGATACATCGAAGCATACAGCCAAGAAAAAGATGTGTTTGAAACTGAAGAAATCATAAAAAAGTTTTCTAAAGGGTATACCTTTCACAGACGTCTGGTGTACCTTTTTGTTTTTAGTATCATCTTACTCAGTACAATAAAAAATCGCATCAAAGCCTATTCTAGTCCAGACGCACTCTAATAATAGATTTTATATAAGCCTAGCTAACTTATATAAAATACAGTGTGGATATTTAAGGATTAAATATCACTGAAAAAAAATGAGAAAAAAAAAACGAGTTCTTAATAGTTCCTTTTTATTCAGAAAAGTTGTTTGAAAAAAATATATTAAACTAAATTACTATCTACTATTTATACAAAAGAATTATTATTATCATAGTTCAAATCATGGTATGATTGTATCATGATTGAGAGGTTTGAAGGGGTAAAGATTAAATCTTTACCAGATATTAGGAAGAAATTCATATCTGAAAATCTTTGGCTTACAATTTAAGATGAGTTTATCCGTGATTATTTTGTGGTGTGATATTAGTTACCTACCAATCTTTATGCACTGCGATTGACATAAGATTGCTTTATGATTGCTATCATGATTATTATTAATAATTATTTATTTTATTACATAAGTTATATTAAAGATCAGATTTGATCTTTCTAGATTGCTACTATTTACTAGGGATTATGTAGTCGTCACCACAAGGAGAAGTCTCCAAAATCTGCGGCAAATAAAAGTGAAAAATCAAAAAAGAGAAAGCTTGCAAAGGGCAAACAAAGAGCGGGCAAGATCGTCATTGAGAAACCTGTGGTAGAGTATGTCAAGATTGAACACTTTGATGGAACTGGAGCCAATAAAGCCCCCCTCAAAAGGCACTATTACGACTCATTTCATAAAGTTCATAAATGAACTACTTGACATTATGGATACGGACGAAGGCCTAAAAGGCAGTTATCTTATAACGGACAACTGCACCATTCACAAATCGCATCTTATAATTCGAAAAATTGAGGGCAGAGGTTACAGAGTCATGTATTTACCTCCGTATTCACCAGAGTTGAATGCAATCGAAAACTTTTGGACTATTGTAAAAGGAAAAATGAAGTGCGAGAACCAGATGACAGAGGAGACTTTATCATAGATAATTGCCGATGCTTACAATAATGTACACGTTAGTGACCTTCGCGGATTCTGCGGTCATTCTAAGCGTCATATTACTTATTGTCATTTTTAATCAATCGCCAATCTTAAAGCTGCCAAAATATTTTTTTCCATTGAGCCAATAAAATATTTCAGAACAGCCTATCATTTTTTTATCATTTTGCCAAATTATTTTTTGGTTAGGGTCAAATTATTTTCTAAATCGGCCAATATTTACCAGCCTTACTGTATTAGTCTGACAACTAATACTTTTTTTTTTTTTTTTTTTTTTTTTTTTTTTTTTTTTTTTTTATTGTTTCTCAGAATTAAACTTTCTCTGTCAAGATAATAAGGATGGACAATCGTAATGTTGAACGATGAATATAACATTGATTAACTGTATTATCTATTTAAGAATCTTATCGTTTATTAATTGAACAAAATGCAATTATGCTTCTTATTGTGGCTTTTCTATATACAAATAAATAAATAAATAAATAAATAAAAAAGCATTCAATATCCTCCAAGACATTTACTAATACATATAAATTATTATTATTATTATTTTTTTTTTCTTTTTCAATATTTTATTTTATTATGGAGTCAAACATGTATGATCATGACGCTTTTCTGTTTAAAAGAAGAATCAACAATAATAAACGCAACACATTTATGAATAGAAATAAATCGGCACTAAATAAAAAGCATAAATCACAAACACCTTCACAACATGATCTTCCAGATACTTTGCCTATAACGCTTGACACCACAAGTAGTCTACCACCCCTTCTCAAGAAATATACACTTTATATTCACAAGTCACTTCAATATACCACACTAACGACATTAGCCGAGGGACTTGGTGCGACTGTACGTACAGAGATGAACAAATCGATCACACACTTGATCATTGATCCAAAGGGAGATAGTCGTCAATTACGAATGATCAATCAAGCTGTGTCAAAGGGTATCGTTTGTGTCTCACCTAAATGGATCATGATGTGCTATACTGACAGGACGCTTTATCCACCTACTGATTTCCAATATGATATTGATGAATCGATCAATGTTCTGGATCGACCTTCTCAACCACAGACCACCATGTATAATCCCTTCAATACAACTTATATTGACTTTGACGAGTTGGAAAAGACAAGACCTTTAGAGGGAGGTCAGTTACGATTAGATGGATTCATATCTAGAACACGCGATGATCAACACTATGAGGAACAAGCAAAAATTGAATGTCTAGAAGAAGAAGAAGAAGACAAAGACGATTATTATCCTACAATAGTAGAGAAAGGAGAGCCATCCATAGATAACGATGACGATAAAGATGCTATACGTGAATTTTACTATAATAATAATAATAATAATAATAATAATAATGAAGACAGTCAAGCTAAATCAAGTGAGCCTAAACATCAAGAATCTGCAGAAGAATTAGAGGCTAAAAGAATTAGATCAGAGCAAAGATCGTTGCAGTTACAGAAAGTCATTGAACAAAGGAGACTATTAATGAAACAAAAAGAGGATACTGAAAGACAAGAGACACGAAAGAGACGTGTTGTGCCAAATATTTACAATGAAAAGCGTGTACATGTTTGGTATGGTGAACACTTTGCGAAAGATAAAAAGTAAAATAAATAGATATATAATGAAGCATACTTCTTTATTATATATGTATATGTATGTGTGTGTGTATGTATTTAAATAAATATAGAAGTTTATTTTCTTTTTAAAAATATATATACAAATATATATTCTAGATTGCATTTGTAAAGGAATAAAAAAAAAAAAAAAAACTCTATTATTACTCTAATTTGTATAATAAAACAAATATTTATAAATGTATACATATTATAATTCTATTATTTAATCATGTATATAGACTTCCATATTGCGCTTAGTGCGCATGTTATTAAAAAGCGGAAAGGCTTGTTCATCAAATTGACAATGCTTGATATTCAGTCTTGATATATTAGGACAATGTTTGAAAAGGAATTCATACAGATATCGATTGATAGCGATGTTTTCTAAATTCAAGACTTGTAAGGACGTATACTGGTAAGTACAGTTAGGATTGTCATTCAAGAGTGATAGTTCTAATAAAGTTCGATATTCATTCATTAATTGCATAGGATAGTCTTCATAAAGAAAGGAGAATTGAAGTGATATAGTGATTTCATTGACATGAGGGAAATGTTCCAAGAGGAAGTCCAGATAGACATAATCCACAAAGCAATGAAGGTGTTCTACCTTTCTTTGTATTTGCAAATGAGTTGTTTTCTGATTGATTGGATACTTGATTAATTTCAGAAGATGAAAGAGTTCAGTACGAGTGATTTCTTTCACCATGACTATATAAAACCTAAAGCTATGATCTATAGAGTTACTGTTTAGTTTACAAGAACGATGATACGTAAGACGATTTACAAGACTATCCTTAAACTGGTACCCTCTAGAGATCCATCGAATGGGGCTTTCATCATTGATGTATATAAAGCTGATCGAAACATGATCAGAGAAGACAGGTAGATTGTGAGTATTTAGAAGCGTGAGAGTAAAGTGTTGAATAAAATGAATATCAGTATAAAAGAGAGGAAAATGAATATGAATAAGTGGGATAGTTGTTTGACGGATCAATTCCATGATATGATATGCATATGTGTTACTATTTTCTGGAGAAAGCTTGCTCGGCCAAAAGAGTATGTTTGGTTTATAGCTTGGTTTTATGGTTAATACCAAATGGTGAATGCTATGATAGTTGTGTTTGATGATGTTGAACCAAATAGAGGAAGAATCGGTGACTAAACAATCAAGCCTTTGAAACCCTTTGTTAGTCCATGGCATCTTTAATGGTGGCAGTAGACTCTTGATATCGCGAGAGGAAGGGAATATATCCATTTCAAATTTTAGGCTTTGAAGAGAAGGCAATGACAAATGCAGTTTCTCAACTATATCTTCAGTCAGTCTCACATCTATATCATCTTTAAGACGAATACTCTTAAGCTTTGACATACGAGATAATAAAAGCAAAAGATCTTGTTCGAAATTTTTAAAGCAACACAACTTTAAGCTTGTTAATCTATCTTCAAGTTGATAACAAATATCCATTTTTTTGTGCATAAAAGGAAGTGAGCATAAATATTTCCAATGTTGTGTAAAATCCAATTGGCTGAGATGGTCCCAATAATGATTGTCATCAAAGAGTAATTCGATAAGGTAAGGACAATATTTAGCTATCCTTACAAACTCGTCTGTAGTTATGGATTCTTTATTGTCAGTATTCAATGTGTAAATTTCCATTTTTTTAACGTATTTCCCTGGATTTTGGTCATGCTGCTCCAGAATTATGTTGAGAAAATATCTGATTGAGATTACGGAATAAAATATTACATTTGCATAATACGCTTCAAAGGCAGATTGATACCATCTTTTACAGACAGTAAGAGCAGTTAGTCTATCCTTATGGGATACGATATTAGGGAATATTTGATTTAAGATTTCTGTAGGTAAATTCATTTATTATTACATGAAAACAAAAATAAGAATAATAATAATAATAAAGAAGGAAAGAAGTCGGTATAAGCTTGATAGCAATAATAATTAGATATTCCATTTGATATAGATCGATACTATAGTACTCGATTGAAATTGTAAGGAAATACAGTCAATAAGAGAATGCCGATATTAAAAGAAATTACAAAAATTTCTTCCTTTAAACATACATGCTTAACAATTGACATACTAAACAGTACACATATAATAATAGTAATCTACATATATATTCGTTAATATCTCCTTTATAAATTAAAACCCTCCATAAAGTAGTTGTTATTCAAACCTTTTAGTATACATGTTAGACAATGTTATATACATGTATACTTTAATAAAATGAAGCTAAAAAAAAAAGAAAAAAAAAGCTTGTATGTATAAGCTTTTCTCGAAGGTATTATTAAAACATTAGTAGATATAAGAATAAATCACAAATTGATAGGTCAAGATGAAAAAGGAAGCCTTGCATATAGAAATTAGATAAATATAAAATCATAGTGTCATGTGAAGTATCATTTTAGTAGCTATGCTTTTCTGTAGACTCAATAAGTTTATTTAATGAATTTTGTCATACATAAATGCTTTTATCTTTTTTAACAGCAATGATGATGGGCCCCTAAAATATGACTAAATATCAGAATGTTGCGAATCTATTAAAATCAAAGATATTAAAACAAACACTAAATAAACAGTTAAGCATGTATACACACACATAAATATATGTATAATATTTAGCGTAGAAAAAAAAATACCAAATAGTTATTTGAAATATAAACTATGTTTATTTACTACTGTAATAAATCATAAATTGAATGTATTATAATCAAATTGTTTATTTTAGAAAAGATACTAAATCTTCTCCTATTCTATACAACTAACCAATATTTCTTTAATAATAATAATAATAATAATAATAAAAGAAGGGGAAGGGAATAATGAGTAACGCAGGTAGTAAAGATATCATTCAAATCCTAATCACCTTGGAGCTAATTTAATTTACTATATATATGTTTTGATAAACTGCGAGTCTAGAGCATGTGAAACTAGCCTCCCTCTATAAAGTAGCAGAAGATTATATCTTAAAAGATACAGGTGATTGTAAGTTTTATGCTATTCGTACATGCTTGACAGTCACATGCTCTTTTTTGGTTATTAAGTGAATGTTCAGGGAATCCATACTTTTTTTTTTTTTTTTTTTTTTTTTTTTTTTTTTTTGAGAATAAACCTAGTTTCCATATTATTATGAGATATAATATATTATAAGATGTAATAGCAAATGTTATTATAATAGATATAATAAGAGCTTTAAACATATTATTATTTATATTGCTTTAAGAAAAGAATTTTTTTTTCCATCTCCCCTAAAGATGTGTATATTTGTATATAACAAAGGAAAGAACAAGTCTATTAAAGATATTAAAATGAACAAGACCCAATCAAAAGAAGTCGTAGTAGCGTATTGAGTTTGTTAATAAGACTCTATAGGATAGTATGGATTATCCCCGAAAAGTATACATTTATATTATCTTGTGATAAGTGGTAATGCCTTAAATCTGTCTATGTAAAGAAAATAATATATATTCTCTGCATGTATTCCTCGTCAGACAAGAGGAATTAATTCTGGATTATTTAGTTAAACACAAATTAAAAAGAAATAAGCCATATCTTGTAGAATAGCCGGTATTCGTAATGGATTTTTTTATTTATTTATTATTAACTTCATTATCACCAGTTTATTCTATTATAAATGAACTCTGATAAAGCCTCGATATGAAATAAAACTTATATTAAACTAGAATAGAGTTTATAGTTGAAAACGATAAATAAAGTAGTTGGAAAATAAAATAAACAAGCGATAAATTGTCAGGAGAACAGCGACACCCTTTCATTGACTTTTAAAGCTATTATATTCTCAGTAGGTTGTATCTTCATTTTATATGCATATATGTATGTATAAGGTTATATGCTTGACAATAGTAGGATATGGACATATAAAATCAATTTATTTTATCTCATTGACACATCTTTATGAAACTTATATCCAGAATAGTAGATTGAAAATTATTTTGATGATAGCAGCTACTCTTTATATTCATTGTCTCTAAAGCCATTCTGTATGTATATATATTTGATATACATTGGGATTAAGTTGTACAGACAGAGAGTGAATATGATAAGTTGAGACAATAAAAAGCTATGTTTCATGTTAAACTAAAATACAAAATAAACCATCATGTATACACCAAAGGAATAAATAATGCTGATTAGCTTATATTTACTTGTGATTTTATTTCATTTTTTTTGTAGCTATTTAATCTACAAAAGAAGATTTATTATTCCATACTATGAAAGGGTTTTCATATATATATATAAGCATATGTGAATATTTTAAACCGGAAAAAGCAAGACTGAGTAATATTTTTGCATATATAGAGTCTATATATCTCATCTACTTTTCAAATATGTGTGTAAGAACTCTATATAGTTATTCATTATCTAAATAAAAAGCTGTCAAGTATATCTATTTTGTTTTCTATATGATCTCATTCGAATGACTAAGATGTCTTTCAATCAGTAAAACAAAAAAAAAAGAGAAAGTTCTTAGTTAGTTTTAATTAAACCAATCATATTTGTATAATGCAACTTTCTTATGTATATGCTTTGTTTGTTTTCATCAAATAATGATAAAGACTTATTACTGTGTTAGCATGTATTTTTTTTTTTTTTTTTACATATTTCATTTTATTTTTTATATTAAACCAAATAATAGGGTGTTTGATCAAATTAACTCCGAATTTTTTCAACTTCTTATTTAGATTTAAGCCTCAAAAAAAGTATTTAAATAGACAAAATTTCCTTACCTTTTTTTGTTCTTTTTCTCTCTCTCTCTCTGCCTATTATTACCTTATTCATATAAAATAGTTGGCTCTATACTTAACTCCTATTAAACTCAGGATTTACCCTTTTCCCCCTTTTCCTTCTTCTTCTTTTTATTTACATATAATTGACATATATAAATTTATACGCACATATATACATACAAATATATGTTGTAAATTTATACACACATACATATCTTAACTCTGCTCATTCTATATAAATCAATATACCACACCTATCTTATAAATAAAAGACAGAAGCTAATTGCTATATATATAAAAGGCATATCTATAATCACACACAGTTGCGCATCTATTATAACGCTCGCAGTACATATATATCTATCCATTTCTCACTCACTCACTCACTCACTCTTCTCCAGCAAAGCTACGAAAAGGGATAAAAAAAAGTTCTATAAGTTGCCATGAAACGATCCATTTTATATGATGAGGATAAACAAATAAATAACAGCAGCAGATCAACTTCGCCTGATATACGAAATATTAAGCGTAAATTGAATAATAATGCTATCACATCAAACAAGAAAAAGTAAATTAAAGAAGAAGAAAAAAAAAAGATATTTAATATAAATATAAATCATTTTTTTTTTATATTTCTTTCCTTCTTTATTACATAGTAATAGTAAACAAAGTAAAAAGATAAATGAGACAACAACAACAACAACAGCAGCAGCAGCAGCAGTTAGAATAGAAAATATCAAAGTAATAAAGAGAGCATTTCCATATATTATGTCAGCATTTTTAATTATTTTTTTTTCTTTTTTTTTTTTTTTTTGTTAACCAAAATTTTGTATATAGAATCACGACGTTTGTGATGCCTGTGGTGATGTAGGTCGATTTATCTGTTGTGATGCTTGCCCAAACTCCTTTCATTTTACATGCGTTGAGCCGCCTATAGATTCAACTGATGTAGCTAAACTAAAAGATAAATGGTACTGTAATGAATGTGAATATAAATACAATAAGGTAATAAATAGATATACATGTATATAAAATAATAAATAGAAAAAAAAGTTGACCTTCTTTCATTCTTTTAGGCTAAATTACCTAGATCAAATCCTAGAGGTTTATTTCAAAAGTTAATTGATAATTTAAATATAAAGAATCCAAAAGCATATCAATTACCAAAGGATATCATTCATTTCTTTGATGGTGGTAAAAATAGTAGATATTTAAATACTAAAATATATATTTAAACTAACCTTTTGTTTTCAAGTATCTGCTGATAAGCAAGGAAGATACATTGATACATCACAAACTAAGCGAGTGCGATACAAGTAAACAAAAAAAAAAAAAGGCTTAATAGTATCTTATGTATAGACGACTGACTTACTTGTATATTTAGAAACGGTGAAATGGAAATTCCAGATTATCATCAATTAAAAAATAAGAGCGGAAAATTCATTCTCTGTTATTATTGTAGAAAGACTGCTTTAAGAAAACCAATGATTGCTTGTGACTATTGTAGTTTACACTGGCATCTTGACTGTCTTAATCCTCCTTTAGCTTCTCCTCCTAATCCTGGAAAGAAATGGCGATGTCCAAATCATATTGAACATATCATTGTATGACAAAAAAAGAAGCTCATGTGTACAAAAAAAAAAAAAAAGATTCTAAAGCTTCTTTCCTCCCTTCCTTTTTTTTAATAGAAACCACCTAGGAAACTAAGAAAGAAAACAGCCTCTATTATAAATGATAAAGTACCTGCTTGCGCATACCATGATTATCTCAATACAATTATAGATGATACTATTGAAATAAACAAGAACCCAATTAAACAGAAGCAAATGATCACTGATAACATTATTACTAGTAAAAATGGTATTGTTTATCGACTTCCAGTACAATCCATTCATTTTGCTGACTTTAATGATTATGCTAAAAGGTAGAAATAGAGAGATGTATATCAGTAGATTCTTATGATTTTTTTCAATTATATAGAGTTATTAAAGAATCTAATAGAAGAAACTCGATACCATCTACATTACCAAGTTCTTCATCAAGTGAAGTAAGTACACCACCTACTTTTATAACTACTGCTACTACTGCTACTACTACTACTACTACTACTACTACTACTACTACTACTACTACTACTGCTACTACTACTACTACTACTATTACTACTACTACTATTACTACTTCACCTATTATATCATCTCATAATAAACCTGTTAACAATGATCAGAATGAAATTGATACGGTAAGTTTGCTTATTACTTTTTATATAATGATTTAATTCTTCTTATCCTATTTATAGTGGCTTCAGAATATGGCATTCTTTCAATCAGGTAGTGATGAAAGAATGATAGCTGATAACAAACAAACATCATCAATGCATAGTAACATTCCTATTTCAAATCTCATCGATATAGCAGTAAGTCATATACTAAAATAACTTTGGTTTATAATAATAACTCATTTATTACATAATAATTAGATGTCGTCATCTTTACCAATAAAAGAAGAGAATGAAAAAAAGATTAAAATCGATATTGAAAGATACAAAAAGTATCAAACATTTCAGCAATTGTTAAAACAAAAGAACAAGGAAGAATTATTGAAATTATTTTCTGAATAAATAATTGTACATACTATTAAAAATAAGCTATTGTATGTAAAATTGGAAATCCTGGATTACGTAATGAGAATTCTTCAATGATGCCATCCATATCAGCATCAATATCATTTGAAGATTCAATCTAAATAAATGTTATTACAATGATTCCATTCTAATATCATATATATATATCCTTACCATTTGAGCTAACTGTAATATAGCCCGACCACCTAATAAAGCATCCTCATGATTATCTCTGATTTCAACATTGATAACATGTGTACTCATATTCAACTTTTGTCCTCGATTACTCAAGTCATCGACAACAGCATCAAAACAACGTTCTTCGCATGTAATAATAACATCAAATATCTCACGAGAATCATGCCATCGTTGTGGTGCTTCCTTTGTTTTTCTATTACGATCTAACATATTTAATAACCCATTTTGTGTATAGAGTGCTTGATCTTGCTTTTTTAATTCTTGATACACTTGTTCATAAGGAGTACCGAATGGATAGATATTTGGCTTATCAATAGATGGTCCTGGTAAACGTACCATTGTACCTGTACCATATGAATGTACATCGAAGCCCTTTTTACTATAAACATTGCCGTTATTATTATCATTATCAGTTATATATATATATTATATACAACATTTACTTCAAGACATGATGAGCCTCCATTGATCTATTTTGATTACTTGCACAAATTACTGCATATTTTGCCATTGCTTAAAAGTTGAATATTCTATTAACAGATTCTAGTATTGGTATATGTCTGTATATATATATATAAAAAAAAAAAAGAATTACTGTAATAGCAAGCTGGGAAAAATAAAATAAAAAATAAAGCTGTGACTTGACAGGAAAAAAAAAAAGGCATAAAACAAATGATAACACGTAATGTCTTATTGTAAGCACGCAGTAAAAAACAAAAAAAAAAAAAAATACCATTTTCCCTTACTCTCTCTTTCTCTATTATTATAGATTTTTTTTTTTTAAAATAAAATGGCTTCTTCTTTACAACAAATACAAACACCATCTGATTTTCAAAAGCTTTTGGCTACAAAAGATAAATTAGTTGTAGTTGATTTCTTTGCTACATGGTGGTAAGATGAAATAGAATTATTCAAGAAAATGGATTACTAAAAAAAAACATACAATAATTAGTGGCCCTTGTAAAATGATTGCACCCTTTTTTGTTCAACTCGCTTCAAAATATCGTAATGTTGTATTTGCTAAAGTTGATGTTGATCAAGTTAAGCAAGTGGCTGCTGCTTGTAAAATTACGTCAATGTAAGTTTGTATACACTTCAAAGCAAAGTAATGCATGTATTTATAATTCTATCATAAAGGCCCACTTTCCATTTTTATAAGAATGGTAAAAAATTGGATGAAATGAAAGGCGCTAATCCTCAACAGCTTGAACAATACATCAAGCAGTATTCATCTGAAGAGTCTTCTTCTTCAACAGCACCTAAGAAGGATGTTGGTGTACCTGGTTATGTAAGCTTTATTGATATATTTATTGTACTTTTTTAATTCATTTTTTGAGATAGGTTGATTTAACTGAGTACATTACACCTAATCAAATGGATGCTTTAAATCAAAAAGAAGAATATAATGTTAAAAATATTTTCAAGGATGATGATTCTTATTTGGAAAGTGATGTTGATGAACAACTTATTATCAGTGTTCCATTCAACCAACGTAAAGCTTTTATATATTACACATATTCGTATTCTTTCTTTTTAACTTGTTAATTGTATAGCTGTTAAACTTCATTCATTAAAATTCAAAGTTCCCAATATTGGTAAATATATAGCAATGACTTCAAATTAAGTAATCCATTGATCTCACCTCATCTCTTACTTTAGCTAATGCACCTAAAACGGTCAAGATCTATACAAATAGAACAGTTTTGGGATTTGATGATACTGACTCTGTGAAGGAAACACAAGTACTTGAATTAAAACCAGAAAATTTTGAAGAAAATGCTGTCGTTAATTTGAGATTTGTCAAATATCAAAACATTACTCACATTATGGTAAAATATTAAAATTACCATTTATAAAATTATGCATTTGTAAAATTAATGCCCTTTTTTTTGATAGCTGTTTATCGAAGATAATCAGGAAGATGAAGAGACTACACAACTTCAACAACTTATTTTCATTGGGTAAATTACAAGAGAAAGCTTCCATGTAACTGTATATTCACTTTTTTTTTTTTTTTTTTTTTTTTTTTTTTTTTTTTTTTTAGCTGTCCTGTTGAAGCAACTAATATGAACGAATTCAATAAGGATCAACAACAACAACGATAAAATCAGTAGTGTGATTTTGTTTTGTTTTTTCCATATCTATTAAAATAAAAGGCATTTATTGGTTAATTATTCATCTTCCCATTGTATAATTTCTTCTATTTCTTCATCTTCATCCAAAGCTATAGTATGATTTGATAAATTCCACCTTTTATGAACCATTAATAAAGCGAGTAAAATAGGTAAATGAATAACACTTCCAAAGAATAAATGTTTTCCAGTTTTATCATTGCTAATAAAATGGGGTTTTAGTTTCTCTTTCTTTCTTTCTTTTTTTTTCTTTTTTTTTTTTTTTTTTTTACCTATTTCTCCAAAACTTATATGCACCCCACGTCAAAGCAGCATTAATAACACTTGAATCTAATGCAAACCACCAAGACGTCAAATCTAAATAAGGGACTGCAAAGCATAAGGGAAACATAGCCAAACTATATCTTAGAGCAACACGTGCATTTAATTTCGGGTCAGTGACGGCCATCATACGATAACCCGCCTTAGAATAATCTGCTCTCAAATTCCAAGCAAGAGAATTAAAGTGAGGAAATTGCCAAGCATATAATAAACCACCCAAGACCCAAGCCCCTGGATCAAGTCCATTCGTAACAGCTGTGTATCCCATCATAGGTGGTAATGCACCCACCACAGCACCTACCCACGTATTGGCAATCGAGGAACGCTTCATGGGGGTATAAAGACAGGTATAAAGTAAAATATTGGATGCTCCTAGAGCTGCCGTGATGGGGTTTACACAGGTGGCTAAAAGTGAAACACCAGCAAGTCCTGTCAAGGTACCAAATCCAAAGGCATGAAATTGAGAAAGTGCTCGTCGACCCAAGACACGATTTCGTGTACGTAACATTTGTGCATCATAAGGTGTTTCGATCCATTGATTGATGGCATTGGCTGAACCAATACAAAGACCTGTCCCGATGGTGGTGGCTAGGAGAGTTGTGACAGTGCTTTCACCAGGAGCAATAGCATAACCTGCCATGGTTGTAAGGGCAACTAACCCTGCTAATTTAGATTTAATTAATTCTTTGTATAATCCTGGTAATTTATTGAGTGCTGGAGGTGATTCGATTATTTTGTATTTCGTTACTCGTTTATTTATTGATGGCTGTTGCTGCATTAAAGCAGCACATGACCATAATCTTGCCAAAGAGACATGGGATTGGGTTGTTGAATTATGATAAACTATATTACGTGAAATTAAACTTGTTGACTTTTTCAAACAAAACATGATATAAGCCAAATAATAATAATAATAATAATAATAATAATAATAATAATAATAATAATAATAAAAAAAAAAAGAAAAGATGGAAATATAAATTGACTGTTTATTTTATATATATGCTGCTATTACTGCTAGTTACATTATATAACCCTGCAAAATTAGGATTATCTGCTTTCCAATACTTGATCAAGGCCTTCATTGACAGGCTTGATTTCATCACCTACTATACCAGAAGAACCAGCCGTACTAGAAGATTGTTTTCCTAAACTATGACTAAAATGATTTGAAAGAGTAACAAGATTGATAGCCTTCTTGAAAGTACGACGAGCATTGAAATTGGTACGTAAGTTAGGTAATAAATCATCCGTTGTTTTGCTTTGATCATCCTTTGTACAAGTAGTTAACCATATATGATCAAGGGCTTCATGTGCAGTTATTCTTTCATTTACATCAATTGTTAAGCAGCGATCAATAAAATCCTTTGCTTTTTATTTTATTTTTGTATGAGTGTATGATTATCAATTCATATCTTTTTTTTTTACTTTACCTGATTGACCGATATTTTCCCAACAAGAGTCATCATAATTATAGTCAGCATTCATGATAGCATTCATTTCTTCAATATTATTCGAGCCTTCAAATGGTGTATAACCTGATAATAAAAAATAAGTAATTACGCCAATGGCCCACATATCACTAGCAAATAAAAAAAAATAATATCAATACAAGTGTCTAATAATACATGTAATATAAATAGATTACACTGGTTTTCCATGTCCAGTCTTTTTAAAGATCTCTGGTGCCTTGAACAAAAAAAAATGTTATTACATGTAAGTATGGTATAACTATAACATTTACCATATAACCAGGGGTACCACAAGTTGTTTTTAAAGTATGAAACTTGTCTGTATCAATAATACGAGATAAACCAAAATCAGCAATCAATAAGTCTGAATCTTCATCTTTTGTACGAAATAACAAATTTTCAGGCTTAAATTATAATTAGTTTATATTTACTAGTAAAGTAAAAAAAAAAAAAAAAAAAAAAAAAAAAAAGATATACAATACCTTTAAATCTATATTTGTATATATGTATACATGTATATATTTATATATTTATATACATATAATAGTTCACACACATATATAGAATTGATTAGTATATATATACAATATAACACATGCTTATTAACCTATTTACCTCGGTGAACTATTCCATTATCATGAAGATAAGCTACAGCACTACAAATAGTTTGAATAATCTTTGCTGCATCCTTTTCAAAATAGCTTCCTTTCTCACAAATACGATCAAATAATTCACCGCCAGAAGCTAAATCAGTGACAAGATATACTAGTGTAAAAAGAAAAAAGAAAATTAGTTTAGAATTCTAACTATAAAAACAATATGTGTATAACTTACAATTATTCAGAGTCTCAAAATAATCGACTAAACTTAAAATATTTTTATTTCCTTGAGAAATGCGTTTCAAGATGTTAATTTCATTTCGAATCATATGTTCACGACCTTCCATTAACTTTTTATTGATAATTTTGACTGCATAATATTTGCCGGTTTCAATCTATATACTCAGTAAGTTATAAGTATTTTTTTATTATTATTATTATTTTCTAAAAAAATTAATTTTACATGCATGGCCTCTATATAAACTCGATTAATAATAGTAATAGTAATAATAAAGAGTATACCTTTATACCTTTAACAGTAGCATAAGTGCCATTACCAAGCACTCTACCAGTTTTATATTTACAAGGTACAGTTACAGGTGCACGAGACATATTTTGTGTGTATATATAAGGAAAAGAAAAGAAAAGAGAGACTAGATAAAAAGAACCAAAAAAAAATAATAATAGTTTATTATCAATAGGCTGAGCCACTGCTGATACTGCTATTAGATGATTTTTGTAACATTAATAATAATTTAGCTACCATTGCTACTAAGTTACAGCTGAAGAAAATAGGCTAGGCCAACCAAAAAAAAACAATTTGGGACAGCGACGCTGAAAATGGGACACCCATTTGAAATTGGGGCAACCAATAGAAAACTAGGACATAATATCTAGCAAATATTTCTTTTATTACATTCAATTTTTATAGCCCCTTTTCGTAATCTATACACCTTTGCCAGAATGATAAGGAATGTCTTATCCAGCCTTGACAATCCTCTTTGCTGATATGAACAGAAACATTGCAAATCCACTCGCTTATCTTAGTATTTTGCCTGATTGAAGAAGGATTGTTGTTTACAACATTCTTCAACTTGGACCAAAACTCCTCAATAGGATTTAAGAATGGGGGTTTTTTTTTATTACTAGTAATATTTTGCATCGTTTAGAGTAAGGATTTGGATAATAATATATATATAAATTTAGAAATCTGTTATGTCGACGATCCGATGGAACCGATTTTAACATCTTTGAAAATGATAGAGGCCAATCCTTCGAAGTACCATACTTGCCTTTCTGTTGCAAACAATGCAGGAAAAAAACACAACTTAAATTTGTCTATTTAAATTGAAGTTGTAGAAAGTTTCTCTTAAATTCAAATAGTAGAAAAAACGAGCAATTTTATAAATTCTTTTGATCTTTGAAGCGATTTGCTCCTACAATCAAAGTTTTTAAATGTTTGTAAATTAGCCAATAACTTTTCACTTTCATAAATAACTACCCTATTAGTAAATGGCAAGGTGTCTATAATTATTTTGCAAAGGCTTGGATTGGCACTAGTTACAAATATTAGATGTTTTTTTTAAAAAACCCTGATTTTATTTCATGTGTTCTATTTTACCGAACAAAGTCTCTCAAATCTTCTGTATTTGTTGATAAACCAGCATGATCTATAGCCACGAGGCACACCTTTTTTTGGGTATTAACAAACTGTAACATGTCTGCAAAGAGGTTATTATCCTTGGGTTTGAAACATGGCTTTGATGAAAGGTTATCGGATTGCACCCTCTGGTTTCGGACCCTCCACTGCTACACTTATTAACGTACGCTGCGAGGTCGACCATGGTCATGAAGTCAAACTGAGTAATCAACCGCTCTCTTTTCCCTTCTCTTTTTTTCTTTTACCGGGGTTCTTTAAGTTTTTTTTTTTTTTTTTTTTTTTTTTTTTTTTTTTTTTTTTTTAGATACTTCTTCTTATATCTTATATTGTTCCTTTCTCCGTTTTGTAACTTAGATTAGCGGTAATGATCTATCGATTAAATGCAAAATAAGCTTCTTTTTTAATAAACGATATAATTTTTTGCCTGAGCTTGAAACAACTTTAAATTATTTTACCACCTGTATCACCATCAGCCTGTAACTTTGCTATTATTTCTTCTTGTTTTACTTGATCACGCTCATGGATACAGTCGTTAGCTTTGCAACTATATGAGACGAAAACATGATCTACTAGCGACCTTGATTTTAATCTATTACACATTTGATGCAACAAGTTCACCTTAACTTCTTCTTTTTCCGACCCATTTGATTTGCGTGCATAGCCAATTATACGAAAGTTTTGTTCTTTCAAGCTTTTTATGTATTATTGATAGTCATGCATGTAAGTAGTGATGTTTTTTTTAGAGTATCCACTATAATAACATTTGTTACTGTCGATTATATTAAAGTTTAAAGTTAAATTTGGACCTACTTATGAATTCATCTTTGATTACAAATAGATCTCGAAACCGAACCGTTTCACTTTCACCACTATCCGTCACAATGACTCTTTTAGTATCTGGGGCGTCCAAAAGGCTGGCCTTTGATAATTTGAGCCATATTCCCAAACTGTCTGTGTTTTTCTTATCAAATAAATTAGAGTACTTCCATAGCAAAGCGAGTATATCTTTCATTTTAATTTGCCTGCATTCATATACCTCTGGATTTACTGAATCACAAGGAAGGTATACTGAATTTATGAAGTCAATTACTTGATCATAATTAACTACACAAATTAGAATGAGATAGTGCTGTTTTAAAAAGAAATCAAAGGTTCTTACCAAGACGGAATTGATTACTATCTTCATTTGTTATCGTGGCGGTTTCTAACCCTTTTTTTTGCTAGAATATCTTTTATAACGGAAAGGCTGGTTATTGATTTTGAGATTTGAGATAATCATAGGTTCCATCGGATCGTTGACATAACAGTTTTTTAAATTTTCTAAATTATCAGCCATCTGAACATACTTTTTGGTATTTTCGTTATTATAGGGTGCACAATGAAGCATGCAGAGTGCCTGCTCTCTAGTTATCATGACCATACGACAATTATATAAAAGTTGTGGAGAAGACCAACATACATAACTGAGATTGACACAGAGACGGCCACAGAGATAACATTTCCCAATATCAATTCCAATATATTGGTTCAATACTTGTATTGATTTCTGGCCTGGACGCTTTTACTTTTTAAATTACATTTTTGCTTTTACAGATCAAACCTTTTCAAAAATTCTCTAGACAGATACTTTATTATTTATATAATTCCTTGTTTATACATTTGTTCTAGTATGTTTCGGCGTATCTAATCTATCCCAAACAGCAACTGATTGATAAGCTTCAACAATGCGCGGTATAAGTTTTAAAAATTCGCAAAGGCAGCTTTTTATATATATATATATATATTATTATCCAAGTCCTTACTCTAAACGATGCAAAATATTACTAGTAATAAAAAAAAACCCCCCATTCTTAAATCCTATTGAGGAGTTTTGGTCCAAGTTGAAGAATGTTGTAAACAACAATCCTTCTTCAATCAGGCAAAATACTAAGATAAGCGAGTGGATTTGCAATGTTTCTGTTCATATCAGCAAAGAGGATTGTCAAGGCTGGATAAGACATTCCTTATCATTCTGGCAAAGGTGTATAGATTACGAAAAGGGGCTATAAAAATTGAATGTAATAAAAGAAATATTTGCTAGATATTATGTCCTAGTTTTCTATTGGTTGCCCAAATTTCTTCAGCTGTACATCATCAAGTAATAAAAAAATTACAAATCAACTTTACTACTGTCTTTATTTTAATTTTGTTCATAGCTCCGCTGAACAACAATAAATGTTTCTCCTCCCTTCTTAACCCCCTAACTTTTTTTTTTTTCGTTTTTCATTCTTCTTCTTCTTCTCCCTTTTTTTTTTTTAATATATATAAATATAGCATTTTTATTTTTTTATTTTTTTGTTAGCTTTTTCTTTCTTTTCTTTTAATCTTGTTTCAACATACAAGAGGGAAGAAATAATATGATTTCTTCTTTTATTCCAAGATATACTAGAACAAATACATTTACATCAATATCAACTCTGTTTGGTAAAGGCATTCATCATGCTGCTAAATTATCCTCTCGCAATCCTATTGAAATGATTGCAACTATTCTCATTCTTTCTTCATTCAGTTATTTCTATTTATTTAATTTGGCTCGTAACACATCAGATATTTTCTCCGGTACTGTTACGCGCCTTTATCCGACGTTTGTTTATGCAGATAACAGGACAGACGACCTTCATCCTGTTACTCGTAATCAAATTTATCAGTATAAAGATGCAGTGAAAGTCCAATTACGACAAATTCTTATTAAATCAGAAAATGATCAACAAAATGTACTTAATAGCTTGGATAGTATTCTTCAATTTGAAGATAACGTTCAGCATATGCTCTTGGACGATCATATCGGTCAGTTTAATTACCAAACTTTATGTTTTAAAGATAAAATGGGTCAATGCCTTTCTCAATCTTTATCTGACATGTTGGTCATGAATGATAAAATGAATCCTGATAACTTGGATCATTTGGATTCAAATCATTCAACTACTGCTTCTTCCGTCTTGTTATCATTTGCCTTTAATGCCTCTACAAATTATCGTCAACAATTGGCTTATATTTGGGAACAGAAGGTTTCAACTCTATCCTCAGATCAACTTGTTTCACTTTCAACAAATACTGGGAAACAGCAGGATATTTTTACTTGGTTATTTATTATTACAAGAAATATTATTTTTCGTATCAAGGAATTAATTGAGGTAAATTAAATTTAAGGAAGGGAAGAGAAATAGAGAGAAAGATAATGAATGCTAAAGTGCATATTCGTAACCTTACAATTTTTTTTTTTTTTTTTTTTTTGTATTTGTATTTGTAGATGGCTGATAATATTGATATTATTGTCATTTTGGCAGGCTATGTCATGATGTTAACTACCTTTGTTTCACTATATATGAATATGCGTTCAATGGGCTCTCGATATACTCTAGCAACAGCTGTTATCGTCAATGGTTTCTTTTCTTTTATGTTTGCTTTACTGACTGTAAATGCGTTGGGTGTTGATGTCTATCCTGTAGTTTTAGCGTAAATATAAATATAAATATTGTATACAAATATATTTATTTATGAATATTTCTAAACTTTTTGTTTATATGTATATATACATATATACACACACACACACATATATATATATATTTATAGTGAATCTATTCCATTTTTGGCAGTGACAATAGGATTTGAACGCCACTTTAAACTTACAAAAAGAGTCTTTGAATATAGCAAAGAAGCACCTCTTACAAAACAAGAGATTAGAACAACAATTATTCGTGCTGTAGATTCTGTTGCTTTATCAATTACAAGAGATTGTATTATGGAAATTACTGTCCTTATTATGGGTGCAAAGTCTGGCATATCTGGTTTACGTGAATTTTGTTTACTTAGTGCCATTTTGTTAGCTTATGATTTTGTCATCATGTTCACTTGGTATACTGCTGTACTTGCACTCAAATTAGAGGTTATATACATACATTTATAAATTAATTTATGTACGTTTTTATTTATTTGTTTATTTATTTATTTGTTGTCTTTTTTTTGTAGCTTTTAAGAATTCGAGAAATTAATGGAATCACAAATACAAAGAATGGAAAGTCATCTGGTACTGGTTACATTCGTAGTACGGTAGTCAAGGCATTTAGTGATACTACTGCAACAGCAAATAATAATGTCAAAGTGGAGGAGCCTTTAATTGGAAGGGTTAAATTATTAATGGTAAAGTTTTCATCTATTTATTTCTATATAATTTTTAGACTAAAAAAAAAAAAAAAAAAAAAAAAAAAAAAAAAAAAAAAAAAAAAAAAAAAAAAAAAAAAAGATTATTGGTTTTGTAGCCATGCAACTGTTTAAAGTTTGTACCACCTTCCAAGGATTTGCAACTACGGGTGGTCCTCAAGTGAGTGTTCATGAACCAGGTGTAAGTAATGCGCTTCATAAGGTCTTGAATCAACATCGTGCATCTCAACTTGGTAATTTACCTTTGTTAATTGAAGTGTTTCCTCCTTTACCATTCCGTTGCATTTCTTCACCTCAAATGACTTCCTTTTTAGATAATATTCGCAAACCATTATACTATTTATTAGATACTTATGCTGTTTATATTCAACATCCTGTTATCTCTAAATGGATCACACTTGCATTGTTCGTCTCCCTCTTTTTAAATACTTATCTTTTTAAGGTGGCTAAACAACCTACAAAGGTAACAGCAGCAACAGCAACAGCAACAGCAACAATAACAACAACAACTACAACTACAACATCTCCTGAGCCTTCTCCATCAAAGATAAATAAATCAACACGGACTACTACAGAAAGGAGACTTTCACATCGACACTCTAATATAATGCGTACATGGGAGGAATGTGTGGAGCTTATTAAGAAACCTGAAACACTCTCTGATGAGGAAATCATTATGCTTGTTCAAAAGGATAAAATGGCTTCTTATGCTTTAGAAAAGGTACTTGGTGATCTAGAACGAGCTGTTCGTATTCGACGTGCTCTTATCTCACGTGCCTCAAGCACGCAAACACTCGAAACAAGTCTTTTACCTATTCGCAATTACCATTACGATAAGGTATTAGGTGCCTGTTGTGAGAATGTGATTGGCTATATGCCCATCCCTGTGGGGATCGCTGGACCCTTACAGATTGATGGTGAATCCTTCCATATACCCATGGCGACAACAGAGGGTTGCTTGATTGCCTCTACAGCGCGTGGTTGTAAAGCGATTAATGCGGGTGGTGGTGCCACGACGATTTTGACAGCAGATGGTATGACGCGCGGACCCTGTGTTGAGTTCCCATCCATTGTTCGTGCAGCTAGTTGTAAACAATTTATTGAACAAGAGGGGTCTGAACTTTTGAGGGATGCCTTCAATTCCACCTCTCGATTTGCTCGACTTCGAAAATTAAAGGTAGCAATCGCTGGTAAATTAGTCTTTATTCGTTTTTCAACGACAACGGGGGATGCTATGGGAATGAACATGATCTCTAAAGGTTGTGAACGTGCTCTCTCTGTCCTTAGTGAGCATTTCCCAGACATGCAAATCGTTTCACTTTCAGGAAACTATTGCACAGACAAGAAGCCGGCTGCGATCAATTGGATTGAAGGTAGAGGCAAGTCAGTGGTAGCAGAGGCAGTGATACCATCTGATGTGGTTGAAAAGGTGCTAAAGACGACCGTGAGCGCGATTGTTGAACTCAACATCTCTAAAAATTTAATTGGATCCGCCATGGCGGGCTCCGTAGGTGGCTTTAATGCACATGCTGCTAATATCTTGACAGCTGTTTATTTGGCTACAGGACAAGATCCAGCACAAAATGTTGAGAGTTCAAATTGTATTACACTCATGAAGGCCGTCGAGGGCGGTCTTCATATCTCATGTGGCATGCCAAGTATTGAGGTGGGTACGATTGGTGGTGGCACGATCTTGCCTCCACAACAAGCCATGTTGGATCTCTTGGGTGTTCGTGGTCCTCATCCCACTGAACCTGGTAAAAACGCTCAAAGATTGGCTAGAATCATTTGTGCCTCTGTCATGGCGGGTGAGTTATCTCTTTGTGCTGCCTTGGCAGCTGGTCATTTAGTTAAAGCACACATGGTACATAATCGTGGTAGTACTACTACTACTACTACTACTACTGGACCATGTATTAAATCTTGAAGAAAGAAAGAAAGAAAAAAAAAAAAAAAAAGAGGGAGGGGAGAGAAGGATTTGACGATGCATATTATTAGAGAAATTTACATAAAATATGTATACAAATATATTGATAAATATAATATAAAAATTCCTCCTCTTTTCCTTATTTATTTATTTATGAATGAAGAAAGTATACATATTAGTATATAAAGAAGAAATAATAAAAATAATAATAATAGTAATAATAATAAAAATAAAAATATTATGATTTTTTTTTTTTTTTTTTTTTTTTTTGTAAGGAATGAAACGGGATATTATCGTTGTGTTTAAATAATAATAGGACGGCAATATAAAGAAAAAGACAGGGAAAAGAAAGAAAGAAAGAAATTACAGAACTTCTATCATGCTGAACTGCTACTATTCCTTTTATTACTCTCTTTGGTTTTGTTTAAATTAATTATCTCTAACATCATATCAATGACTTCTTGAATCTCATGTTCCTCAAACACAGGGCCTGTCTTTGAACATTTCGCTCTCCTTCTTAACTCATCGCAAAGAATATCCGTATCAAATTCATCGAACTGAGGATGCTCAGCGATTGCATTCCAAATCTCTGCACAAGAAATTAATTTTGTTGAATCAGTTAAGGAAGCATCATCCTGCATCCTATTAGTAGCACTCGATGATGAAAATATCTCTGACAAAGACTTTTCCAATTCAGAGAATACATCTGCTTCTTCCCTTTTCGGTGTCGTAGTAACAATTGGAACAGGGTGACTAACGACAGTTTCATTTAAATATCCTTGAGAATCAAACAAGGGTTCTGTCAAGAGTTGCTCATAAGCATTTGAGCATACTTCCTTTTTTAATCGTTCACAGAATGAGACGCCATTTTTATCACGAATACAGGCCACTGCTGAACTGGATATAACGGGTGTCATCTTTTTCTCAACAACAGGTGAAGAATGAGTAGAAATAGGTTGTGATGGTGGTGGTGATGATGATGATGATGGTGATGATAATGATAATGATTTTGTCTCTGTCAAGTTTTCTTGTTTTTCGTTTTCTTTTAATAATGGTTCTTCCTTTATTTTTATCATTGCTTGCCTTAATTCTTCATTTTCCTTTGTGAGTTGAGCAATTTGAGCAGTATATTTTGCTTCCATTTCCTTAATTTTCTCTTCAAGTTCTTTTACATAACGTTCTTTACGTTCACGAAATGCTCTTTGTGCAGCTCGATTTTGTTCTTTACGTCTTAAGCGTTGTTCAGTTGCTAATGAAGTATTAGAACCTTGTGAGCTTCCACTATGTCGTCTTTCTATAGGTATATATATATATATTAAAAAAAAAGGGGGAGAAAGAGAGAGAGAGAGAAATTGTGGTGAATTATAATATTCATATCAGTAGTATTCAATTTATTTACGTTCTGTTTTAATGTTATAATTATCCAAGTCATCAAAAGCACTATCCCATTTTCTTTTTTCGGTATCAAATATCTCAGGTCGAGGTAAAATTTTAGGTGGTGTAAGTGAAGGTGCAATAGGTCGATAATGATGAAAATGATTGGCTTTTGATTGCAATGATTGTTGTTGTGCCATTTCCTTTGTAAATTAGATAATAAGAAAAAAAAAATAATAATAATAATAATATTAATAAAAAAAAAAAGGATCAAAATAGGACTTTGTAAGTGAAACTTTTTTTTTAAAAAAAAAAAAAAAAAAAAAAAAAAAAAAAATTAATAATTTACTGGCTGTCACAAAATAATAATATTTAACACACACATCTGTATTATTATTAGTACAAACAATATTTCAAAACTTTGTTATACAAACAACTTGTTATTATCACTCTTATTTTGACAGATCATTATATTCTCTTTCAAAGTTCAATTATCCTTAGTACACCCTTATAAATACCCTTGCCAAAGTTTAATCAAGACAGAAAAAAAAAATGTAAATTTTATTGAATGGTACATGCTGCTTTATTTTTCTTTGATGCTAACTTTTGATTAGTTCCTTCTTCCCAGGCCAGCTGAAATTCGAACCCAATCCTCATATTGTAAGCTGCATAAGCATTTGCCTATTAATAAATAAATAAATAAATATATATATATAATACAGCAGATAGGTAATATACAATAACAACAAACCTTGATCCACGCTTCACCGATTTCATCTGTATATTCATCAGCTAATCTCGATTTTAAGGCAGCTACAAAGGCAGGACCTACTAATTCAAAATGTTCTGGTTTCACATTATAATAATAATGTCTTGCACCCAACTCTCTCATCCGTAACGCAAGACATTCAGGATCTCCTTCAACATATCCTGATGATTGATCTTTGTTTATTGCATTGATATCACGTATAGTGGTAGTCGTTGATGGTGATGAAGAAGAAGAAGAATGATGATTTGTCACTTTAGGAGCTCTGGCGATATATGAAATCATACCTGTGAGGGCTCTAGCTTGTTGTAGAATATTACTAAATAGAGATTGACAATTTTCATCCATACTAAAGAGAGCATCATAAAAGGCAAGTCCAAATGCATGTGTGGCAGACACGTTTCGGTCATCTGTCTCATAACGTCGTTCCGTGACCCGTTCCCAACTTGTACGAACAAGATCAATTTGTCTTTGAGTGGGTGAAAGAACTTCATCATCAAATGAAGAAGAAGAAGTAGTAGCGGATGACATGAGTAGAGCAGGACAACCCATCATAGATTCTCTATCTGATGATAAAGTGCTCATAGTATCAGTGGGAGGATGATTAGCAGGTTTTGAATGATTAGGAAACCTGTTAAAGAATTTCCGTATACTGCTATTTGTTGTAGGTGATAGCTTATTAAAGAGAAAAGTATTTGACTTTGTATCATTTGTATTATGCTGCATTGTTGGCACTGATTCCATCTGTAATTAAATATATATGTATATAAAAAAAGGGAGGGAGAAGAGGGGGTGGAGGAGCTTTTTTGCAGTAGTGAGTGAGTAGTTTGAATTGTTTATTAGACACGAAAGAGAGTGCGTATATACAGTAAAGAAGAAGAAGAAGAAGAAAAAGAAAAAGAAAAACAATAAAAAACAATAAAAAATTAGAAGAAGGAGTAGTAAAATGATGAGAAAAAAAATGTTTATTGGTTAAATTAGTCAAGGAGAACAGCCTTTTTGTGTAAAAGTTGTACAGAAACATGAAATAAACTCAAGTAGAACAAAGAAAAGGATAATTGTCAATTTATATTTTGTACAAGCATTAGTTTTTTTGTTGTTTTTTTTAAAGGGGAACACTCGATGTTAGAAGTCTAGACACTGTATTTACTTTCCATCTAATCAGTTATATTTGAGAGAAAGATGAAGCATGTTATCGTAATTCTATTTAGGCCACTGGCTTTCACTAGATTACTGTTACATGTATACAATGTACAACACTGTCTTTCTTTTTTCATTCGTAAAGGTCTTTTTGCTATTTTTAAAATCATTTTGATTATGTCTTTGATCTTATCTCTTTATTTTACATAGTTTGATTTATGGTATTATATTCCTGATATTAATGATTTGAAGAAGAGGAAGAAGAAGTCGTAGTAGTTACAGAGGATGGTAATGATGTGTTATTAGTAGATTCTAACTGTGTTGACAATAAAGGCGATGATGGGTCATCCTTATGACTTGTTGTATTTTCATCTTCTAATAAGGAATTAGGATGATTTGTTGCTTCATTCGTTAAACCTCTTTCCTCTATTGTGTTATTATCATCATTCAATGTTGCATTTTCTTCTGCTTCTTCTTCTTCCTCTCCTGTATTAATATCTATAGTATCATCTCGGGGTCGATTTCCTTCAACTAACCAACGACTAATAAAGTGCTATGTGAATATATACAAATCTTTCTACTTTCTTATATATGAACTTACATGGCTCTAGGTGTCGCTAACCATTTCTTGCCTTGACTCATTGGATCACGTGGCCAGACATCTTCAAAAAAGTAGTAAATATGTCCAACCAAAACTCCCAAGATATCACCTGTAGGGATTTGACCTCCTAAACATAATGAAAACAACAAAAGAACCCAAGGTAAATAAGGCGCAGTAAAGACGACTAGGCCTAAAAAGTTTAATCGAACATATTGATTTCTTCTTGCCCAAATATAAACCATTGTAAATGACAGAGCTGATCCCATAAAAGGTAAAGAGGCAAAAGGCATAAGAATCTTTTTTTTTTTTTTTTTTTTTTTTTTTTTTGAAAAGGAAAAAAAAACAGAATTATTAGGATCTAGTTAGATGTGTATAATTCTACTAGTTTACCGATATAAGTAGTAACACACTTGCTGAAAATACCATAAGCCATACATAGTCTGCTGGCTTATTTCTATAGAATCCTTCTTCCATCATCCTGCTATATCTCGCCCTAGAATTTTATTTATGAGTATTATACAATATCATTTCTATCTCGTTTTGCTTTCTTACAGGAAAAATATATGAAAACAGAAATCGACTGATAAAGGTCCAAAGTAGAAAAAATTAGTTATTAATCTCCACCACTATATATATAAAAGAAAAGTATAAGTAATTAATACATATTTACTCGTTATTTATTCTGCTAATATATTCTTACTTGAAAGTCATTTGTAATGCTTTCATAATTTAACCATAATTGTAAAGGATGGATGAAGCCTAATTGCTATATTATCGTTTTTTTTTTTAATTCAATTTAGGAATTGAATATGCATATATTTATATATAAAGGAATATCGATTCTTACCACAGCTATACTAGTACAACAAGCTGCAGAAACATATATACGTGTTATGGGTGGAATATCGGTAAACCACATTTCCAGTGGAGATGGCATTTTTTTTTAAATATTAAACTAAGGAAAATAGAAGAATATAAGCTGCTGTCCATTTTTTTTAACTGCTTGGCTAAGATTGATTGGTGGATAAAATTTTCATAATTATTAAAAATAGATGTATGCATATGTCAATTGCTTAAGATAAATAAGATGCTTCTTTTAAAGATGATAAGTATAGGTTATTCTTATAAATACTATATAATTATATTACTAATTTGTATGGGAAGAAGAAGAAGAAGAAAGAAAAAAAAAGACCTTCAAACCTGAGTCCGAAAATGCATTAATGTACACAGGCACGCCAAATAACTTTTATATGAACAAAATAGAAGCTCTATTTCTTTTAGGTACATGAAGTAAAAGAAGATTATTTATTATTTGTGAATACTATTGATAGAACATCTTTTTACGTGTATTTTGTGAAATCGACTCTATCCTATTAAAGATTAGAAAACTATAATATCAAGAGACAGAGGATACTTTGGCTTTGTATAGAAATGACTATTCATAACATTATTCTATTTAGTAAGATAAAATATAGTATAACTGTCTTTCCTTTTTCGTTTTACTGCATCTTTAGTATTCATGTATGTTTTAGAAAGCATTACTAGACATTAGACTGGAAACAATACTTTATAGATATTAAAATAGAGTGATATAAAGTAATACTAAATTCATTACATCCAATCATATTTTGGTCAGAATAACGGGTATGATTTCAAATAGTCGTCCTTACACTTTTTTTTTTTTTTTTTTTTTTGGAACAGAACCTCATTATAAGCATGGTTGTGTCCTTTCTTGGCATCTTAGTTGGCTTCTTTGTGGTATTTCTCAGTCATGTCTTTATTAGCCATTTGATAACTTTTTTTCCCGTTTAAGACTTCATCGAAGGTTTCTATTTGTCATTCATCGTTGCTGATCCGCTTTCAACCAACTTCCTCTGAAAGAAAAAAAAAACAAGCTTTTTATATCTAGTCTCTCATTGGTTAGTTTGTTGACCCCAACGATCTATACTATTTTGCATCAAATACTTCCTCCCGTTAATCTTAGTGTTAAATTAATGTATTATTTGTCCTCGCCTAGTATACACATACTGTTTTTAATTTCTTAATTTCTTCTCCTTTTTTTCTTACTTTACTCCTATGAAATTCTTATTATTCTTATTACCTTGAAATTGGCTAAAGCAATGAAATACCATAATAAAATCGCTATGTGTTCATTGGTTATTTTTTTCTTTTTTTTTAAAAAAATAACGTAATAAGTTAATTTTATTTATTTATTTATTTATTTATTTATTTATTTTTTGTATTTTTTTTCCTATTATATGTCTTTTTCTCGACTATCAAATATTAAAGGACATTTAACTCGATTTTATAATACAGCAATAATGACAAATACAGAAAAAGCTACATTTGCTGCTGGTTGCTTTTGGTAGATATACAATACATCTATCCAGCTTAAATATAATAAATTTTATAATCCTATTTTATTATAGGGGGGTTGAACATATTTATCTTAAATATTTCAAACAGTATGATATAAAGACAAAAGTAGGATATATTGGAGGAAGTACAGCTAACCCTGATTATCGAATGGTACATGCATATATATATACATGTTTTGTATAATATTAACATATATATACATCTATTCTTTATATAGGTTTGCTCAGGAAATACAAATCATGCTGAAGCATTAGAAATCAATTTTGACCCAACTAAGGTATCCTATGAAACCCTTGTTGAATTCTTTTATAAAATGCATGGTATGATATAGTACACAAACATAGATGTGTATATTACATGTATACTGATATATGCAGAAAAGATCCTACTACGGTCAATGCTCAAGGACCAGATATAGGCACTCAATATAGATCAGCTATCTTTTATCATTCACCTGAACAAAAAATGACTGCAGAAAAAGTGACAGCTGAAGTTCAAGAAAAGCACTATAAAGGGAAAAAAATTGTTACGCAAATTGTACCTGCAGGCGTATTTTATGATGCAGAGACATATCATCAGGTAATAAAGAAATGATAGCTTTAAAAATAGACTTGATTAGTAAATTATACATGTATAGAAATATTTAATAAATAATCCTAATGGTTATGAGGTACGAAATAAGATGAGCTTTATTTATTTACAAACACATATTTACAGCTCTTTTTTATATTAGTGTCCTACTCATTACTTGCGTTGGTAATAAGACTATCTTTATTTGACATAATAATAATAAAAAAAAAAAATAAAAATAAAAATAAAAAAAAAAAAAAAAAGATGCATGTGTATTTTTTTTTGTTTCTCTCTCTTTTCGTATTGATTTTATATTATGAGAACTATTTCTCTTGTAAAAAGACTAAAATGGTCTTTTTCTGGAAATATGAATCCACATGCGCTTGTTCTTGGTGATGTTGACAACGATAATGTAAATAAATAAAGAAGCTCTTCCCCCTCCCTTTTTTTTTTTTTTTTTTTTTTTTTTTTTTCTAGCGATAATAATTAGATTTAGGAAAATGAATTTGTAATTGGTAATCTTAATGGTGATTTAGCTATATTTAAAGGTCATTGTGATGATGGATATCCCTTATATGTTTGTCGTGGTTTAGGAACCGTAAGTCATTTTTTTTTTTTTAAAAAAAAAAAAAGAAAATGTATTACTTATTCATCTAATGATTTATAGATAACCTGCATTGCAATTGGCGATGTACGAAATACTGGCAAAGTATGCTATTATAAATGTCATATACATATACACATGTATTCATAAAATTTACTAGAATTCAGTCGTTGTCATTAATGCAGAGGGACATGCCCATATTTTTGATATTTCACCAAAATTGTCCAAAATGAATACTCAAAATGACAGTAAACATAAGCATCACATTTCCATTGATGACTACTTGAAAGGAGGAAGACGATCTTCTGATACATCAAGCATCCAAGCTTTCCGTCACATGATGTCAGGAAACACCAACGATCCTCTATTTCAACAACAACAACATAATGCCAAGTCTCATCATCAAACCTCTCAACGTATTCATGATTTAGGACAGCCCAACTTAACTTTGAAGGTGCCTGTTAACGTGAATAAGATTTTGATTGCAGATATTGATAATGATAATCTTAATGAGCTCATTTTGGCTCGTACAGATCGCATTCTACATGCTTTTCAACTCGTGCCTACTGATCATGGCTTTTTACATTTTTACAAGGGAATCCAAACCCCTTTTACTAGTAACAGCTCTTCTTCTGCAGTATCACCTTCAGCATCCTCTATTAATTTAGCAAGTCTATCAAAACAACATTCACCTCTTTTAAATCATCAACAAAAGAAAGCAACAGAAGAGGCTAATATAACAACAAGGTTAAAGTTGCTTGACAAGAATATGTGGGTCTTTGATGGACAGATTAGTTGCTTATCCATGACCTCACACCCAGATAGACCTGATCAACCTTTGTTACTTGTTGCTCAGCCTGGAAATACATTTACAATTATAGATCAAGATGGTAAAAGGTATAATCGAGATTTTACTCCACAAAATACTGCAACGAATCATTTTCCAAATACCATGGTATCAAATCATAATGAGCACTCTTCTTTGGAACAACAAAAGTCTTCAGTCTTAGTTGAAGATCCTTCTATAGGTATCAATGAGGACACAACAACCTTTATGCATCGTACTAACTACGTAGTCAAGAACTGGCCCGCATTTACAAATGAGAATAACAATACTAGTATAGTAGAAAATGCTAAAGTTGATGAAAATAGAGCTGTAGCTACAGAAATTGTAATTGGCAAACGACCCTCAACAAATTCTGAAGTTGTAGGAATGTTGAGTATGGATGGCAAATTTTCAATATATGATTTAAAGACAAAGACAATATCTGAACGAGATTTATTTGTGACGCATAAATTATTTAGTTTAGCAACCTTAGACATCTCTACCACACCCTCCTACCATCACCATCGTCCTCCTACCAAACAGCAAACATCATTATCATCATCATCATCATCACCTCGTCAATCACAATCTTCTGCTTCCTCTTCTGCTTCCTCTTCTTTTTCTTCTTCTGATGATGATAACGAAAGTATACCCTGGAGTGCAGCAGAAGAAGATGAAGACGAAGAAAAGGAACCAGGTTGTAATCTTTTTGTTGCCTGTGCATGGAATGGCGTTACTTATCTAATAGATTGGAGTAAAACAACAGCGAATAATAAAATCAAATATCAACTTGTCAAGTTTGCTTTTGAAGGAAGAGTCTGTGCTTTTACAGCGGGCCTTTATGCAGTAGATAACAAAACAAATGTACCTTGTTTATTTTATGTTGACTTTGAGGATCAAATATATGTGTATTATGATGTACGTATTCAACCTGGCCCAGTGATGGGCTTTATTGATATGATAGACGATGATATTGAGGAAGGATTAGATCGTATTATGGGTATTGAAGGTGGTATTGAGGCTTTGTTATCACAGCAACAGCAGCAACAACAAAAAGAGAATGAATGTAACGATGAAGAAGAAGAAGAAGAAGAAGAAAATGCTAAGATTGACTTGGGGGACGGATGGCAAGGTATTGTGGATCATTCAATTCTAACAAGTGGTGAATCACAGCAAGATTCAGATCCATTAAACCTTGCTGATTTTATACATGAATGTCTATATGAATTCCATGATATGAAGGATAGAATGGAAAAGGAGGTACGACAGTTTGAACAGAATCGACTTTTAAATAGAGGATCAAGACCAGGAGGAGATACAGGAAGACGACTTTCTGACTTGAATATTACAATTGAGCCACCTTCAATAGTAGATGAAGATGATACAAATAATAGTTTAATAGTAGATCATACTATCCCTATTAGTTCTGACGAAGAAGAAGAAGAAACAGTCAGCCATTATGAAAGAAGCGAAAATGATAGACAACATATAGAATCATGGATTGAGGATTCATTAATTGATTCTTCCATATTTAATAAGGATTATGATGACGAAGATGATGATGATGATAAACATTCTACCAACACAACAACAACAAGCGAGCTACTGTTAGCTTAAAAATAAAAGCGGTCTTTTTTTTTTTTTTTTTTTTTTTTTTTTAATTGGATAATGGTAAATGACTGTAATTCTTTTTAAATATCTCGGTAAAGTATAATCAAATTCAAACTAAAACTCTATTATTAATATTAAAGTGGGTTTCTTTTGATAATTGATTTGGTTTTTCTTTTTTCCAAATAAAGCCCTTATATGAATGAACCAAATTTGCTGCTATTGATATGAGCAGTAAAGAATTTAACAAGTTTTTTTTTCTTTTTGCTTTGATTCTATGCTTGAAACCAGTTTTAATCCAGATCCAGCTTGAATATCTTAATAGGAGCTAATTTCTATATTAAATACATTGCAGAAAATTCGAAAGATTCACAAGGCCATGATGCTATATTTGGCTCAATTCTCCATCCATGTATAATAGGCTTTATCTTTGTAGGATACTTGTTTTATTATCATTATTGCTATATTTCATCATTGAAACTACGGATTTATAATTTCTTTTTTTTTTCCCACTCAAGGGCCAAGTTTGTGCACACAGAACTATGAATTACAAAGTTGCTTCCTTAAAATTTATTCTTTCTCTCCCACACACACACACACACACACTCACTCTTGGGCGTTGCTTTTACTGCAACATTATTTTAGCCAAAAAAAAAGTGTACCAAAATAGGAAATCCCAATACATAAAATAAAATGGTGTGGTGTGCAAGCTCATTGGAAGAAACATAAAATGAGTTGGATCTTTATAATTTAGTGAAACTGACTACTAAATAAGGTAAATTATCAATATTATGTTGTTAGTATGAGTAGTAAGCAATAAGCACATTATTGATATAAAAAGGGTAAATAATCTTGATACCGACAGCACATTTTTCTTTCTCTTCTTCTTCTTCTTCTTCACTGACTGACTGGAAAAAAAAAAGATGCTCATAAACAACAATCTATTTTTCTTATTACTTTTATCGTCATCTATTTTGATATCTAGAGTGACATCAGAAAAGAATTATTGTCGAGGAGAATTTGCCCCTACAGCTTCGATTTGCAAAAAATTTGAATTTGATAAATTAACAGATAATGGTATATGCACAGATAGTAGCAAAAAGTCTTCTGTAGACAAATTTCATGGTTTAAAACTTGCCAATTGCACAACGTACTCTATCCCTATCATTTATTGAGCATAGACTTATTATGATGGACTAAAAAAAAAAAATTTATTATAGATTTTATGATATTAGTATGCTTCCAAGTGAAAAAATGCATGCCTCTGCAATCAAAAAGGCTGAATTAATTACTAATGTGTAATAATGTTTATTTATTTATTTATTTATTTATTCTTTAAATAATTAATGACTGTCTGTCTGTATATATTAGGTTTGAGAATGGAAATACAAAGATGGGTTATGCGGTAAAAAAATATAGTATTTCAAAAGAATGAAAAGAAAAAAAGTAATTAATTTAATGATAATAATAGGCTGTAGAAAAATTAGGCGACTGTAGAGGATATACATGGTAAGCCATTTATTTATTTTAATTACTCAAGATGAACTTTATTAATATATTCATATAATAGCGGTTACATTGGATTCACAACAGGTACAAATGATGCTTATGCTGTCGTTAAAGAATATGTCAGAAGAGTCCCTAAAGCAAAGTTGAGGAAATATTTGAAAGCTCTTGAAGCCTTGACTAAATTACCCTTTGGCGATCCCAGAAGAGACGATACATCTCAATTATCAGGATTTGCATCTGCCTGGAAAGAAGCTGCTTGTAAAGATCCCAACTTTGTTCAAACTCAATTAGATGTAGGCCATTCCATGTATTTAAAGCCTGCTTTAAAATATGCTGCAAGTGTTCATGTTAAATCCAATCTCGGGAAGGCTATCTTTTATGGTATAAAAAAATAAAATGATAATAAAACATAAAGATAGAAAGATATTAATCTATTTATTATATAATATAGATACTATTATTCAACATGGTTGGCAGGTAATATCCATCTATCTATCACACACTCTATATAAACATATATGAATAACTTTTATATATATATTTATAACCTGTAGTATGTGGAGCCCTATATTAATATCGTAAGAATTATTCAATTGACGGGTCCTAGAAAATCAGGTGAAAGTGAAAAATCCTATTTATTACGATTCTTAGCTACACGTCAACAACTTATGTGTTGTTATCCTGGCAGTGTATGGTAAAGTCCACTTATAATACACACACACATATTCCAAAGCCCTCTCCCTCCCCCCCTTCTTTTCTTTTCATCTACTAATAACTTTAATAGGAATGATTCTGCTGACCGTGTTGAAGATCTTCGAACACTTGTCAAACATTGGTCTAAAAACAAAAACCTTAAACATACAGTTGAGCTTAAAATTTATGGTGCAAAAATTACAGGCAAAGAAAATATGAAAGTGGATTCGAAAAGATGTAAACATGATTCAAAAAAGAAGTCTGCTTCAGAGAAAAAGGTTAAATCTATTTCGTTACCTATCCCTGATACCTGTCCAGCTAAATAATAGGAATTCTTTCAAAAAAAAAAGAAAAAAAAACAAATGTATATGTGTATATTTACATGTATATTTAATATGTGTATATAATAAATATTGGAACTATAATTTATGATCATTACTGATTTGTTGTGGCTTACATGTTAAACCTTACTCCATTTTAACAAAAATTTAATTTGTGATTAGTGACTTGAAATTTAAATTTTTTTAGCTTCTAAAAAAAAAAAAAGAGAGAAACAGTCCCGTTAATTCAATTACAGCCAAATTTTCGATACATTATAAAAAGGTAGCCCAACTGCACAATTCTGTTGTTTTTTTTTCCTTATACCAATCAGTAGGAAAATAATCTGTTAGTAGAGATCCCAAAGAGGACTCTACAGCATTTAATTTTCCAGATGATGAAATCGGGTATTCGGATGAATTTATCGTCTGTTGATTATAACGCGCCCTGGTGTTACGCACCTTTCTGATTAACTGGAAACTACTGAATAATTTATAAATATTTATAAATACATATTTTTTCTTAAATAAAAATGAAAAAGACGGGAGAGTGAGAGAGATTGTGTAAAATGTTAAAAAACATGTACATGGGCTTCTTTATTTGGAGATGATAAAGTTCCTCTCTACTAAACAAAAAAAAAAAGTAGTGAAAGGAAAGGGAAAGTATTTTCCTTTATGATAGAAAAAAGAAAAATGTAATTTATTCAATTTTTTTTTTGTTCTTTTTTTACATGTGTATTTTGTTCTAATAAAAAAAAATTTTTTTTTTACTCGAGATTTATGGCTTTTACCCGAGAACTAAACTAACAAACTTATAAAACGGGTGAATTTAACAAATTAATTGTCGAAACATTTATAATGTGTGTTTTTGTATAATATGTATTGAAGAGTATACTATTTTAAGCATGGGGTGGCTTATACATGTTATATTGGAAATGAATGAATTCCAAAAAAAAAGGGCATTAATGTCGTTGATCAATTTATATACATGTAAGAATACTTTAAGTATCTTAAAAACATGATAATACATCCAAAAATACGTACAAATAATTATTTAAATATGGCCTCTCCTTACATACATTTATTAAGATAAATGTACAACAACGTCCTTTATTACTCTGTAAAATGAAAAAAAAAAGTCTAATATAATAAGTTGTTAGATAAGAAATGATTTTTTTTTTTCGTGCTTGTGCGCTTTAAATAATGAATAGCTTGTTATATCTTTTGGATTTTATGCACATATAACTTAACAGAGCTCCGTTTTTTGATCAAATAGATAAGCTTGTTCAGGTTTAGATACTTTGTTACAATCGTCATATTCTGCTAGTGTTGTTGATGTTGAATATCTTTGTTGCTTTTTTAAAGCAATAAATCTATCATCAAACTCGACAATAATAGCCTTTATTATTATAATTGTTTTTTTTTAATACAGGCGGTTTTATTATTATAAATAAAACAAATATAGAGTTACACTTACATAAGTTGGGACTTTATTAATAAAAGTCGAGAGTGATTTTTTGATTCGTACATGTGTCACATCTACATTATTTTTCATAAATTTGAAATTAATGCCACGTATATTTTCAACTGCATTAAGTTGACTGCATATCTCGAGAATGTTTTCTTCAAACTAGTTACAGTAACATTTTAGGTTAAATCAAAATATGTACAATATATTGTTTGTTTCTACCTACTTTTTTTCTCTTGTACTGATATAAACATAATAAATACAAAGTAATAAGAAGAATAAAAGTAGGTAATAATATGCCAATTAAATAGAGCTGATGAAATTGAAGCCATAAAAGATAAAATAAAATACTAGCAGCGGTAAAAAATAAAATTAAACTACAAGTCCATAGTAAGTTTGGACCTGGCAATGGTCTTTGATAAACATATTTGTTTAGGAGTCCAATCATTGCTTGAAATTCTTGTATTGGAAACTAAAAAAGAGAGAGAGAGAGAGAGAAAAAGAGTTATAATGGAAGAAGATAAAAGCCCGTTTGTTTAGGTATTTTTTTACATTGTCTAGATCGTTTAACGTGTATTGATAATCGAATTGTCTTTTAAAATGAAGTCGAATGCTTTTCATATTTTATTTAAAAAGAAGAAAAAAAATAAAAGATAAACTAAATACAAATTAATAAATAAAAAAGAAGGGGGGGGAGGAGAATTATATATAATGATTTCATTTTAAACAATACTTAAAAATGAAGCATTTTATTAATAATAAACATTTATATAATACTGTATTGTTTATATCTTTTATTACTCGTTTCTAAGATAGTCATTACATAATACACGATCCAAGTTATAAGCAGCTAAATTAATACAAATATAAATAAAATTAGTTACTTTTTTCCCTTTTCTAAAAAGAAAAAAAAATATACATTATATAATCATATTACCACTAATGAATGATAGATGAGTAAAAGCCTGCGGAAAATTACCCAAAAGCTCGCCTGATCTAGCAACTTCTTCAGAAAATAATCCTAAATGATTACCGTAGGATAACATCCTTTCAAACATAATAACAGCACGTGTTAATAATCTCTTATCATATCTTCCTGCTCTAGTCAGAGCTTCTACAAGCCAAAAAGTGCACATCGAAAATGCTCCTTCGAGACCGCCTACACCATCATCCGTTGTCAAGAAATTATATCTAAACACAAGATCATTTGCCACAAGTCCACCCTTTTCAGGTGGCATCATAATTCTCTCAATTGTATTTAACAAACGAGGATCAGTAGGAGAAGAGAAGAAAACAAGTGGCATAATAAGCGTACTAGCGTCTAAAGCATCAGATGATTCTACACTTTGAGTAAACATCTTTAGTTTTGGATTGTAGCATTTGGTTTGTACAACTTCATAAATTTCATCCCTTGTTCTCATCCATCTATCTCTATTGGGACAAGGGAAAACTCTCTTTTCAGATAACCGTAGAGCTATATGAAACAGATATACATCCATATGTTTAGTCTGATGAATCAACTTTACGTAATCATATATATATATATATATACCTCTATCAATTGCAACCCAGCACATCACTAATGAATAAGTAAATTGTTGTTTACGACCTCGTACTTCCCAAATAGACATATCAGGGATATTCCAATTGTCACAGACATAGTCTGTTAACTTACGAACTGAGCACCACATATCGTAAGAGATGGGAGAGCCATATTTATTATAAAGATAAATACCATCCATTAATTCTCCATAAATATCAAGTTGAAGATGATCATAGGCACCATTACCAATACGAACAGGACGAGAACCTCGATAGCCATCAAGATGATTTAGTTCAAATTCATCAAGTTTCTTTATACCATCAATACTATACATGATATTCAAAGATCCATCTGGATTCTATAGTAGTAAGTAAGTAAATCATCAGAATTACCGGTCCTATCCTCTATAAAAATGCCCTATATATTTATATGTATATTACCAAATCATTACATCGATCTTCTATGTATTTCATATATCGTCCTGCTTCATGTGTGAAGCCTAGTCGAAGAAAAGCATAAATTGTGAAAGATGAGTCACGGATCCAAACATACCTATAATCCCAGTTACGAGGACCACCAATAGCTATTAAAATATGAATATGCAGTGGATTTAAAAAATAAATAAATGTTATTGCTACCTTCTGGAATACCAAAAGTAGGAGCTGCTACAACTGCACCAGTCTAAACTCCCACCAAAAAAAAAAAAAAAAAAAAAAAGTTAGTATATATACAGTTAAAATATACACATATATATTTAAATATATAGATTATTACTGGTTCATAAGTCAATAGCTTTAAAGTTAGCGCGCTTCTCATCACATGTTCCCTCCAACGACCCTTATAAGAACTTTGAGTAACCCAGTTCAACCAAAATGTACTTGTCTGTCTAAAGAGAGCTTCTAATAAACTCATTGAAAGTGGAGGATCAATGGCCATTCTCAGTTTTCGTTCAGCCATTGATTCATTAGCTACACAGTCCGAGGATTCTAAGTTAGGTACTTCTCTAAAGACAAATACTACCTCTTGTGTCTCCATCAAGTCAAAGTTAGCCCAAACCCCAGGACCTTTATGATGATCCGGATCATCCTCATGCACTTGAATCTTCACGTTAGGACACTGGAACTCACCGCATTTTACTAAATGACGTAAATCCATCTTCATATGTTCACTTTCAAATATAACACGATCTCGACTTGCATAATAGTGCCAACTCTCCTCTGGATAAATCTTTGCCATCGCCTTTTGGTCTTCGATCGTTTCATCCTCAACAATTTGGGTGGTATGGGGATCAAGGGCATAATTGAAGGCTGGATAGCACTCCATCTTGAATTCAACTGAACCACGAATGACACGTACCTTTCGAATTAACCATTGAAGTAATGGCTTTGTAGAGAGACGTTGACCCTGTGAGGGTATATGCATATAATCGACAATCTCGGCAACACCTTTATCCGACAAGAACCTCGTCGTCAAGATATTGCTATTAGGTAAATACATTTGTTTATTACTTGTATGTGGGGTTCTTGGATTGATTGAAAAATGACCTCCCTTGTCTTTATCAAGCAAACGACAAAAGATAGATGGGGAATCAAACTTGGGATAACAAAAGAAATCAATGGAGGCATCAGTACCGACAAGAGCAATTGTTCTCATGTTGCCAATAATTCCATAGTTTTCAATAGGTAAATATCCACGGTTACGAATATTACAACGGGTGTCTTCAACGTCTGCTTGATGGTTCAGATTACTGATACTTTGTCGGCGTGTGTCGGCGATATAACGATAACCCTCAGGTAATTCTTCAGAAGGTGCCTCTGTATTTTCAATCTCTGACTCAAGCTGATAACCGTAAGAACGATCTCGCATCTCCTCTATCGTTTCTTCGTCAGGTGTTCCTGGATTTTTAAATGACATGAGTGTATTTAATAAACTGTAAAAAAAAAGAAAAACAAAAAAAGAAAAAACAAAGAAGTAAAAAAAAAAATTCATGCTACTTTATTGAAAATCATTAGCCAATCATTCACTTTTTTTTTTTTATTACTGCTTTGAAAAAAAATGAGGTAATTTTGCATTAATTATACTAATTATTAAGAGCTTATAAATCAATATGAAGGATTCTACTACTATTTTCTTATTATGAGTTAGTTAGAATAATACTTATTTTAAATTGCAACAAAGTAATTACACGTATTTTATTATTCTACTTGATAACCAAACATTTTTTTTTTTTTTTTTTTTTTTTTTTTTTGTAGAAAGTCATTAGTAGTTTTAACTAACACGAATTTTAAAATTTAGCGAGGGGTTGGGTTATATGCACATAAAATTATTCATTTTCATATAAACAGGGTAAAATCTTTCCACTACAATTACCAAAACCAATATGATAATCTAAATTTTCTTTAGTAGCTTGTCCTGTAATCTTGACTTCATCTCCGTCTTGTAAAAAGACTCGTTCAATACCGTCTTCAAATTTAATTTTTTCTTGTCCACTCCAGGTAATTTCTAGCAATGAACCATAAGAACCTTTTTCCTAATCATAATATAAATTGAGAAAAAATGTATAATTGAAGGTTGTATTCTTATATGTATATGAAACTTACAGGTCCAGAAATAGTTCCAGTTGCTCCCATATCACCTGGTCTTAAATTACATCCATTCACTGTATGGTGAGCTAATTGTTGAGTGATAGACCAATACATGTGTTTAAGGTTAGAAACGGTAACGGTTTCAAATTTACTAGATTCAGCAGCTATAGCAATTATAAAGTTAATATTTATATTTGTATATAATTTTGTAAAAAAAAAAAAAAAAAAAAAAAAAAATACTTACGCTTGATTTGAACTTGAAGATTAATATCATAAGCAGATGGTTGCTTTTCTTGAAGATAAGGTAATGGAGATGGCGCACTTTGATCAGGACCATCTACTAAGAAGGGTTCAAGAGCATCCAAAGTGACAATCCAAGGTGAAATAGTTGTACCAAAGCTCTTTCCAAGGAAAGGGCCTAAAGGAACATATTCCCAAGCTTGAATATCTCGAGCTAATTGTATATCATAAAAGTTAGAATTATTTTGCATATAATGCTTATTTTATTTTATTTTACCACTCCAATCATTCACCAAGACAAGACCAAAGATGTGATCTCGAGCATTCTTCAAGTCAACGCGTTCACCTAATTTATTACCAGTACCTACAAACCAACCAACCTCTAATTCAATATCTAGTCTAGTAGAAGGACCGAAGATGGGTGTTTTACTATCCTTAGATGGAAGTCGTTGACCAGCAGGACGACGAATATCAGTGCCTGAAACAATGACAGAGGATGCACGACCATGATATCCAACAGGGATATGAAGCCAATTGGGTTGAAGTGCATTGTCTTTACCTCTGAACATAATACCTACATTTGTAGCATGTTCACGAGAACAATAAAAATCGGTGTAATCTCTAATACATGTCGGATATCTTTAGTTATATTCTCTTATTCAGCAATTTAACATATAAAACTTACCCAATTTTAGCTGGTAAATGCATTTTGACAGTATTCATAGACACTAATACCTTTTCTAAAAGCTCTTTATTATCTCTTAATACACTATTATCTTTAGATAGAATATTCTGAATAGCTAAACGAGTTGCCTTCCAAACAGGACGTCCTAATTCCATGAATTTATTCAAAGAAGGCTTTTTATTTTATTTTATTTTATTTTATTTTTTTTTACGTGAGTCATGAATAACTTTACTAAAGATATATAATTTGTAATAGATATACATACCTCACTAAAAACTTTTTTAGGATCATTTAAGCCTTCAATATGATCTAATAATCCAGCTTTTGCTATTTCATAAAGATCAAGTACCTTATCTCCAATTGCTGTTCCTATACGAGGATCAGACTATTATTTACAGAAATAATAATTATTAAATCAAAGTTTAAATGAATATTTATATATAAAATATATTTATATGTATACCTTTTCTTTTGTAGAAAATACACCAAATGGAATATTTTGTATAGGGAAATCAGAGTCTTTAGAAACTGAAATAAAGCTTTCAACAATAGGAGACATATTATGAAGGAAGAATAAAGGAAGAAAAACAAGAAGAAAAAAAGGGAATACATTTACTACTATAAGAATTATTTTTAACTAATGAGTCAGCTGACCGTGGAATAAGTTTTGCTGTTTGAACTACGTGTAACGTGAAATATGTCAAAAATGAAAATAAAATCATAATCGGCTTAAAGGAGTTTATTTAAACAGAAGATATGAATCACTAAAGCTCAAATCCTAACAGCTACCATATCTTCTTTGCCCTCACAAAAGACTTCATATTTGAAATAGATAATCTAGTTAGCGACTCTATGCTTTTTTTTTTTTAGGGGACAATATTGGCAATATAATCTAGATCTTGGATATCTCAAATTACAAAAAAAAAAAAAAAAGTAGTACGTCATATAAATGAAATGTCTTCTTCTTCAAGTTCAAAAGAAATTGTTTGTAATAACTACTACAGTCAGTACGATGGATATTGTCGCCAATTAACAAATATGTGTTGGCAGTCGAGAAATAATTGTCTCAAAAGAAATTTCAATTTGTCGTTTTAGGGAAAGCGTATTGTCGCAAAGGTTTTTTTGGTCAATTTATTAAAATTTTTTAGAGAGGTTCTTTATAGTTTTGTTATAGAACAAGCTCTGGATATAAGCATAAGTAATATTATAAAAGATGGATTGCATAATACAGGACGAACTATGAACCTGAACATATAATAATAAAAGATATCATATCTTTTGTACACTCTTTGAAACTCTATCTCTTTCTTCTCTTTAAAGCCATTATTCCTCTCAAACTGATCAAAGCCTAAAGAGCCTTGTTATCATGATCATCATAAAAAAAGAGCTCAATTGTCATAATACAGTAGTAAGAAAGCTTACAGCCTAACTATTTAAAATGCATAAACCGCCAAGAATATCTTGTAAAATTACAATTGAAAAAGGCGTTCCACAACACAGCTAAAAGGGAACATCCTGTAAAATTGTAAGAAATAAAACTACTGTATAAAATGACATTTTTTATATTATTGATAGCTTATCTACTCTTATTCTTTTGGAGAATGTATGAACATCATGCTCTGTTGTGTAACTGCATTTGACTAGTTTTGGCTTAATTGCTTTACAAGAATGCTCAGCATATTCACATGAATATTTATACATATAAAAAAAGTAAACAAACTTCTTTTTTTTTTCTTACTTTCTTACTTTCTTGCTTACTTTCAAAGAAGACAGTAATGCTTTACTACATTCAAATAAAAGGCAAAACTTATCTCTAAAGTATTAAAAGGAAAAGAAAAAAAAAAGAAAAGGAGAAAGGCAAGAGAGAAGATTTAACGCAAAGTAAATTAAAAACAAAAAAAAAAAAAAATATGCTGATTAAACTTTAATAACTTCTCCTTCTTTTTGTTTATTTTTTTTTCTCCTGAATTTTACTATAAAAAAAAGGTACATTTTTTCGTTTTTTTTCCCTTTTTTTCTCTTTTCTTTTCTTTAGCTTTTTTTATTTTTCCTATTCTTCTTTATTTTTACTTGAAACTATGGGTAGACATTGTCAGGGTTATGAAGTGTGCTTAAGTCACATAGCTTGGCTTACTTGAGTTTGTAGAACTGTCCGTTTATAACATGGCTAAAGGAGAGGGCCTAGACTCTCTTTTGGTTACTACATGCATATCCGCCTTCACCTTGGGTTATTGCAACCTTAGATAATTGATGGGACCTTATCGAATTTTGACTGCTCAAGTTTGATTTATTTCCAAAGGAGGAGGGAAATAAAAAGGATACTTGGGGTTGGAAATTGTAAACCTGTTCCTTTTTTAGGGAGATTAGCGTACTCTTTGTCTGCACCATTGAAAGGGCTTTTCTCAAGGTTTAGTTTTTCTGTTTTTCTTTTTGGAGGTTTTTCCTTCTTTTTATTTTTATCTAGTTGCTGTTTATAAAATAAAAATAGATAAGGATGCACAGCTTACGTTTCTGACCGTGGTTTTTTCATCTATTTATTTAGTTGAAGAATCCCAACTTGTATTTACTGTTAAGTCAAAAGTAGATGCTAGGGGTCAAAGAAGGGACATTCTCAGGTAAACAATAGTCAGGTCGTGCACTTTATATATCTGGATTCCTTCCACTTCGCCACGCTACAGGTCAGAATGTTTAGCCCGGCTTCCAATGAAACTTACATCCAACTGTATTTTTTATTGGGGTAGGAAGTGAGGAATCCTATCTTTTTCTTCTAGCAAGGCTTGGGTCAGGTTGGTACTTTGCCAAGTGTCTACTAGTTGAAATTGGACGTTTATCTTTCAAGTAGAAATTTAGAGGGAGAAGAAAAAATTACAGCCCGTATCAATTTGTGTATGGGTTGTAATATTATTTTTGGGATTAGATATGCTTTCACCTTCTCGTGGTTAATCCTGTTAGTATCAAGTCTCTTCTACTAAAGAGATTTGAGAACTAAGAAAAGCATCTTTTTTTATAATATTAACAAAAATGAAAAAAAAAACAATTTAATAAAATCGTGTTTCATAATAAAGTTGCTTCTCTAATAATATTTTATTATAACAAAAGTGGTGAAAGACTCTAACAGCACAGTGTATAAATATTAAAAAGATTATTGTATATTTTCCCTAAGATTTCTTTCCTCTCGAGGTAAATTCTATATGGTTAAATAAATCCAGCATCACTAGAATGTACATTGTCAGAATAAGACTAAAACTAGCCAACATTCATAATGAGCATTCATAATCTGATTGCTGTACAAAAGACTGTTCATCTTCAGGGTATAACTTGAAGTTGTTTCAAGCCCTGCCATCATAAATATTCATTATTCTATCTGGAAACAAACTAACTTTGGTTTTCGAACTAGTGATTTTTTTTTCAACAAGGAAAATTTTCTTAGGGTATTGAGTAATAAGGGCTGAAGGGAGGCTTCACCAATTCATCGAAAAGAAGTTGTTGAAATATCTTAGTCTTTGCAAAGGAATCTTATTTTTTTTTATTACAAATTTTCCACAAAGACAATCCCTTTACTCCTCAGAATTGTATCTACGGATGGTATAACGACACTTAATACAAGAAACATATTTTTGAAGTCTATCATGATAACAAAAAAGGTTGCCATTTGACATCACTTGTAAAACGTAACAATACGTTTTTGGAAAATGATACTGTTAGATACAGTCTTTTAGTGCGATATTAATGAAGGTTTTCGTTGTTTTCAGGTTCTTGTCAGTTATATATTGCTCTTGGATGAGCATTAACTTCATCATAAAGAATATAAAGGGTAATTGCTCCTTCAGTGAATTTGTCTCATTATTTGGATTAATTAAAGGAAATTCTATAAACCAACTAAAGTTGATGCACATGATGTGAACATACGTTTAATAAGGAACTATTGCCATCTTTTATTATGTACGATGCTTCTTGCTATTCGATGACTTCTTTTCATAGTTTATATGTTGATGCACTCACTGTTTATTGCTAATTTAAACCCTTCTACAGTGCTTGACTTTTTTTTTTTGTTCAGCGTTTATTGCTGCAGGTCTTTTCCAATCCATGTAAGATTGGACAATAACAGGCACTACCTGGCCATCCATATTAAGGTTATCACTCATGTTATAGAAAAAAAAAATAAAGCTTTTAATGTAATGCCAAAAAAACAAAGTAAAAAGATGTGACCATAATTATACATATTAATTATCCTATTTTCAAAATTGGTGTCCCAACCTATTATCAAACTTATCTTGATTAAAAAATAAAAAAAAAGATTTTCGCTCAAGTTGCTTAGACAGAATATTGTTTTTTAAATTTCTCAAGATGCATTTTAATATTATTATTCTATGCCTCAACAATTCCAGTAGGTGAATCCTTATTACCAATTTTACTTCGTTTTAATGCTGTTTTTAACAGTTGTTTGAATTTTCTCAAAAGGATTCAAATCATCCATTCTAATTCTATGGGTCTTTATTAACCATAATATTCAAAATAGTATTGAAAAAAGAAGCGTGATGAATAAAGTCTGCTACTGTTTGAATGCTGTTAAAAAAACAAAATACAAGTTTTAATATCCGCTGATTGGATTCTTAATTTCGGTATTTGAAGCCATATAAAGTTATATAAGAACGTCATTCGGTTGAATTAATACTTTGTAACAAAAGTAAATATCAGAAACATTATATAACACTATGAAATTCATGCACACAAAAGATAACTAGTTATTACAAATAATACCTTTTTTTAACGATCGTTATCACAAGTACTTGTAATAAACTAGATATTACTTTTTGCAATCTCAGGAACACATAATAATACGCTTTATAATCAATGACAAATAATAAAGGATTATTGATAATCATGACGTATATATAAGTGTTGTGTATATAGATATTTTATATTATCATTTATAGAGTTCATTGATATCTTCACAAGTGCATAGAATTACTAATATTGATAATAATGAAAATTTAATATAAATAATAATCTTTACTTCTTACTACAAACATAAAAGTTAACCCTACTTGCGCTATTTCGTATTTTAATTGTGATTGGATATTTTTATCGGAGATATATACTATTTTTGGTAAGATTTTCTCTCTTCTCCCCCCCAAAAAAAAAGAGGAGAAAATGAATTGGCGAAAATAAGTTACATCACCTATAAATAATGACAACTATTATTATGCAATAAAAAAATCAAAATAATAGAATATACTATATATGGAAGGTAGAAAAAAGTATTTATTATTTTTATTATTATGATTGTAGTAAATATACACTTATGTATTTCCCTTCTTCAACCCTCCCCCCCAAAATTTTGAATTCAAACAAATCAAGTAATAATAAGAAATCATTACCTTTTGTGTGCCTGCCTTACAAAAAAAAAAAAAAAAATAAAATAAAATAAAAAATAAAAAAAAAAAAAAATAAAGTTTATGTAAATGAATTTTTTTCCGTAGGATAGATATGCACATATAAAACTGAAAAAAATATTAAAAAATACAAAAGTCTTTTTCCTTCTTTTTCTTTTCATTTAAAACTTTTATCCAACTAAAACAAAAAAAATGGTTCATATAGAAGAAGAATCAGATGCTGTTCAGAATATACCTCGCTTATATGCTTTAACTTTAGCTGATGATGGTTCGCCAACACATGATAAAGCAGTAAATGCATATTCAATATACTTAATAAATAACGCGTATATTAATATAATTCATAGTATATCCGTATTCCTCTTTTAAAGGAAAAGTAATTATTCGGTTTATTTTGAAGCCTGGTTCTTTAGCTGCTGGAGGAAGACCTACTTTATATACCAACTATCCTATTACAGGGTAAATTATTACTTTCTATTTTATTACTTGTTGATATTTACTTATTTTATTTTAGAGAGGAATTTGAAAGGCATAATTTCCATCCCGTCAAGTAAGTATATATATATTACATATATTTAAAAAAGTGGATATAAACTTAACAAAACATAACATGACGTAGATTTATTAAAGATCCTCATTTACTTCATGCTTATTGTGATATCACTCTCGATTTTCCAGGTGCTTATGAATACAAAGTTGAATATACCTGTAATAAACAAACCCAAATGGCCAATATTGGTTACGTTATTGCTGAACCCCGTATTCAATTACCGCATCTTACTCGTCAAAATGATCTGTTACCATTAGATGCTTTAATGATTTTGTCTATGGTTCCAAAATGGATGGGTCCTATCACAAAATGGGATAAATTAATTGAACAAGTAAAATATGCTGGCTATAACATGATTCATTTTGTGCCTTTACAAAAGCGTGGTATTTCGAACTCACCTTATAGTATCAGTGACCAATTAGCTTTTGATGATGACGTCTTTGAAGAACACGATCGTCAAAAATCCAATTCAGAAAGAGTGGCTATTGTACAGCAAGCAATTGAGAGACTTAGTTCAAAGTATGGTATCCTTAGTCTTTCTGATGTTGTTTGGAATCATACAAGTAACAGCACCGAATTTTTATTAAAACATCCTGAAGCAGGTAATATATTTATACACACATATATATTTATATATATATATTTCGAGGAGAAAGGAAAAGAAAAAAAAAAAGTATCGTAGATATTGAAAATACATTATAATAGGTTATAATCTTCATAATTCGCCTCATCTTGTACCTGCATATGAATTGGATACAGCTTTGGTTGAGCTTTCTGGAAAATTTGAACAAGTTGGATTACCTCGTGACGTCAAATCTCCCGCCGATGCTGATATCATCATTGATTACATCAAAAACAATACTTTTAAGGAAATTAAACTTTATGAATACAAGGTAATTGATGTTGCTTCTCAACTTGAGAAGATGCGTGAAGCACTCAAGTCACATAATATTCAATGTGATCCTAGTCTTTACCAAAATGTCGCCCAACTACCTGTGAAAGAACGTGTGATTCTCTTTGGCAAACAGGTAGTTCAAAACGGTCACTTAGGAAGTCGATTCCATAAAACCGTAGATATGTCACAGGCAGTTGCCTTTTTACTTGCCTTTAATCATATTTCAAGTTTAGAACAAGTATCAGAGGATCGTGTGGATGGTTTAGTGAATTCATTCCAAAATTTATTAAATGATTACAATTTGCCTCTTTATGAGGAATATGATGAAGATTGTAAAGTAGCTCTCGATAATATTAAAGGAAGACTTTTATTCACTCGATTAGCTGAAAATGGTCCTAAATTAGGCACCATTTCAAAGAGGTATTATATATGTATATGTTGTCAAAAAAAAAAAAAAAAAAAAAAAAAACTCAACTCACACTCTTTCTAGTAATCCTGTTATCGAGACTTATTTTACTCGTCTAGAAGATAAAGAAAATCAACATCCAAAAGGTAGCATGATGTTAGCTAATAATGGTTGGATATGGAATGCAGATCCACTTAATGATTTTGCTGGTCCTGGTTCGAATGCCTATTTACGTCGTGAAGTCATTGTCTGGGGAGACTGTGTCAAGCTTCGCTACGGTCAATCACCTAACGATAATCCTTGGTTATGGAAACACATGCGTGATTACACTGAACTTATTGCAAGTATGTTCCATGGTATTCGTATCGATAATTGTCATTCAACACCTATACATGTGGCTGAATACCTTTTGGATGCTGCTCGTAAAGTACGTCCTGACCTCTATGTTTTGGCTGAACTATTTACAGGTTCAGCTGAAAGGGATAATGAGTTTGTATCCCGTCTAGGTATTCACGCTTTGATTCGTGAAGCTATGCAAGCTTGGGATACCCATGAATTATCTCGATTAACACATCGTCATGGTGGTAAGCCTGTTGGTAGTATGGATGAAGATATGATTTGGAAGAGAGTACCTTATGAGGGTGATGAATACGATCAAGTACTCTTAATTCCTATTGCTCATGGCAGTATGCCTCGTGCTTTGTTTATGGATTGTACACATGATAATGAAACACCTTTCCAAAAAAGAACTGCAGAGGTATGTATATGATATGGTTACTTTGAATAATAATAATAATAATCATATTCTTATTATTATAGGATGCTTTACCCAACGCTGCAATTGTCGCATTTTCTGATTGTGCTATTGGTAGTGTTAAAGGTTATGATGAGATTTATCCTCGTTTATTGGATATTGTAAATGAAAAACGAAAATATGATCCTAATCCTAAACTCGATATTGGTATCCTTGAAGCCAAGCATAAGCTGTTGAACCTTCATCAAAAGATGTGTTTTGAAGGTTATCGTGAAGTCTATGTTCATCAAGAAAATGACTATCTGCTAGTACATCGTCAGCATCCTAGCTCCCAATCTGGCTATTTACTTATTTCTCGAACTGCCTTCCCTGGTCAAGGTACGGGTCACTCCCCTATCCGCCTTCGCAAATCCCAAGCATCCTTTGAATTTGCCTACTCTCTTAAAATTGATAACCATTTAGTGAAAGAAGCTGAATATCTAAACGGTCTACCAACTCATCTTGAGCCTTTAAATCCTCCTCGTTTTGAACATGGACATGACGAAAAGGGAGAGTATGTTGAAATTATTTTGTCTGATAATTTTACTCCAGGTTCTATCTGTGTCCTTAAGACATCCATTGGCGATAAATATAAAGAAGTTCGCAAGCTGATTAGCATAATAGATGATGAAGTAGTCAAAGATTTGGATCTTTTGGCAATAAATGTTGTACTGTATCGTTGTAGTAGTGAAGAGTATGATTCTACGGGCGGTGATGGTGTCTATAATGTGCCCAACTATGGCAATCTTGTTTATGCAGGTCTTCAAGGTTTCATGTCTGTCCTGAATCTAATTATAGAAAATAACGACCTGGGACATCCTCTATGCGATAATCTGCGGGCAGGTCAATGGGCCCTAGATTACTCTATACATCGTCTTGAGAAATACAAGCAAGATTATCCTTCACTTGAGCGCTTAATTGACTGGTTTAAGGAACGTGCTGAGTTGATTCGACAGGTACCTGATTTTTTGGTGCCCAAATGTTTTGCTCTGATCATCAAAACCGCTTATGATAAAGTCTATGCACAGGCTTTAACACTTATGTCACCTCTTGTTCAAAATGGTGACACGTTTATTAAACAATTGGCCATGACAAGTGTTCAAATGCTTGGACAAGTACCCTCTGCAGGCCTCTGTCCTACTAAATCAACTCCTTCTTTAGCAGCTGGATTACCTCATTTTACTATCCGCCATATGCGAGTTTGGGGCCGTGATGTCTGTATCTCCCTTCGCGGCCTTTTGATGGTCACTGGACGCTTTAAGGAAGCTAAAGAACATATCTTGGCCTTTGCTGGCTCCCTCCGTCATGGGCTTATTCCTAATCTTCTTGACTCAGTCCGTTACCCTCGTTATAACTCACGAGACTCTGTTTGGTTCTTTATGCAATCTATTCAAGACTATTATCATTTGGCACCTGATGGCCATTCCATTCTCAACACACCTGTGCCTCGCCGTTTCCCTAAAGAGGATCGATTTGTTGAGGTCGAAGAAGGTTACCAATACTCAACCACAATTGCGGAAATCATTCAAGAGATTTTTGAACGCCATGCACATGGAATTCATTTTAGAGAGTATAATGCTGGATCTAAAATCGATGAACAAATGTCGGATAAGGGATTCAATATTGATATCGATGTAGATTGGTCATCCGGTGTACTTGTCGGTGGTAATATCTGGAACTGTGGCACTTGGATGGATAAGATGGGTGAAAGTGTCAAGGCAGGTAATAAGGGATACCCTGGTACCCCTCGTGATGGCGCACCTATCGAAATTACTGGTCTCTTAAAGAGTTCTCTACGTTGGATTAATCAGCTTATTGAACGTGGTCAATATTCCTGGACTGGTATTGATAACGTCAAGATCAACAACGAAACAACTCAAACAGTTACTTACAAATTTTGGAATGATCTTTTACAAGAAAATTTTGAAAGAGTTTATTATATTCCTTCGGACCCCTCTCAAGATAAACAATATGATGTGATCTCAAAGATTGTAAATCGTCGCGGTGTTTATAAGGATGTCTATCGAGCTACTGAAGCTTATACAGAATATGAGCTTCGACCTAATATTTTTATTGCCATGACAGTAGCCCCTGAATTATTTGATAAAGAGCACGCAAAACAATGTATTACCCTTTGTCGTTCTATTTTATTAGGGCCCCTTGGTATGCGTACCTTAGATCCTACTGACCAACAATATCGACCTTATTATCATAATTCAGAGGATTCAGATGATTTTAAGACAGCTAAAGGACGTAATTACCATCAAGGGCCTGAATGGTTATGGCCCATTGGATATTATCTTCGTGCAGCTCATTACTTTGATGCTCTTTCAAATCAAGAAATTGCTTCTATTCTACGTGAACATCGTAAATATATAGATCAGAGCGTTTGGTGTGGTTTGCCAGAATTAACAAATAAGGATGGCGAATTTTGTGAAGATTCTTGTACTACCCAGTCATGGTCTTCTGCAACTTTATTGGAATTGTTTTATGACTTAATTGAGGGTAATAAGCATTGTTAAATGTAGTAATAAAAATAAAAAATATGCTTAGCAGTATTTCAATTTTGCATTACATACTAAATGTTGGCTTTTTAAAAAAAAAAATACCAATGAAAAGTTACACAATTTGTTCTTTTTCTTTTTTCTTTTTTTTTCTATTGGTAATATAAAATATATTGAGTTAAGCCCTTTTTTTTCTTTTTTTTTTTTCTTCTATTTTTTTTTTTTTTTTTTTTTTTTCAGAATTAAATTATTATGAAATCCGTTCTCAAAATATCACTTATATTAATATATTCTATATTATGTAAACTTTATATGACTTCTAAATGAATTTGATGTACTAAAATGTTTGTATAGCTGTGATGGCCAAAGGTGGAGGAGGTGGAAGAGGAGGGGGTGGGGGTGGTGGAAGTAGAGGCGGAGGAGGTGGTTCTAGTGGTAATAGAGGTGGTACTGGTAATAGTGGATCTAATACTGGAGGAAGAGGCATTGCAGGTAATTGAGAAAGAATAAAGTAATATTTGTATTGCTAGCATAAATTAATAATGATGGATATAAAGGTACAGGAAGCACACCTGGTAGTGTCTCATCAAAAGGTGGAAGAGGAGGATTTGGTGGACCACCACCCTATCAATATTCGAATACAAGATGTATGTAATATATTCAATGTTATATATATATATACACTATAATGCTAACTCATGTACCGTTTATTTATTTATTTATTGATATTATTATTACCGTATAGCAACTTACACGAATTATGCACCAGTCTATTCTGGCGGTTATTCAGCCACATCACGTTACGGCTATTATGGGTTTTATAATCCTGCATTAACCTATTTTTGGATTGCTCCACCCTTTTTATTCCTTGGTTATCATTCAATGTATCATCGTTACAACTCAGAATCAGGATATTATTATGCCCCTCAAATCACAAGTAGTGGCAGTAATACAAATAATGTCATTATCAATGGCACTACTAATTCAGGCAAAGATGACAATTACCATTACACATTTAATATTAGCACCCATAATCGTTTCCCCATGATAGATCATGCTTTTTATTCTTCGTCTGATCCAAATTCTGAAATAGCAGATTTTGTATATAGATTACAATTTTCTCAACTTGTTGAGTTTAACGATACTAATCAAAACGGATTTTATGATGCCAATGAACCAATTTTGTCGTTTACTTCACTTCAAGACTTGGCTTGGTCCGTTTTCCAAGTCTCTAATATTACTGTCCCCACTAATGCTACGCAATCTTACCTTCAGACAGAAACAAGAGCGATTGCCTCTTATAACAATACCAACACTAACTTTACAGTTCACATCACCTATCGAATGAGCAATGTACAAATCAATAATACAGCATCTATACCTATGCAACCCAACTCGCTTGAATATGATTTTGCTCTTGAAGGATTCCCTACACTAATTTCTAATGCCCATCCAAATGCTCGTCTTGCTATCCTTCAAGTTCTTTCAACTCATTTAGATGAAACAATTCAAACTGATATTAATACCACTACGCCAGTTGATATTGCAAATCAGATCAAGACTAATGTAACGTATGGATTATCTGTAGGCAATTTTACACAGGGACGATTAGAGTATCAACCTACTGTCAATATTACACCTATAGTTACAATAGGACAATATGATGCTCAAGCTTTAGCATCCATTCCTGCATATAGTAACAATGATTTAGTTTGGGGTTCTGATGTGCCTGCCTCCAATAGAAATAATAAGATAATTTTGGTAACTATTCCTGGATATTCAGCAAATAACAGTAATAATAATTTGTCGGTTTCTGGATTTGGATATTTGAATGTTGAAGTTATGAATGCACTTGCTAGTAGTGGTAGTAGCCTTTCATTATCGCTTTCAGCCATTAATTGTTTATTAGCACTTGTAGTAGCTGCCTACTTTATGATTTATTAAAAACAAGTATGCTAGTTTTATTTTTATTTTATTTTTTTTTATTTTATTTTATTTTTTGATGAACATTAAAATATATTAAATACATAAAATTATGCTAATAATTGTAAACTTTTAAGAAATATATGTATATGGAGGGGGGGGAGGAAAGAGAACCTAAATAGTTTATTTGATAATGTGTATATTTCATATATGTAAGAGTAATATTATACTATAACAGTAGTCTTAGTTAAAGTCTTTAATTATCTTTTCATTTGACCAATAAATAACTTTACATTATCATTTCCTATCAAACATAACCAAGAGATTTATCCAATATATATATATTTATAGGCATTATTTCACCAATCCATACACTCAGTTTGTTATGAGTAATCTAGCTATTTGTATTCAATCTTGTTTATAGCACTTGTATTTCTTTCCTTGACAAAAAACTAAAGAAAGAATAACAAAGGATAAACTTTTTTTTTTAGAGATTATAGTCGAGTCGAATAAAGAATATATTTCATTGAGAGGCAGTAGTAGTAGCTACATATCATTTTGTAGGAAAAAAAAAAAAAAGAGAAGAAATGGAAGAGCAATTATTAATTAAGATACTATTTTAAATATCAAACAGAATAAGCAATTCCTTATTATTAATATTAGATAAACAGGTATGTTACTCTCATAAAGCTACAACATTTACTTTTTTTTTTATTTTGTTTTAATAGTGCACTGATACATCTTCATATTTCTAATCTTTATAAAATAATATTAGTGTATAGATTTTTATAAAAATATGCCTATATCAATATAATAGCCAAATGAAGAATACATGTAAACATAATTGAAAAAATAATGTATATCTATTTTTGCTGATTTCTTTTCTTCTAATATTGTATAGAAAATAATACGCATAAATGTACATACAATTTTTATTTTATTTTTTATTTTTTATACAATACATGCTATAATATAAATAAGAAGCTTATTGTCGATTATTCCAAAATCCAATGTAACTAGATACATTATTTATTGGAGATGTCTTTGTTTCTGGTTGCTTTTCGAAGGAAGTTCCATGATAAGAGACTGGACTTAGAGGCATCCATTCACTATCTGATTGTAAAGAGCTAGGTAGTTTACTTATACTGTTTCCACTGCCAGCAACTATAGTGTATTGTTCAATAATACATATGTATATGTGTAAGAAGAAACAGGAAAAAAAAATTATAATACTTACAGACAAATCCATCATCTTCAAATGGATTATGATTTGATGCTCGACTCTTATCAGCCTTTGGAATTTCTAGTCATATTATTTCCTATTAATATCGAACATAAATATATGTGTCACTTCTTCTTACCTTGACCATCTTCCCACCATTTTTTACTATCTGTGCTAGGAGGAGGATCTAGAATAAGATTAATTAAGCATATCGCATAATTGAATATATTAGTAACGATGAAACTTTACATTCACCATCTACTGATATATCTATAAGTGTATCTATATAAGAATCTGATAGTTTTGATGATGAAAAGCTGTTACTACGTATAGTATTTTTACGTTTTGGTAATTCAGGCGGTGAAGTACGAACTTCTATTGAACTTAGACTTTGGTATAATTCTTTTTGTAATTTAATTTTAGCTTCATGATCTAATGTTAATATCTACGAAATAATGATAAAAAAAAGGTAAATAATAAAATTATTATTAGTTTTTTTTTATCTTACATCAGCCTCAAATAACGCAAAGACTAAATAAAAAGTTATTAAAAATTGTCAAGTAGTCTGTTATATACTATTTTTTTTTGTTACCTGGTCTATGATCAGAAGTATACAATTCTGCTCTTGAATATTGTAATTGCTTTAATTGGGTTCCTTTAAATAAAATACGATCTGTCCAACCTGGAATTCTCTGTTTTTCACTATATTCAAGTGAATTAGTTTATGATCCAACTCAAATTTATTTCCCTCTTTCTTTTTTTTTTTTTTTATAGATACCTAGTATCATATGTATTTGTTCCGTTATCATATTTGTATGTTGGTAGAAAAGTAATGTCTCCTTCTTGATAACCATTAAATACTCGACCTTGTCTCATCTCTCTTGAAAGCTTAGTTAAAAAAAATCAATTAGAAATCAAGTATTGTATTAATTTCTTATTTTGTATACCTGATCATTTTGAAATAGCATTTCAATATTACCCTCTTCTACATACATTCTGACCTATAAGGATAATAGATAAATCAATTTCTTTATTTTATAGTCAAACTAATTTACTTTACCTCCTCATTCGATAGAGAAATACGATAGTTCAAATCACTCACCCAAATAATATTACTATAATAATATAAGTTTTTTTTTTTTTTTTTTTTTTTTTTTTTTTTTTTTTTTTTTTTTTTTTTTTAGAGAAAAAAATAAAATAAAACTTACTCATGGCTGTCAATCATTTTTCCTCTTAAAAAGCGTAAACCCTCATTAATGATATGGAAATCTGAATTGCGATCATCCACATTTGAATGGCCTGTATAATACGATTAAATTAAGATAAAACTTATTATAATAATGTATATTACCTGAAGCAAGATGTGCAGCAACAAAACAAAAACTTGTATCTCCATAATCCATTCTAATAGCTACTGCACCTTTATTGCCCGCAATACCCATAATTCCAGTCTGTATATAAGCTTACAAATCAGTCTCTCTCTCTTTTTTTTTTTTATCTATAGTATATTTCTCCAGTGTTACCTTCTTAATTGAGCTTTCTACATTTCGTATTTCATCCACAATATCTGTCTTAACAAAAATAATGAGCGCTGCACCCACTAGTTGATTTGAACGTAAAAGTGTATATCTTGATTTAGCTCCTGCTCTTGTATTTAAAGTCTTTTCGATTTGCTGTTCCCAGATCTTTCTTTTTTCTGCATCTGTCGCCATAACTTGTTGTGGTGATAATTCTACTATTTCCTGAAATCCTATTACATAAATATCAGGCTCCTCTTCACTCCCTATAAAAAATATATATAATAATATATACATATATGTATATAAAAAAAGAAGTTATATCAGTACACACTCACATGTATTCATTCAAGAAATTTTACATCTGAAATGTTGAAGCAGCCAAGGATTCAAAAGTTCTCCTTTAAAGCTCTTTCCGTTTAAATTATAACTTCCCGCAAAAATGGTTACTCTTCGATTATGAGAATATTCTTTAATACGTTTTGTTAATTGTCGCGTTACGCGATCACTTATAGGATCATGAATCGCAATCATCGTTTGATTAGCCAATTTGCCTAATAATTGATCAATCACTTCCTGCCTTGCTTTGTCTTGGAAATTGTTGATATAGAAGCGGTTTACAGATCTTGTAGCGTCACTCAAAACATTCATGAATGTCACTTTTCCTGTTCTCGTAAAACCTGATTTTAGGGCTCCCGTACCTGCATAAATTTTAGATAATCCATCTCCATTTTCTGCCCACAAATGTGAATGACGTATTATCAAATAATCAATACCATGAACACGATTTGTTTGTTTCAAGAAATTCAGCAGAACTCTTCGTGAAATCTCATTTTGAACAAGGTTGGTACGATCAAGACAATCCATACAGTTAGTTCGAAAAATACCTTTCTGGGTATTAATAATCTCGTCTGTATCCATTAAGAAAAATCCATAATCATCCATAATATGTCGAATATCCTTTAGAAGAATTGAAACATTATCGTAATTACCTCCACGGCATTCAGCGTGTAGATCAAAATTGACCATACGAACAATAGAGGGACTGTAACCAAGTCGCTCAACAGCTGTATTATAAGTATTGCTAAGTAAAGTTTCACCAGCTGTGCTTGTTTCTCGTTGTGATAAAAGATTGACATTGGAGACTGAGTTATAGCGGCTAATAAGCTCATCAAAATGACGTTTAACGGCGGGCTGCGTTGCGCCCGGACCACGAGAAATTTGTATTTTATGTTGAACAAGCTGCATACCTTGTTGTTCCCAAAATACTAGTTAGTGAAGAAAAAAAAAGAGAGAGAAGGAGAAAAAAGAGATGAGTATTAAAGATACATAAGGATGAATAGAAGCTTTGCTTTTTATCTTTACCTGGAACACTTCCTCTAATTTGAGTATAAGAATAACAAATTCTATCTGAATAAAGTATAGTTTCGGTCTATATAAAGTATATTAATTCCTATTCTCTTTGCCTCTCTCTCTCATTTAGTATATTTACCTCTACAAAATTTGCTACATGTCCATTATCATCAATTCCTCTTGAATTAAATCGAGTACCAGCACGTTTACAACTTAATTTTGAAATCACAGATAACTCATACCTTTCATTATCAATATCGACCTCTTCTACACCTACATAACCACGTATAGCAAATACTAAAAATCCACCACGGTCTAGATCTATCTGCTTCTTTCTATCTAATTTAGCCCTAAAGTCCAACAAACCCGATATTAAGAATTGATTCCATAAAAAATGTCCATCAAATGAATGTACACCCATTGACGCTACTGAAGTGCTATAAAATCATAAAAAAACATAAGCATACACAAATATTTTAAGTTACTTTTATTTTCTTCCTTTTTTTTTACCGTGCTTGTACTGTTCTTGTCAAATCAAAGTCAGGTGTAAAGTAGAAGCTACCGATTGAAAATAATTTTTGTAACTGAGCACATGGATGTAAGACATTACCACTGCTGCCACTATTGCTAGGTTGATCCCAATCATCCTCCCAGTTAGGTGTCGGGTCAATAAAATCATCATAACGAGAAGACGATAATGAATAAAATGATACTGATTGAATTTTATAAACTTCTTCCCCAGCTCTTACTCTTCCAACTGATACACAGTCTGTTACAATGGCTAGAAAGCATTCTAATAATAGTAATAATAAAAAGGATAAAATAAATAATGAAACATATATTATTAAAAAAAAAAAGTTTAACTTACCTGATTGTACTGTAATTAGTCCTAGACAACCAAAAACTGGACGTGAATTAAGTATCCTCCATTTGGAATCCTCAAATTCAGAAGGGCTATAAAGTTCGGCTATAGCTCTGTTAGTTTCTGAGCCTTGATATTCCTTAAAAACAAGCACGCCAGAAGGTGCTTCTTCTAAAACTGTGGGCCGTAAAGCAAGAGCTCTTGGATGTTCTCTTAATAATAAATGATTTTGCATCTATTTAGTATTATTTCTTCTTTCAATTAAATGACTTTGTAAATGACAAGCTGATTGAACAAAAAAATAAATTAAGAATCGCTATGACGATGTGCTTCTATAACTGTTAAAAAAAAAGAAGAGAAAGAGAGACTTAAACAAAAACAAACCAAGAAAAAAAAAAGCTATTTTAAAAGTCCTATTATGAATAGCATTATTACATGATTATCGCACTTTTTTTTTTTTTTTTTTTTTTTTTTTTGAACGAGTTTCGTTGATTTATTCTTACGATGCAAAAGGTCTCACCTTTATTACATGTTAATTATTTTTTTAAAGGATTAAAAGAAGCGTTTAATTGGACACATGTATTTAATCTCATTTCATCGTAAGAAGGATTATTTTTGTAACGTGTTGTTATAAGTATGTGAGACTCATCTATATTGTTAGATCTAAAGTTATTCAAAAAACTTTATTAAAAAGTTTGGTTTTAAATGGAATCGCTTATTTGGGTATTCTTATTATTTTAGAGACATTTTATAATACACCTGACCATCATTTGTTTGGATATTCTTATGCAGTTAATAAGCAAAATACAATAATTATAAACATGTATTATAAATGGTGTTAATACTTCACATTAATAGGATTTGACAGGCTACCCTTTATACCTTATATGTCTTATAGTAAATTCAAGATTTTACAGTAAATTTGCCAGTCATCAAAGAGTTAATGGTTATGATGATCATGTTGATATACTAACAAGTATAAATACTGTGATATTATACAGTAATTTTGCGTTATGCATTACGCTTTTAAAGCATTTAATACCCATCATAGGGTCTATTCTTTCATTTTTTATTTATTGTATTGTGATGTCCTATTATTGCTTTGAATATAAATGGATTAATGAACAAGATTGGACAATTGAGCAACGCATGAACTATACAGAAGAGCATTGGTCCTATTTTTTTGGATTTGGATTGCCCGCTTCATCCATCATTTTCTTTTTGTCAACATTAAGAGCGGGCGGTGTATTTGCATTGATTTATCCTTGTGTAAGTATAAAAATATATGAATTACTTGGATAATAATATTTATAACATTTATAATTTAGTATATCATGATGGCCTCAGTAGCTACGCCAGAACCTATCTATAATACCAACACTATTACTTCAAATGATTTATTTGCTTTACCAGTCAAAATACCAGCTTTTTCTTTTGTTCGAATTATGAATCATTGCATCATTTCTATTGTTCAGAAATTACTTGTAGGCAATCATAAGGGAACAGAGATTTTTGAAAATAAAAAAGAGCATTTTGGAAAACTAGTGTAAAAAATAAAATTTATATAGTTCTCGTCTATATCATTATAAAGATGTCTATTTTTTACTTAGTCATAAATCTTGCATTTCTCAATAAATTGTATAAAAACACATTGATAAACATTGTTTGAAGACAAACTTTACAGTTTTTTTTATTAATTGGGGGGTATATTCAACCAACAAATATATACTATGATGCCTTAAACTTCAAAATTAGTCCCTAATGTAGACAATTATAATTACATGATGATTTCATTCTTAAAGGCATTCGATTGAATAATTTAAACGAAAGCTGAGTATAAATGACTGTTTCTCCTCCTACTAACCAAGTCACGAATCACTCCTCAAAAAAGTCATAAAAAAAAAAATCAAAACTTTTTTTTTTTTTTTTGTAGTTTTGGCTCATTAAGTTATTCACAATGCCTCGTGTTCAAAGAAAAGGACGTGTAAATAAGAAACGTGGAAAGAAAGGAGGAAAGAAAGATGCCAACATTGATGAACAAAATGTAGTAGAAGGCACCGAACCTATGGACATTATTGATCAACCTACTACTGAGTCTTCCATGACCTCCACCGATCAACACTTCCAAGCTGCTCATTTCGGTGAAGTCGACGAAGAATTGCTTGGTTATTTTAAAAATGTGGAGCAAACATTAGAAGATCCTCAGTTTGAAACTGGAGAAGGTATAATAAAATGCTTTTATAACTTCATTCTTATTAACAATTCATTTTATAAATAGATCAAAGATTATTTGTTGAAAATGTATATAGTGAAGTCGATGGCAATGAATTTCGCCTTGCCACCAACTATTCTTGCTCCTTAATTCTGGAAAAATTATTAAAGATTTCTGATTCATTTCAATTACGTGTATTTATGGATAAATTAACTGGCAAGACAGTTGAACTATTCGTACATCGCTTTGCATCCCATGTCTGTCAGACGCTTTTGACTTTGGCTGCTGATGTAGTTGAACGTGAACAGATAGAAGGCGCTGAAGAGCAAACAGAAAATAAAGAAGAAGTGGGTGAACTTTTATCGATGGAGAAATTAGTATTAGAATTATGTGAGGATATCAAGCCTCATATTGGTGGTTTAATTTCTCAACAATTTGCTTCACACGTCATTCGTGTCTTGCTCTTTGTTTTAGCTGGTAAACGTATCGATGAAGAAGGTGATATTAAAGGCAAATTAAGAAGCAAAAAATCGATTCAATATAAGAAAGAAAATAACGATACTTTAACTAGAGTAATAATAATAATTCAATATATTTATCGTATTTATCGTATTTATTTATTTTTTTAATAGTCTACAACTAGTTTAAGTCCAACCAGAAAAGTGCCCGACTCTTTTAAGGCTATGTTTAGAACACTTACTACAGAATTAGCTATTAATATGTCTGAAACTGAAGTTCGTTCATTATCTGTTCACAGAGTTGCAAATCCAGTACTTCAGGTAACTTGAATCTAATAAAAGAGATTTATATTATCAACATTCTATTTACAAAATTTTTAATAGCTTTTATTAGAGATGCAAGAGAATGATAAAGAAGGAATTAAAGCCAGAAACATCCTTATTGATCGTATTTTATGGGGTATTGTAACTGATATTGACTCGAAAGAAGAAAATAAAGATAGAGATTCTTGGTTTGAAACTCTGGTTCGTGACTCTGTTGGTTCTCATTTATTAGAAGTTATCTTTCAAGTAGCCCCTGATGCTGTCTATAGAAAGATTTACAAGACTTATATTAAGGGTAAACTTGAAAAATTCTGTATGCATCCTATTGCCAACTTTGTTATGCAAAATCTCATTACCAACGTTAGAAAGCCAAAACAATTAAATCAAATGATAGATGAATTGAAAAACTCATTTGAAAAACTTGTTAAACTTGGCAAATATGGTGTTATTCGAAGTTTAGTTGATGCGTCTGTAAAGATGGAAAGTTCACAGAAGCAGGTTGTAGAAGCAATTGCAGTTGGTTTGCATTTGCCAGAAGGATCTCCAGACCGTAATAAGGAATTTGTAAATTGTGTTATGCGTATGTGGACAATTGAACAATGGAATGAAGCCAGTGATGGCGAAAAATCCGATTTATATAAATTTCATTTACAAGGTTCGTTGATCGTTCAAGGTATTATGAAAATGTCTGAACCCGGTGTTACAGAGATTGTGACAAATAGTTTCTTATCACAAAGACTTGATACAATCCACCGATGGTGTTTCTCTCCTGCAGGCTCTAGAGCTTTTGAATCCATTGTGGCGTCACCTCATGTAAATCAAAAGATCAAAAAGAAGATTATGCGTGATCTATCAGGAAAATATACAGCACTTGCTAAAGATAAATTTGGCAGTCATATTTTAGATAAATGCTGGCTTGTGGCAGATATTGACTCAAAGGAAAAGATTGCTGCAGAGTTAGTGAAGCATGAACATGAGTTAGCTAGTCATCATATTGGTAGAGGTATACTTTGGACTTGTAAGATTGATCAATATAAGAGAAGACATAATGATTGGGTAGAACGAGAGAAGGGTGCTGAGCGTAAGCGTGAAATGTTCAAAGATATTCTTGGTGAAACACTTGTCGAAAAGAAGCGTAAATTAGCATAATTATTCATTAGACCACCTTTATATAAAATGTTAGTTTGTATAATATATATATAATAAACAATAATATCAATACACTGTATTAAAAAAAAAAAGCTATAAATATACAAGTTGTAACAATTTAATAATACGTTCATTTATAAATGATGTCTTAAGCTATGTTCATCCTAATCTTCATTTATTTCTAGAATAAATAGTAGCCTAAACTTAATAAGATAATATTCTATACTTTGTATTGAACATACTTGATCCTGACAATTATTGTGACTTTTATATACAGTTAATGTTATTAGTAGTAGTAAGGTATTCCTTAGTACCAAAAAAAAAAAAAAAAAAAAAAAAAAGAAAAGAAAATAATAAAGAGAAATAAACTTATTATGCCATTATGAATACTGCTTAGCCTTCTTGAGCACATTAAACTGCTGATAGGTAAGAATACAATAGATATAGGACTTATTTAAATATGAAATAATCTTATTATTTATTATTTTGATCTATTGGCAGCAAAATAAATTCCTTCCTATATTTTTTGTATATAGTGAATAAAACTAACTCGCTTTATAAACGTTAAAGATGCTATTCATTTTTTTTAAATTACCTGTGCTGTCCATTGTGTACTCTTTGATGAACCCTTTGTTGATGCAGATACTTCAAGTTGTCCAGGAATAGGTTGTCCAAACTTGTGATTAGGTGAACTGCTCAAAAACAAATGTGTATCTTCATGTACAAATTGAACAGGTTCCTCACGTATCCAAAATTCATTTTTACATTTTAATTGCCAGTTATCACCTTTATCCTTACCATCATAACAACTGACTTCTTGTTCACGAGAAAGTGGTGATTGGTGACGGTGACTATGAAGATATCCTTGCGTATTAACATGCTTTAAACGAATTGAAGATCCACAAGGTACAGCTTCACTATATAAATAGAATTTATTAAAAAATAAAATAAAATAATAGTTGATTTCTTACTCTTCTTGTGTATACTTACCCCCGTTTACATACTTTTCCATAAGCGGCTTCTACAATCCAAAAACTATTACTGTCATCAGCTTCAGGGAATCCTGTAACTGATTGTTGCCCTGATCCACTTCCTAATAGTAAATAAACATTGAGTTAAATCACTAATATACAATATATATATATATATTTAAATATACCATAGCTAACTCCATGTGAATGTAATTTATATTCGCTAGCTTTATTCGTAAGTTTGATAATGCTTCCACATGTCACATATTCATAACCTTTAAGAATATAAGTAATCTTTTCGTTAAAGATAAACTTGATTATATTTAATATCATCTACCATCATCAATTTCAGGAATATTGGAGGCCGAGACAAGTAAAAAAGGAAAGATTGCAGCACTTAATGTTAGTAATGAAAGTTTCATTCTAGTGATGAGCTGAACAAAGGAACGAAATAATGTACTAGCGAAACCAAAAAAAAAAAGTTAATTAGTAGTAGTTGGTTAATTCTGATTGGATAGTATTATTATTATAATTTTATACAGTAATTAGAAAATTTTACGGAGTTGCATCACTGTTCAAGTGTTTATACACACAAGAGCAGGATACGAGACATTTAAGAATAGGATTGCTTCACAAGAAGGACAAAGATTGGTCTTTAAAGAGAGTGCTATGACTATTCAAAAAAACTAAAAAGAAAAAGAATTCTTTATTATTTATCAAAGAGAAAAGAATTGGAGGAGGTAGTAAATAGTTAGATAAAATATAGTGGACACTAGATATGCACTTGTTAGTACTACAAACTTCAAAAAACTGTATGTTCTAGACAGCATTACTGGTCGTCATATTGTACTGCGCTGAAAATAAACCACAAGCATCTTTATTATATATATTTGATGTGTCTTTTTTTTTTCTAGTTTGCTATAGGACAGTAAAGACAGTAATAATGTAGAGCTGATTGGGATATGCATGCATCATTACTGTTTCTTTGAGTATAATGTATAATTATGAATAAGGGGGTTTTTGTGGAGCCCTAAATCGATACGGAATATATTGTCATGTTCACCCGTTGTTAAAGGGATCTCTACTTCTTATATGGTAGTCCTACTATACATTTATAATGGTTTCAACTGCTATCCAAAAATCAAGCCAAATGCAAGAAAATTTTCCATGCTATCTACCTTTACTTTTATTTATTGGGCTGCACAAAAATGCAAAAGGTTTTCTCTTATTATTGTACTAGCAAAAGGAGACTTATTTTGGTCTAATAGTAATAATAATCATATGCTTGAATAAATAAATACTGTCTTTATAAATGCTCTATCTTAAAAGCTATAATTAAAGAAGAAGAAGAAACGCCCCATTGTACCTATTTATTTATTTTGAATAATAGTCTCCTGCAAATAATTTAAGAAGCAAATCTATAATATACTAAATAATATGGAAATAGATATACTATTATTAAGCTTATTGAGAGAAACTTATATTGCAATACCAGATGTGGGTAGACTGATTTCAAAAGACGAAAGTTTCTCTAGATATAATATAAATCATATTTTGCATTACTGAGCTTCCTAATAAATATGAGGCATCTTTTGAAGTCGATAATGTCTGTTGTTAGTTTATAGATCAACCTTTCTGATTCTGGTGAAAGTTACCACTCAACTAGATATGCTTTCATAATGAGTGAAGCGTATAATGATGACCCTTAAACTCGTAAGTTAATCATGTAACCAATTATTATTTTAAAATCTGCTCTTCATTATTTTAAACCTTCTTAGTAATTAGAAAATTGAAGCTGGATTGTGAATAAACGCATACTCTCCATTTTATCTATTTTCCTTTGGTTTTTTATTTTATTTTTTTTAAAGAGCAATTATATTACGTAATATACAATGTTTGTGATAAATATTTATAAGTTCTAAATGATTGGTAATATCTTTCCTAAAGGAGCTGGCACATATTTCTCTACTTTATCAGCATCTGAAGGTAGAACGAAATCTTTATATTCTTTTCCAAAATGGTGTAATAAAGCATCTTGGCAAGCCTATTAAATATATACATATAAACGTTAACTATCGGACTCTTTCTTTATTTCTTCCTACTTACACGAAATTCAGCCATTTTGATTGAGCTACCAAATCCTTCACCTAACTTTTCTTTTCCTGAAAAGGTACCTACTATAAATACAGGGGAACATGATAATCTACCAGTCTCTGAAAGAAGTCTTGATTCAGCAGGCTTCATACCCATTTGTCTTAACAAGGCTGATAAATAGCGTTTGGGTTCTTTTATTTGCGTTTTTAATGCAGGACTAATATCAAAATCGCGCGATAAAATGAAATCATGTACAAATTTTTTTGCTGCTTCTATGCCTTGTTCCTGGAAGATAGCGCCCACAATAGCATTCATGCAGGTTGCCAAGACACTATTTTGACCAAGGTTTTTTGTTGGGACAGTAGGTGGTTTCCAAGCGATACAATGCTGTAGGCCAACTTCAGTTGCGATTTTACTAAAAGAGGTATTATTAATGAGTGATGAAAGGACGATGACAAAGGCTTCTGGATAGAGATTAGGGTACTTGCAATGAATGTATTCCGTGGCAAACAGGCCTACCACTCGTTTGCCGATAAATTCTAGACTCGCATTGTTATTTACTTGTTCATCTACAGATTTATGGGTGAGAGCTTGTTTTAGAATGATTGGATCAAGTGTTTGAAGGCCAAGTCGTGCTCCAAGTGAATGTATAGATGGATCGATGGTGGTTTCTTGAGGTGTGGATTGTGTATGAAGAAATGCTGTAGTTAATCTAGGTACTAAAAGAGAAGTCAGTATTAAACAGTTTAATTTATATTCTTCTTTACCTGTTTTAATAGTAGATATAACTCTGGTCGAAAGCACTCGTGATTTTGAAAAAGCTGCCAACATCATGTCTACCTTTTTTTTTTAAAAAAAAAAAAAAAAAAAAAAAAAAAGTTAAAAATTGAAACCTTTAAAAAGTGGGGCGACAAGGGGAAAAAATAGCTGATGAGCCGGGGTGGCTTGATCAAATTATCGGGCATATAAAAAGCATATACTGCTATTATTCTTATAAGGATTAGTAGTGCTTTAATAGTCGAATTTTTATTATCACTAAAAGTTACTTTGAGACTCTTCAGTATTTGAATTTATAAATTTATATTAATAGAATAAACAGTATTCTCTCACTGACTCTTTTTTAACTTACTGCCACATACTATATTTTATTATATACTTTTATATGGCAATGCTCTATAACGTATTCGGCTATAATATATAACTATTAATAGGAATAGCACGTTTAAACACTCTTTTAAGTAGGCCCCTACTTCTTTTGTGAGATACTTGTATTGCTATTCATTAAAAGCTATTATATATATATATCAATGAGAATTCTTAAGACAAAGGCTATTATAGCAAAAAGTATTTACTAAAATAATTGGGTTCTTCATATTTTTTAATGGTGTATAACAAGAAGTTTTAAGTTCATTTTTGCTTTATTCTTGATATATTTTGCTCTATAGAACCACGCAGAGCTAAATATTATTTAGAAATGAAGAATATATAAAGACTTACTATTAGCAAATTATTTACTTCAAGGGACAAAGTAAGTCAAATAATAATGTTTACATATTTTGAGTGAAATTACTTTGTTCATCATTAGTCATCAGTACTAAATACCATAACTATTATTTTTATACGTGAAAAAAAATAATATTTTATAAGCAAATAAGTCAAATTCTTTATTCATTCTAATAAGCAAAACTACTTTCTTCTTCACTTTATGATTAATAGAAGAGTAAATAACTTCTCTGAAAAGGAGAGAAAAAGAAACAGCTGAATATTTCTGCTATTAACTTCCTTTTAAAATGCATGGTGAAATGGTAGATTTTTTATAAGAAGATTGGTTACTCTGCTACGATTAAGAAGAATTTTATTTTAAAAAGAAGAATTAAAAAATGACCAATGAGCATATAGCATTTATATATGCTGTTTTGCCCTGGTCAGATCGCTATGGAAAAAAGGAAAGGAAAGAAAAACCCTTTTGGAATAAAAGGGAAAATGTTAAAGTGTATGTATAAATGATGATAATTAACTATCAGAAATTCCTTTTTGTATTGAAAGAAGATGATGGTCAGAGGGTTCAGGGATTTGGGAGTGAGCTAGATAGTCCATCTCAAGCAGAATTGTACATATAGAAGGCGTTGTTTCTTATATAGTATTTCTACTTTAAATTCAGACGATGTTAGTTTTTTTCTGGACGAATCAAAATTAATTTTTAGACAAAATAAGAATGGAAATCAGACAAAAGAAAATTAGTATTCAGAAGAATAGAAAAAAAAAAAAAGAACTCACCTGTATCAAGGTTTACCATATCAATATCCACCCCTCAGGCAGATTCGCGGCCTTCATTGGATAGCATATGGCGGAAAAGTTTTCTGTAAGAAGCTTGTTGATTGTTGGGTAAGGGGCGTTTCAAAGATTGTCTCTTGAATCGAGTCGGGTGGCCAAGCCCTTCTCGGTGAGACTTCAAAATATCCCGAAAGTTTAAGACCGCAGAAAGATCTCGGTTCCAGAGGCGGAGGGACTCCAAACATTGATGATTGAGGCATCTATAAAGACCTCATTAATACGTATTTTTTTTTTAAAAAAAAAAAGAAAGAAATGAAGCTTACCGTAAGAGTCCGTGGCATTCCACCTTGTGATATTTCGAGCGACGAAAAGGTCGTGAGTTTTGAACTTTTTTGAAAGTTTCCAGTTTACCGACCGTACAAGTAGGGCACAGTGAAGACGTTTTATGTTCATCTATAAGTAAAACAGAGAAACCATGCTTCTTGAGCATCCTTCTTACGCCTTTCCCACGAATTGGCTCTTGGTACTTTGTATTTCCGGCATTCTAGTCCCCAAGAATGAGAATAGCATCGTCTCCAAATTGTTGCTTCAAAGTCTGTGCTAAGCGATGATCGGATTGTTGTTTATTTATGATAGATGATAATTTCAACTTGCGAAAGGGAAGCAGATCGGCATTTTTGTGGGGTATGTTTTCGTTTGAGTAGTACTCTCGAAGTGGATCTTCGATTATAGAACGTGCTTTGAGATAGTCAGAGAACTTGTCTACTTTGATTGCTGATGCTGGAAATTTCGATAGATAGTTTTCATGCTCCTTTACTGACATAGGTTTTTTTATATCGCGCAGTTTCCTAAATTTTCTTTTTTTCGTCTCAACCGCACACTGGTTGCTGGTGTATCTGTAGGTGTGTTTGTCTTTTCTAGATTCACTATTCTCCTGCATGCAATGGAGCATATCTCTCCGTCCAGAATCAATAAGGACACATCTTCCGGTAATTTCCTCAAGTTCAGTTTTGGACAACTGGTGTATGTATCGAAAGTTGTCGTCTTCTTCTAGTCTGGTACCACGCGTACCACCCTTTGCACTCTCTTTATTTTGCTTCAACACCGACACACCTACACCATCAGACTGAATCATTCCGCGAAATTTCAAAGATTTTGAAGCACCTTGATCCTTCATGCCCTTCGATGAGAGGTTGACTATTTGGCTCCAAATGAAGCCTTTGTCTAAATTAGATCTATTTGTATTACGCAGAATATGATTGTTCACGATCAATGTATCAATCGTCATATAGCATGGCACATACGTTCGACGGAGCGGAAAACACATGAATGATTTGTAGCCTAATTCTTCACAGTACTTTGCCATCTTGTAATATGCTTTAAGGTGCTTCAAAGGCTGTACCTTACAGTCATAATATATACTTGCTTTCATAAATTCGCAACGCGGCCCATAAGTACCAAAAAATTCTTTAATAAGTTTGACGTCCTTGTTGTCCAAAAGGGTTACTGGCATATTTGTGTATTACCGGAGGCAAGAGAAAGCTTCAATTGGGTTAACGGCTTTGTGTTTTCGTCAGAAATGATTTTCTTGATATCATTCTCGCTTTTCTTGGCTTTCTTTAATTCTTGTTTCCTCTTGGTTATCTTGGCCTTTTGTTGTGTAAGGTGGTTAATGAACATCCGGAAACGATTTCCAAATTGTAATATGACTGAATTTTTGTACGCTGTGTCGATCTTCGCACACTCATATGCTGCTATTTGTTGCGCGTATTTCAACTCGATGGGATCATACTTGGTTAAGATACAATACTCGTTTTTATACTTTCGTATTAAATCTCTATAGTCTTTAGTTTTCGTTGATTTAGAAGGTTTACGATTTTGTTTGGTGAGCTCTAGGAACACTTCATCGTAAAAGTCCTTTTCAGCGTGTTTTTCCAGATCAAAAAATTTGCTTCTTTCCAACTCATTGATGAATATAAATTTTGTCAATGCAAAAGTATGGGTAACAAGTATGTTAACGGTTGATACAAGATCTTTTAGCCTTGGTATAAGTTCGTGTCTTCACTGTATACCGGAAACAGATGTCTTTAAAGTTATTACTTTTAAGTGATTCATTTAAGGCCAATATAAAAAATAAAGATCATTTAGGAAGAAAAAGGCAAAATATAAAAAAGAGTAAAGAAGTGAATAACAACATTTTCGTTGAAAGTTTATAAATTTCCACGATCATGTGTGACTTCATCATGATATGTAATTATAAAATGTGATAAATTGGCGAGGATAACAGCACTGGACACGAAACAATATCTGAAGATATATCACCCATCAGTTTGGAAGCAATAATCGAATTATAAGGTCGCTAAATATGTGAAATGGTTTGAAAGTAGTAGAGCACATACAAAAGTACTGTTCTATCTCGTATTCTATACTTCAATTTTCCATGATCATTCTCTCGCCTACCATGTATTAAAATTTATCGAACAAAATATGGATATTTTAGATAGGCAAGGAAAACATGGAGCCTACATTGTTATGGACAATTGTAGGATTCATTATTTTGAATTTGTTACAAATTGTATCAAAAAAAAAGGCGGTGTTGATAAGATAAAGATAACAAAAGAATAAGACAGAATAAACCTGTGAAAACTTTGTATAAGACTTTTATTATCAATTGAATAAAAATAAAAGTGAATGTCTAGAAAATGGATGCAAAATGGATCCTTATTTATATCTTGTGGAGAACGGGTTACTTCGCGACTGGAACAGAATGAAGATATCTTGAAAGAAGAATATTTTCCCATAGAATGATTAAAGTTATTGTGTTAAAACTCTAGTCTTTGCCCTGACTGAGAATTAATCTCAGTTAACTCTAATAAATATTAAATTATTGGTGCTTGATCTAGCCGGTTATTTTTCTTGAAACCAAATAATGAAATCTCGTTTGTTCATACTTGTGAATGATATAGGAAAGATACTTTTGACATATAAATTTATATTCTAACCAGCTTCTTTGTATTATATTCATTCCTTAATGTACTACTTAAATGAATTTCATTATATTATATAGTGTATTCAATTAAAATAGAGTTCTCATAGATAGTATATGATTATATTTATAAATTAGTATTTTAGACAATATTACAATAATAATAATATATATATAACTAATAGGTATAATCTATAATTCATATATCTTTATCATTAATAACTCCTTACACTATGTTTTTCTTATCATTATTTCGTAGAGTTAGTATTTATTATAACATTATTTTTCTCATCACAAGAATGTCTTATAAACTGAAATCAAATAATATTGTATGCATAAAGTGTACAACTAATAACTATAATATCATTCGGTCCTTCATGACTCTGATCTGTATATTATAAGCTATTATGTAATACATCATTATATACACAACACTAGCCTACTAGAACAATCCCCTACTCTTGACATTGCTCAAGGCGGATTTCGTGAATCTCATAGCTCCCTTGATCAAGTTCATTGTCTTGTCGAAATCTGCTCTATTCTTCGGCGTAACCACAATTATTTTCCTATCCTTGCTTTTTTAGATATCAAATCAGCGTATGATACTGTTGATCGTTCCTATATTTGGGAAGTGCTTCAACCTCATCTCTGCCCGGCTTTTCTTGGAGTTCTCAAAAATCTCTTTGATCAGGTTCAAATTGAAGTTCTTCTTGATAATTATATATCGTATCGTTTTTCTCCTGTCACTGGCGTCTTACAAGGGTCTATTTTCTCTCCGTTTCTATATTCAATCTATATCAACCAACTTCCAGCTCGTTTGAGGTTGCCACACCAACTCAATGACTCCTCCACTACTGATGTAGTTACTACATTTGTACCGTCCCTTAATTGTCTACTCTATGCTGATGATGTCGTCCTTATTGCCTCCCCTGAGAAACTCGCTTCTTTACTGCACCAATGCGAAGTTCATAGTTACTCCTTAGGTTATCAGTGGAACCCATTAATATGTGTCATAATCGATCCTACCAATGATCCTCAACCATATCAATTATATGGTACTGCTATTCCCAAAGAATCCTCCTTTTCTTATCTTGGTGTTCCTATAAAACCTGGTGGTCTAATTGACTATGCTGCTTTAATCCAACATAATATCAATAAAGCCTCTCTCACTATGAATCAACTTGTTGCTATTGGTCTCAACTCCAAAGGTTTTCCACCTCTGCTTGCATGTCGTTTTTATAGTCAAATGGTTCGTTTTCAGTTAGATTATGGTCTTGCAATCAGTCCTCTCTCTGCTAAACTTACCAAAGAACTGGATACCTTTCAAAATTCATGCATTTGACGTATCTTTGGTGGTCACTCACGGTCCTCGACGAAAGTCATGCTTCATCTTGTCAACCTACCATCCATGAAGACCCGTATTGCAGTCCTCCAAGCGCAATACCTCTTTCGAACTTCCCAATTACCAGCAGATACTCTTCTTGCCCATCTTTTGCCTCACGTTCAGCTTTCAAATAGTCATTCCCGCTGGTATAAATTGGCTCAAACTACATTGTGGAAACACCTATGCTCACCAAACATCTCAACGCTCGACCGAAAACAATTCTACACTCTTTGTGCTAAGTTTCTAGATGATCAATTTCAAAACCTTCGTCAAGATACTAACTCCCTCCTATTGTCTTCCTCACGCCCCACTCTTGAATTGGATCCCATCCTTTACTTACCAATGACTACCTTAGAACGTAGCCGAGTGCTTCGATGGCGACTTGGCTGGCTACCGGGTGGTAAACCTAAAGAATGTATCTTTCATCCGTCTCATAATTGGAGCCGGCAATATGCTATTGAGTGCTTACATGTACGTAATCGTCTCTACATGTCTACTTCAGTCGAAGATCCCATCTCGTTCCTTCTCAACTTGCTTCCACTACATAAACCTCGTCGTCCTTCTGATTGTACGGGCTGGTATACTTTATGGCCTATTCTTTGTACAATTCTACATGAACTTGATTACTACTTCCATGATGAATTTCCCCCTAATCCTGTCAATCCTGGTCTCAAGCTGTTGAGTTGGTTGTCCAAGTAATAGTGTGTGTCTTCCTGGTCACTTTGGTCTGATTTGTATTTAAACTGTTTCTTCTCACTTTTTTTCGCTTTATCCTCCTTATATTTTCTCTTAATTCCAAAATACTGCTCTTTTCTTTTTCCTTCTCGTTTTCCTTTTTCCCTTCTTGTCCTTTAGGAAGGTTTTTATTCTTATTTCCCCTCTATAACTGGCTCGGGCAATATTGCGCATTTATTTCGTCGCTACATGCTCATTGCCAAAAAAATTTAAAAAAAAAAAAATAAAAATAATAATAATTAAACTCAGAATTTAATCGTAGCAGCATCATAGTCAGCTGAATTTTAATTTTGTTTTAAAATCAATACTCACTATAATCTATTTTTTTTTCTACTTACAAATTATTTCTTTTTTTTTTTCTTTTTTTTTTTTAAGAAAAAACCAATAACCAACTTTTATGCCTTCTCTTGCTCTTTCAACAGCAGAAGATAAGAATAAAGTTAGGAGAGCCTTACCGACTGCCGTAAGTTTCTTCTTATTTTTTTTTTAATAAATAGTTGAAGAACGAAAAAAAGTTCATTTTATGATAATAGAAAATTTATGCGGCAACTGTGGCTCGATTATATGTTGCATATCCAAATCCTAATAAATGGGCTTATTCTAATATTTGGGGTGCTGTTACATTTCTAAAAGATAAAAAGAAGCACTCTTATTACATTCGAATTATTGATTTAATTGTAAATATAATTGTGTCTATCCATGCTATATTATATAATATTAACTATTTGTAATATATAGAATCATAAAGGCGTTATCTGGGAACAAGAACTTTACGATGGTTTTGAGATTACGAAACATACACCTTTCTTTTTTTCATTTGCAACTGATGTAAGTTATTAAGTTTAAGTTTTACGCATTTTGTTTATTTACATTCAATTAGGAATACATGGCAGGTTTGTCCTTCACAGATGTAGATGATGCAAATGTATTTTATACAAAAATAACAACAAGGGAGACTATGGCTAGCACTAAAAAAAGAAAAGGTAACATCAAAACACGAGATATGATATAATTGACACTCATACACGCGGTTTTACAGAAACGAGCGGTAAAAAACCCAAAGGAAAAGTAGATAAATCTCAGATTGGTCTACCATCTGAATTTCGGTAAAATATCAAAATTTGTAGCTCAAAAGTTTATATATTAAAATTCTCTGTGTTATTAGACATTTAGGACATATTGGTTATACACCTGATAAAGGATTTAGGGTACAAAATACAGGACCTGAATGGAATGGTTTATTTGATCAGTTAAAAGACCTTGGTATTTCACCACAAGAAATACATGAAAATGAAGATTTTATAAAGGAATTCGTAAATGAAAGAGGAGGTCCTCCTCCTGCACCCCCTCCACGGCCCTCAATGAATAGTAAAACTCGAATTCCACCACCACCACCACCACCTTCACGCAGACCTGCTCCTCCTCCTCCTATTGGTGGTAAGACTTTTTTTTTTTTTTTTTTTTTTTTGCGTCAATTTAGTATAAAAATATTAAAGCTCAAAATTTTATAGGTCGTCGACCACCTCCACCTCCACCTTCTCGTCGACAAGTTCCACCTCCACCTCCACCACCTATACGTTCTTCTATTTCAGCACATCCTCCGCCACCCCCTCCACCTCCAGTTCGTCAACAGCCTACTTATTACAAAGAAGCACAGGGACAACAGTCAATGCCTCCTATCTCATCGTTTTCAACTTCTTCTATCCCACGTCATATTTCACCTGCAGATTCTCCTCCTCCTCCTCCTCCTCCTCCTCCTATACGACCTCAATATATAGGCAGTGATTCTACTCAATCTATTCCTACTCCTATTGCAGCATCAAAGTCAAATAATCCTTATAAAATAGTAACTCAACAACAACCAACCTATCCCTCACCACCTCCACCTCAAATTCAGTTACCTTCACCACCTATTCCTCCAGTATTCCCTACATCTTCAATTGCTTCTTTACCAGCAACGGAAACCGAACAAATCGATAATGCTTTAACAACAGTATCATCATCCGCACCACCACCACCACCACCACCACCACCACCTCCTCCTCCTCCTCCTCCTTCAACACTACCAGCTACAACACAGCCAACTACTTATCATCAAAGTGAACCAACTATTTATCATCAAAATGAGCCAACTCATTATACAAATCAGATACAAGAAGACGTTAATAGTATAATAGATGATGATGAGTTTTATGATGCTCCAGAAGCACCCCCACCACCCCCATTACCATCCACTCGTGCAGCTGCACCACCTTTACCACCTTTACCACCTTTACCCACAAGTCATCCTCCAGCACCTCCACTCCCTCCACTTCCTGGTAGAAAAGGAGGTCCTCCTCCACCTCCACCTCCAACCCAAAGACCTAATCATTCATTACCACCAATGACAAGTGCACCGCCACCACCACCTCCACCACCGCCACCTCCAATGTCTGGAGCGCCCCCACCTCCACCTCCACCTCCACCTCCTCCAATGTCTTCATCTGCACCTCCTGCACCTCCTGCACCTCCTGCTATAAACAGTACATCATTGCCTGCAGTAGTCAATAATGATTCACGTAGTGCATTAATGGATGCCATTCGAGGAGCTGGTGGTATCTCGTCTTTACGATCAACACCATCCAATGTACGACGAGATCGTAGTAGTCCTCTAACGGCATCAAATACGGGTGCAACTACAGCTACAGCTAGTGCGGGTGGAGATTTGACAATGAGTTTATTAGCTGCACTTAATGATCGTAAGAAAGCTATTCAATCAGATGAAGATTCGGATAGTGATGATGGAAGTGAATGGGATGATTAAGAAAGGAGGGATTTTATTTTATTGGAATTAACCTTTTTTTTTTTTTTTGTTTTATTAATTTATTTGTAGTATACAATAAGTCTAATAATAATTTTCTAAAAAATAAAGCATATTCATATATGCATAAAATTTAAGCATTCAGGAGCGTCCAAGCATCAAGATAACTACAAAAATACAAAAGTTTAATTTTTTTATATTACTATACTTCACTACAAATATTTTATTTTTTTATTTTTTTCGCTTACCGTTTCACATCACCAATGTGCTCTTCTACAAATCCAAATTTCAAACAAAGATCTCCCGAAACATTATTTGATTCCTTTCGTTTTGATAATTGAAAATAAGCTTCAAAGTTATTAGGATCATTGTAGTTACGAGGTACACCATCTGAAACACCATGATTATTTCTATCAAAGATGTTAATAAAAGGTATCGTAACTTCTCCCAAGAAATCTCGACCCAATGTATCCTTATCCCAAACGGTAAATGTGAGATGAGTTGGCTTCTTTTTCGGAGACACACGAATGTCAAAGTGTGCATCCCAAACAGGATTGAGAGTTTGTTTAATGCATTTTGTTTTATATTTTTTATGACTTTATACATATATATAAAGGATTAGGAATGAAATAACATTCATGTTTACATTGGTGTGATGATTTACATAAAACTTACTTTACTCTCATAACGACATATGGATCCGAAAACCCAGTTTTGTCACTGTATACATACATACAAATATTTATATACATATTAGTGAACAAATAAAAAATTCGTTCTTTTTTATATATATATATATATACACATATACATGTATACACTTTACGCTGCTGCAAGGTCTTTAGCCCTTAAGATACCCACTCGAATAGTTATCTCGGACATGAATGAAATAAGTAGAAAAAAAAAAAAAAGATAAAATAAATAATATTTTCGTGCGCGCCCCCTTTTCACTGCAAAAAGTTGGCGTACGACGTATAGTTCTTTTATACGTCGTACGCCACAATTTAAGCTGCGATTTTTTTTAATTGTTTATTTCTACTAATTTTTAATATAAAGCTTCCAAATAAAAATAATATATTGTGTTTAATATACTATCATAGAATAAATATATCCAAATACATATTTATATATATGTCTACTGCTAATATTCATTATTTTTTTAATGTTTAAATTTACAGCTATTTTGGCTGTGTTTTTTTACAGGGAGAGAATCACACTATTTGAATTGAAAAAAAAAATACTTTTTTTCCCAAAAATGGATCTATAGAAAATCATATGATCATAGAGAAAGTTAAGAAAATTACATTCATTGTTATTTCTTTTTTATTCTTTTACTTTAGATTAATACTTATTTACTTACAATTGTTTTATTTTCTATAGATATTTATTATATTCAAGGTAGTATAAAGATTTAGAATATCCTTATTAACGAATTTATACTGACCAGTTTTATTTCTTTCTTAGCAAAAGAGTCTTGTTTATGTTGGTAGTAGCTTTTTCTACTTTTTATACAGAGCATTTTTCAATGATATGTTAAAGGTAAGATAATAACTATTGTTTATATTAACACATATACTGACTTGTTTATTATCTTTAATCAAACGCTTTTTGAACTGATAAACAAACGTATATAAAAGGGGTATGTCATGAGCTGACTTATAATGTCATGTTTTATGATTAAACATGCGGATCATAAATTTAGTTAAGAAATTCTATCCTAACTCTCTCTTGATCCGCTCCATCTAATAATATTAAAATCACTAACACTTTATTGTCAACAACATACCTTATTCGGTCGTAACTAACACTTTTCTGATTCTCATCTTATCCTCAGACCTCTTTAACAATTCTTATAAATACCCCCATCAATTTAAATTCATAAATAAAATTATTGACTTTAGAACTATTGTTCGCTCTCGTTGACTCTTTTTGTCTTACTATTATTTTTTTATTTTCTAATATTTTTTATTTGATATTTTAAAAAGAAATATCACAGTCAACATGATTATAACTAAATTTCAGTTTATTCATTGGACATGCTGATGTATATTTCTTCAATGGAGAAAGTCTGTATTGTGGTAATTGATTTTGCGGGACTAACGACAAATTGTGAAGATTTGAAAGTGTTCTTAAAGCAAGTCCTTTTCTTTTTTAAAAAAAAAAGAATTGAAATGGCTCCTCACGGTCCATAATAATAGGAACAATCCGAATATCAAGAAATTAATGATCGATAGATTTGCCAGCTGTGACGCCAGTCATGTCTATGATACACAAGAACTTTTGAATGATTCTGATGGTAGAATATGCATACTGCACGCTCTCTACTAATAGTGGTTATTGTTGTGAAGGATACCAAGATAGCCTGAGATTTAAAAAAAATGGACCTTTGGAATAAAACAATCCGTGGTGGTGAAAAAAAAAATGCCCTTTGAAAAAAATAGAACCCGTTCTTTGGATGAATCAAAACCGCCTTTTGGAAAAATTAAAAGCATCCTTTGACGTTGGAACGACTGTACTGGACAAAGTTCTCACCAGACAAAAAGGTTCCCTTGCAAATATCCTTGTCCTGTTTCAAAATGAGTGTCCCAAATTTTCTAGGCTGTCCCATTTTTAAAGCACTGACCCATTTTCAATATCGCTGGCCCAACCTATTTTCTTCAGCTGTATCATTTTTAACTTTCGAACTCTGTTGATGAATTGATAATAATAATTAATAGTTGTTTATTGGATAATTTTTTTTTAAATACAGCAGCAATTTTCAAAAAATTTAAACTTTATGTATGCCATCATTCATTTTTTATTATTATTATTATTATTTATCCACCATGTCAAATCTAATCATGAATTCATTTCGACGACATGTTGGAATCATAACTTTTAAGCAAGTAATACCAACTGATGTAAAGCATTTACAAGTAGTAGTTTTTTTTTGTATATAAACAGTTTGTATACATGTAAGAGTGTCAATTTAATTATAAAACCATCATAGTGGACTAAGAGCTGGTTAAAATTGCACAAGCGTTTTAATTCTTCAGGGGTAAAAAAAAAAAAAAAAAAAAAAAAAAAAAAAAAAAAAAAAAATACAGCAATAATGAAATATAGATAATTACTTTAAAATACTGTCCTATAATGAGCGTAGACACCAATAATATATAAGCAAAAGTCTATAGATAATTTCCGTCTATTAGGAGCAGAAAAAGAAACAGGTGCGTTGAATGATTTACTTCATCGTGTCATGGAGATTGAATCCAGAATCACAAATAGTAAAACAATGATAACTGCTGAATGTAAGCCTATTCATGTATGCTAATAAATAAATAAATAAATAAATATTCATTTTTTTTTATATGAAGATGACATTTTAATATTTTATTTTATTTTTTGGTGTATATAAAAGGTAATAAAGCAGTGTAAAGCCTTTTGCCTTTCAGACCATTTTCATTTATCAACTATCACTTCTCGTCTTAATAATAATACAAATGATGGATTCAAAGTAAAGCCTACGAATAGCTCATTATTATTACATATACTTGATAACCAATATGGCGGTGAAATATATATATTTGATAACGGCACGTTGACTTGTTGGGGTATAGAGCAAGATCGTCAAGAGATATTTTTAAACAATTATATTAGAAGTTTAACACCAAATAATCAAGTTGAAGAATCAATTGAAGTTGCTGAATATACGATTGATGAAGACGAGTACATACATGCAAATATATATATATATATAAAGTAATCTAAAAAAACAAGTATTTCTTCTTAGGATAACAGATATGAAAAATGGCACAATCTTACTAAATCCAGATCTTCCTCAAATTCAATTATCCAAAATTGCATTTTCTTATGGATTAGGTCGTGCAGCTAAATTAACCAGCATTGAGGCTAATTTAGATGCTTATTTAAGCAAAATGAATGAAAAGATATTAACAGATAATAACGAGAAAAGGATAGATGACAAGAATTATACTGCTTTATCTATCATAAAGGATTATTTGTTTGTTCGTCACAGAGTCATTCAAAATAGTCAAGATGGTTTTTTAGGCACAACTAGTAAATTTCATTGGGAAAAGAAAGAACTTGAAGGTATATGTATTTTATACTATAATAATATAATAACAGTCATTAACCTTTCACCTCTTTTATAATACATATTAAAAAAAAAAAAAAAGAATGTGTAAGAAAAGTGTCATATCGATTTGATATAGACGCAAGAATTACTATTCTGAATAAGAAATTAGGTAATATAGAAAGAAGTATATTCAATAACTGTATATATTCTTATTTTTTATTCTTTCAAGATTATGCAAAGGAAATCACAAGCATTTACAAAGAATTCTTTATAGTATGAATAAAATAGATGTAGCATATGGCGTATAAGCATATTTCATATGAGAGACTTAAAGTTTAAATTTGTTAAATACTATGCTACAAAGAGTAGGGTTAACTCATTACTGCTACTGCCTACTTGTAGTAGAACAGTCTTTCTAAACAAATTTGATAATATGAATGTGCATTATCAACTATCTTTGGTCAATTTTATTTATTCTACACCTGTTCTTAATAGTATATTTCACTTTGTTAGCCCAAATATATCTACATGCAAAGGAAATCTTTAAAGAAAGTCTCTTTTTGTTAACGTATTGTTTCAAAAAAAAAAAAAAAAAAAAAAAAGAATTGCCTCACTCTTATCCACCCTCACATTATCTGTTATGTACAACAGAGATATTCGTAATACTACTTAGAGGAAATAATATGTAGCTAGACTGTAATAATAGCTAAAGATACTAAAGTACGACATGATTTACTTTGTTTGAGGGATGAGATCATTACAGATTGTGGGATCCTGGAGGATTTTCGAATTAAGAAAAAAGTTTATTAGACGTAAAATGGTGTGCTAGAATCTATATTTATTTCTATTCATGCTTGAGAAAAGCTGTATAGGCGTCGAATCATACACATTCTATTGTATAAGAATATTAAAAAAAAAAAAAAAAAAAAAAAAGATAACAAGCGACTTTGATGATATCTTCTTTTTCAATTTGGTGGCTGAGCTTTTTTTTTTCCAAGTTTTTTTTTTTACTGATTTTCCCTTTCTGTCAATCAATTAACCTTTTTTTTTTTGTTTTTCTCGTAAAGCAACAAAAAATATGGCAACTACCGAGGAATTGCAAAATTTCGTACTTACAACACTTGAAAAGACCAATAGCATTGAAGATTCCAAAGAGTTGACATTCAATGGACAACCTGTTGACCAACTTGCACTTCTTGGTGCTCTCAACAGTTTAAAGTCTAAAGAGGTACCGATTACACGATTAACATATATATGTATATAATAGCTTACCCCTCCTTTTTTTTTTATTGATGCATAGATGATTGACTTTAAACCTATTGAACGTATTTTTTGGGTTTTAACTGAAGAAGGTAAACAGTTGGCAAAGGATGGTAGTCACGAAGCTCGTGTTTTTGAGGCCATTCCTGCTGGTGAAGAAGGTCTTCCTATTGCTGAACTCCAAGTAAATAGATACACAATCAATTTAAATAGTTTTATGAAATTCATGTATATGTATTTATATATGTATATTTTTTTTTTGTACAATAGGCTAAATTTGGTCCTTCTGCTAAAGCTGGCCAAGGCAAAGCTTTTAAAAATAAATGGATTACAAAAAAGGGAAACAACTTGGTACGTTTAGTTGATAGCATCGTTGATGAAACACAAAAAGATTTAAAGGAAATCGAATCAACTGGTACCTTGAAGGATGCTAAAGTGCTCAATGAATTGAAGAAAAGAACTTTAATTGATAAACAGTATGACTCATAATTTCAAAGCGAGATATAGAATATTATGTAATTTATACCTATACAATTTTTTTTTTATAATTATTATTTCACTTTAGGAAATTTACTTCATATCAAATCTCTAAGGGACCTGATTTCTCTTTGGAAGTTAAGAAGGAAGCCACTGATATTACCCTTGAAATGCTTCAATCGTAAGTGTATAATTATTACACATGTATATATGTATGTTATTTATTTATTACTATTGTTAAAAAAAGGGGTGAATGGAAAAATGCTACTTTCAAAAAGTATAATTTCGATGCAGCAGGTGTTCCTCCTGCTGGTGGACATCTTCATCCCTTGATGAAGGTTCGTCAAGAATTCCGTGAAATTTTCTTTGAAATGGGCTTCCAAGAAATGCCTACCAACTGTTTTGCTGAATCCAGCTTCTGGAATTTCGATGCACTCTTCCAACCTCAACAACATCCAGCCAGAGACGCTCATGATACCTTCTTCTTGAAAGGTATTGTATATCTAACTCATCATTTGAATATATACTAAACTAACGCTTCTATTTAATACAGATCCTGCTACTTCAGATCGTTATCCTGCTGACTTGATGGAAAAGATCAAAAAGACGCATGAAAATGGTGGTGATACAGGCTCAATCGGTTACAACTATAATTGGAAAGAATCTGAAGCTCAAAAGCTTATTTTACGTACTCACACAACAGCTGTCAGTTCTTATATGCTTTATAAATTAGCCGAACAAACCAAGAAGACAGGATTCTTCCAACCTATTAAATACTTTTCCATCGATCGTGTCTTCCGTAATGAATCTGTCGATGCCACTCACTTGGCTGAATTTCATCAAATTGAAGGTGTCATTGCCGATAAAAACTTGACTTTGGGTGATTTAATTGGTTTCATGGATGTTTTCTTCAAAAAGATGGGTATGGATAAGATTCGTTTCAAGCCTACTTATAATCCTTATACTGAACCTTCAATGGAGATCTTCAGTTATCATGAGGGACTTAAGACTTGGGTAGAAATTGGTAATTCAGGTATGTTCCGTCCTGAAATGTTATTGCCCTTGGGTTTGCCTCCTGATGTACGTGTCATTGCTTGGGGTTTGGGTCTTGAACGTCCTACCATGGTCAAGTATGGTATTTCTAATATTCGTGATCTTTTGGGTCACAAGGTTAATATTGCAATGATTAAGGATTATCCTATTTGTCGTTTGGATAAGAAGATGGGTAAAGAGTTAGTTGGTTTAAGTGAGAATTAATGCATTTTATTATTATTATATAATAAAAGGAAGAGAGAACAAAAATAATTTTTTTTTTTATTATGTAATATCATATTGTATTAGTGTAAATAAAGTATTATATCGGGAGTTCTTTTTTTTTTTTCATAAAAGCACCATTGATAACATAGTAAGTGCAAGCAAAGTAATACACTTTTTTCTATCGAATGATTTCAATTGACTAACAGTATCACTTGAAGAGCTTGATCCATTATTTGAAACAGCATTTCCACCTGTCGTTCGATTTACAACAGGAACAGCTGTATCTTTATATTGGCATTCAGTAGAGGTGCATAAACAAGCATTACCAATAGGATCCCACCATTTCGTACTATATACATATTATAAAAATAGATAAATAAGTTGTGAAATAATAATACTAGTCAAAACTTACTCGCAATTATTGGGAAGAGGATATCTAAAGCCAGTAGTACCATTTTGCGCAACAGAAGCGGGTCGAGGAGAATCAAGAGTAGGTGTTGTATTTGGACAATTGAAACAAGTATTAAAAGTGGTTGTACCGAAATTACAACTAGTAATTACAAAAAAAAAAAAAAATAAGAAAATCATTCGTTGTTTACTATTTAATATCTAATTTATACCTGTTCAAAAGATGATCGTCAGGATTGCCGTTATTATCATCATCAAGACCATTACAGATTTCATTGGTTATCACGGGTTGTTCACAACGCATATAGTCTTGTTTACTTAATTCAGATGACTTTACAGGATTTCTCATCCATTGTAATAACTGTGAGTTTGTGACAAACCAAACATCCGGTTTTTCAGACAAGGATTTGATGAAAGAAACTAAAGCATCGAGTTTAGGTGCAGGATCAGGTAAGCCAGGATAACCCGTTAAGTGAGCTATATACAAATATATGTAATGTAAGCAATTACTATTTCTTTATGTGTATACATATATTATTATTATTTACTAGGATGTACGTAAATGCCAAAGGGCTGTCTTCCACCTTGATAACGTCTATTAAATGCATTCATACTCCATTGCATTGTATCTTCTGGTGTGCCAGCAATATAGACATCCATTAATTGAGGTGTACTTGTATTATCCATGACGGAATGCATGGGGATTTCCCAAAGTCCTGGGATTCTCGAGAGTTCATTACAGATACCTGACCAACAATCATTTGCCATTCCATAGTCTAAGGTGTATGGCCAATAGGCATCACCCTCTAATGCACTTGAACTTGAATCATATGTGAACCCAAGCTTTGAAAGATGGGATAATGTCTCTCTACTATAGTTGAGGAAAGGAGCACGGAAGCCCTGAATTTTTCCATTAGGAATACCCGCATATGCATTTAGCATTTCTTTACAACTCAGGATTTCCTCTAATGCATAATATATAAGAAAGAAAGAAAGGAAGAAAGAAAGAAAGAAAAAAAAAATACTTACTGTCAGAGGGAACTCCAACATGAGAGAATGTATGACTATAGAGAGAAAATAATAAATTATTTTTTTTTTTCATACAGTATTATGGACTCTATAAATACACTTACTCTGCTATTTCATTGCCAGTAGAATACCATTGTTGTGCTAATGAAAAGTCAGTATACTGCATTGAAACGAACCTATTTTTTTTTTTTTTTTTTTGTAAAAGTTAGTAAAGAATTTTAAAATTACATTCGTATCCTCTTACCAAGTACCACGTCCAGAACAACCATTAGGATTTCTATAAATATGATGATCAATGTTAGGAAAGAAAAGAGCAAAGAGCAAAGAGAATATCTATATATATATATATATATATGTATATATATATTTATATATAGACAAGATATTACGTGACATTTAGCATTCGCTTAGCCGTTTTATAAAGCTGAGGTTGAATAGAATCATCAAAGGTAACTGTAACAAATTGAGGTGTATCTTTAGGATCCATACCATTAGGTGGGTTTTTAGAGGCACATAAGCATCCATTGGATAGATTGCAGACATTGGGATCACAAGAATAAGCTGAAGTCGAAGCTACAGTATTAGGTCTTACTGTCGTTCCCTCTGACTGAGCTAAGGATGAGCCTATAAAGGTTGCAACTAATGCAAAAGTAATATGAAGAAATTTCATTATAAAAAAGAGAAGAAGAAGAAGAAGAAGAAAAAAAGAAAAGAAATTCAAAATTCTGATTACTACCATATTATTATATATATATATATATCCTACTCCTCCTAAATAAAATTCTTAAGCTTTAAAAGAGAAAGGAGGAGAAGAGTGCAGGACTCAGTTTATTTCTTGACAATAGATGCAATATCTCCCATCTTATATCTCCTTTTTATTTATAGAAATACAATGCATAAATTCTAGAAATCAAAATAATAAAATTATTTACGGTGTCTAGCACAGAACTCGTTTATTCTCTTGTATGCTTCCTCGAGTCTATCATAAGTAGGTGTGATTACCAGTCTTATAAAGTTGGGATATTGAAAGCACTAACATATACAAACTAAGTAAATACTACTATAAAGGACATATATATAAACGAAAAAAAAAGTTTTACCTGGCCTGGTAAGCAAACAACATTCTCCTCATTAAGAAGTTTAGCACTGAAATCAACATCAGATTCAATATCCTTAAACTTTTCGATATCAATACCAACCATCATATACATAGCACCTTGAGGATTCACTGGATTTAGGCCATCAATCTTAGATAATTCTCTGATACTCAAATCCACATTTTTCTCAAGTTGCTTAATCGTTTCTTGATAGAAAGAAGCGGGTGTCTTTTGAAGAATTTCTGGAAGTGCAGCTTGAATAATTGAATTAGGACCCAAAATAAGTTGAGCTAATTGGTGCAAACCATGGTGCACCTCTTGAGCAAAAACACCATTACGATCATGGATCAAGATCCAACCCATACGCCAACCAGGCACAAGCCATTTTTTGGCAAGTCCACCTACTGACAAAATAGGTACAGATTTTGTTAATGTAGCCATACGATATGACTTTCTGCCCTTAAAAACAAGATCATGATAAATTTCGTCTGCAATAATTGGAACATGGTGTTTTTCAGCAATAGCCAAGATGGCTTGAAGATGCTCTTTAGAATAGACTGAACCACAGGGATTTGAAGGACTATATTCAAAATAAATTAAATTAAATTAAAAAAAAAAAAGAAGGAAGTTAGCTATATAAAGATTGTTTTTTTTTGAAATTTGAATGTTTTTACTTGTTAACTAAGATCGCACTTGTTTTTCCATCAATTAATGACTCTAATTGTTCTAAATCAGCTTCCCAGTTTTTCTCGGGCTATACCAGTCAATTTAGTAATTGAATTATAATTATATACTTTAACTTTACCAATAAGTTATAATATCTAGGTTCAACAAAACGTGTAGCTGCCAAAGAAGCATAAAGTGAAAAGCCAGGTCGAGGTAAAAGGATATTTTGTCCTTCATTACAAAGAACATTAATACACATTTCAAGGGCACCAGAGCATCCATTAGTTAAAATAACATCGTTGGGTGCAAGTGGAGCAGAAGGATCATTATTGGCCTCTGCAACTGCTGTACGTGCTACCAAAGTACCTAAAATGAAAGTTTAAGTCTTTTTTTTTTTGACAGCATAAAAAATATATTTGTATGTCTACCATCGGCAGGAGGATATCCATTAGCACTATAGCTATTCAAATGCTTAGAAACAGCTTCATTGATACTAGGATCCGTATTAAAGTTACCAAAGATGGTAGGATCACCTGAAGAAAACGATTAAAAAACATGTCGTATAATTTAATGTCAATTATTTGTTACCAATGGATAAACTAATTAAAGGTTTTGTGACATTAGGATTGAGTTTAAGTTTATCGACAATAGCACGAATAGGGTTATGTGCTTGGTGAGCAGTTCTGGAAGCCTTGATATTCCAACAAGCACGATCTGAGCTCATATTAATAAAATTAAAAGATAAAAATAATAAGAATAATAAAAAAAAAACCTAATTTTAATGTTTATATATGCAAATGTGAGTCATGAAACGATGACAACGCGCTATTTTAATTTATTTAATTTTGCCAATTTGAGTTGTTTAGAATAAAGAAAATGAAATAGTCGTTCATGTATGTAGTGTATGTGTGTGTGTGTGTGGCGCAATGATAAAATTGAATATTATATGTGTATAGATACTATGATGATTCTTGAATAGTATTGTAGATGCTTCTTATTAGCAAATATGTATGTTCGGTCTTATATCCTATCCAACGACTTTAATGTGTGAAAAATATATATCTGTGCCTGTGACACTTTTTGTCAAAAATAAAAAAAGACAAAAGCTGACATAAATTGCAGACAGGCAAATAAGATGAACAAATATGCAGTATTACTTAAATTGAACGTGATTAGGGGAACGAGGAGGAAAAATGCATGTGTCTGCTTTAATGGTTTACTCTTTAATATTAGTGCTTTGAATCAGTAAGCTATTTTAAAGAACAAATAAAAAAAACAATCTGCTTCTTATGCCTTACATTATCATCAATATAGAATGTCTTCCCTTTTCATCAATGTATCTTTTTTTGTTCTTTTAAATTTCAATACTAAATTTACTCAGGGAAAATAGATACAAATAATTTCTTTATATTTCATATATTTGGTACAAACACTTATTTACCGAATATACTTCAAGCCTATCAATATTTTTGTCTTATTCGGTCTTGAATGTGTTCCACTATTTTCTGGAAATAGTATATATTAATATAAGCTAAAAAAAATGCACCTTTCAAGTACTAGTACACAATCATAGAGTTTCCTTTTTTTTTTATTCTATTCTGAATGTATCATGGTAAAAGCGTAATATTATAACAATCAGTTATTTCCTGAATATAACTTGTTTTTCTCATTTTTACTTTGCCAAATGTTATTCTAAAATGCATGCATTTTGATTCACTCTTTTGATACACTTTATAATAGGTATGGCATGATATATATTAAATTAAAAGACTTTTACGTTGACACAGTTTACATTTTTCTAATAAAAAAAAATTGTACTTTAAAATGTGCTCCAGTAGTGATATACTAAATAATCTGCTTAATAGGTCTGCATGGAATTGTATACTGGAGAAATAGGCTAAAAAATATGCTGAAGAAGGTTGCTTAGAGATAAGCTAAGCAATCTGCTTGAGCAGTTTTCAGTCATATCTATCAACTTGTGCCTATATAGTAGTAAGAGAAAAAAAATAAACAAAGCAGAAAGAGTTAAATGACAAAAAGAGGCTATATTAAATAGTTGAATTATATAGCCATAAGGAGAGTAAGATATATTAAAAGTAAAAAGAAAATACATGTATATGTATATGTATATAAGCTATTGCAATAGAGTTTATTTAGCCTCGACAATGAAGAACAAGAAAGTTTGTAAAACTCCCCAACATATCTTAATGAGTTATGATTACATTGTCAGATAGTGAGTTCTCTATCTATCAAGACTACGTGGAAATAAGTCTCAGGAAGGATAACCGGAAGATTCAAAAGTCTATTATAGTTTGTATATTTTAATAATATTTATCATGTAATTCAATAAAATAAAGGAATAAAGCTAAGTACGATAAGGACCATTGAAATTCCTAAAAAAAAAAAAAAAAAAAAAAAAAAAATAAGTGTAAATCTAGTGCGGATTTGTAAACGATTTACTTCTTTATCAAACCGCAATTGAACTCTTTTAGGTAACGATAATTATTGCATGTCGAATGATGAAACGCAATATAGGTAGTTTATTAATAAATTTCTATATAGCAATCTAAACAATATGGCTGACAGATTGTTCTAGGCATGTTCAGTCTGTTCTTTTTTTTTAACGTTTGTACAACTCATTAAAATCATTCACATTTTTAAAACAGCAGTCGCAACGCATGACGTTGCTAAAGCTAACTTATAAAACTCCAAATATTTTCTCCCTTTCTTCTTTTTTCTTTCTTCTTTCTTCTCTTTTTTCTAATCACTTTTATTTCTTCAACTTTCATAGACTAGAATAATGTTAGGTAAGCTTCTAAAGTTTACTTAGTAAAACGGTTGTTGGAGGAAAAATGTAGGATCTATTAAGCAAACGGACCCGTAAGCCTTTGAGTTTGCCCATCGCCTAGTAGCTGAAACGTTCTGCATGGTTATGTTTGTGAAAGGGACCCGTAGTCCTTTGAGTCTGCCCAACGCCCGAAGCAGCATAACCTCCTTTGTATCAACAGCGTAGATAGATGGCACATGTAGGATTTATTAAGCAAACGGACCCGTAAGCCTTTGAGTTTGCCCATCGCCTAGTAGCTGAAACATTCTACATGGTTATGTTCGTGAAAGGGACCCGTAGTCCTTTGAGTCTGCCCAACGCCCGAAGCAACATAACAGCCATACTCTCCGCAATATACGGTTTACTAATTTTTTTAAAAAAGATTCTTTTAGTGTTTCTGATGCTATTCAAGGCTATGTTTCCTAATGCTACTGAAGATATATGTATATTATTTAGAGAATTAAATAAATAAATTTTTTTTAACCAAGTGTAAATTTATTAATTTATCTAATTTTGAGCTAATCGTTTTTTTTTTTGGAATTTTCTAATGAGAAAAAACTTAAATTTTCAGGAGGTGCTGCAGATCTCATTCATAAAGTTCTTAATTACAAATTATTATATTGGTTCTATGACAAAAAAAAATAAGGAGGCGATTTTCATTTTTATTTATGAATAACAAGATCAAATGATGTATCCTAATGAGGGTGGAAGTTTATAAATTATAATATTGAAGCTTGCTTCTCAACTGGTTTTTTATCTAGTTGAAATTTTTTTTTAATACCAAGTATCTTTCTTAGCTTTAACACTTTTTATCAAGCCTAATGAGTACTATCAATAGTTCTGTTAATAATCCTACTCACATCTCTAAAGAAAAGAAGAGACGCCCAATTAAAGAGCTTAACTGGATACTTTCAAATACTAGTAATTTCAATCATATAACTTTCTTCAATCATTTTAAAAATTATAAGAAAAGAACAGCTATTCGTCGATTCAAGATAGCAGTTGATTATTTTATTGTTGATGAGTTTGCAGAAACACAGATTCTGAATAACTTCCACGTTTGGAACGCAAATAATGAAGGAATGAATTACTGGATTCATAGGGATATTGAAATAGCCCTAAACACGAACAGTAATGATAGCATTATAACTGCTGACTCAGGTACCGTGGTAGACAATTCGGTTACATCAACATCTGTTCGTTCGTTTGATATCTTTGATCAAATCAAAGACTTCTTAACACGTAATATTTTTCTTGTAGATGCTGGACACTACCTTGTTGGACAACTTAATGTTCACGAATGCTTTCATCGTTTCCAACTACATATAAAAGACTTGATTATCAGCAAACAATTATTAACAATTGAAAGTCATGTACCACATATCCTATCTACTTCATCAACATTACTACTTTGCAGCACAATTGATATTAGTATGAACAGTTACTTTGATAATGCTGCAACTACAGTACTTGATGATATGCATATTAGATTAGGATTACACTCCAAAAAGTTTCCACGATTGCTATTAATCAAAATGATTGATATCATAAATGATATAAATCTGAAAAAATATGAATGCTCTGAAGGTATATCTCAATTATATCAATTAATGAAAGGAGAGGAGGAGTTAGTGAAAAGATGTATAACTTTGATGATACGACTGTTGCAAACCCTACCACTTAAACATGATTATACAAGTATTAAGGAACAAGATCTTTGCTCTCGATATCTTGTACCAGTTCTACAAAGCTTCTTTGACTATCGTTTTTCAGAAGAGAAAATCCTTTTCCACTTCAAAGACAACTTAAATATGGAATGTCTAAATGATATTAGCCTGACCCGAAGTCGACCTGATGGGCTAATTGTACAAGAACGATCTTCAGGACAGGTAAGCTTAGGTTTCATAGAGGTAAAACCTTTAAAAGAAGCAAACAACCATTATAAAATGAACATGGATCTTATTCGCTTGAGTGTATTCAGCAAGAATGCGATGGACAAGCATAAGTTAAGAAATGTCATGACAATTCAAGCTATTGGTACCAATCTAACATTCTACCTAATGCAACACTTTGTAGGAGGTTTGTATATTATGGTAGAACTGGATCACCTAAGGTTTCCTACAAGTATCAATGAGCTTGAATTGTTGGTTGGATTCCTCGATCGAATTCTTAATTTGATGGCTGTGTTCAAAGAACATTGTGCTGAACAACGTGAAGTCGTTATTGATGGCCTAAAACAAACTTTAAGATCACCTGTTTTAACTAAGATCACTACGACGACAGTAGATAGAAAAAGGACCAATTATTGCCAGCACTACTGTCATTGATATTAGCATTTCTTCATTCTATTTTTTTTTCAACTATTCTTCTACTACACTCCTTTTAATTTATTGAAAATATTTATTTAAAAACGTTTATAAGAGATAAGATTATATTGTTGTCGTTGTTTTTATTTTCTTACTTTTTTCGTTATATTTTCTATGTGCCATTCTTTTAACCTTTTAATCGCCACAAAGGATTCTAGCTTCAAACATTCGAAATATTAAGAAAAAACTCCAGGAAAAAAAAATGATAAAGTTTCTTAGCTGCTCTTCTGAAGTTATTATGTTAGTTAGTACTATTGTCGACCTAACACAACTGAATAAATACAATTATTTTGAAGGTATGGATAGCTCCCCCTCCCCTCCTCCTCCGCAGATCATTATCTATATAGCTAAGACGCCGGAATAGATAGAGCTAGCTCTGTTTACCTAAGTTAAGTTTGTAACCAAGTTAATAGAAATAAATCATCATTTATTATTATATAATAAAAAGAGTATTCAAACAAAACTAACAAAAAGATAAAGAAACAGAATATAAAAACATAAGATAAGTTTGTGATAGCTTTATATAGTGAATGATAATACAAACGGTGTACAACAATATGACAAAAATGAAGAGAACTAATGTTTATTATATGTTTACAAGACAGGTAATATAATTGATAAAGACTGTTATTATAAAAAAGTATGTTAGTATTCATTCATACAATATCAAATTTCCCCTCTAATAAGCTGTAAATATAACTTTAATATATAACATAGTGGACAATAGCAATATTATGAATATCTATATAAATGTGTAAATAAATAGAATTACAAAAGGCTGGTTTTATTCTATGATTTATTTCTATTAACTTGGTTACAAACTTAACTTAGGTAAACAGAGCTAGCTCTATCTATTCCGGCGTCTGCGGAGGAGGAGGAGGGGGAGCTATCCATACCTTCAAGGAAGCGATATCTAAATCTATTTGTAGTAAAGAATATTCAATAGACTTTTTATTGAAATTTTAGAGTAAACAAATTTATGCAAGAGCCTTTTTGATTAGTATTTTACTTTTAATACTTAATGTTAAAGTCATATATAGCGATTGAAGAATTAGAAAAAAAACTCTTTTAAATAAACATGTTAAAGAAGTAAAATTGTTCATGTTAAACATTTACAACCAGTAAGTCAATATCATTAACACGATGTATATATGTCAAAATGAATATGCATCACTTTTTTTCTTTTCTTTTGAAAAGGGAATATCAAATATTGTATTATATAAACTAACTAGTTATTTTATTAATTATTTAAAATAAGAATTAACGCGTAGAAAAAGTAACTACGATAGACGGTATATAATGCTTCTTATTTATTATCTGCGTATATTGTACATTATTATTTTATGAAGGAGATTTTGAGTTTTTTTTTTTTTTTTCCTTTTTTCTTTTTTAAGGACGTTGTTATTTCCATAATTAGTGGCAAGATACTGTTGTATACATTACCACAACTTTTTTTTTATCTATTTGTGGTGCGCTTACTAAAACGTTTCTTTTTAAATATTAATTCACATGTCCTTATGTAATATATCAGCAGCAACGGCAAATGTACACGTTCTTAGCTATCGCAATTACATAATGAGCTACTATACATTCTAATTAAAACTCCGGATAAGATCTAAGAAAAAAGAGAAAAAACTAGTTGAAATCACTCGGCATATTTATCAGTGTATTATCGTTTTCTTTCTTTCTTTTTTTTTTTTTTTTTTTTTCTTCTTCTAATAAATGTTTCCTGAAGGTTTATTTTATATTTTATCTCGTAAGCATGGATTTGCACTTGATGTTTATGATGGACAAACAAAGGTACACAACTGTTAAATCATACTCTCAAGAATGTTAACATTATTACATTTAATAGGACGATGCAAATATAATTGTTTGGCCGCAGAAATTTCAAGATAGTGATAATCAGTAAGACCATTCGATTTTTTTTTAAATAATAATAATAATGATATTAGTCTAAACTGTTTTATTCCCTTTAAGGTTATGGAGTTATGAAAAAGGACGTTTAATTAATAAAAAGTCGGGCCTTGGTAAGAAGGCTTTTTTTTTAAAAAATATATATATATATATATATATATATATATATAAAGTATGTATACTAATTTATTTTTTATTTTGAATACTAGCTTTGGATATTAGCTCAAGTAAGTTTATATATAAAGGGGATAGTAAAATAATAGCTTACAGTTATAAACGTTAATTTTTAGGTGCGTTCAAGAAGGATAAAACGATTGTACAGAAAAAGATCAAAGCTAATAAACAGTCTCAAGAGGTAAATATCTATTTATCTGTTAAATATGATAAATAATAATTATTCTTTATTTGTAGTGGATTTATGATCAAGGATTTATTTGCTCAAAGGAATTTCCAAGTCTTGTACTTGATATTAGAGTGAGTTTAGCTTCAGATCTAAGAATTTAGTAACTCAATATTTATATATGTATATGTATATACGTAGGGAGACAGTGCTAAAGGTGGTGCTCAAGTATTATTGTACAGACGTAAAGCAACAGATAATTTAAATCAACTCTGGCAATTTGAACCTTATCATCAATTTGAAAATGCTTTAAATATGGCTGCTACAAGTATGCCATTGCATAAAAAGGAAGGATTTGGTCAACCAAGACCTGGCTATGGTGCTGAGCCTGGTGTTCCTCCTGAATTAACCCAAGTTCCAGAAAATAACAAGATTGCTGGTGTTGGAAATAACCCAACATCTACTTCTGTAAATTCAGGTAATTCTCGAGTAGATCCTGTATTATCACAATATGGATCATTTTATGGTGGAACTCCTACTGCACCCCCAAAACCCCAGCCAGGACAGCAAGCACCCTCTTTACCACCCAAAAATGTCGCCGATCTTTATCCTCCTCCCTCTCATCAACCCACTTCACCTATCAATACGACATCAACTTATCCACCCTCCCAAAATAATAATAATGATCATCATCATCTTGGCTATCCTCCTCCAAGTGGTAATAATACGGCTTATCCTCCACCCTCGTCTTCCAATTATCAGCAGCATCAAGGCCCTCCACCACCACCACCACTTCCTCCCTTGAGTTCTTCTGTAAGTAATAGTTATCCTCCACCTAGTGGTTATCCACCTTCATCTGTAGCTGGCTATCCTCCTTCACCAGTAGCTGGCTATCCTCCTCCTTCACCTTCCAATTATATGAATACTACTACTGCTTACCCACCTAATACATCTAATATGCCTGGCTATCCTTCCGCTGCTGCTAGTTTCCCCGAACCTCATCAAAATGAGTATTATCAACAAGATAATAGTCATGGCTTTCCACCTCCTTTGCCACCTAACAGGCCTAATAACACAAATAACAATACATATGGTTATCCTTCCTATCCTCAGTAATATTTAAATAAATGTTATATAGTATTTTGTGTATTAATTATAAAATAAAAAAAAAGGTATATTAATCCTTTAAATATACTTAGTAGACGTAAATATATGCGTACATATATAATTTGAATACTTGGAATGTGTTATTGTCATTTATAAAATGAGCTCCCTTAAGTTTTATGATATCCTAATATGTGGCTAATAATGTAACTTGGTATAATTTAGGAATCCTTTTACTCATAATTAAATGAACCAACATATAAAACCTATAATAGTATTATTACTATTAAATAGCTTGAACATATAAAAAAAAAGAACTTCTTTTATTAACTCTCCTTTTTATATTAATATTATATATATACAATTGAGAGAATAGTAATTTCTCTCCTTTTTTTTTAATGAGCCAGATATAATATTTATCAACATGTTTTTTTGTTTGTTTGTTTGTTTGCTTGTTTGCTTGTTTGATTGCTTGCTTGTTATATTCACACTTATAATCCCATTACATTCCTTTTAATGAAATCAGTTCGCTTTGCTTTAATCAATAAAAAATTTGATGACCAATACACATTTGAACTTCAAGGCTATGTAAAGTAGTAGAATAGAATAAAGTACAAGTATATAAATTCTAATATCATGTTATAATAGATGTCAGTTTATGATTTTTGTTCTACATTTAATTTACTTAATCAAACAGTTCGTCAGACACCCCCACCAGGCAATACATTGTTTTGGTGTATTGCCCTTTGGATTTTATGGACAATAGAAGTAATCGGTCATTATTTAATATGGATTTACACAAAATGTACATATAGTTTATATCTATTGCCATTCTTCATCATGACAAGTACATTATTGACTGCTTGGATATATCGTATACGTCGACAAAAGGTAAATAGGTATATAAATATAACTAAAAAAAAAAAAAAAAAAAAAAAAAAAAATCCAGTCATTTTCCTTATCCATCTCTATTTCGATTCAAGTTTGAATCCACTATCATTACTCTTTGTAACCGTATCAATGCTACAGAAAACATGAGAGGCATCAACTATCGATTTAGTAAAAACGGGTCTGATTTGAACGATATAACCAAACAAGTTAAAATTGTCTCTTTATTATTAAGGAAACCTATCTATCATATGGTGGTTGAATTTGACGATCGTTATGATGATACATTCTCTACTAGTACCAAATTTAACGATTTTGTTACTGTTCCTTTATATGCTCATGTTGCTCCTAATACTAAAAAGGAAAGTTTTTATCCCTCTTGGAGCTCATCAACTGATACAGCATTACATTATGACGAAAAGTTTATTATACAATATACTTAGGATACAGGAGAGGAGAGATTTTTGTATTTAAGCGCCTTTTCTCTCTCTCTCTCTCTTTCTCTCCTAATAATGTATATACATGTTTTTTACTCTCCCTTCTATAGTAATAATAAAAAAAAAGACCCTGTGCTTTACAGACAAGGAGAACAGCTGCATAAAAAATCCTGTCAAAAAAAAAAGTATATTTTATAGCTCAACCAGAAATGTATATAATTAGTAAATGTAGATGAATTGATAATACAAGCTTAGATTAGACTGAATATACTCTACTATTTTCAAAAGTATCGAATAAAAAAGATATAAATCTATTTATTGATAAAGATATTGAATAATAAAAAAAAAAGATATATTTGACTTGGACATGTTGTACCAATGAGTCGTTCTTGCTCTTTTGTGTTATTAGCAAAGACCTTTGACGTGTAAATCATTTTACTTTTCTTTTTTTTTTTTTTTTTTTTTTTTTTTTTTTTTTTTTGCATATAAACTTATTTTAAAACAGTGAACGTCGCGTAAATAAATAAAATTAATTGATTTAGAAAAAAAAAAAAAAAAAAAAAAAAAAAAAAAAAAAAAAAAACTTTCTCTTTATTATTATTATCAAGACATATCCTTATTAAAATGGAGTATCAACCAAGTATCAAATTAAAATATCGACCTTATTTTACTAATTGTGTTCAATGGAACGAAGAAGGACAAATGGTTATTTGTTTAGAGAATCAAGTTCATATTATTGTAATTGATCAATCTAACGAGTAAAATTCTACAAGATCTCTAATCATTATTGATTTAGACTCCTTTAATAACTGGCATGTTTGCAACAAAAGAACATTACCTTCATACAGGTTTTAAATTAACTCCACTAGAGAAAGAAACATGCTTTGACCTTATAGGTATTTAATCGAAGTATGAATTATAACACATTCAACATATATTATACAGACTTAACTTTTTTTTTTTTTTTTATTTCTTCACAGTGGATGTTAATGATCTTCAAACTTCATATTTAAGTGCTGAAGGCTTTCGTTGTGCTAATTGGTCACCTATTGGTATATCAGAATCTCAAAGGTAACAAGAATGCATATATACTTTGGGATGATTTACAAATAACACCTTTTTTTTGTTTGTTTGTTTGTGTGTGTGTGTGGTAGTTGCTTCTTAGTTGTAGTAACGACAAAACATAGAGTATTAATCTATCAAAACTCGAAAGAAAATCCTTCAACAGGAAATTGGGAATTGGTATGTACACAAACATACACTCATAAAATAAAATAAAATATTGCATGCTTATTATTATTACATAGTATATGGATTTGACAGAGAGTGTCAAGAAGCTTTCTATTCATCATGATCATCCTACTCGTAAAGAACCTTACCACACAATATGTAAATATTACAATCTATTGCCTACTATACTATCATTCCTTATTTATTTGTTTATTTATTTAGATGCAAATTGGTCTACACGATTAATAACTGATCCTATTGTTACAAAACCTGTCTTTTTAGCTTTATCTAATAAAGCAGGTGATCTACTTATCTGGTCCTATACTAAACAACTCAAATATGTTACAACAATCACACCTCACACATCATTTGTTAATTTATTATCTTGGACAGGATGGACAAAGATAAGGAATGATGATATGACAGATAATGACTATGAAATATGTAATAGTATACTCCATATAATTATCTATTTAACTGATTGTTTGTTTGTTTGTATAGATACATCCTATATTATTTCAGCTTGTACAGACGGCACAATTGCTCTTTCGTCTGTTTGCGTGCAAGCTACTGTAGATCAAGAGAGTCGAGAAACGATTTTATCAGATGATATCAAAGTGAATACTGAGATTGTCTGGTTTGAAGATACAACATCTGTTACTACTTTACTCAAGATTCATGATAATTTGGAAGCAGGAGGATCTGATATTAAGATAGCCGTCTCTAAAGGTATCTCTATCAAGTTTCTTTGGCTGACTTGCAGAGATGGTACATTGTCGGTTAAACATGACTGGACATCCTATCAAATGGAAAATTCTGCATTAGGTTTAACAGGAGGAGATTGGCTAAATGATCATGTCTTTCGATGTTATACAACTGAGGGCGAAGGTCTTCAAATCGAGTTGGATGAAGAAGGAGAGATCAAGTATGATGAAGATGAGAGTAATGTTATAAATGATTTATTAGAAACTATGTATGGACAGCAATGGATGGATGAACAGATGGATGCTGAAGACGATAATCTGATTGCTTCCTCTGATGCAATTCCTTATGTCTTTGGTGCTGCTGATGGTCTTAATCATGTTTGGACTGCATTTTATTTTGCGTAAGAAAGAAAAGTGTATTTAAGGAGCAAAAAGAAAAACTCATTCGTTTTATATATTAGTATGAGGCCTACAGTAGATATTCATTATAGACCTGAATCATCAGAAGAATGTAATTTATCAATTATAGTACAAAAAAAAAGAGGCGAGAATATGGACTTTTATTTACAAGAACTTGATCGTTATGTAAATGATCCTAGCTTTTGTAAGGACATTTTAAAGTATATATGAATATATATATATATTAGACTCTTTTTATTATTATTATTATTATTAACACTATATTTGAAAGTCTTTGTAAGATCTGCTAGAGGAATTATAAGAGAGACACTAGAATACTTGATCGATGACGATAATATTGATAACTTGATTACTTGGATTCATCATTTAGCAACCTATTTGAACATTCAGCCCAAATTAGAGTAAGTGATATACAAATACATATATATATATATTTGCTTGTATATATGTATTCATATATCTATATATAAAAAGCTCTACCTGTATTCCAAGAGCTATATATAGTGAACCTAGTAACATAGCTGCTAGAATGCTAATTACTACAGAATTAGAATTAAAGGTTTATACATACATACATACATACTTTTACTATAAGCTGTATTTACGATTATTTTTTTTTCCTTTCTTTCTTTTAGAATTTTATTCCTCAAAATTTCAAGTCAACCCTAAGTCCACTTGTTGAAGAATCAAAGAATTTAGTTCAAGCCACTTTTATCGCAAATATTTTGAACTATGTTTTACAACTTTCTGATGAAGAATTCAGTCAATTTACAGGTACGAAAAAAAACGTCACACATGTAATACTATAACTTTAATTTGTGTGTTATTATAGAACAAGATATTACAGTATTATTAATCTTATCAGATTCTTCATTTACAATAAAGAACAAAATGGGACTTGTGCAACAAAGTTTAAACACCTATCAAAGATTACAAGCCAATTTCCCTGATTTGAGATTACAAGAGATTATCGATTTTGCAAGTCATTATTCAGAAGAAGATGATATTGAAGTCATCAAGAAACAAAAACGAGAGATGTGTCCAGTATGTGATGAATATATTCAAGTGATGAATGACAGCTTAATGGGATTGTGTCATGCAGGTCATTTTTGGCGTAAGTTGATGGGATTTACATAGATAAACAAGATAGTATATATGTTAATTTTCTATTCATTCTAGAACTTTGTGCAATTACAAAAAGAGTTCTCTATACACGTAAAGCACGTAAATGTATATCATGTGGTTCAAGAAGTTTAGAGCCTACAAAGACTAAATCACTAACAAATAAGATTTTAAAAGTTGTGATAAATGTATTTATTGTGGATGTGCCTTTGTGATTGTGTAATAAAGACATTTTTATACATGTTGCATGTAGACGTAGAATATATAGGAATACAAGGATAAAATTAGGAGAATGACGGAATAATATATTCTTGTCTGAGTCTATTATAATAATAATAATAATATTAAATACTTTTTTTTTTCAATTTTACCAGCGAAGATAATGGGTTGGACACTATTATTATTTAAAAAGGATTGTAATTAATCGTCACAGTCCAAGTAATAATAGCAGTAGTAGTGGAAAAAAAAAAGGAAGAGGAAGAGGAAGGAATTAAAGAATGATACTTACAGCATATCCTTCAGGATTCTTTTCCAAATAAAGTTGATGATATTCTTCAGCATCGTAAAATCGAGTAGCAGGCTCAATTTCAGTTACAATCTTGGCGTCAGGATAATGCTTTTCTTGAACTTCTTTTGTTACCTTTTCTGCAATTACTTTTTGTTCAGGTGAATGATAAAAGATAACTGAACGATATTGAGTACCCATATCAGGGCCTTGTGCATTTATGGTAGTAGGATCTATTTTATATATACACATTTAAAAAAAAATCTATTATTATAGGGGGGAAGGTTATATGATCTACACTAACTCTACCATGCATTTTATAAAAGAATTCTGTTAATGTTTCAAAAGAAACTTTGCTAGGATCAAAGCTAATTTGGCACACTTCAGCATGGTCGGTCGTACCTGTCTTGATTTGTTTGTAACTAGGATTCTCAATATTTCCACCCATATATCCTACCCGCGTAATAATATCTTTAAAATGTTCATTATAAATATGTTCAACTCCCCAAAAGCATCCTGCAGCAAACGTAGCAATTTCAGTCTTTGTTGTCATCTTTATTAATGAAAAAAAAAAAAATGAAAAATAAAAAAAAAGGTAGTAAAGGAGAAGAAGATTGCCTTCTTTAAAAAGGAAAAAAAAAAAAGGTGAATATGATCATCATGATTGCTGCTGGTTAATAAATTACGCAAAATTCATTGGATTAAAATTATTTATTTATAATCTTAATCTTGAGCAGTTATTGTTGATTTGTCAGCAAGGGAATTATAATGTGCACCCAATGAATAAAGGTGTTTATGATAACTAAAAAAAAAAAAAGATAATGAATTTTACTTTTATTTTATTTTATTTTTTTTAATTTAAATTAAATACTTACGCTAATTTGATAGGTGGTTTCTCAGGGTATTCATCTTCGCATATTTTAATAATAGGTCCATCATATTGTATAATATCAACAGGTACCGATTTTGATTTGGCTAATGCCAGAATCTATGTAATCAATGTTAATTAAGAAAGGGGAAAAGGGAGAAGGAAAAAAGAGTTTCTTTAAGTTGTATTTATCACCTCTAATTGACCTCCCCAGCAAGCTGTATTTTCAATATCATCACAATATTTATTAAAATCTGTTCCATCTTCAAGATATAAAAAGGGTACAAAATCATCTTGATGATGTCGCATATATTCTGCTGCTGATCGTCTTAGTTCCTTATAATCTACATTTTGATTATATCTCATTTTCAATTGATCTGCAAAAGCATTATAAAGACTAAAGCATAATGATATAAATATCTTTAAAACTTCAATTTTTAACGAGTTAGTTACCAATGACCATCTGCAGAAATGGGTTTTATAGATAAATTTAAAGGAAGAATACGTTCTTGAATAGCCTTTGTTTCAACAGTAGCCATATCTACTTGATTCATAGCTTCTGCCTCTGCCTCTAGTCGTAAACGTTCCATTTCTGCATTACGCTTTTCAATTCTCAATCTAGCCTTATTCACCTTTTTCACCTTCTGGGTTGGCTGCGCTGATACTACCGGTATTGATTCCTTTTTTTCTTGTAATGATAACTCATCAAGTCGATCTAATGAAATCCCATCATCCAACTATTAAAAAAAACACACACATTAATATTCTGATCTCCAATGTTGTATATTATTATCTTACTTCATCTGATTGTTGTATTTCAGTGGGATCTAGACCAGCTTCCTTAGCTTTAAACACTTTCACCTCTTCTTCATGTTTTTTATTTAGTTCATATTCTAGATCAGCAATACGAGAAGCTACTTCTCGCTTCTTTCGTTTATCTGATTTGGGCACACTTTTTCTTAACGCGATGATTTTTTCTGTTAGTTTCTTTTTTCAAGTTGATGTCTTTCAAGTAATTCATCAAAAGTTTCCTGTGAGGGAGTATTCTCTATCATAGCTTAATATAAGAAAAAAAGAAAAGAAAAAGAAAAGAAAAAGAAAGACATATACGTCCGCCTTCTCTTTCTCTCAGCTCTCTCCTCTTCCCTCCCCCCCCTCCCCCAATTTTTGATTTTCCTATAAAATATGTAATATGGCCTAACGGTCACAATATAAACAAGAAGAGTTTTTTTTTTTTTTTTTTTTTTTGAGACGGGAGAGGAACGTTCTTCTTGAGCTACTTTTTGCTACCGGAAGCGGAGGTAATTAAATTTCTCAGTAAATTTGAATAAACTATTTTTTAATAAGAAAATAAATATAAGATCCCTTTTTTTTCTTTGAATATATTTGGCTTAGTTGTGTAATCCTGTAAGTAAGCAGTTTCAATAATAAGTAAAGGGACTAAAAGAGGAACGTTCTTAATCTGCTCGGGAAGGTTTTTTTTTCTTTTCCCCCAGTTAAAAAGCTGTGGTAGATATAGTTAGCATACTTCTTGGCAGTAATGATAGATTTATTTTTGTTATAATAGGTCTATCGTAGTCAGGCAAAACACAGATAATGTAACTGGTATTCATATCAAAAGTTGGATTAGCAACTATGAGTTTTGGATAAGTAGCCTCGAAGGATTTCTTCTCTTTATGACCACTAAAACTGGCCTTAAATTCATTTATGATTATTAAGCTTGGATGATGATGCTAATGAATACAATAAGAGTAGTATGGTTTACAAAAAATAAATAAATAAATAAGGTCAGCATGTATTAGTATGAAAATAGGCTGTTTATAGTTTTACACAACCTAGTTTGTATATTATGCTCTATCCTTTATCTTTCTTTAGTCCTCGATTGTTATTTTTTTTTATGGTTTAGTTTAGTTTAGTTTATTTATGTGGACATGTAGTTTTTCAAGTTATATTGTATGGTTATCATAGTAATTAAAATAAAGACGTTTCATTTATTCGAAAATAATACAGTAATGAACCTAATGTTAACACAATGTTACTTGTACACATAAGAATTATTTTTGAGGAGATTGTTGTTCTGACATGGCTAAATACTGTTTCTGCCGTAAATCCAGCACACGACGTTTATTAAAATACTCGACCTACAAAAAATATATACAGTAAAAATGAGTATATACAAGTAAAGTTTTTAATTAGTTAACTTACCCAACTTGCCATGCAACCTTCTTCATAATTCTTTTTTAATTCTAGGCACGAGCTTGCCTTTGAAGGTTCTTTATCCACTATACTAGGATCCATAATGTTCAGTTGATCAAGACATTTAAAGTATTGGTCACGCAAAAACCAACAATGTTTTCTTTCTGCACGAGTAGGTGGCTTATGGTCTGTCATAATATGAATACAAAATAGAATATAAACATTGAAAGTTCGGCTTTCTCTTTTTTATTATTATTATTAAGCGTGGGTGGAGAAGGAAAAAAAAAGGGACCAATGAGAAGAACAGTTATATAAACTAAGAATTTCAAACACTCTTCCCCCTTATAATTGATTTCTTCTCCTTTGATTAGCATGATTTTCTCCTCATAATATACGAACTTGTATTTACGTATAAAAAGGAAGCTCTTTTCTACTAGAGGCTTTATGTTTCCTTTTCTTTTTTTTTTCTTTTTTTTTTGTTGTTCATTTATATATTATTCGAAAATATGGTGTAAATATAATCGCCTCCTTTTTCCAGCTTTTTCTTTTTTTTACTTCATCTTGTTTCTTATTGTATGTGACATTATTATTGTTTCTGTAGTATAATTATGTATTCTCTGATGATAGAACATTGCGTTGTCATATTCTGCATTGATATGATCTACAAATTTATAGAATCAATCGAAGAAAGGGGGGAACGAAGGAAGAAGTTACATTAAATAAGGGCTCGAAAAGGAGAAAAAGAAAGAAAGAAAGAAAAATTTATTTGAAACTTTCTGCAATAAATCATGTGGCTAAATGTGATACTATCTTGAGACAACTTTAGTGTAAAATTAATGACATCTTTAATTATATTTTATTAAATAGTTGATTCCATTATCATATAAAAATAGATATTGTATTGTTGTAGCTTTATAAATAATTTCTTTAACTTTTTTTTTTCTATTTTATTCTTCTTCCCCTTAAAACTTTCTTTGTAAATCTCTTTTACTCTCTCACTCTCTCTCACTCACTCTCTCTCACTCTCTCTCTCTCCCTTCCTTTATCTTTACACTTTTTTTTTCCCCTACTACCTCCCCCTCTTTCCCCCCAAAAAGAAATAAGATAGCGTGCATCATCTTATTAAAAATAATAACAACAGCAGAACTATATCCTTTTTTTTTTTTTTTTTTTTTTTTGCTTTAAAACAATGACTATAAAATCTTGGTTTTCAAAAAAATTTCATTCTACTTCTTTTTCACTTTTTTTTGGATTATTTAAATTGGTTATGAATGAATCCAGACTAAAGACAAATACATCATCTACTAGCATGAATACAGTACCCAATGCAACACGGAAAGAGGATTCAACTTCAGTTTATACAGATACTATTGCAGAGAGGCCTAAGCGAAAGTGGCTCATCAAAATTAAAATGTCAGCTTGGTCTTTATTTGTCAAATACTGGTTTTTATTAGGTCTAATGATTGCAATTCTATTAGCTGTCTTTTTCCCAAATGTTGCTAGAAAAGGTGGCTATATTCGAGCAGAGTGGACAATCAAATGGGGTAAAATAAGGATAGAGCCTTTTTTTTTTTTTTTTTTTTGGTCATTAAACAAGTAAAAAATTTATAAATAAATATATTTATATCCATGTCTATTTTATATATAGGTGCTGTTATCGTTATCTTTTTAATCTCTGGTTTATCATTACGTACAAAAATATTAGCAGAAACAATTTTACGTATTCGACTTCATTTATTGATTCAAATAATTAATTTAATTATCATTCCATTTACTGTCTTTGGCCTCGTTTTACTCTTCTTTAAATTACATATGAACATTAGTTCTTTATTGCTTGTAGGCATCGTGATCGCAGCAAGTACACCTACAACTGTCTCGTCCAATGTTGTCATGACTAAAAATGCGTGTGGAAATGAAGCATCCGGTAAGTTAAATAATATTCATTATACATATACACATATATTTATTTATTTATTTACTTTTTTTTTTATAGCATTAATGAATGCGGCTCTTGGTAATGTACTTGGTATTTTTGTATCACCTGCATTGGTGTCTGTCTTTCAAGGCCCTCTCTTACAAGCTACACCTGAAGATGAAAGTGCAGCACAAGTAGGTGGTCAGGTTGATTTTGTTCAAGTCTTGAAACAATTAGGTTTAACTGTACTTGCTCCACTTATTGTAGGGCAAATGATTCAATGGTTTTGGACAGATGCAGTCGCTAAATTCAAGGTGAAATGTCGTCTCTCAGACGTGAGTAGCTTGATGTTATTAACCATGGTCTGGTCTGTCTTTAGTGATGCAGTCTATTCCGGTTCCTTCTCTGCTGTCACGCCTAAAGATATTATTGCCGTAGCCATCATCAATGCTGGTCTTTATATCATTTTTTCTTTATTATCCTTATTCTTGGCTCGATTACCCTTACCAGCTTGGTTCTCGGTACCTACGATTGTGAAAAAGTGGAGGTATTCACGTGAAGATACTGTAGCTGTCATGGTAAATAAATAATAGAGTAGAGAAAAGGAAGAAGAAAGGGAGGAGAGAGAGAGAGAGAGAGAGAATAAAAGTTAGAATAGAGAAGAGTCACTTACAGATGTATAAATATATAAATAAATGTATTCTTTCTTTCTCTCAAATAGTTTTGTGGTGCTACAAAAACAGTGGCTATGGGAGTCCCTTTAATTAATGTCCTTTATCAAAATGGTGATCCTGGTACTGTAGGTGTCTTGTCTACACCATTACTTTTATACCATGTTGAACAATTAATATTTGGTAATATTGAAGTGGAACTATTAAAGAAATGGGTGAAGGCAGGTCAAAAGGATCAAGAAAAAGAAGAAGAAGAAGAAGAGCGACTCGCAAGTGATGAAGAAAATGTGATTATAAATGACAGTGAAGTCACACGTGCTCAATTAAACATGCATTCAAGTTCCTTTTCACCTTCACCTTTATCACAGTCCCATCTTGAGAAATAACTTAGAATTCCCTCTTATATTTATTTTGATATATTTATTTATTTATTTATTTATATATCACGTTTTTTTTTATTATTATTTATTATCTATTTAACACTGTACAAAAAAAAAAAAAAAAAAAAAAAAAAAAAAAAAAAAATATTTATTCATATTTATAAGCAAATAAATTAAATTGTACAACAACAACAATTGAAATTTTATTAAATAATATACACATATTTATATAATACAAAAAAAATAAAAAATAAATAGTATCTAAGCATTTGGACAAGCAACACAATTGCAATCATCTTGTACACCTTCTTCTAATTCTCTCTCCATCTCAGCTACATAATTCCCTATTGTTCCTTGACATGGTTGCATCTTTAATTCCTCTCGAGCGATACGCATACATTGAGCCATCGTACGTCGTATACGAGGCATCAACTCAGTTATCTTTGTATCTAGTAGTACCCTCTCTAATCTTGAAACCCTCACCAACAGTTGCCATACGTTCACCAACACTCTCATATCAAAATAACAATCCTGTCTTCTACCTCTTAGATAATTTACGAGTCTTACCGTGTTAAAGGCAGCATGTAAGGACTTGAGAACGATATCTGTATTGACTCGAGTTTCAATGGGCGCCATGAGTTGATTCACAGCTACTAAATAATCTTCATCAGACCCTTCAAAATCAATTTGATTACGAAGTTCTATCAGTCTTTCAGCACGAACCTCCCATCTTTTCTTAGTAGAATGACTGGGCGTACAGCCATTATCTTCTGGTATATCTCTTGGTAGATAGCTTTGACCTAGCACAAGCCATTCCTCATAGAGCGCTAGTGTCATCAATACAGGTATCGCATCTACCTGACATTCTCTTTGCACTATCTCAAAGAATGATTTGCAAGGGAGGTTCGCATCAAAGAGGGGTATTGATAATCGAAAGTGGGGCGGTAATTGCTGGTACCAATGCCGAATCGCCATCTCTACTTGATGTCCTATTAACCCTACTAGATGCTGTAAATCACATGATTGTGCTGCCCGACTTGCCTCATGTCCTGATCTCTGTAACTTTAAAATATAATTATGCATCATGGCAAATCGTTTCTCCAGTGGACTATCATTAGGTGCCGTCTCCCATTTACCTTCATCTAAATGAACCAAGGTACAATAAGGTAAATCGCTATCGTTTGTAGTCATGGGTCGAGAGATGCGTTCATAGGTCAAGACACGATGTAAATGGTTTCGTAAACGTCGAGCATGTGTACTACTGTCAGGTAAATCGATTGCGATACGTTCTGCTAAATCGGAGTAAAGTATAGCCTCTTGATGTCGTGAAACAGCCAGGGCATAGACTGTCATGAATGTGTAGGCTGTTAATGTCTCTAAATCGAATGTATCAAACTCTTCACTGACTAGCTGACGAGCTCTTTCAAAATAAAATTGTCCATATTCAACAAGTGTAGCAGAGGATAAGACGGCATTGATATGCTGACATCTCATGGTACAGATAGCAGCACAAAGTGCCATGACAGCGGATGATTCTTGAGGACGACCAAGAAACTGTTGAAAGGTATTGACGTGAATCGCTAATTGCTGTAAATGTTGGCATTGCAAGTAGGCTGCAAGTAGTTTAAGTGTCGTGATTTGAATGGAGTCTGGTGACTTTGCGATCGTTAATATGTGTTCTTGTGAAGTGGGTGTAACGAAGATACGTATTGATTTAGCGACATTTTTGCAATGTGTTCTACCGTATCGCTTCCGAATAAGTGAATTAAGCATACCTAAAAGAGAATTAGTAGGCTGTTGTATCATGGATAAAAGAGGTGGAATATCGGTTAAGAGCTCAACGGACCCCATCATACGATGTATATGATCGAGAAGCTCTGTATGTGTTCGAATATTAGTTTCAATAATAAACTCTCCTTGCTGTAAGGTTAATTTCCATGGTTTAGTAGATTTAGATGTAAGAAAGGCTTGTATATTTTGTTGAGGTTTTTCAAATAGTTTAATACGTTTATTAGGTGGTGGTGGTACTACTAGAGTGTACGAAGGGATGGAAGGTAGGGCAGAACATGTTACTGAATTTATATCCTCAAAACTAGATAAACTTTTATCACTATTATCATCTGTCATCGAGGGGATATCTGATATCGATAATGATGATGTTCTATTTTGTTGTTGTGTTTTCAAATCGCTCATTAATGTCTCCATTTCTTTTATTTGATGTGTCATGGATTCTATTTGTGATATTAAAGCTGCACGTTTTGCTAATTCAATATACTCCTCATCGCGAGGAGATCGATTTAAGGTATAAATACAATCTAGATTGAATTTATAACATCTATAGATCAAAAAAAAAAATGTTTAGTAATGAATAGTATATATGTATATACATGTATATTTACCTTTCGCAAGGTTTTTGACCATTACACTTTCTTTTTTGGTCTCGACATTCTATGTAGAAAAAAAAATAACTTTAATTTTTAATTCAGTTTAATGTTTGAGTGCTTTCATTACCTTCACAGGGTGTTTTCTTCTTTGGTAATGTTGGATTTGACATGATTAATAATAATTACAATAAAGAGGGGTAAAAAAATTAAAATGAAATAAAAAAAAACAAAAAAAAACAATAAGTCAAACGGATTTAGTTGTATTATGAAACAACAGCGGCGACAAATGATATATACGGACTCATTTGACTCAAAAAAAAAAAAAAAAAAAAAAAAAAAAAAAAAAAAAAAAAAACTTTTCTTACTAACACTAAATAAAAAAAAGGGGAGAAAAAGACAGCTGGGGTTATCCCCCTTTTCCTATTTAATTTTTATTTTATTTTATTTTTTGCTTAAATTAAGCATCTTGTAATGGTTGAAGAAAAAGTTTATATTGATCCTGAGACAGGTAATCCCATTCCAATGAAGGATGGTAAGCCTTGCCGTGTTTGTGTCGACTTCAAGACATGGGCAAAATTAGGTAAAAGTAAGAAAGAAGAAAATAGTAGTAATGAAACAAAGAAAGAAGCAAAACGAATATTAAGCAAAGAAGAAGAAGAATGGAGACGAGAGAATTGTCCAGCAGATGTAAAGACATTAGGTCGACATACTTGGACTTTATTACATACAATGGCAGCTTATTATCCTGAAAAACCAAGTAGTCAACAACAAGAAAGTATGAAAACATTTTTTGAATCTTTTTCGGAACATTATCCATGTTGGTTCTGTAAGGTAATTCTTGGAAATAAGAAAAAATAACCATGTTATTATGGCATAATCCTTGACGGCTTTATTTGTTTGACGTACATTAGAATGATTTTAAAAAGGATATGGCAGCTAATCCTATTGATGTAACAAGTAAAGAAGCTCTAAGCCAATGGTTATGTAATAGACACAATCATGTTAATGAAAAGCTAGGAAAGAAAAAGTTTGATTGTAGTAAAGTATTTGAACGTTGGTTGACAGGTCCAGCTGATGGTAGTTGTGATAAATGAACAAAATTTAAATTATATCAAATTAAAACTCCGATTTTATTTCATTTTCATTTTCATTCTTTTTATTTTTCATTTTATTTTTCTCACATTTCTTCCTGCAAAAAAATACATTATATATGATGTCGACTAATAAAGATAAAAAAAGAATGTTACTAAATACACTAGCACCAGAAATCATTTACAATATAATGTATTTTATGACTTATCCTGAAATATATCGTTTTCGTAGTGTTTGTAGAAAATTAAAGGTTATGTGTGAATATTATATATTTCAAGAGATCAAGTCATCAGGTCAAACTATTATTATAAAACTAGATGGAGGAAAAGGAAAGGAGACATCGTTAGAACTTTTACCTAGTCAATATGATGAAAAGAATTGTGTAATTGAATTCAGACCACTTCAAAATCATTCTAGTCTCTCCTTAGCTAACACTTCTTCTCAACAATGCAGTGCTTACCATCGACTTTTAAAAATTCATTTCTCTGGATGGTTCAACAAAAGGCCAAGTAAAAAAGAATCGATGGTATTTAAGAAGCTAAGTCCACAAGATCAAGCCATGATATTATATCATTTATATTATAATTCATCAATTGAAAGAACTTATGAATTACCTTCTTGGAATACAAATAGTACAACAGACTACCGTTATTTAGGAGATGAAAATCTAATCTTATCTTTGTCATATCAAAATACATCGCCTTTTATCAATAATAATACGTTATTAGTACCGCAACTGTCTACTGAATCCACACCATTATTACCTACTTCTTATTATAGCTATCGACCATCAGCATCTATTATACCTATTGCGCCTAGAATGGAGATTCAATGGGTCCGTGTGACATTGGATTGGGTACTGGCAGGTCTACAGTCCAATATTCCAAGTAGTCGAATCTATAAAGAAAGATTTGAACAACTTGATCAATTATTAGTTAAAGAAGGATGTTTTAAATATGATCCCTTATCAGAGCCTATTTTGAATTATATTGTTACTCATGAACAAAATGAAAACAACTTACCAGAGTCACTTATTAATTATGTTCATGCTCATACACATGAATGTCATACTCGATTATCTCGTTTACAACACATGTTAGAGGGAGCTGGAGTAGATGCTCGTGTACTTTGGAAATATACCTTTGCTAAATTATTTGTTGTTGGTAATGGAAGTCTATTAGTAGAGGAAGATGTTGTACGTCGTATTCAAGATTCAGAAGAAGAATGGAGACAAAAGAAAATGAGTTTATCTCGGAAATTTAATAGTAATATTATTACAACTACTACTTGAACATACATATTTATTTATTGCATTCTTTTACTTATCTGATAATATATATACATATATATATATATATCCTTCTCCTTATTTCGTTTTTGACCTCTCCTACTCTTTTTTTTCTTCAATAAATACCTTTTCTTTTCAATATGAACTTTTTGATAGTTTATTAATCAGATCGGAGTAACAGCTCCTTTCTAATTTTTTTTTTTGTTTTAGTTTTAGCTCCAAATTATTTAGCTTATCAGATCTTTTTTTATAAAAAAAAATAAAATAAAGCCCAGATCCAAAACCACCATTGAGTCCCATTAAATACATGCATGTATATACATATATTATATGACTATTATATGTTAAAGGAGGTAAATAAAAAAGAGTTAAAAAGTATATAATAAGTAGTTTTTTTTTAAAAAAAAATTATGCTTGCTACTTATAATTGTAAACATAGATATCCTATAATGATATGTTTTAACTATATTTTTTTTTTCTTTTTAAAAAAAAAAGCCCCAAGCGAGTACAAGATATTGATTGTCAATTAAAAAATATGTGTCGGCAGTTGAGAAACAATTGTCACAAAAGAAATTTCAATTTATCCTTTTTATGTTTGTTGATTGTCGTTTTAGGGAAAAGCGTATTGTCGCATCAGATTAGCTTAAATTGGCATAGTGTTTTCCTCTTTCTGAGCTCTTCCTTTTTTGTTTAATACATTTTTTTTTTCTGTTTTTGGTTTGAGTCATGGAGAAATCTTTTTGATTACGAAGACGGGCGCAATAACCTGTACGACGAGAAGGGTACGAAATTGTATGATCCAATGGAGTGTGTTCTAACTGAGATAACCCAATCCTAATGTGGTTCGTGCAAGACTAACCGATCAAAGCAGTTGGAGAAAATTAAAACCGCTTGAGATGATTGCTGTAGAAAAGATAGCTAAAGTAATGCTAATTAAGTCGGCAAAGAAAGAATACAGAAAGCACAGTGACAGGTAACGAGAGGAGGACTTTATTAACAGAATGATTAAACAAAAAGAAACATTTCATCAGCAACGAGAACAAGAAACAGATAACCATGAATTACCAGAATCGGGATCAGGAGTAATATGGGATGATGGGTGACTAAGAGTGTCAACCACGTACAGCAGAGAAAGTAAAGCCGACCAGAAAGAAGGAGGGCCAAAAGAAGCCCATAAGAGGTAGACAGTTAAGGGCATGATCAATCCGGTTGACACCAGAAGGAGAGATAGGCAACTGAGAGACCAAGGAGGAATCAACAGCACGACAAACCAGGAAGTGATCACGGGTGAGTCTAGCACCAGAAGAACAAGGACACTCTTCATCCATGTTCGTAAAGCGACCGAGACGCCAGCGAACCAGTCGACTACGGGCATTACGAGACATGGAGAGGTATAGGATAGGACCCGGTTGTGACACAGAGGGATGACAAGCATGGAGAAAGACAAATTTACCAGAAATTGAAGCAGTTGGCATTTGACGATCAAACTGTTCTTGCCAATGGGAGTCAAAGAGAGCCCTGAGAGTGGAGGAATTTTTGGTAGCCAAAATTAGAAAAATGTGCTATTGACGTAAAGTCTGCCATTGGACAACTGGAAAACAGAAGGAGCTCCATGGGTATTACGTTCAATAGAGCAATACCATTTATTGAAGGCCATGAAAGATCAGAATGGATGAAACCGACTTGGTACTCCTCACCCCGTCAGCAACAAGCCAAGTCGCAACTGCCTTTTAATTTGTTTGGAAGAGAAGCATATTACAGTGAACCTGAGGAAGACGTTAGATCAGCAGCGGAGAGCGATAGATTTGAAGAAGAAAAAGAAGATGCAGACGAATTTGGTTGGGTTAGAAGAAATAATAGCTGGTTCAACATTTACTCAAAAACTTTTAGTCATATTCATTACGAAAAACCCGAATTAAATGAATGGATAAATGCAGCAACTAGTACACTTATCCAGCGATTTTCATATAAAATCGTATGGTATATTATTTGTAGGTACGCAAAAGATTCAAAAAAAAACAGTTAAATATGCATACACTCTGAGCAACATTTTTTATTTTATTTAATCATTTCATTGCTTCCACAAACTGATTAGGGCAAATCAATATAATATAGTTATTGCATGCTCTCATAGCGGTCATTATTTTCTTATTAGGGGTGAATTATAAAAAAAGTTCAAAAAAAAAAAAAATAGTTATTATTTACAGATCACCAATATCTGTACAAGAGGTGACAAAGATATATATTTTTATTTTATTTGGAAAATAAAAACAATATATGATAGTATATTTTGAGAAAATGATACTATTCGACGTATTATAAATAAATGTATACATAAATCAATATATAAATAACATAAAAAACTTGTTAGCTTGTATAAAGAAGAAATATTTTATCTATATACAAATGGTTTTATTTTATTTAATAAATACAAGTTAATAGCCATCTTTTTTAGTATTATTATTATTATTTCTTTTGTTTTAAGCATCATCAACATTAGTTAACATAGGAGTTCCAGGGTAAACAGGTCCACTAAACTTTGTTTCAATAAATGTCTTTATGATAGCAGCATCCTTTTGATCAAAGCGACGATAAGCTTCAACAATTTGATCAAGAGGAAATCGATGTGTCAAGAGAATAGTAGGATCAAAATCGCCCTTCATAATATGTTCTAAACAACGATCCCAATGTCGTTGAATAGGTGCTTGTCCACAACCTATCAAGCTTATACCTTTCTCCATGATACCACCCACCAAGACATGGTTAGCATAAGCAGCATAGTCAGCTATTAAACCAATTCTACCAAATTTCTTGGTAGCACGAATCATTTCATTAATCACTTCACTTGTATCTGTCTCAAGGCCTACAACACGTTCGAATTTGTGAAGTAAGTCTTTAGCATAACGGAAGCCAGCACAATCCAAGGAGCAATCCAAACCCTCGGGCACTAACTCAAAGATCTTTGCAACAACATCCTTGTCTGTCTCAAAGTTAATCACCTCAGCGCCCCATTGTTTAGCAGCCAACTGAAGACGAGCGGGGACGTTATCGATGGCGATAATACGTTTGGCCTTAAAGACATTACGCAACCATTGAACAGCACAAAGACCAATAGGCCCTAAACCCCAGACACCAACCACGTCATTTTCTTTTACACCTGTATACCACACGTTATGATAAGAGGTAGGTACGATATCGGACAGATAGAGTGCCTTTTCATCGGGTACACCCTCTGGAACCTTGATCAAATTGGTATCTGCATAAAGGATACGTCCATACTCTGCTTGAACACCTGCGAATCCACCTAAATAGTGAGAATAGCCTATAACACCAGCAATACGATGGCCATATAATTTCTCCATCACTGAGCTGTTATTAGCAGCCTCACAGGCAGTGAACCATTTTTCTTTACAGAATTTACATTTGCCACAGGCAATGTTGAACGCAGCCACAACACGATCACCAGGTTTAAACTTGGTTACTTTACTACCCACTTTTTCGATAATACCCATACATTCATGACCCAAAATATCTCCCTCTTTTAATTGCATCATCTCACCATGATACAAGTGTAAATCAGAGCCACAAACTATAAATGAATAAATAAATATTAATAATGAATACATAGTTAAATTTATTATATAATTTTCATATATAGATATTTACTTGTACTTCCTGTGATTCTAATAATAGCATCTTCATCATTTGTTATTTCAGGCTTAGGAACCTTTCTTAATTCAAGCTTTTCTTTACCGATATAGCAACAAGCAAGCATATCTGTTGTTTCTGATTCATTTTGTTTGTCTAAATTAGCAGGTGATACGGGGACTTCTCCCATTGTCTTTTGTGCCAAGTTTGCAGCAGCGTTTGTAGCCATTTTGTATTATTATTAATATTATTTGAAATTAAAAAAAAAAAAAAAAAAAGGAAAAAGAAAATGAAAAAGAAGAAGAAAAAAAGGACATTTACTTTTTATTTAATTTTCACTATCTTATGCAATAACTCTATGTGCGTATTGTTACATAGTAGTATTCTATTTGCATAAAGGTTACGTTTGATTTATAGGTTATGACGATTTTATGACAAAATTTGCAAGTAGAAGAAAAAAAAAGCATAAATCAGAAAATAAAGAAAATTGAACTATATAAAAATATGTATGTAAATATCTTATATCGGAATAGAATAGTAAAATAATAAGCAAGCTATTAACTGTTTCCACTTGAATGCTTATATAATTTATTACAACCATTATAGATATTAAAAAAAAAAAAAAATAAATAAATAAAAAGAGCGTTGATAATATGAATTGTCTGAATTTGAAAGGTTAGTAATCTAAATGATATAGTAGTATTGACCTTAAATCTATTTATTTTTGACGTGTTTATAATTTGAATAATATGAGAGAGATATGATCATAGTTAGTAAAATATTTATAACACTTTAGTCATTTGATATATACTGCTGCTGATGTTTACACTATAACTGATGTAGAGATCAAACTAGCAGTTAATAGCTTTACATGTAAACGAAATATTTACTCATATTTGATACAATATTTGAATTATTACTATCTACACTAGAAAAAAAAAAAAAAGAAAAGATAATAGATATATAGACCCAAGTATGTTGTAAGCTGTCATTATTACAAAGTATATATATAAAAAAAAAACTGACAGTAATTTATGTGCGCAATAATTATCCGTCAAGCTAATTTTAATAAAGGATGCTTCTGTGATACAGTCTTCTGTTCAAGAACAGGAACACACGTCAATTAATTTTATTGGTGTTCATATTATCTACATTGACACTGAATTTGTTTATGATTGAAAATAATAAAATAGTAGAAAGATTCTAAATAGAATAGTGTGTTGTATATTAATTATAGAAAAAGAAAGGAAATAAAAGTGGTATACAAAATACATATATTTTTCTTTTAATCCATCCAAGTAAAATAAGATTCGTATGTCTTATTAAAGAGATATATTCATATCAGATAAAATATATATATATGCATATATATCTTCTATAAAAGAGATGCACAAGCAGTATCTATTGCAATACCGGACCATACAATAGCCCCTGTCCAAGTGTTACTCACAAATTTTGACCAACAACTGGCTGGATTGTGATAATCAATTGTCTTTAACATCCAGCCTAAATGACATGCAGTACCCAAGACACTGATAGCATAAAATGGTAGCCCTTGACCATTCATATAGCCTGCAAGAGCAGTTAAACCAACAAAGGCGGACGAAAATCCTGTCAACCATTGTGGTGTTTTATCTCCAAATCTTAATGCAGTTGAACGTACACCTGCTTTCACATCATCCTTCTTATCTTGATGTGCATAGATGGTATCATAGACTAAAGTCCAACATACACCACCTGCATAGAGTGGTCCCGCAACAGATAAATCTAGACTACCTGTCATAGCCGACCAACCCAAAAGACTACCCCAATTAAATGCAAGACCCAATACAGATTGTGGCCAATATGTGATACGTTTCATTAAAGGATAAATGACAACTAAAGAAAGAGAGCTAGCCCCCAATAAGATACTATATGTATTAAGTTGAGTGAGAATAGCGAGACCTGCTGTGAGTTGAAGTCCTAAGAAGCCAATAGCTTTTGAAGGTGAAATTGCACCTGAAGTAATTGGACGAATTTTAGTACGATCCACTTTATTATCGATATCTCTATCCCAAAGGTCATTTATTGTACAGCCAGCACCTCTCATAATAAAGGCTCCCGCCCCAAATAAGGCAATCATGTTAGCTGTATCCATAAATGATGCCCCTGTTTTATAAGCTGCCATAGAAATACCCCACGCTAAATTTACGCAAGAAAAGAAAAGAAAAAAAAAGTCAATACATATCACGAACATATACATACACATATACAATTCTATTTTACCACATGGCCAAAATAATAACCAAGTACCAATGGGTTTATCAATACGAGTTAAGAAGGCATAAGGTGCCAATTTAGCAGGTAAATAGTCAAGCCAATTATTATATAAAATTCGATCCTGCTTCTTTTCTTGATTCTCTTTTTGTGGAGGAGAAGTCAGTGTAGAAGTTAAATGCTTTTGTTGGAAACTATCTACTCTTTGAAAGATAAATTTTGTTGTTGGATAAATAAAACGTTGTTTCTGGTGTAGTATTTGAGGGTTTTTAAAAGAGATGGCTCGATTGAAGATTGTAGTTGTCAATGAACGAGATTGAATAATTTGTTTCAAAGACGACTTTGGAGTTATTCCTCTTTTTAAAATAGATATAAAAGTTATTTGTGTTGGCGACATAATAAATAAAATAGGTGGGTTATAATGCGATTGTCTCTAATACAGATAAAAATAAAATAAAATGAAATGAAAATAATAAAATAAACTGCTGGGATTAAAATTTGGATTTTATTTTTTTATTTTTTTTTTTATGTACATCAGGCTAGTTTAATGATAAAATCCTGCTTCGTAACCAAGAGCAAAAAAAAAAAAAAAAAAAAAAAAAAAAAAAAAAAAAAAAAAAAAAGTAAGGAGAGTTTCGAAAACGACTTATTAGATGGAGTAGTCAAATAATTGTCCTCTTGCATAGTAGGTAGTCATCTTGGATAATCACTGTCTTTTTTGCTTTAACAGTCACTCTTGTTGTTGTAAGGAACATACTATTATACAAAAGATTAATATAGCCAATTGTTATAATTTTATTATTGATAATTTACATAGTATTAGTCTCTACTAGCTGGTAGACAGAGCCCATTGGTCTGAGATAGTTTTTTATTTTTATGTATAAATATATTATATTCTGTCTACTATACAAGGAACATCTGTTAAAATGAAGGTGAAATATTAAATGATTTATCCTTCATGTTATGGATTATCACGCGTCATTTTGAAACGATAAATGGAATGAATTTCTTGAACGCTGTTAATATTATTTTATGAGCATTTTTTTTTTCACTTCAAATAATTTCTATAACTTATTATTCCTTCTTTATTTGAACAGAACAAGTAAGTAATCATTATCTATAGTACTACTCTTTATCTAAAAGAAGAGGTAAAATACGGATAACCAACAAATACAAAATAAAGATATTATTTACTATAGTCAACAACAGCACAAATAAGTAGCAGTACTGCTTTTTTTTTTTTTTTTTTTTGAGGAAAAAAATTTTTTTTTTTGTTGTTGTTTCCGCAAAAATTCAACATATAAAAGGGAAGCTTTTCTTTAAAAAAAAAATCTTTTTCTTTTCCTTAAAGAAAATTTTTTTACAACAACAAAGTAATTCATTTAAAGGAAAAGGTTTCAAAGTAAAGTTTTATTTATTAAAATAACATTCTTTTGAAACTTTACACCTTTCTCTTTGGAATGAACTTACTGCCTTGTTAAAATAATAATAATAATCATGATGACTTTTTCTTTATTAATCTTTGAGAAATGATTTATAATGAATACAAACTTGAAGTCTGAATATTATTATTATTATTCTTAAAAGTATAAGCCACAACTTTTGCTTCCTTCATGATAAGTTCTGTATAATGTGTGTGTGTGTGTTCATAAATTATCTATCACTTATTCCTCGATATGCTAAATTTCAATTATTAATAAAGAAAATAAATGATTGGTAATTTTGCCCTATTATTGATTATTTACTGTTACCTAAAACTCGGTTTAATGTTGTGGCAAGCTACATTGTCATTATCCTCGAAACAAAAATTAAAAATTAAAAATTAAAAAATACGCGAATATATGAAAGACGGAGAAAAAAAAATTTTTTTTATTGTTAAGCAATAAATGACTTTATATGATTATATCATGACAAATACTGCTATTAGTAGTAGTAGTAGTAGTAGTAATGGTTGGAATACTATTAATAGTCGTCAAAATTGATAGCTGCATAATAATAATAAGAGGATATAGCCCTCATGTTATTATTATGACGAATAAACCTGTCCTTTTTTCTTTTTTTTTTTTTTTTTTAGTAGTAGCTTTTGGGGACATAATGTTACAGTAAAGTTATTTCTCTTTTATATACTTCTTTCAATAATACTTGAAGTAGTTGCTTGTATTTAAAATATAGCATTAAAAAAAAAAAGTCTAGACAACCCTCTAAGACCTCTATTATTAGAAACAATAACAAATTATTAAATATCATATATCCCCTTTTATTACGTCTTGAAGAAAGAATTCCATTAAGATTGTTAATGACGTGACTCTTTTTCTCTCTATTTATATGAATGAGCTGTCATCTCCATCATTCAACAGATTACTATTGGCTAGTAGTCATGGTTTAAATTGCTGTCTCCCCTTCCCTTAATATTATCATTACGTAATATATTAAAAAGTGAATGCATTGTAGTATATCATATTAAGGTTTTAGTTTATGTAACTATACTGGTTCATTTTATGTTACTACAACACATTCAACCTCAAAAGAAAATGTTATTGTGTGATAAATGGTGTGACTTTTATTGAAGCCTATCATTCTTCAAGTGGTAATAGGGTATTATCTTTTTTTTTAATCAAATCTGAATTATGATTGGCTGTTTAATCATACCTTTTGACATCAATATTCTTTTTCTATTATTCTTCTTGTTATATATCAATTGAATAGTTTAGTTTATTATGCTCTTTTTTTTTTCATAATCATTTTATCAAATTCATGCCATTATAATCGGATAAAATATGTCTATTCTTAATGTGAAACAGTTGTATATTGAAACCTGGATTCGTTTTATACGGAATACAATAAAAAAATTCGGGAAAAAAAATTTGCCAAAGAAAAAAAAAAAAGAAAAGAGGGGAGGGGGAGCAGGAGGAGGTTTTTTTCTTCTTCTTTTTTATATATCATTTAGTAGTTACAAGACATTCTATTTATATGTATATATACTCGTTACTTAATGTTTATATCTATCTGTCATTTCTTACATGAGTAATAATTGTGTATTTTATCGACATTTGATGTTTAATCTCAGATCCAATAATATAGCTTAAAATAACTTATTTTATTCTTTTTATTGTGTTTCTCCTGATACCTTTTGTCTACCTTCCTAATATGTTTAACAAACAAATAATCCCTGTTCATAGATTATTTGTATTACAAATATCCATTTATTATTGATTAATTAATACACATGAAGAAGTGAAAAAAAAAAGGAAAAAAGGAAAATCAATAATGTATTGAACAAAGAAGAAGAAGTATGAATGTATAAAGATTTGAGCACACCATAGATTGAAGAAATTTGAATAGCCAATGAAAATGCAAATGTGTGATACTACAATAGATTCTTATCATCTGCCAAAACTTTGATTTGGCCAACAATGCTGAGTTTAATTGTTTCTTTTTTTTTTTTTTTTTTTTTTTTTTTTTTTTTTAATAACATAATATAAGGTCTTCTATTTTTTTTTCATTTATTTATTTATTTTATTTTTTTTTCATATTCTTATTGTATTAAATAATTCTACTTACATTATTATGTCTTTTCAACCTAGAGTACCTATACCAGAAAAAGGTGCTTCACTTATGTTGGCGTTTCGAGCTAATTCAAAAAATATACTAGTTATTGGAGATGATGTGATAACAGCGAGTCGAGTTCTCTCATGTCTTGAAGCAGATGCTACTGTCTATCTTGTAGCAGATCCTACCTCTCTTTGTCCAGAGCTCAAGTATCGTTTAGAACATCAACAAATCAAGTGGCTTTCAAGTGATTTTCAACCTTCTTTGCTTGATACCACTGCCCTTTCATTTGATTTAGCCTTTATTTGTATTAATAATCATAAGATCGATTTGAGTGAATTTAAAAGACATCGGATTCCAATTAATGTAGCTGATCATCCAGAGGATTCAGATTTTTTCATGACATCTACCTATCGTGACAGGGCCTTACAAGTAGCTGTCTCGACAAATGGACAAGCCTCTAAATTAGCTACTCGTATTCGTCGTGAATTAACGACTCATTTACCTCCTCATCTTGGTGATGCCATCGAACGTGTCGGTATCCTTCGCAAAAGACTTCGACAATTAGATCCTAGCTTCAACTCTTTACGTCGTATGTCTTGGCTTGCTCAGATCTGTGAATATTGGAGTATAGATCGTTTAGCCAAACTTTCTGATCATGATATGGATGAATTATTAGATATGTATGATGAAGGTTATGAAAGTGTTAGTAATGAAACTGAATTTGGATCTGTAGAGACAACAACAACAACAACAACGATGACGAAAAATAATAGTAGTAATAGAATGGGTTCAATTAGTTTAGTAGGTGCAGGTACAGGTGATCCTGACCTGTTGACATTAGCAGCCCTCAAGGCCATCAAGGAGGCAGATCTTATATTGGCTGATAAAATCGTTCCAGCTTCTATCTTGAACTTGATCCCTACTTCAACTACCGTCAAGATCGCTCGTAAATTTCCTGGTAACGCGGATGCTGCTCAACATGAGTTTAATCTTTTGGCTCTCAGGGCCGTTCAGGAGGGGAAACGGGTGGTACGTCTGAAACAAGGGGATCCCTTCTTATTTGGTCGTGGAGGTGAAGAGGTCCTGTTTTTCAAAAAATACAATATTGTCCCTCATCTCATACCTGGTCTCTCATCTACCGTTGCTGCTTCCTTGGCTGTCGGTATCCCCCTCACACATCGATCTGTCTCATCTCAATTTTTAGTCACCACCGGTACAGGTGCCTCTAACTCAAGGGCCCCACTCCCGACATTTGACAGACACAGAACAGATGTATTCTTGATGTCAATTCATCGTTTAAGAGACTTGACAAGGGATTTGATGGAGAGTCAAGGGTATCCTCGTGACCTTCCATCGGCTGTGGTGGAAAGAGCGAGTTGTAGTGATCAACGTGTCATCTGGGCTCCCTTAAATGAGATCGTGGATCTTTTAGAAAGTGTCGGAACTCGACCTCCTGGTTTATTCATCGTCGGTTACGCTGTCAATGTATTGAAACATGAAAATAAAGGTGATAAAGGTATCGCGGCTCATTTAATGACTGAATCTGGTTTATTACCTTCTAAATTGAATCCCTCTAAACCTGTGAAAGTAGTAGAAGAAGACAAAAGATCACCGATACAAAACATCAATTTATTGACCTTGCATGATCCTGAACAAGCTTATTAATCATATATATATATACATACCAATACGAGTCAAAATAATAATAATAATAAAGTGTACATAGTTATTTATTAGAAGATTAGCAATCATTATAATAATTATAAAAAGAAAAGTCTCTGTCTTGTAGATAGAATTTTATGTTTTCCAATATAAAATAAATTATCGACAATTCGATTCGATTACCACTATCATGTATACATATGCCTTTATATATATATAATACTATAAAACATATATGAACTACCTACAGGATTTTCAAGTAGATAAGTTTGTTGGTTTGTATAAATAAAAGGTTAAAAAAAGAAAAAAAGGGGGGAGGGGAGGGCGTTTTTTTTTTTATTCTTTCTTTCTTTTTTTTTTTTTTTTTTTTTTTTTTTATTATTATTATTCCTTCAACAATAGCTTTTTTGCCGTCTCAACCGAGATTTCTTGCTGTTTCGTCAAACAACATCTCAGACTCAGTTCTATCACCATTTGAATATCTTCTGCTAATAAAGGATCTTTTACCACCTTTCGTATTTGTCCTAATGCTACAAAATACAAGGGCATCGCTACTAAATCCTGCTGCATTTTATCATGTGCCTCCACATCATTGTTAAACAGCCTCAACAAGAAATGAAAGACACGTTGTAAAAGAATCCTCAAGGCAGTCACGATCTCATTTGAATCATCATGTTCTTTTTTTTTTACTAGTTCTTCTTCATGTTGACGCATCTTGGCTACCAACTTGCTTCGTGTCAATTTAATTTTTTTATTTGCTATCTCAACTGGTTTTAGTTGCTGGAGAACATCGTCAGAGGTTGTTGACAGAGTAAGTTCTTGACCGAGTTCAATTAAAGTATTCACGATAGCCCATCTCATCTGATCACCTTGAGTGGCATCCGCTGCATAAAGATGCATGACAAAGTCAAACACTGTATCGGGTTCTGGGGTATCTGATAGCAATACTACATCCATTAATGGCTCCATCTGGATCGATATATCATTTACAAACTGAGCAATCATCTGTTTGACCACAGCAGGTGCTTGATCAAATAGACCAACACATTGAAGGATGTGTTTGCTGTTCGCCTTCTCCTTCCAGACGTCGTTCCATACCCGTACTACAGCTTTCTTATTCTTCACTTTGACTAACAACTGAAAGAGGGTGGCTAAGCCTGTATGTCGTACTGATAAAATCGTATGATGTTTAGCCAATTGTAACATCTCAAATCGAACTTTCTTGCCTGCCACCGCCACTGGCTCTCCCAGATACCATTCAAACTCCTTTCCAACAATCACTTGACTAAACAGGGCTGTCGCGACTTCGCTACCTGCAGCGACTCCTTCTACTAAACAGGGTAAAAAATTATGTCCAAACCAACTTCGTGAATGAGGTCTAGTTGGATCTTTACTCGTCATATGGGCCTTTAAGAAATTCATTAACAAATCCATAAAGCGTTTTGATTTTGTTTCTAATAAGGATTGTACGAGAGAAGATCTTGATACTTGATCAAAATAATCTAATAGGATGATGGGTTTGGTCATCAAAAGACGTTCAAGACTGGACTCAGAAAGTAGGTTCAGCAAGGTTGGAACATCTACTTTTGGACACTCTAGCGTATTCTGTTGCGTTGTTAGCCAAGCTGTATAGCGTTGAACAAGGTTCGGTCGTGCATCCTCCAGACAATCCATAAGCCATTCCCGAGAACCAGTCCGAGTAAGATGTTCTAGAATCAAACTGTATCCCTGTATATGACGGTCACTAGGGTCATTATCTTGAAATGATAAATCAATCAGAGCTCCTGTTCTAATTTGCTTATAAGAGCTATTGACTGGATCCAAAAGAAGATCACCACTTCCCATTATCTTTTGGGTTGTTGTTATTATGTGTTCTTGATGTTGACTAAAGAGTTGAATAAAGGCGTAATAGGGAGTCATACGTCGATTGTATTGGCCAGTTTGAGACAGTAAGCGGATTACAAGATTTAGATGACGATCAAAACGATCACGCACTGTCCAATCAGCCAAGACCAAATCTAGGATACGCTTTGTATGACCTGGATAATAATGTTGGATAAGACGTTGTAGATGAAGATCAAATTGTTGTGGTGACATATTTGCAAACTGATGGACCCAAAAGAGAGCCCCCTTTCGAACAGCTTCAATGCGTGCAAACATATCAGAGGGTAAAGGTGATAGTAGGGTATCGTTTAATAATGGATTCGAATCATTGACTACAATACTTTATAAATCAATTCAACTTATTCCCATGTTTATCTATGTTTATAAATATATCTACCTGCTTTATTTTGAATTTCCTGAAATAGTTGAGAAATAATTGAATAGTTGGATACTGATTTTTCCAATTCCAAATAACTCAATGTCATTTGATCTCTACTAAATGGAGGCTTTGCTAATGCATTACCTAATTGATCATCTATTTGAGATGCTACCCAATCCGATTTCCTGTCTTTTAAAACAGTCCATGCTGTCTTCACCACTCCTTTCGGCACTTTTCCTCTTTTCAGATTCTCTTCTAATCCCTCTAAAAATAGAGTAGTTTTGTTTAAGGTATAACAAATGAGCCAAAGGTGCACGATAATGGCAGGTGATCTTGATTGTACAAATTCAAGGACTCCCTTAAGGAGCCAGTCTATATTGTCTGACATGTGAGTGTTAATGAGAGCCAAGATGAGACCATAGAGGTAAACAAGAATAGTGGGATTAGACTGAAGGTCTGTCCAAGTGGGTTTACTAAAGTGACAAGGAAAATCGATGAGCCAAGTGATACCATGGTGTCGTAATAAGCCATTAATACATTGACGTAGAGAATCAATAATGAGAGTATGTGCTTCTTGGTCATGTATGGAAAGAATGACACGAATAAAGGTATCAAAGTAAAGGAATGTTTCATTACGGTCAGTGGGATAATCATAAGTCGATGTAGTTCTGATCGTGTCAAGGATAGTCGTAATGTCTCGTTGGACAAGTAATTGTTCAAGATCTTTTAATGAAAGGCTTATTTCTTTTTGATAATTGAGGAGATTACTAAGATCCATGGTTGAGATTGGTTACGATGAAGAAATGATCCAACAACAACAAAAAAAAAAAAAAAAAAGAAAAGAAAAGAAATAAAAAAAGGAAGTCTGCATTTATTTTCTTTTTCTTTATTTTTTGTTTTTATTGTAACTTTATTGGTTAATATAATTCTCGATAGGGGAAAGGAAGAATAGGTTATATTGAGTTTATTTTATCAAGGACTATGATTACAAGATATATGAAAGTACACATTATAAATGATTTTTTTTTGTAGCCTATTATTACCACTTAAACTAAAGATTTGTATAAAGCATGTATGACAAAATAGATTGTTTAACCTCGTGCTAAGGATTTCTTTTTCATCCACTGGCTTCTCCCTTTTTTATATTTATCCCTTTTTTTTTATTTCTCTCTTTTTCTCTTTCTTTTATAATACAAATATGGCTGGTAAAGGCGTTGTACGTAGTATGTAAGTGAAACATATACATATAACAGTTAAAATTTTGTCGGTGGAGGGTGGTGGTGGGAAAGCATTATATTTGTATTTACTAAGTTTTATACTCGATAGAAAAAATATAGCTAAAGGCTTTAGTGAAATTCAAATCAAAGTACGTGAAGCAACTTCAAATGACCCTTGGGGACCTAGTGGAACGTTAATGAATGAGATAGCACAATATACTTATAACGAGTAAAGCGTAATTGAGTGACATATCTAGCCTTTTATTTTTTTTATTTTTTTTTTTAAAAAAAAAGAAAGAGAAAACTTATACTGTATTTAGAGGAGATTTTATTGAAATTATGGATATGATTGATAAACGATTAAATGATAAAGGTAAAAATTGGAGACATGTGTTTAAGGTATATACATATTAAATGGAGTCTATACACATGCTCAATTGTCTTTGTAAGTAGGCTTTACTTTTATTGGATTATTGTTTACACGTGGGATCCGAGAATGTTGTTTTGTACGCCAAAGAGAACATTTATATTGTAAAGACATTAAGAGAATTCCAACATGTAGATGAACATAAAAAGGATGTTGGTGCAAATGGTATGATAGAGTTGATATAGTGTCTATAGGTCAAGAAAAAAAAAAGAGACTGATGATATATTTTGTAGTACGTCAAAAGGCAAAAGATATCACAAATTTATTACAGGATGATAATAGATTAAAGGAAGAGAGAAGACAAAGAAAAGGAATGAGAGATAGAATGGCTAATGTAGGCAACTATTATTTACATGAAACAGCTCAGTATTCTGTTAATGAACAAAATAAAGAAGATGAAGATTTAAAAAGAGCTTTAGAAGAGAGCAAGTTAACTGCTGCAGCTGAAGAAGAAAAGAAACGACATCGTCAAGAGCAAGAAGATTTAGCAAAAGCGATTCAGTTAAGTGAAGAAGAGGCTTTAAAAGAGAAAAAGAAGGAGAATACGAATCATCATAATCCTTACCAACAATCAGATTTACAGCTTGATTGGACGACGACGACAACAACAACGATTCATCAACAGCCAAATAATCCTTATCAGCCCTACTTCTCACAACCACCACAATTAACAGGTTTTATTAAGCCAGAGCCTCATCTCTTAACCAATCAACAGCTCTCTCATCCTTTATTTACTACTCCAACACAAGATCAACCTTTATCATATACGAATAATAATTTCTTTACACAACAAGAACCTTCTAGTCAGTCTATGCAATTCTTTACTTATCAGCAGCAATCGCCTTCTTTCTTCCACCCAAATCCATTTTCTACTACTAATAATACTAATACTACTATTACTACTTTGAGTGCAACCATGACAGAGCCACAAAGGACATATGACTATAGTGGACTCGTTTTTGGTAATAATGATAGTTCAACCATTCAACAATCACAATCACCCTTTTTCACGAATAATCACTTGCCTAGTTTCTTTAGTACATCTTCTACAGCAAGGAGTCCTGTTATTTCTTCTTCACCCATCATAGCACATACTAATCCCAAACAGCCATCCATGAACGATTTAAAATATGCTAAAATAAATGCTTTACTAACACCCAACAGAGAGTAAAAAACAAAAAAAAAATCTATATTATAACCGTATATAGTTTAGTGGTAGTTCTAACATTAACATTTTCCTCCTCCCCCCAAAAAAAAATAACTTTTATAGTGATGGAATAGACACATTTGGTAACCAAGGAAGTCTGCGTATTCCATAGTAAATTACACATATATACAAATTATATTATTTAGCTTACTTATTTTGTTTTCTTAGTGGTTCTGGTTTCGCCAATAGTATTTCACTTTTGAATGATCAAATAACTAATAAAGTAAAGTTTCAACATTTTTTTTTTTTTTGGGCATCTTAAACCAAACTTTCACTCATATTTTTTTTTTTTTTATTGAATAGACTAAAAATCCATTTGGTCATCAATAACAAACAAACAAAAAAAAACAAAACAAGGGTCGTTTTTCTTTGTACATAATAAAGGCTGTTACACCAAATCAAATTTTCATAATTATTATTATTTAAAGATAAGAGGAGGGGTAGGTGGGAGGGAAGGAGTAGGGAAACAAAAAAAAATGGAGAAGGGGGAGGGAGAGCGGCGGGAAGAGAATACCGGAGTTTAAATACTATTTAGTTATTATATATAAATGTTCATAGTATCCTTCTTCTTCTTCTTCTTACCGATTTTTTCCTTTTTATAACATTCTTTTTTTTTTCTTTCTTTTTTTCTTTCTTTCTTCCTATTTTGCTTTTCTTTTAAAGATACTACTATATAATGGGATTCACTACTTTTCCTAGAAATGAAGCCAAATGGGGTAAAACAGAGTGGTCTCGTCCCAGTTATACGATAGTTGTTCCAAAAGAAAAAGAACAAACTAATATTGAAGAACAACATACAAGTCATCAGCCTAGATTTAGTGTCTTTGGTAAAAAGGCAAGATTTACGATAGTCAATAATGATAAAAAGAAGGAAGACGAGAGTAAGATGATAGAGCAAGAACGATTGATACCACCACCACAACAACAAGAAGAAACAACGATATCCACCTATAAAAGAAATAATAAATTTGAATTACATCTTTCAACTAAATCTACCATTAATAATAAACTTATTTCACATCCCGACAATACGAATAATCAGCAGCAACAGCAAAAAACGTTAATAAGAAAGAAAGAAGAATCGTCGAATAAAAGAAAAAGAAATGTAAAGTTTGACCCAGTCTTTCTTGAAACGGTGTGTTTATTTCATGAAACAGAATCACCCATTGAATTAGAACCCATACATCATAAACGACCTCAGTTCAGAGTTCTTTGTCAACGTTGGCCAAGTATAGATTATGACGAAGCAAACATTATACTTCAGCCATCTTCTTTCAAGATAGATTCAAATATGAAGCTACTTAAGGGGAAAGTAATGGTCCGAAATTTATCACTTGAAAAATCAGTTACTATTCGATATAGTTTAGATTATGGTAAAACGATACAAGAAGTGGACGGTAACTTCTTTGGACCTGACCCTAAGCATCCTTTCATCTTTGATATATTTGAATTTAATATTGGATTAAAATTAAATGATCGTGGTGAGATAAGAAGTCGTATAGAATTGTCAGTGATGTTTACTGCAGGTCAAATGGATTATTGGGATACAAATCAGGGTCGAAATTATGTCATCAAAGTGATCTGTGATCCTTTAAATGATAACATCATTAAAGATTATGATTCTGAATTAAGTGAAGATGATGATGAGAAACACAGTCAATTTACAACAGCTCTGAAAGGTTATCAACATGCTCGTCCTTATCATATGAAGAAAAGACAGCCTTGGTTAGGTACTCGATATGATTTTAAACAATCTTTATATCTTGCCAAACATGCCCCTTATGAAACCTGGTCAGCTACCGTAAGAGCCAATCCAAATCTAATTACAGATTATTTCTTATCAAAGCCAATGCCAATTAATAATAATAATAAAGATGGCTACTATCGTCCACCGTCACCTAAACACGGATCTAATTCTTCTGATCATGAAGAAGAAATAGAGCCTATGCATTTTCATTCTACCACCGCCACCACCATCAAGTCCATGTCTGCCCCACCAAGCCCAACGTCATCACCACCATCACCACCACCACCATCAGCAGCAGCAGCAGCAGCAGCAGCAGTAACAGCAACAGCAATTTCACAGCCACTATTACAACAACAAAGACAACCCCCTTTTTTACATCAAACATCGAAAAGCATGTCATCTATTGAAACTTATTTACCCACAACAGTAGATATCAATTCAAGCTTTTATCTAGATTTAATAGAAAAATACTGTTTTTATAGTAACAATGATGATGATAGAAAAAAGGAGATTTCATTCTATTCACCTTAAAAATACATATATATATAATTATTATTATTATTATTATTATTATACCCTAACCCTTATTATTATTGCATAAAACACTGTGTATGTATGTTTATTATCTATTATTATTGCTACATGTATATATTTATACGTATATTGGTCTATTTCAAGTAATAAATATATATGTTACATTCTATTTTATAAAGAAGGCCTTTATTATGACTAGTATCCCTTATTACAAAATAGGCTTTTATTTTAAATAGAATAATAGAGATGTAGAATATGCATCATATCCTTTTATGTTCTTAAGATAATACAGGGATAAAAGGGAATTCATGAAGATAAGGAGTAAGATGAGATCTTTTGTTTTTAATCTTTTGTAAATGAGTAAAAAGAAAAGTATTAGAACACGAAAGAATTGATATAGAATAGAAAGGGCTTTAAGAGTTGACTGAGTAAAGGATATCATGTGATTGGCCATAAAGGCGTTTTTATTTTCTTTATCTTCGTCGTCGTCTTCTTCTTCTTCTTCTTTTATGCTCTTTGCCTGTTTATCGCTAGTCATGGAAGAGTCATGATCGTGCTGTTCATCTTTGGATATCATAGTTTCTTCTAATAAATTATAAACAAATGACTCAAAAGAAGAAGCATCTATATGTATTTATAAATAAATAGTTTAATTAGTCTATGTGATTCTATTTTATAATAAGTATTTACATTGTTGATTATCTATCGATATAATCACAGTAGTATTCGCATCTTTGTCGTTTGTCTTGAATATACTTGTTTTACAATGGAAAAGAGGTAATGAAATAGTATCTGTTTTCTTTGATATTGTTGATAAAATACAAAACATGTCTTCTCTTTCATTGCTTATTTCTTTATCAATTACTGTATGTAAATAGATTAATATTTTATTTTATTATTATTGACAAAAAAAAAAGTTACCTTCATATAAATCATCTCCCTTTTTAAATAGACACTTTTTTACTTTATCTTCCCATTCACTACTATACAATTCTATCATTATCATAGGGAATACCAAGCATTTTTTAATATGAAATCAACCTATATACATTTATTTATATATTTACCTTCACATTGTTCAATATCTAATACTTTATTAAAAGGATACTGTCCTTGATTAGGATGATGACTAAACAAGTGTTGAAATACATCTTGCCCTGTATTTGTCGATAAAGTTGTATTAAATACAGTGTATTCTTTAGTTGGATCAATAGAGTTCTCGGTTAATCGATCTATTGTATATTCTTCATCTATCTGTTGTTGACTTGTATCATTCTTTTCCTCTATGAATAACTTGTTATCATTATCTCCTGCTGCTCTACATGACTCCCATAGTTGATATATTTGATCAAAGGTAGTATCTCTGCTTAAAAATGAAGCGAATAGATGCTATAAAGAAAAAGGAAAGAAATAGTAATGAATATTTGCACACACAAGTAGAATTTTATTGCTTTTTTTTTCCCTGTATCCTAAAATCCTTACTTTTACTTTTGTGTTTGTAGTAATTTGAATACCGTTTGGTACAATGAGTGCCATTGTCCTTTTCTCTATAAATTCAATATCCTTAAAAGCGATTACAAGCTAATAAAATTCAAATTAATTTTTTTTTTTTTTTTTTTTTTTTTTTTTTTTTTTTTTTTTAAAAAAATAAAATAAAATAAGAAATAAGCAGTACATTCGTTGCCCAGCCAAAAAACTTTGCATTAAAACAAAGATGATTTTCTGATATATAAAGTCTTCCTTGTATAGCAATATCTTTAAACATGGCACAACTATATTCTATATTTATACAATAGTAATTAATATCACTATTATTATTATTATTATTACTGTTTTACACCTTCAATTAACCGGTCATGTTCAGGTACACTACGAAATAATTCATGGAATTCTATATTTCGTTTTTCCTCTGCAAACTTGATAACAACAACAACAGGATTATTATTGTAGGGTAATAGCTGTACATTTTGAGTAGATGCAGCAGCACTATTCTCTTGATCGTCAAGACGAGTCGAGAAAGAGGAAGGGAGTGGTTCCTGAAGATCACCGGAAGTTCCCTGAGTACAATTTGATAGATCCAATGATTTTTCATATAAAGAGATATTATGATTGTTGGTTGATAGGGGATGATCAATAGAGATAAGTTGTTGATTAGTAAGACAAGTCATTTCTTTAGAATCCTTTTTTATACTATTAGAGCATTGAGATAGTGTTGGTGAGTCAGTTAAAGATTGTTGTTGTCCACTTAATGATAACATCATTCAAAGAGAAAGGAGGAAAAAAAGAAAGAAAGAAAGAAGAAGTTATGTTTGTTGTTGTAGTAGTAGTTAGTAATTTCAATAGTAGTAATAGTAGTAGTAGTAGTAGTAGTAGTAGTAGTAGTAGTAGTAGTAGTAGTAGTAGTAGTAGTAGTAATAGTAGTAATAGTCGTAGTAGTAATAGTAGTAGTCGTAGTTGTTGTTTTTTTTTAACTCAGGTGAAACATTTCTCTTTTATATATTATTGCTGCCCCTGTAGCCGCCTTTTTTTTTTTTTTTTTTTTTTATTAAATAATAGAATATATACATATTTTTTTTTATTATTTATAATTGTTCAGCTAAATGATTAAATCTGAGCACCTTTTTATAGACACGTTCTCTTAATGACTTTATGGCATATAATTTAGTTTTCTGATGATCATAATGATCAAGTAATTCTTTAAAGGCTTGTTTAAAATCCTCCGCTAATTTCAGCTTTGGATTGGGTTTAGTAGAAGGGACTAGTTGAAATTCATACATATTCTGCTTTTGTTTGGGCTTTTTTGAATTTTCATTTTTGAATCTGCTAAGGATGGTTTGATAATCTGTTTGGACCACGTTCCTTTCTTTTACAATAATTTTAATAAGTTTATCTAAAATTTTCTCAACAGGTTCAATCGTACTTGTTTCTTTCATTAAACATTCGTAGCTCACGTTTAACCTATCATAACTACGTTTTAATCTTAAATATTCTTTTCTAACTATTTTTACGTCGTAATTCAAATCTTTAATGACTTGGTCTTTATGCTTATTACTTTGCTGTAACACCTCTATTTCTTGATTTGAGGATCCTAATAATGTTGAACTAGTCTTCAACCTTTGTTGAAGTAGTTCATTTTCTTTTTCAAGTAATAGAACATCATTTTCATTATCAGAAGATGATGAATTATCATTGTCTTTAAGGTCAAGGTCATCTATTAAATCAATTAATTGTTCACTGTTGCTACAAATTTTCATATCAAAATCATCAAAGGGTTCATCAAGACACATTTGTTGACACTGTGGACAACTACTTGATATTTTAGAATAGAATTGAGCGCTAGAAAATAAATAACGTGACTATTAGAAGAGAAGGAGAATATATATGAACGTGAATAATACCATTCTTTGTCATAGACGTGTCCACATTTCAGCAGAATAGGATAAGCGATGGCTTTAGAACAAATATTACATACAACTTGTAGTTTCATCTTGTGTGAGTGAGTGTGAGTGAGTATGAGTGTGAGTGAGTGAGTGTGAGTGAGTGAGTGTGAGTGAGTGAGTGTGAGTGTGAGTGTGAGTGAGTGAGTGTGTATGTATATATGTATATATGTATATATTTAAGATATATATTCATATATATACATTCATACAGCTATTATATTCATATAAAAGAAGGAAAAAGAAAAGAAAAAGAAAGAAAAACAAACAAACAATATAACACTTTATTTTCATGTGAGAATATATAATTTTCTATTTATCTTCTTCAACTATAAACATGTCCTTACCAACGTAAAATAATTAAAAATTGCCCAGCATTTATTATTATCATAAGCATGTTCAGACACGAATAACGAAACAGAAAAAGCCTACAGATTCTCATCATAACAGACTATATAACTTAAATCTCTAGCTATCTGATGGATGCTTCGAAAGACATGATCTATGAGATATCTATTCTAATAACGTAATAATTGCTTTACTCCATAGAATAGATATGTACAATAAGCAAGAGCAGTCCATAATTATATTATCACAAGTCTCATTGTTATTTTCTTCTTCAGTTAACAATTCTGTTCAATTAGATCAGGCAGATATAGGAGAGATACATCATTAAATAACTGTTCTTTATATATATATATATCAAGTTCTATGATACGAACAAGCAGACGATGTATGAATTTGATAAAGTATATAGTAGTATTATCTTGAGCATTGTACCCTCAGTCGTATCAATGTACCCCCTCTACAATAATTGAATTTTATTAATAGCAATAAATGATTACAAAACCTTTCAAAGAAAAAAAATAAAATAGATCAAGTAATATCTGCTTTTAGTGGTAAATGAAGGATGAAGTATATCTGTCTAGAACCTTTTTCATTATTGTGTTTCGTTTTTTTAAGGCCTGACCTTTTTTTTTTTTTTTTTTTTCTTCCTTTATTACCGAAAATTAATATAATACATATTTTTTTTCTTATATTTATTTTATTAAAGGTTTTTTTTTTAAACTTACATAATGTCAAAAATAGAAGCAGAAAATCATAAAGTCAATGGTATTTTATGGACATGTCAAAAAAAAAAAAAAAGAAGAGAGGTATCCTTTTGTGTGGGTAATCTTATCTTCGTTGTTTAGGAAATAAGCTATTTGCTGAGAGACGATTTGAAGACGCCATAAAAGAGTATACTTCGGCTATTGTATGTTATATAAAGATGAGTTATTTGATGGTAATTTTATTAATCCTTTTTTAATCTTTCAAACAGATTAAAGATGCAACTGTATGTGTTTATTATACAAATCGTGCTTTATGTTATTCAAAGGTAAAATGGCAAATATAAAATAAGTTTGGAAAAAAAAAAGTAATTTTAAATGTAATTACTTTATAGCTGGAGAAATATGATCAAGTTATAGTGGATTGTAGAAAAGCGATTGAAATTGACCCGAATATGGGTAAATACAAGTAATTTAATCTCTTTTATAGATATATTTATATTATATAAAAAAGATATATATTAAAGACATATTTAATCATCCTAATATTCACTTGATAGTGAAGGCCTATTATTTGGTATGATTATTATTATTATTATTATAATTAGAATATTAAACTTATTTCTATAGATTGGGCAAGCTTTAACAGAAAAAAAACAACATACGGAAGGTAATTTAAATAAATGGATATCTTGTAAGATAAACACATCTTATATTGGATCTATGCATTCTAGCATTAAATAAATTAAAGACTGGATATCAATTGGCAATTCAGCAAAAGGTAAAATATGTAAATGATATACTTCAAGCATTACTTTTAGCACGAAGAAAGGTAAGTTATCATACATATAATATATGAGAGTGATACTCTATTCATCATCACATCCCCTCACCTCTTATTATGATGACAATAGAAATGGGAGGATGATGAAGCGATCCGACTTGAAAAAGAATCTGAATTATTACGTTATGTAAAAGGATTAATTGAAAAGGAAAGAACCGAGTTATTAGCCACAGTTCAAGATCCTAATGATCAAGAAGCAATTGATACAATTAATTATAACATTGTAAGCTTATTCAAAAAGTGTATAAAATCAAGTCAATAATTTTTTTTTCTTTAATAGGATGAACGCTTAGCTAAAGTTCAGACAGTCTTTGTTCAATCAAAAGATAATGCTTCTAGACGTGAAATCCCTGATGCTTATTTAGATAAAATATCATTCAATATAATGCATGATCCTGTATTTACACCTGATGGTATCACTTATGAACGTCAATCACTTATAGATCATTTTCATCGTAATGGTTATTTTGATCCTATTTCAAGAAGACCTTGCAATGAACAACAATTGATACCTAACTTATCACTTCGAGAAGCTATTGAAGACTTTTTAAAAGAGAATGGATGGGCTGCAGGTAATAAAAGCAAACAAGAAGAAAAAGAAGGCAATTTTATCGAGTTGAAATGTATTCATTTTAATTTTAATTTTAACTTTAGACTATTAAACCATATAAAATTTTATTGCTTTGAAAAAAAGTTTGTAATTTTAGGAGTCATGTCTTTACTACTTGTCTTTCTTTTCTTTTTTTTATATTTTTATTTTCCCTTATAGTCGTCATTGGTACATTCTTCTTTTTGATAGCTTCATCCTCTTTATTAAAAATAGATTTCTTTTCTTCTTGTCCTTTTTGAAGGAAATAAGAGATTGAATTTTTAGTTTGATCTAAAGGTTGATTCAAGTCCTTTGAATCATTCTTGATAGATCCAACCTTTTCTGTTACTTGATACCATTCTAATTCTTCCTTAAATGGTTTCATCAGACTGGCAAATTTATCTTTTGACCATCGCTTTGTATGATCTAGCCATTGACTTGCCTCTGAAGCATTCAATATAACAGGTATACGATGATGTATCTTTGAAAATCCAATGGTTTCTGATGAAGTCGTGATGATGGTACAAGTCGTTGTCTTAACTCCTGCAATATGACTGGTACTAAAAAGACCTGCAAAGAGCATCAATCGACCATCTTTACGCTTTATATAGAATGGTTGTTTTTTCATTTTCCATTCATAAAATCTAATCAAGCCGAGTTTAATATAACAACAAGAAAAAAAAGTAGCTCATGTGTTAATAATGTATTACCCTTCGGCTATAATGATGCATCTGTTTGTATTTTTGGATTGATCATATATGCTACTTTCATCAAGTAGAGTTTCAGATCGTGCATTAATTGGCTAAACAATAAAATTGACATAATATACGTATATGTGTATATTGAATAAGAGTCTTGTATATATATATACATTGATACTAATACCTTGCTATAAGGAGTCGTTGTCATCCAAGAAGGTATAAATCCCCATTGCTATTTTAATGGCAGAAAATAATAATTAATTTTTATGTGCATGTGTGTCAGTTTCCCTCAATTGAATCATGTAATACCATTGATTGAATAACCTTTGTCGAATTGGGCTTACTTAACTCATATAAGGTAGGGATCCAACGTGCAGGGCAAACATTGTAACTGGGACGATGTTTATCCTCATCTTTCCATTCAATCGAATCTTGAGTAACAACATGCTCATCGTATAAGCGTGATTTAACTGTCTGTGAATCTAATGAACAACTAAAACGACCACACATTGAAGTAAGTAAGTATATATGAATGTTTATATTTGTATTTATATTTATATTTATTTTTATGTATTTATATGATAAAAAAAAAAATAAAATCATTGATTGATTTATTTATTTTTTAAAGCTTTTATTATTGTCATTTTGCATAAATGTATTACATAATATTAGATACCTTGAACCACCTGTGGCCATGTTTGACGAATCTATGTATATAAAAAAAAAGAGGGGAGAAAAGCATTAAAAAAAGGGGAAAGAATCTTTTTATTTATTATAGATATGACTTACTGCATCGTATAACTCTGGATTCACTCTATTTAAATATATGTAAAAAAACACAAAAACAAAAAAAAAAAAAGCCCATAAATAACGATAATAAATAAAAATATACATTCATGCCCTTTTTTTTTTTCTTTTTTCAAAAATACAAGTACCTTCTTAATGCTTCTGGATCTTCAGCAAGACAAACAAAAAAGGTTGTTACACCGCTTGAAATCACTGTCGACACGACCGAAAACATGGACATACCCATCACAAAACAAACCAACATAACAAGGGGAGTCATGTTACCCGTTACATTATACGCCGGTTTCGTTACTAATAAATAGATATATCCTAAGAGGGATGCCAAGATACCGACTAATAGCATGCCCATCCATAGTACATTTCCAATCAAATTGTCATTGATTAAGGCTTCAACTCCACGATCTTGAATAAGTGACCAAGTTCGTTTAGCGGTGGGCACAAAGCCTTGTCCATAGATGGCTATACCACTAAATGCATACTGATTGAACCATTCAAAGAGGCCCTGAATACAGCCGATGATACACTCTACTATACACAATAAAAAGCCAAGTAGATCATTGTCAGTACCAGATCGAGCCATCTGAATGAAATAGCGAAGGGTATTAATGAGAGCCACAAGAAGACTTCCAAAACAGATGGACCCAAAGGAGGTGGTCAGGGCACGTTTTGCGGATCCCCAGATCGGGTGTTGCCTTTGATGGTTCAAGAAATAAACCGTGGCAAAGACACCAGAGAGGGTGACATGCGTCAGATATGAGATAACTTGTGTTGTCCAATAAAAGGAAAAAACGAGAAAAACGATAATCGCATTCAGGCGAGCATTACTTCCAGTTTCTGAATAGTAGACTTGATAACTACCTACGATCGTGAACATGAACCAAACTGAATATAAAGTCTGTATTACTAAAGATATAATGCCTGTAACCAATGTGCTCCAATAACGTCGTGTTAGTGACACGATTGTTTTCAACATAACTAAATAGTAGTAGTAGTAGTAGTAGTAGTAGTAGTAGTAGTAGTAGTAGTAGTAGTAGTAGTAGTAGTAGTAGTAGTCAATAAATATGTTATCTTTTGTATAACCAAATTTCCTCTCCTCTCCTAGAGTATCATTCATTCATTCTTACTTACTTGTAGCAAACGGGATTCTATCTTTCCATGACCAAAAACAAAATAAATACAAGACAGTAAAAATTAAAAATATAATAGCGGCTGAATAATAATGCATATAAAAATAATAGGCTGTTGCTGCTATATAAACAAGAATACTTGCAACAAGAGTAATAATGATTAATGGTCCCGGTATTCTATAAAAGGAAGAGAAATATAAGCCATTAATATGTATATAAATATATATATAGATATATATCTATGTATGTATATATAGATACTGCTTGTTACATGTTGGCTATCATTAAATATAAAAAGCTAAGCCCAAATCCAATGATGGCAGAATAGCCAAATATCTTTACTGTATCTGTATTTAATGTGGTGGTCGTATTATCTTGTCGAAAAGAACGTAATACGATCACTGATATTGCAATAAAGGCAATCATATTACAAAGCCAAAGTAAAGCAGCCCAGATATCTTTAAAACCACTTGAAGGTCTTATCTTATCGTTAACAGGGTATTCCCCTAATTCTGCATAACCTGTTGTTGGATTATAGTTAGCCGGTTGAGAAGGATAATATTGTGGCGGTGGATTTAGGGTGTAGTTCTCGGGTGGTAAGGCATATTGTTGCGGTGGTGGAGGATATTGTTGTTGAGAATACGAACTACTCATACGGAAAAGAAAAAAGAAAAAAAGAAAAAGAAAAAAAGAAGCAAGAAAAAAAATTAAAGTGGCGTATATTTATAATATTTTTTTTTTCTTGAAAAAAAAAAACACAGTATTGTACACTTGATCACTCAAATATGAGAATACAGAAATTAGACATTTGATTGCCAATATCTTTTTTTTTTTTTTTATTTTATTTATGAGTCAGCAAAAAAAAAAAAAAAATAGTAATAAAAACTTCTTGATAGACATTAGTAAACTTTGAACTTCTTTAGAAGAACAAAGATATAAAAAAAAAAGGGGATAAATTTTATCTCTTGTTTTTTGTGTTCTAATATTTCATTTAATTCTAGTAGAATTCTTTTCGACACTTGAATTCAACAAAAATAAAAAAAAAAAAAGACATGCCGTATATATAGCTATTTATTAAATAGGATGGCCTACAAGACAGTCGTGAAAATGGTTAACAGAATAAGACGCAAATCCTTCAAAAGATGATTAGACAACTTAGTTGCTAGCATTTACAATGACTTTGGGAGTAGTATCTTTCTTTTTTCTTTTTTTTTTGTAAAATAAAGTATTTTGAATATTCTCTTTTAGAAAATCTCATTAAACATATAGCAATAGAGGTAATAGAGTTGTCTGTAACCTGTCTAGAAACATGTAAAGGCTGTTATAGAAAATTAAAATTTATGGTAATAAAAGCTCAGGAATCAAATTGAATTAGATTAAGAAGCAATTATTTCTATATCATTTTATTGGGCAAAAACTTCACCACCTTGCTCACTAACAAAGGTGCTAATCTTCTTGACTTGGTTGTTCCATTCTTCAAGTTTACGTCTCATACCATCAATTTGATCTTTATCAAGAACACGAGGTTGAACCCAAGTAATAACAACTGTTTGATCCACTTGATCGATAGAACCACGAATTAAGTTGAGTGATAAAGCCTTCATCACCAAATGTTCAACTTCATCCACTGAAAGACGAGTCTCGGCAGCAATTTCAGAGAACGAAATAGTACGATTATCGGTAGATCTTCTAAAGACAGCTTCAATAAGGGACATTAAGCAAATTTTTCTTCTCAATGCATCTTGATTTTGTTGGAGTAAAGGTTGTTTTGTGAAATGAGGAACAAGGGCTTCGTATTTACCAATATCACCTGAATTGAAAGCAAATAAAAGAGAACGAAGCCAATCATGCTCAGTACCTGCAAGAGAATCCAAAATGGGATGCATTAATAATTCACCAAAGTTATAAATCATATCGCCTAATAATGCTGCTAAAGAAAGATCATAAGCTCTAACAACACGCTCAGCTCCCGTTAATTCTTCATTTATATCAATGCAAGCCAAATACAATAAAGCACTTTTATAATATTGAGCATAATCAGCCTTCACCTTATAATATTCAGCACACACACGATAAAAGCTGGCATAAATAACTGTCTCAACGCTATCAAATCTATCCAATATTTTTTCTGATTCATCAATAGCTTTTTTTACTTCTTCCACTTGATTAAGTTTGAGTTTAAAGGAAGCAGCTTCCATAATAGCTAAAACATAAACATCTTTTGTTGCATCTGTATCTACTTTGTTTGCAATATCACTTAAAAAGCTGACCGAATCTTGGGAATCTGTATGTACATATATATATATATTTGTATAAGGGGATAACACTAAATTGTTGTTCTTTTTTTTTTTTTTTTAATACAAATTCTTACCTGGGAATTGATTAGCAGCTTGAAGTGCAATAGAAACAAGTGATAATTTATTAATTTTATCTTCCCATTCAGCAACAAAGTTCAAGAAAAGTGAAATTCGATAAGGAGTCGATTGAGGATCCTTGAAAAATTCCAAAATGCTTTGTGTTAATTGATGCCATAACCTAACAAAAAAAAAAAAAAAAGTTAGATATATATAAAAAAAGGCTTCATACGCGCAAATGCCTACTTTCTTTCGTAAAGATCTTCAAATGTAGAATAGTAAGATTGAAGTTGAGAAGGAACTTTCTGTCGTTCTTCGTTAAGAAATTTAGGAACATCAAAATCAACATCCATTCGTTGTGCCATTATTAGATTATTTATATAAATAGGAAAAAAAAGATAACTTCGAAAAAAAAAAAAATGCTTGCGCGTCATTCTGTACTTTATAAAAATTGAGGTTTCTAAATCCCGCCACAGTATTTAGGATCTATTGAGTGTCTTACGTAATAAAAAAAAACTACTTTGAAAGCTTTGAAATTTGTATCTTCTCCTGAACATGAAAGAAATATATATTTATTTATAGTAGAGAGAGAGAGAGAAAGAGAAATTAATACTGCTATTTCTGTAATATTTATTTTCTTCATTTGCTTCTTCTTTATATATTAATAAAATAAGTAGATAATAAATGATATTAGGATAGCATTCTATATAAATAATATTCATCCATGTATATGTCTACATGTATATTCAAATATCATCTAAGAAATTAGAAAACTTACATTTAAAAAAGTACAAAATAGAGCTAGTATGCATTGATGTCAAATACAACGCTACATGATGACAGCCTTTCACATAATGTATATATAAAATTACTCTATCTATTATCTACTAGACCAGTGTCTTCATAACCCCTTTAATAGTAATGTCTCATTATACTTTAAAATTGAAGCTGTATACTACATTTTTTAAAATAAGAAGTCCGCTGATTGGTATGAAATAATAAATAAGGGGAGATGTACCCTTTCTTTTTTCTTTTTTAATTGTGCTTTTCATTCTTTAACTCTTTTTCTTTTCTCTCTCTCTCTTTTTTTTTAAAAAAAAAGAAAAAAAAATAATTATAATGAAGGTTATTTGCAGTATTTGTATTGAAAATATTAGTGATCCAGTATCTCTTGAATGTGGACATGTATTTGATAGAGAATGGTTAGTAAGATTGAAAAGTTTTATAATATAATATAAACTTATATACATGTAGTATTGAACTTTGTTTCCGTTCTTCGACTGTTTCTTGTTGTCCTTATTGTAAAAGTCATTGTAGAAAAGATCAAATACGTCGTCTTTATCTTAGTACAGACAATGAAATAGCAACAACAACAACGCGAGAATCAAAAGATACCAGTTCATTGCTTGAGTTACTCGAAAAAATCTTACCTGCTTTTGCTGAAGCACAAACCATGACACAGACTTTAAGTCAAAAAGTAAAACTATTACATAGACTCAATAAAGATCTTCGACAAATAATAAACGAAAAGAATGATACAATCCATAAATTAAATGAATCAAAGGTTGCAGATATCAGCCAACTTAAACAAGAAGTTCGTCAGCAACTATCTACAATTGAAGGAGGAATTCGATTTACAGATTCTCCTACTGAGAAGATAACGATGGAGTTTGATTTAAATGATCAATTACTGGCTATTATGAAGAGAAGAAACGAGACACAATCAAAGTATTTAACGGTAATAAATCAGTTTGAAAACAGATCAAATACACTAAGACAGTCATCAGATCTATTGCCACAAGGTCAAAATTTAAAAAAATTGTTTAAAGCTACATATCATGAATTAGACGAACATTATTTATCTCTTGAAAGACAGCTTAGTTCTATCAAGTATGATAGAAGTCATGTATATAGCATGACTTATAAATTTAATAGATTAGCAGACATATTACAACACAAAGCAGCAGATCAGCAACATACAGAACAACATCCATATCTAATATTTTCTAATTTAAGATCTCTTTTTTCTAATATATTATAAAGCATACAAAGTCTGTACATATATAATAATAATTATATCGATTCTTCCTTTTATACATTTGCATCCCTTTTAGTACGTATTTTTTATATTTAATAAATGCCTATAGATATTCTTTATATCCCTTTTTTTTCTTTTTTTCTTTCCTGTACTCAAAGGTAGTGTTTACATCATTATTAAGGATAAGTGAATACTGTATTTTTAAATTCACTTTTATGTATTAACCTACTACATTCAAACAAAAATGTGACAAGCATACAAACAAATTGAAATTTCAACATTTTTATTTGTAAATATAAAATAGCTTAAAAAAAAAGATTCATATATATTTTATATGAAATGTGTATTATTGCTTTATAAATTATCATTATTCCTGATCTCATTCTTTCTATAAATGTATAAAAAAATGCATAAAAGTAGAAATAATAAGCAAGTCACATCCTAGCCACAGACTCTATTTTTTTTTTTTTTTTTTTTTTTTATTCCTGAACTCTCATTCTAACTCCACTATATAAAAGAAAAAATTTATTTTGAACATTTTTCTTTTGACAGCATAATGGCAGCAAAGCTTAAACAAAAAAAATTAGATGCAATTGCTGCACAGGCCATGCCTGTTGGGCAAAAAATTGTTGCTCAATTCCAAAATGCTGATGGAGAAACTACTGGCCCTCCTCTTAACTTACCTGCTGATGCTACACCTGAGCAACTCGAATTACTTTTAAATCAATTTTTGAATCAGGTAAGATCCTGTTCAATTCGAATGCATCTTTATTAATATTGTATATTTTTTGATTCTTATTTATTCTTTAGGGAGATGATCCTCTTCCTTATTCTTTTCAAGTCAACGATGATGAAATTATTAATAACCTTTGGGTCGATCGTAAAGATAAATCTACTGAAGACACAATTACAATTGTTTATCAACCACAGGCAATTTTCCGAGTGAGAGCAGTCTCAAGATGTACATCGACATTATCAGGACATACAGAAGCTGTTTTATCTTGCTCTTTTAGTCCTGATGGCAGCCAATTGGCGACAGGTTCAGGTGATTGCACTGTGCGCATCTGGGATTTGAATACAGAAACTCCTCGTTACACTTTACGAGGACATAGTGGATGGGTCTTGTCTATTGCTTGGTCACCCGATGGCAACACCTTAGCATCAGGTAGTATGGATAATACAGTTCGATTATGGGATCCAAAAACAGGTAAACAAATTGGTGATGGTCTCAAAGGACACCGTAAATGGATTACAAGTTTAGCATGGGAACCTTATCATTTGAATTCAAAGGCAAATCGACTCGCTTCATCTTCAAAGGATCACACTGTTCGTGTTTGGGATACATCATTAAGACGTATGGCATTTACAATCTCTCAACATACAGCCGCCGTTACCTGTGTTAAGTGGGGTGGTGAGGGTTTGATTTATACTGCCTCTCAAGATAAGACAATTAAAGTATGGAATTCTTCAGGCATGTTAGTCAAGACCCTTGAAGGGCATGGACATTGGGTCAACACATTAGCTCTCAGTACAGACTTCGTTCTTCGTACAGGTCCCTTTGATCATACAGGAAAACGTCACAAGTCAGAGGAGGAGGCAAAAAAGGCAGCACTAGAACGATACAAGACATTTAAAGGGGCAAGTCCTGAACGACTTGTTTCTGGATCTGATGATTTTACTATGTTTTATTGGGAACCTGAAAAGAGTAAGAAGCCTGTGACGCGTATGTCAGGTCATCAAAAGCTTGTAAATCATGTAGCATTTTCACCTGATGGTCGCTATATTGCTAGTGCCTCCTTTGATAACTCTGTCAAATTATGGGATGGTAAGACGGGTAAATTCATTGGTAATTTAAGAGGTCATGTAGGTGCCGTTTATCAAGTTAGTTGGTCGAGCGACTCTCGTATGTTGATTAGTGCAAGTAAAGACAGCACATTAAAGATTTGGGATTTAAAAAAGATGAAAATTAAGGTGGATTTACCTGGTCATTTGGATGAAGTATTTGCTGTGGATTGGTCTCCTGGAGGTGATAAGGTTGCTAGTGGTGGCAAAGATAAACAACTTAAGATTTGGAGACATTAATTGTTCTTTTCTTTCATTGTACAAAAATTTGTTTTATATATATATATTATAGATTTCACATATATACTTTCTTTTTTTTTTTTCATAAAAACAAAAAAAAAAAACATTTTATAAAAACAAAAAAAATGTTACAGATTATAATCTATTTATTTATATGTCTAATTACTATTCGTGGTATTTACAGGTGCATTTTCGTTTTCTTGCTGTGTTTTTAATTTTTTATTAGTATCCTTATTTTCTTCTTCATCTTCATTGCTACGCTTTGAATCATTTTTTGTATTATTATTATTATTATTCTCAGGAAGCTTAGGTCTAAAGTAAGGCTGACATCTCCAGAAAGCATATTTACGAATTCCCTTTTCATCAGCCTGTCCTTGCATATCATCTGCTTCACCTTGTTCTTCAATATCCTTCAACACTTTTTCTTTCAAGTCTTTTATAACTTGGAAATATTCATCTAATTCACGTGCTTTTCCTAATTTTGCTCTTAATTCTGTATGATAAGGCAAAGTGGAGTGTAATAATTTAAACAAATGTCCCTTAATAGCTCCACCATTTGTCTTGCTCTCTAAGTTCTTACAAATCTCTAAATATTCTAACGCAATATCAAACGCATAAGGTGGCAATGCCTGCTTTGAAAAAATAGTAGGATTATAAAGAGCACCCTCTGCTGTCATGACCGCATCAGCACCCGTAAACTTCAAACAACGCTCAATATCTTCGTAATAAAGAATGTTACCGTTAGCAACGACAGGGATTGAGAGGGCTTCCTTAACCGCCTTAATCTTCTCCCAGTCAGCTAAGCCTGTATTATGGCCCTTTTGTTCTCGAAGACGTCCATGCACAGTCAACATCTGGGCACCCGCAGCCTCAATCATTTTGGCATAAGCAACTGTCTTTTCAATAGTGGGGAAACATCGAATTTTGACAGTCACAGGAACAGCCAATTCACGATCCAATAGACTGACCATAGAAGCAATCAGTTCCCATTCGTCTTGTAAAAAGGAACCATAATGACCTCGTTTCGCAATGTGTTGTGGACAACCGAGATTAATATCTACAGCATCGCAGTCGTTTTCAACAAGTTTGGCTGCTTTTAAAAGAATCTGTGGATCATTGGCACAAAACTATTGTAATTAAGGAACAATATTTAAGGATCTCATATAGTCTTACTTTCTTTCTCTCTCTCTCTCTTTCTTTTTTTTTATTATTATTAAAACTTACTTGTACAATAAGAGGTCGATCTTCTTTATTGGTTGTAAATTGTTCTTCTCGATATTTTTTACTTTCACTAAAGAGACGAGCATGGAACATAGGAGTCACACATACATCAGCTCCATAGCGTCGACAAAGAACTCGCCATGCTAATTCTGATTGATCAACCATGGGAGCCAAAAATGTTTTTGGTGATCCTAATGTCTTGTTGAAAAATTCAAATCCTTTTAATTTTTCGGTTGCCATGTTGTATATTAAAGAAAGAGATGTATATATAAATATAAAAAAAAACTTTTTTTTTTTTTTTTTTTTTTTTTTTTTTTTTTTGTACCCAATGGAGGAGGAAAAAAAAAATCTGTTGTCGGAGAGTTTTACTATTCTGTTTATAATAATTTCTTTGGTTGCATTGTAGCTAAAACTTCTGAAATCATATTATTACTTATTGTTTCATGATTCAAGCCTCCCAATGAAAGTAAGTGTTGAGAAAAAAAATAGGCGTATATGTTTAAGCATAAGCTTTGTTTGACTCTCTTTCATAGTAATTTACAGTGATAGCAAATTATTTTTATTATTAGCCTTTTTTTTTTTTTATATACAATGCCTTTCATATTGACAATTGAAATTTAGAGTGATTTTGATCTATTTAATATTCTTTTACTTTCTTTCAATATCAAATATACATAAAATTGTGTAAAATAGTTATTTTAAACTATATTTAATGGTATATTTGATTGACTTGTATGAATAATATATGTATATATATCACATGTATAACGTTTATTATTATTACTACCAACTCATATCTCTCTTATCTAAATGAGCATCATGTAAAATACCACCAGGAACTCGAGGTGGTGGTGTGTACACTTCTTTAGGATTCTTAGGTTGAACATATTCAGGCTGGTCCTCATCTCTTTTAATTTCTGAAAAATGTTGAACTTTAACAGCTGCTTCACTCATAGGTGGTGCATTTGCAATTTGTTCACGACGCTATTAAATAGAGCGAATAAATAAATATATATATATCATAATTAAATGTATATTTGTCAGTATAAGACTTACTGCTTTAGAGGTCTTTCCAATACCTAATTGTGGTAAACCACGATTTAAGCCTTCTAGTAATAAACATGCTTTGCATAATTCATTAGATGACATGTATCCACAACGTTCACAAATCTTTTGTGAAGGCATCTTTGTGCCCGATTTGATTTCAAATGCTTCACCCGAATGAATAATATCTACCCAATACATAATAAATAAATAAGCTCATTTGTAAGAAAAAAAAACACATACTCATTTACCTATAATAGCACTAGGTCTAATAGCTTCCAAATCTTTTAAAAATGTACGAGCATATCCACGATAAGCTTCTGGTGAATAAATACACTCTGTTGAAAAATAATCCAATTTCTTAAAATAGGCATACATGACAATTTCCTTTTCATATGTATATTTAAAAGGCTTTGATCTCTTAATGTTACTCTCTCCCTGAGTTACAATCTCTGTACATCTACCTAATCGAGCAATATCACCACGGAAAACTATATTATATGAACGAAAACAAAAAAAAAAGAATATTAATAAATACATATATAATTAAACTTTACTTTTAATGAATGGACTTACTGTTCATTAAAATGGTTTCAGCAATATCATCTGCATTATGGCCTGTTACAATATGATTCACACCCAACATAACTGCACCACGATCCAATGCTTGTCTTCTAAAAACACCACAATAAGTACAGTTATTTTTTCTTCCTACTTCACGCACAATTTCGTCCATTGTCCAGCCATAAAGATCTTGGTAGGAAACAATCTTGAGTGGTAATCCATATTGTTGTTGATTGCGTTTGACTGTCTCGAGTGAATCATCACGATAACCAGTAATACCCTCATCTACTGATAATAAGTAAAGATCTAATCCATAGTCGTAACGATCATTAAGAGTCTTCATAATATGTGCAAGTACGGTAGAATCTACATAAGAAAAAAAAAAAAAAAAAAAAGATTAATAATCAAACAATGGAACAATTAAAAGTGCAATTTTTTTATTAAATCCATATTTATTCTATATCTGTATGTACTCTTTTTTTCTTAAAAAAAAACCAAATAAATTTCTTTTTACCTTTTCCTCCACTAGCACCGATCGCTACTCGCTCACCTCTTTGAAAAAGGTTTGTATCTTGAATAGTGTGATGAATTTCGGTTTCAAAAACATAAAAAAAGCATTCTTGACAGATTTGTTGTCCTGTCTTGGGTCGTTTCAAAAATGCCTTTCGTTTATTACAAAGTACACATAACTTGACCATGATCTATGAGATAGAGTGATGTTTAATTTAAGAAAGGATCAAAAAATAAAAAAAAAATAAAATAAAATAAAAAAATAAAATAAATATCAAGCCTTTTTTTATCAAAAACAATGGGAAAAGTGACTGCTTTAAGGTACGCTAATCAACATACTTTCAATGGCTTTATTCTTTCGTTTATTACTGACAGCTCTACATTATATGTTCTAAATAAAATATATTCCAAAAAAAAAAGAACATTTTAAAAAGCTTTGTTATCATTATTTTTATTCTAGATAGATAAATGAGACATCTTTTAACACTTCTTTATCAAAAAAGACATTCTTTTTTTTTTCCAATGTAATAAAACATTGAATGGGCCGTGATTCGAAATAACACTACCAGATATGAATTTTCGATTGATATAATATTTGTATACTTTAAGCTGTAAATGGACTTATAAGTTGTGACTAGAGGCCAAGGTCCTAGATATATATCAAATAACAATAGATAGTATCTGTTGTTAAATACAACAGTTGCTAAAAATCAAAAGAAGAATATAATAGATTTTTGTGTATCAAATAAATCTATGCAATAGACCTTTTTTCCTTCTTCTTCTTCTCCTCTCATATTTACTCAGTTAGACTATATAACTAAATATAAACGATAATTTACAATGTACCAAAGCTTGACTGTTAAATAAGTTTTAAATAGACATTAAGGTATAAAATTCGTTACTGTGCCTTGCTTCGAAAATACCTTCTAAGGAAAGTTAAAAACCACATTTTTTTTTATACGCTGTGTAAGGAATAATGGGAAAAAGTAAAGTGTATGCAAAAAAATTGGAGAGTTTTCAAGACATAAATTATAGGCGCAACTACTTTACAGTTCTAGTATTATATACTTGATAGAAGCAATGATATACAACCAGTACGATGGATATTGTCGCCAATTAACAAATATGTGTTGGCAGTTGAGAAATAATTGTCTCAAAAGAAATTTCAATTTGTCGTTTTAGGAAAAGTGTATTGTCGCAAAGGTTTTTTTGGTAAATTTATTAAAATTTTTTAGAGAGATTCTTTATAGTTTTGTTATAGAACAAGCTCTGGATATAAGCACAAGTAATATTAAAAAAGATAGATTGCATAATATAGGATGAACTATAAGCCTGAACATATAATAATAAAAGATATCATATCTTTTGTACATTCTTTGAAACTCTATTTCTTTCTTCTCTTTAAAGCCATTATTCCTCTCAAACTGATCAAAACCTAAAGAGCCTTGTTATCATGATCATCATAAAAAAAGAGCTCAATTGTCATAATACAGTAGTAAGAAAGCTTACAGCCTAACTATTTAAAATGCATAAACCACCAAAAATATCTTGTGAAATTACAATTGAAAAAAGCGTTCCACAACACAACTAAAAGGGAACATCCTGTAAAATTGTAAGAAATAAAACCGCTGTATAAAATGACATTTTTTATATTATTGATAGCTTATCTACTCTTATTCTTTTGGAGAATGTATGAACATCATGCTCTGTTGTGTAACTGTATTTGACTAGTTTTGGCTTAATTTCTTTACAAGAATGCTCAATAAATTCACATGAATAAAAATACATATAAAAAAAGTAAACAAACTTCTTTTTTTTCTTACTTTCTTGCTTACTTTCAAAAAAGATAGTAATACTTTACTACATTCAAATAAAAGGCAAAACTTATCTCTAAAGTATTAAAAAGAAAAAAAAAAAGACAAGTAGAAAGGTAGGAGAGAAGATTTAACGCAAAGTAAATTAAAAACGCCAAGATTAAACTTTAATAACTTCTCCTTTTCGTTTATTTTTTTTTTCTCCTGAATTTTACTATAAAAAAAAAGTACATTTTTCGTTTTTTTTCCCTTTTTTTCTCTTTTCTTTTCTTTAGCTTTTTTTATTTTTCCTATTCTTCTTTATTTTTACTTGAAACTATGGGTAGACATTGTCAGGGTTATGAAGTGTGCTCAAGTCACATAGCTTGGCTTACTTGAGAGTGTAGAACTGTCCGTTTATAACATGGCTAAAGGAGAGGGCCTAGACTCTCTTTTGGTTACTACATGCATATCCGCCTTCACCTTGGGTTATTGCAACCTTAGATAATTGATGGGACCTTATCGAATTTTGACTGCTCAAGTTTGATTTATTTCCAAAGGAGGAGGGAAATAAAAAGGATACTTGGGGTTGGAAATTGTAAACCTGTTCCTTTTTTAGGGAGATTAGCGTACTCTTTGTCTGCACCATTGAAAGGGCTTATCTCAAGGTTTAGTTTTTCTGTTTTTCTTTTTGGAGGTTTTTCCTTCTTTTTATTTTTATCTAGTTGCTGTTTATAAAATAAAAATAGATAAGGATGCACAGCTTACGTTTCTGACCGTGGTTTTTTCATCTATTTATTTAGTTGAAGAGTCCCAGCTTGTATTTACTGTTAAGTCAAAAGTAGATGCTAGGGGTCAAAGAAGGGACATTCTCAGGTAAACAATAGTCAAGTCGTGCACTTCATGTATCTGGATTTCTTCCACTTCGCCACGCTACAGGTCAGAATGTTTAGCCCGGCTTCCAATGAAACTTACATCCAACTGTATTTTTTTATTGGGGTAGGAAGTGAGGAATCCTATCTTTTTCTTCTAGCAAGGCTTGGGTCAGGTTGGTACTTTGCCAAGTGTCTACTAGTTGAAATTGGACGTTTATCTTTCAAGTAGAAATTTAGAGGGAGAAGAAAAAATTACAGCCTGTATCAATTTGTATGGGTTGTAATATTATTTTTGGGATTAGATATGCTTTCACCTTCTCGTGGTTAATCCTGTTAGTATCAAGTCTCTTTTAAAGAGATTTGAGAACTAAGAAAAGCATCTTTTTTTATAATATTAATAAAAATGAAAAAAAACAATTTAATAAAATCGTGTTTCATAGTAAAGTTGCTTCTCTAATAATATTTAATAATTAAGCGTATTATTCTTTTTTTTATAACAAAAGTGGTGAAAGACTCTAACAGCACAGTGTATAAATATTAAAAAGATTATTGTATATTTTCCCTAAGATTTCTTTCCTCCCAAGGTAAATTCCATTTGGTTAAATAAATCCAGCATCACTAGAATGTACATTGTCATAATAAGACTAAAACTAGCCAACATTCATAATGAGCATTCAAAATCTGATTGCTGTACAAAAGACTATCCATCTTCAGGGTATAACTTGAAGTTGTTTCAAGCCTTGCTTTCATAAATACTCATTATTCTATCTGGAAACAAACTAACTTTGGTTTTCTATCTAGTGATTTTTTTTTTCAACAAGGAAAATTTTCTTAGGGTATTGAGTAGTAAGGACTGAAGGGAGGCTTCACCAATTCATCGAAAAGACGTTATTAAAATATCTCAGCCTTTTCGAAGGAATCTTATTTTTTTTTATTACAAAATTTTCCACAAAGACAATCCCTTTACTCCTCAGTATCGTATCTACGGATGGTATAATGACACTTAATACAAGAAACGTATCCTTGAAGTCTTTTATGAAAACAAAAAAGGTGGCCATTTGACATCACTTGTAAAACGTAACAATACATTTTTGGAAAATGATACTGTTAGATACAGTCTTTTAGTGCGATATTAATGAAGGTTTTCGTTGTTTTCAGGTTCTTGTCAGTTATATATTGCTCTTGGATGAGCATTAACTTCATCATAAAGAATATAAAGGGTAATTGCTCCTTCAATGAATTTGTCTCATTATACGGATTAATTAAAGGAAATTCTATAAACTAACTAAAGTTGATGCACATGATGTGAACATACGTTTAATAAGAAACTATTGCCATCTTTTACTATGTACGATGCTTCTTGCTATTCGATGACTCCTTTTCATAGTTTATATGTTGATGTACTCACAATTTATCGCTAACTTAAACCCTTATACAACACTTGACTTTTTCTTTGCTTATAATATAAAGTAGATTGTCTTAATATTATTTTATTCACCTTAAACTACACTATAATAGACTTCTTCTAAAAGTTGTCTTAAAGAAAGGAAGAAAGAAAGAAAGAAAAAAATAATAGCGTACATAATTGAAAAAGATTAGCGTATTTTTTTTAAACTCTCTCTCTCTTTACAACATTTAAGAAAATGAACATAATTTTTGAAGACAGTTTAGGAAATCAGCATGATATTGAAGGAAACGAAGTGATAGAGTTTCAAATGGGGGTTGATAACATGATGTATCCAGTTGAAAGCGTAACTGATTACAACCGTTATACAGAGTTGAAGCCTCCCGAGAAAAAAACAAAAACTGAGATACCACCAAACGAATAAGGGAACGAAAGCATATAAACACTATAAGGATGCGGAGAAAGAGAAGCTCTTTTATCTTGTCGAGGAAAAAGGAATGAGCGTTCGTGCTGCTGCGATGTTTCTTAATATCAATGTTTACACAGCACAGGGCTGTATGGACAAGAACAACAAAGCTCCTCAGGAGTACATCCAAAGAGCTACGGGCAGCGGAAGACCAGTGGGTAGACCACCAATCTTAACTGAGAAGCATAAGGGCTTTATGATTGAATGTGCAGACGAAAACACCGACTCCGTTACATTAGACGATATGCTTAATGAATCGACTGATAGATTTGGTAATCTCGATATCAGTAAAAGCGGCTTTAACAAATTTGTAAAGGAAAAATGTAAAATTACATTCAATCAAGCACGCTTACAATCCGTAGAGAGAAACAGCCCTGAAAAAAAATTGAAGAGCTGTTATAGAACAAGCTCTGGATATGATCATAAGCAATATTAGAAAAGATGAATTGCATAATACAGGACAAACTATAAGCCTGAGTCTATAATAAAATATATCATATCTTACTGTATATAACTTCTTATAAAAATTATCGACATCCAATCATCTAAATATGTCAACTAAATAAGATGTCGTATCATTTCTAAATATTTATTTTTATAACCTTGATAAAAGATTCAGGTCGTCTTTGATCCAATAAAATAGAAATACAAAAAAGACATCAGGAACCTATGATCATATCAAACATTTTAAATTTTAAATCAGATCATTATAACACACAATAGATAATCCATAGATCAGTCATTTAAAATCAACAAGATGTATATCTGAATACTAACACTGTTTCATGACTTATCTTTTCTATAGTTATTTTTATTTCTTTGATTCAAGATTCATTAGTATAAATACAAGCAGTTGTGTAGACACAAAATAATCTTTAATCTTTAATTCTTTTATTTTAAAGAAGAACTCAGGAAGAGGGAAACACTACGATAATTTAAGTTAATCTGATGCGACAATACGCTTTTTCCTAAATCAACAAATTGAAATTTCTTTTGCGGCAATTATTTCTCAACTACTGACACATATTTGTTAATTGGCGATAATATCCATCGTACTGGTTGTACTTTAGTACCCTATATCAAGGAGTATCACAATAGTACTGTATGAATACATTACTTGATTAATAGATAGATTTAATCGTTTCCCTTTCATAACGTTTATTTGTTTGCTGTAATAATAACATTTAGGAAGAAAAAAAAAGAGTAGTTGTAATATAATCATAAAGTTTACATGTCAGATAAAGGAGCCTTTTAACCATTCATCTCTTTCTCGACAATGGTTAGCAGTTTAGCGGTTTCCATTAGAGTCTCAATTAGTAATCAATTCAATTTTGAAGCACTTTTAAGCGTATATTCAGTAAATTTTTAACACGCACATGCTATATAATTCAATGACATATGTTGAAGTTGTATTCGTTCATAACTAAGACTAACTATTAAAATGGGCTACTTAGTTTTTTTTTTTTTTTTTTTTTTTTTTTTTTTTTTTTTTTTTCATTATCATTAAGAGCCCCTTTTTGATTTGTATCTTATTTAATGAAGAGATACTTCAATTAGCTGTTAACAACTAAATGTTTTCTAAAAAAAAACAAACCAGTTGTCGAATTCATTGATACAAACTCAATTGCTAATATTAAGCTGAGGTACGGTAATAGATTTACCTAAGCTGTAATGTACAAACCCGAATATAATCTTTTGAAAATAATCTATTAGTTTGATGGTCTAAAGTTATTAAGATAGTCCTTGCTACTTTATACATTAAATTACATGAATTATCAAGAGCATCTTTTTTCTTTCTTCTTTAATAGTAAAAACTTTTATTATTTCACAAATATCACTTTTTAATGCTTTATTCTGCTGATATGACAAACTAAGTTGACAGAGTGTAGTAAAAAAATTAAAGATCATATAAATAGTAGTAATATTTGAGATCAAATTATAAAACATACATTTAACCAAATATATCACTAGTCTCTTGTAGATATGAATAATGTTATACTAAGAAATATGAGGAACTTCAATAATAGTAAATAATTCATCGATGATACATTTGTAAAACCGTATAAAAAGTATTGTAATTTACAAGGTTTGTTTTAAGGATTTTAGTTTAAATGATAAATTCTCAGCTTTAATAATATGTTGAACACGTATTGGCAATTATATAAGTATATCAGTGAGCTATTTGTAAATAGGAAAAGCATAGAAATAAATACAGGACATAACAAATAACAACTAGAAAAAGAAACACACACACACAAAAAAAACCCTTTTACTTTCTTCTTTATGAATAATAACACCTAACTAACTATGTTAACTTTTCTTATTGGTATATGAGCTTATATAATATAGCAATGATAAATTACGATATATCCTGTTTAACATCGTACTCGTAAAGTATATTCAGTATATTTTAATCATTTTATTCTATTATGTATACATGCTGAATATACATTTTACATTTTGTCTAAAATTGGCAATCTTTTGTTGTTTATCTAAATATAAACAATATAGGATGCTATTACAATAATATAATTACCATAACGAAATAACAAGCTTGTAATTAAAGAAAAAAAAATGTCAAAAATAACAAAAAAAAAAATGTACTCCTCCCTGCATTGTTAGATGAAATATAAATTGATATGCTTGCAATGTATATTATTATGAAGTATATAAACAAGTACAAAAAAAAATGCCTATCGCAATAATGAAATCCAACTATTATTCATTAAAAACTATTGCGCATCTAAACTAAGGAATCAAACCATTTTCTTTCTTCTATCTATGTTAGAGTTATATTATCATTTTAAACTAAAGGGTATTACTAGTTATAATCATTTTAAATAAAAAGTAAATGGATATCTATTACTATAAATGATGAATAGCCTATATAACAGGGAAACATATTTATTACAGAATAAATAAAGTATACTGTTATTTATTCAAATGAAGGTTAACCACTTGAATATGAATCTAATATATTCAAAGAAATGATGATTATTGGATATATAAAAAAAATAGTTATAGCTTTAGCTCTACTTTACTGAATCTTAATAAACTAATTCACTCAAGATAGCATGCATTTGAAAATCTACTATCTACTTTTGAATAATAGTAAAGACACAAGGGCTTAAGAATAATGATAATTTCAAAACAAAAACTATGTACACGTAATTTTACAAAGTATGCTTTATGAACAACATGTAATATTTAAAAGAAACATTGAAATATTTCGACCAAAGACTTTTGTAAATACATATACATAGACATATTCTACTCATGTTCATTCAGAAAGTATCCTTCCCTTTTGAACTATTAATGAAGTAAACTATGAGTGTTGAAGTAGTTATTATATATATTGAAAATACAAACAAATTCAAGCTTCTGTTATGAATGCTTCAAATTCTAGTATTTGTTGATAAGCTTGTTTTATTTATATTATTAATGTTCAATATCATAACAGTAAAATGGAACTTTTTATTTATATAACATGATCATTATACCCATTTATTATGCGATGCTTTTTGACTATCAATTAAGGCTAATATACATACATATATATATATATAAATTTTCTCCTCTTGTATATATTCTTGAGCTATTCAATTATATAAAGCGTTAAATGTATCATTCAAAAAAAAAAAAAAAAAATACAGAACAAGAGAGAATCCCTGAAAAGGAAAAGAGATTAAAATTGTTAAAATTATGTAATCTATTTTGTATGTATACAGTGTTGTATCCTTTTTGCATAACTTGTAATACATATGTTCATTCTTTGTTTGTATCTAGCTTGAAAGCATGCATTTACGATTAATATTTCATATTTATGAATTAATAGAAGAATTACTATTTTTACCAAGATCTATTTTGAGAACAAAGCTGGTATATATATATATATATATATACATATATACTTTAAACGAAATAGTACTACTTAATCAATACCTCTTCTAGCAAATGAATTGAGTTCATTATTGATGTATAACTATTCAGACTACAGAGTTGAAAGAATTAAAATACTAAATTTATAATAAGAATGGATGCTTTAACTGTACAAATCGTTTTAGTGTATTTACTTACTTTTATATCATTTATAGTCATTATAAATCTGTATGAATCACTTTATAGATTATTTATACCAGTAATATAGGCTATAGTTTAGAGCATTGTTAGAATGGCAGCTATACATATATATATATATATAAGATGCCGTTTTTAAATAGACCATTTCAATATGCGTCAAAATTGCCTACTGTCATATCTAATTATTAATCGGGGCATTATTCTAGTGGATATCAGTTTATATGAATTTTAAGGTATTGAAATATGTTATCTATTGTTCTCTAAATTCAGCTTTGTAAAACAAAGTAGATAATTATTTGAATATAGCTTTATATTAGTCGATAGTATTTAATTTGACTGTCCAATTGCTCAAGTGCAAGCTTCAATACTATCAGTTTATATACAAATAAAGTTCATAAGAGACTGTGTTAGGAAAAAAAAAAAGGGATCTAAAACAATAAACTTCAGTCGTTAAATAAATTGAAAAAAGACTATATATGTAAATAGATAATATATATCAAAGCGCTATGATAACCTATTATTAAACATCTATAATTTTCTATTCAAGTCACTTGTTGTAAATGTATAATTTGCTTACAAAAGGAATATTTTATTTATCCCCACCCCCTTCCTACTGTCTGCTGTAAAACAATAAATAATAAACAAAATCAAGAAATCAGCAAAGTATATACACTATACATACCTTTCGAACATATTTATCTAAAAAAGAACAAAAAAAAACTATATATTTTATATGTCTTTTTCTCTTGTTTATATTTTCTTCTCTATAGATATATAGATATATAGATATACATAGATATACATAGATATATACACATAGATATACATAGATATATACACATATATACACATACATACACACTTATATACATATATATCTTTATATCTTTACTTTATCACATAAATGAACTTGTTTGAGCACTGGAGTAATTCAAAAGTAAAACTATTATTCTGTTAGTTACTCTATATTATATTAATTTTATTATAGGAATATCAACATGATATAGATTCACAACAAGTAAAATTATAATAGTATATGTTTTTTTTTTACATTTAACTAATAAAGTCTTTTTTTTTTTCTTTTTTTTATTTTAGATATTTCAAATACCAACTAATTCAGTACAAGAAAATAATCAATTCAATACAACTTTACCACAGCAAAAACAGCCTTTTCTTCATATTGAAGATACGAGCTCAGTTCAGGTACACTTTTTCTTATAATAATATCAGCTTTTCATATTTAACCTTATACATATCTATCCATATATAGTCAACTAATACGCTTGATTTTTATGATAATCATTCATATAATGGAACTTTATCTGCTTGTTCTTCACCCTACCTAGTAAATATATACATCTATAACATTTATATCTATTAATTATTAACTCTTTATTCTTTATTTATTTATTTTCTACTGTAGTTATCTCCTGTCATTACTAATAATAATAACAATAATAGACGTTATTCAATGGGTGCCTATTACGATAGTCTTTTATCACCTTCCATCTTAACCACAACACGTAGTCATTCTATTAAACGCAATAGACGGCCTTCCACTTATTCAAGATGGACAAATGAAGAAGATGAATTACTTCGACAAGCAGTACAATCCTACGGTCCTCATAAATGGGCCCTTATTGCTTCTCATGTACCTAATCGAACACCGATGCAATGCTCAACGAGATGGCTAGGTGCCCTCAAGTAAAATAATAATAATATTTTTTTTTTATTGTTATGTAAACTAAAGTGTATATGTTTTTTTTTATTATTGTTTACATCTAGCCCAAATATTCATAAAGGTCGTTGGACAGAAAATGAAGATGCAGTTTTAAGGTATTCGGTATTAGAATATGCAAATAGAACAGATGCAGAAGGACGAACACAACCTATTCCTTGGAATAAAATAGCGGAACGTATATCAAATCGAACAGGTATTCAATGCCAAGCTAGATGGACGGAGGCATTAGATCCTTATGTTAGAAAGGGTAAATGGGGTGCAGATGAAGATTCTTTATTAGTTTTGGGCGTTAAAGAATTTGGAAGATGTTGGATTAGAATAGCAGAAACTATACCAGGCCGAACACAAGTAAATAATAAAACGGTAATATTTTGGGAAGCTATTATTAAAAGGTCAAATGTATTTTTTTTTTATATATAGAGACAATGTCGTACTCGTTGGATGCAACTTAAATACAAAGAAGACCGTCAACATCAAAAGTATGAAATTGATGAAAAAATAAATACTACAAAGGAGTCTTCTGTATCACCAACTACAGAAGATACTTCCTCACAACAAAGTTATAATACTTCTGATGAGGAGGAGGAAGAGGTTGATATGAAGCAATCACAGAAACACACACAACAGCAACCACAACTCACGCCTACGCCAACACCTAATTTTTTCACTGCTGACGATTTTAATTCTCAACTATCCCAACAACAACATGCTATGATGATGTTGATGCTCGATGACAATAATAATAATAATAACACTAATATGAATCAAACGTTAATGTCAAATAACAATGGTAATAATGGTATGATAGATTTTCTAAAAGAAGATGAGTTATTTTTAGCTACAGATTGGAATACCTCTTTACATCAACAAACCATTACACACAACACTAATTTTTATTTATAAACTAAATTATACAGCAACTATTGTTTTTTTTTATATATGCCAATTATGCCTTTTATTCTACATAAACTTATTTCCTAAAATACATGACTGTTTTCTAACAAATAACAGCGTAAAAATAAAATAAAATAAAAAAAAATAATTACTTTAGTTTATTGGGACTTTTTTTTTTTCCAATTAGTAACCTCTTTAAAAATAACCAATGATAAAGATGTAATGGGCCGAATTGAAGAAGCTAGTCTTTTTCATCTGTAGACATGCATCAAAAAAAAAGGTAGATCAGAGTAAAGCTGCTGCAAATGTAGTAAAGTTTGTTAATGTAAATAAAGGCTTTTGCAGCCCAAGCTATAATATATCAAACAGTCCATTTCCATTAAAAATTTATATGAATCCCTTAATAAAAGATGTAATGTAATAATTTTTTGATTTCATATAAAATCAGCAGAAAGAAAAGTATATATTATTTTGGATCAAATCGCTGTTTGATTTTTCTATAATTCTTTAAGAATTTTTTTTATAGTAAGGGTCTAATCCAATCATGTTTCAATACTGTTGTAAAAAAAAAAAAAAAAAAAAAAGATAACACATTCTTTTATTGTATTTTTTTTCTCTCTTTTTTTTTTTTTTTTTTTTTTTTTTTTTTTTTTTTTTTTTTTTTTTTTGTGTAAACAAAAAAAACCTATAATGTAAATGAAAGATTTCCATCCTAAATATCAACCAGTATTATTACCACTAAAACATAAAGCAGGTGGCCATGTAGCCATGTTTCGCATATCCCATGGCGGGCCCTTGTGTAAAGCAATCAAAACTAATGAACACGCCTTTTATCTTGATTTACTCTCTAATCCGTCGGTTGTCTCTTATTTACCGCGCTATATGGGTATTATTTATGTAGCTTTTGATAGTCAACAACAGCCTTATATTGCTTTAGAACGTGATCGACAACGACTATGCCAATTCCAACATCATTTACCAGCAAGTCCAGGGGATTCATTATTACCACCTTCACCCGATCTGACGCCGTTTATGGTGATGGAAGACGTCACGGCTGGTCTCAAACGACCTTGTATTTTGGATCTAAAAATGGGAACAAGACAACATGGTGTTTATGTGACGCCTGAAAAGATGAAAAGTCAACAATACAAGTGTTATCATTCGACAAGTGGGCAATTAGGTGTACGCGTCTGTGGCATGCAGATCTACCAGCTTGATAAACAAACGTATAAGATTCAAGACAAATATGTGGGCCGTACATTAACGCTAGATGGATTTCGTAATACTGTCACTTATTTTTTACTCTATGGCCATTGTCCGTTTATTCCCAATTTGATCGATAAATTGAAGCATTTGTATGTAGAAATTCAAAAAATGATTGGATATCGCTTTTATGGTGCCAGCCTTTTACTTGTGTATGATGCTCTTAACTTGGAAAGCATCACTATGAGCTTAATTGATTTTACACATTGTATTACAAAAAAGGAAATGGAAGAAAATCAGCATCATATGACATATCCACCTGAAAGGGGAGCTGATTTTCCTGATGACGGATTTTTACAGGGCATTTCTACATTAATAGAGATTATTGAAGATATTTACAATAACAAACAATAATAAAGAGAAAAATATATATATAAATATTTATATCATAGTGATTCATTTTATTCGTCTCTTAATCTTAAGCCCTTTCTTAATTCATCTGTTAGGGGCAAGTCCTTTTCACATCGCTCACAGTGACAGGTAAAGAGATATGATTTGTCTAAATAAGTTTGTCTAGTTTCCTTGTTCCAACGAGGATTCACATAAGTTTCAAAGAGTTGTTCGCCTTCCTTGATATCTCGAATAGCTCTTACTGCAATCTTATAATCTGATTGACGATAAGGATGATCGATACTGACGTTTGGATAGCAGTTATGATTGATATGTGAATGAATCAAATACATCCCACCGTTTTGATTGTTGATATTAAATTTACCCAAATAATTCAAAAACGTCTCCTCGTCATCAAAGAGCCTTTTAGCAAGTAATGCTGGTAAGGGCTTTGTAATCTTGCATCGTTTAGGTGGATCTTGATAGGCTGCCCTTATGAGTTCTCTCGTTTTCGTCCATAATTCACGTGTAGGTTGTTCCATAAAGATCCATTCAGTTTCCTTTGCTTGTCTTTCCTCTTGACTGACGGTAGCAAAGGCATCCAAATGGGCCATCACTTGGTCAAGTTCTCCACGTTGATAAGCCAAGATCATCTGAGCGTACATACGAGAGACTGCCATCGCACCTTGCCAATTCTCTGCCTCACAAAAATCAATTAAATCACGCACCTTTGTGTTGAGATGAGTGCATTCCAATTGATGAAATTTCTCCCAAGCAACAGAACGACATTCACGGCTACAATAGTACATGTTACAGTGTCCACAATGCTGTGTGAGTCGATTAGCATATAATATAGGTTTACAACAGAGACCACAAGCAGATCCTGATCTTGCTAACTTGAACATTTGCCAATTAGGGAAGAAACTAAATGGAGTCTCTGAAAAGATGATCTCATCCTTCTTGATGTCTCGAGTAGCAAAGAGACCTTTACCAATAATAGGATCAATCATACGAGCGACAATATTTTCAGAAACAGCTTTAAAGTCGAGTGTAGGGTCAATATAAGAAACAGGTACAGATGGGTCATCAGCAACACCTGACTTTTCAACTGCTACTTTATTCGTAAGACCCTTTAACTGCATGTATTTTTTCACTCGTTTCTCGCTCACTTGCCATGTAGGGTGTTGTGACAAGACACCAGTGGTGACTTTTTTAATGCCTGCCTCGGGTGATTCGAGCTTGATTTGTTGAATGGCTGAAATGAGCTCCTCTTCAGTAGGAACAATCTTTTCTTCTTCAGATGACATGGAACGACTGACGAAAAAAGAAAAAAAAAAAAGGGAAGCAAGCAGCAATTTTTTTTTTTAAAAATGTATACTATTAATTCTATAAGCCACTGATTTTATTGGGCGCTGAGATATATAGAAGGGACTTGACAAATGAGCATATCACCCACCCCCGTATACACATAATTATTTTTTTTTTCTTTCTTTCTTTCCTTTCTTTTTTTGAAATCAAAATGAAAATGAACGAATCCACAAAAGACACACTCTACAAGGTAACTTGCATTTATATTTGCTTGACATGTTATTTACCAAGATAATCAATATCTAAGGTTGCTGATGTCACAAAGACTGTTGTTCATTGGGGATTTATTCCTTTTGTTATTTACTTGGGTATGACTCGTTCTAACCCTAGACCTTCTGTTCTCAAGTAAGTTGCATTATTAAAAAAAAAGGGGATGTAAGAGATACTTATTCTTAATTCATATAGGCTCATTAGTCCTCTTGCTTAAATAATCCTTTAATACCAACACTGTATTAATGACTAAGCCAGTTTATATACATGTACATTTATATATATATATATATATGTATATATTCTTTTCATCTTTTGTACAAAGTAAATACAATACTTTTATTATATGCTTCACAATCCTCTCTTCCATTCTTTTATTCTGTGTTAGAAAGTAGAATAATGGAGAAATATTTTAATAAATGAAAGAAAGAAAAAAAAAATCTTGTATATCAAAATTTGGAAGCTTCATGCTGGATGATGACACTTCATGGCAGTTAATTTCATGAACGTTCCAACTAGTTGTAATTTTATTTAGAAATATCCTTTATATTATTTATTTCAAAAAAAAAGGAGGATGTTTTGTATTTCTTTTCCTTCTTTCTTGTAAAGAACTTTTTTTTTTTATGTGTATTTGAAACAGCGTCGCCAAACACTCTATTGTAGCTTATTAGGAACATTAGCCCATAGTATACATATATCTCTCAAATTGCAGTAGGAAATTCCAAGGCTCGTAATAATAGTCATGCTGAACCAAGTAGTCCTATTCTAATTACACATGCATGTTATTATTCTTTATTAGATGTAGTCTATAATTGTGAATGGAAAGTTTTAAAGGAGTAGGAGCCCTGGAATAGGTAGAGGGCAAATACTTTAGAGAAAATCATACAACATCAATTAAAAAGGAATGATACTATGTCTGTTTTTCATTTATTTTCCCTATATAATATGAACAGCAAAAAAAAAAAAAAAAAAAAAAAAAACCGTCTGATCAGATCATACTGTTGAATAACATATTGTTGTTTCCGTTTGGTAAGATGTTGTTTTTTTTATTGAATTTGGGCGGGTAATAATATTTCCATATATTGGGTTGATTTTTTTTTTTTTTTATAAAAGATTTTAACCCTAGAATTTTTTTTTTCTTTTTTCTTTTCTTTTTTGTACATGTTTATATACATGTATCCATTCATTAGAGTTATTCTTTTCTCTTCCTCTTTCAAAGGAAACAAAGAAAGAAAGAAAGATAGAAAGAAACCTTTCATCTTTTATGTATACATAAGAAAATATCTAAAACAAAAGGCCTAACTTGATTTTATTGTGTAGAATCTGATGACATTGGCGAGGATTTTGAAATTCTCTTTTAAAGAGAATTAATGATGTGGATATTTTCTTTTAAATAATTTTACTATTTATTAACGTTGTATACATGCAAGGTGTTATGTGTATGTTTCTTCTTTTCTTTTCTTTTTTTTTTTAGGGGAAGGGAAGGGACAAGTTAATAACATATTGAATGTGTTAAATGAAATGATGATAAAAGAGGAACTTGATTGTAATATATTTTAATTTTACTGGAATGAAAGTTTAAACTTGATCTTATCTGATTCATTTAAAAATTGTGAATTATACATTTTTTTTTTTCGAGAAAGGTGTAAAAAAGTGGATTAATGTTATAATAAAATAATATTTTTTTTTTCTTTTCTTTATAAAGTTGTCATGTATTTTACAAGATACCCTAAAATGCACAAAAAGAATTTTTTTTAATGAATGAAGGAATGAATGATTGAATACTTTTGTTTAAGCCTAAAATATTATTATTATTTTTACCTGAGAATAATATTGGTATGTATCATAAAGTCGTGTAAAGACGTTACAACAACTACTCATAATTAACTTGTCTACAAATGCCTCCACTTGTGGCTCTGTTAAATGTAACTGAAACCTTTCACGAAGTGACGCTAATACTCCACTATTCTGAAAACATGGTAACTTGGAGTCCTTGGCCATTATTTCTGTTAGTAACAGGATATTATCGTTATGCTTACGTACTGCCAAAAACGCTTCCTTTACTAATCGTCTATATTCTAAAAATACCGGGGATTGCACTCCACCCAAGATATCAATATACTCCTGTGGTAATTTAAAGGGCGCCATCTCGAATCCTACTGACCCAGGGGAATTGGATAAGATGAATCCAAAATCAATATGAATGATATGCCCTTGATCATCAATTAACAAGTTACCGTTATGACGGTCCTTGATTTGCATTAGATAAGAAGCTACTGAATAACCTGCTAGACTCCTCATAAAGGCATCCTGTGCTTGCTTGTAGCTAGCTGTGCCTTCATGTCCCCATCGTCTTGTATAATAATCTTTAAGTGAAAAGAGAGAGCCATTCTGGTTCCATTTACGTCGATATGCTTCCTTTTTAATCGAATGAACCGAGATTGAGTTCTTGACGGTTTCAATTAAACCTGAATCGTCTGAGGTGACCAAGACTCGAACATACTGCACCCAGACCGGCACCTTTGTATCTTGCCAAATCTTTTGCATTTCGCGAATTAACTGAATGGCAAATTGTTCTTGACGAAGATCGGCTCCATTCTTCACAATGACGGAAATGAGACGCCAATTAGGAAGGTGTCCAAAGGGACTAGAGGCTCGAATACGATTCTGTTTACTCTCCCAATCTTCTGAAAAGACAGCAGCACTAGGATCCTCTTTGTTGACTACCATCATTGCTACCCTTGATGCATCTTCATCCAGCTTTTGTTCTGCAACTGTTTCAAGTGCCATCTTTTCAAGTCGATCGTCTTCAAGTGCCATCATTTCAGTAATAATCTTTTGACGAATAGTTTGTGCATCAGGTTGTTCAAGCTGTAATTGAGCTAATAAAATCGCAGCAGTCTTCATCTTTTCTGCAAACTCTTCTACATCGAATCCACCTACTTTATTGTCATCTTTATCTATTGTTGTTGTTGTTGTTGTTGCTGTTGTTGCTGCTGCTGCTGCTGTTCCTGCTGCTGCTATTGTTGGGGTTGCTACTACTTCTAAACTACGTGATGAACGTGGTGAGCCTAAATCACCTAAATCTACCATATCTTCTTCTTCCACTGGTTTTTTGATCACTGATTTTCTTTGTTTCTTTTTTAAGCTGCTTAGTGAAGACTTGAATCCGTTCTCTAAACTAATCTCATCATCCAACACTTCAATCATCAACAAGTATGGTGCACGTTCTGCTGAATTTAAGACAACAGCATCTGTAGGACTGATCCTCACAATTCGATGATGATAGGGTCGTTCTACTGTCGCGGGACACCATAAAGGCATACAAATTTCAGCCGGTAAATTATGATTCAACAATGTTAATTCGGCATGAAGCGCGCTTAAACGTGCTTCCTTAGGGACAATGACTAAACGTGTCGCGATATCTACAAGAGCTAATAAGAATTGCATTTCGGATCTAAAGTAGTTGGACCTTAAAAGTTGGCGACGATGATCAAGACTGAGTTTTGAGAGGGTGTAGACTTCATCATCATCGTCGTTATCATCATCATCATTATCATTGTTGTCGTCATCGTCATCAACATCATCATTGTCACTGTGTGATTTGAGAGGGATGTTGTTAGGCACTAAATCTTCTTCATCATCCATTAATCGGGTGAGATCTGTCATAGAAGAAGAAGGACGTGATCCAAGAGTTACAGATGGTTTTACAGGTGTTGTTGTTGTTGTTGTTGTTGTTGTTTCGTAATTGACAGGTACTGAGGATTGTGCCATTGCTTCCATAGTTTTTGCATCTAAACGATCGAGTGTTTCTGGTTGAGTTATCGTCTTTTTCCCTGTAACTGTGATCATCTTAAGATGTGCTTCTTTAAGATATCTCGATACACTAAAAGCTTTTCCTCGATGTAGATCTTCAAGTGAAATAGTAAATCCTTTGTTCAAAATAGATGAAGTGGATGAGGATGATAATAGTGAGATAGGTCTAGACTTTAGTACTATTTGATTCCTTGTCTGCTGCTGCTGCTGCTGCTGCTGCTCTTGTTGTTGTTGTTGTTCTTCTTCGTTGTCAGATGAAGTATTACTAGAAAATGGAGTTGAGCTTGATGTTGTAGTTAAATTTAAAAGATTATCTTTTCGTCCTTGAGCAATCGCTACACTACCCACTGGTTTTGTAACCAACGGTTGTCCAATCCCAGCTAGCATGGCACCCATACCTACTAAAGCTGGAAATACATTTTCATAGACTCGTTGTGTCATAACGGGTGTTTTGTCTGCTTGAAATATGATTGCTTGACATTGATTAAGGACTCGTTTACATAGTTGAAAAGATGGGTTCTGTGGATTTCCTGATAAATCTGATAAATAAGCTTGTAAATACCAAAGACTCTATTATTCATTTTATATATTTATATATATGTATATATATTTATAAACATATTAAAAAAAAAAAAAAAAAAATTATATAAATAGAATTAGGTTCATCGTTAAAATAAAAAGAATATTACCATGACAGCAATATGCATCGATTTCTCACATGCATCAAGGAGATAACATTCAAGTGCCACAGATTCTGTAGGTCTAGTAATTAAAAGATGCCTACCAATTCATGATTAAAAAAAAAAAAGTGATGATTTGCTTTTTTTTTTTTTTTTTGATAGTTACATGAGTTGAGGTAAAAAAAATTCTATTTCTGCAATAGGAAACTTTCTTAGTTCTGTACACAAATAATGTTGTATACCAACGTTATCTGGATATCGAAAAATATATGAAATGGCAATCCACGCATTAAAATATTCAGATTTAAAAAGTCGTAATAATAATGCGTTTGACATGTTAATAGCAAAGAAGTAATTGAAACATATAAAAACAAATAAGATAGTCCTCTGTGTATAAATATATATGTATATAAAAGGAAGAAAAGTAAGATAGAAAAAAAGAGAGGGGTATCTTATTTAAATTTTGATAAAACTTTAAGTTCTTTATTTAGGAAAAAAAAAATGCTTGTTGTGCACTGACATTACATGATCCGTTTGACGGTCACAGAATTTACGAAGAATTACAAAACCATTTTGTACACTAAGAAAGTGAAAGTGGGGTATATAAAAATCAAAGAAGCAATAACGTTAATTTCAAAGTAGGCACATATCAAGAATGTCCCATATGAAAAGGCTTAACTATTAGAATTCAGTTATTCAAAAAAAAAAAAAAAAAAAAAAAAAAAAAAAAAAAAAACAAGCATGTAGATATTTCATGCACAGAAGGAAGGAAAAAAAATGCTGTAGAATATTTGGTAAAGTCAAAAAACAACTTTTATATAAATATTGATGAATTTATTGCTATAGCATGTAAATAATATGTCTAATTTTTATTTTTATTTTTTGAAAATATTATGTTCGGCTAAAATTAAAATATTACATAATCAATTATTATGTAAACATTACAAGTATCTTCTGAAACTTCACGTGTCTATGGAATATGCTATAGATATATGCAAATTTTATTTAACAGACTGAAAAAAAAAAAAAAGAGAGAGAGATAGGGGAACAGAAAATGCATGATTATAATATTCTACAATAAAATTTAATAGTTCTTCTTGTTTTGCTTGTAGTAGTTGATGAGACCATTTGTGGAAGCATCGTGAGAAGAAACTTCACCAGGAGCACCCAATTCAGGCAAGATAGCCTTAGCCAATTGCTTACCCAATTCAACACCCCATTGATCATAACTGTTAATATCCCAAATAGCACCTTGAACAAAGATCTTGTGTTCGTACATGGAGATAAGGGAACCCAAGGTAGCTGGGGTCAACTTTTGGAACAAGAAAGTGTTGGTAGGCTTGTTACCCTTGAAGACCTTGTGAGGAACAATGTTTTCTTGGACCTTGGCACCCATTTCAACACGAACTTGTTCTTCGTTCTTACCGACCATGAGGGCTTCGGTTTGAGCAAAGAAGTTACTTAAAAGAATATCGTGATGGATACCCTTACGGATGGGGTTTTGAGTTTCAACAGGAGCCAAGAAATCACAAGGAATAAGCTTGGTACCTTGGTGAATCAATTGGTAGAAGGCGTGTTGACCATTAGTACCGGGTTCACCCCAGATGATGGGACCAGTTTGTGCTTGGACTTCTTCACCAGAACGAGAAACGTACTTACCGTTAGATTCCATGTTACCCTATAGATTGTATGTGTGTGTTTAGCCTATTATATACTTACTTGTCATCATATTATTCAAATCTAATAATTACTTACTTGTTGGAAGTAGGCAGGGAAACGGTGCATGTATTGATCATAGGGAAGAATAGCTTCAGTTTGAGCACCGAAGAAGTTGTTGTACCAAATACCAATAAGAGCCATCAAGACAGGAATATTGTCTTCGAGAGGGGTGTTAACAAAGTGTTGATCCATTTCATGACCACCACGAAGGAGTTCTTCGAAGTTGTCGTAACCAATAGTGATGGCAATGGAGAGACCAATAGCGGACCAAAGAGAATAACGACCACCAACCCAGTCCCAGAACTTGAACATATTCTTGGAATCAATACCGAATTCAGTTACCTTTTCAGTGTTGGTGGAAAGGGCAACAAAGTGCTTAGCAACGTGGCTGGCCTATAGTAAAAAAAAAATATATCCATATATGAAACAGGGAATTAAAAAAAAATAAAAAATAAAAAAAAAAATTTTTAGTATAAACTGATAAATATATAAAGATATAAAAGAGCAACTATAAATATTCAGATTTGGTAATATAAATAAATACTTACATCCTTAGCAGCAGCAAGGAACCATTCCTTGGCAGATTCAGCATTGGTGATAGTTTCTTGAGTGGTGAAAGTCTTGGAAGCAATAATGAAAAGAGTAGTTTCAGGGTTAACAGACTTGAGGACTTCAGCAAGATGAGTACCATCAATGTTAGAAACAAAGTGAGGCTTCAAACCTTCTTGAGCATAAGGCTTAAGGGCCTCAGTAACCATAACAGGACCAAGGTCAGAACCACCAATACCGATGTTAACAACATCAGTAATACGCTTACCGGTGTAACCCTTCCATTCACCAGAGCGAACAGCTTCAGAGAATTCCTTCATGTGAGCAAGGACTTCACGAACTTCGGGCATAACATCAGTGCCATTTTCATAAATAGGCTTATCGGAAAGGTTACGAAGAGCAACGTGAAGGACGGCACGATCTTCAGTAAAGTTAATGTGTTCACCGCTGAACATTTTATTGCGCAATTCTTCAACCTTAGCTTCCTTGGCCAATTCAACCAACAACTTGAGAGTTTCATCATTAACAAGGTTCTTTGAGAAATCGAATAAGATAGAAGTGTTGGTCTTATTAGAACCCTTAAAAACGCGATGGTATTTTTCGAAACGCTTAGAATCCTTATCAAATTGTTCCTTGATGACAAGGTTCTTGCCTTCAGCATCATAGTATTGTTGGAGCTTACTCCAGGTGTTCAACTTGTTGGCCAAAACCATTTTTACTAGTATGAAATAATAAAGGAAAAAACAAAAAAAAAAGAGAGTCGAGTTACAAAAAAATAGCTCTTTTTTTTATTCAAAATTTTTTTTTTTTAAGTCCAAGGGTTTCTCATTTTTGGTCCGCTATAAATCCGCCCTTTTATTTGTTTCACACAATAATTTGTATCAAGAAAGTACAAAAAATTATGCATTTTAAGCCTTTTTCTTTCAGTTACTTACTAATGATATTCTAATGTTACACGTATGCCTATACTACCGCATAAAAAGAAAAAAGTAACAAAATAAAAAAAAAGAAAGCCAAACAGATCTTTTTTTTTATCATTAATCGAAAAGATCCTATCTGTGATATAATTTTAGCGTTTTAAATTTTCGAATTGATTAAATTGATAAGTTTCATTATAATAGATAACTTAATTAAATAGTCTTTTTTTTTTTTAATTGTAGTCGAGTTTTTTTTTTTTTTTTTTATCAATTCTCCCAGGTTTGTTGCCCCTCCAAATTTTATAGTTCGTTTCTTAGGAAGGGGGAAGGTTTTACAAGACGTGAATTCAAGAAATTAATTCGTTATATATTTTACCAACAACAGTTAAAAAGGCTTTTATTACAAAATCTATTCCATTTTATTTGTTGTCGATACTTTTTTTTTGACCTTATTTTTGAAATGAACAGCAATAATTTTTTTTATTATTCAGAGAGACGGTAGAGGGGAAAAATAATAGTGGATGTAGTTGACATGATGGAAGCTAAATATGACAAATATAACATCACTCTACTTCTGGATCTTTATGTATTGAAACAAGCTCCAGAAAGCCAGAATACTGAATTAGACAAGGATACTAAAGTTTATAGTGTCAATAATAATATCCTTTAAAAAGTGAATAGATAATACAACAGATAAACAGAATTTAATCACTAGCTCTCTAATGATCAAAGAGCAAAAATAGATTCTTAAAAGATACACAGAGGATCAGCTTACTGTGTGTGTGTGTGTGTGTGTGTGCGTTTTTGTCCAGTTGAGACAACCATATGTTATTGAAAACATTACTGAGCTTGCTTGAATTATGAGAATTCACTTCAGAAGCAGCGTAGAAATGGGTTGCTGTGTATGAGGCGGATACAGAGGAGAAAGATAAAAAAAAATAACTTTCACTGGCGAAAACAAAATGTAAGAAAACTAAATTCATCAAGAGCTCGTTAGCGACAAATTTTGTTTTAATGGACGGTTGTTTGTGCAAGGAGTGTAAGGTTTAAATATGAGCAAAACTACAGACTATAAGTTTATGAATCTTAGATTTTACAAGAGTTCACCCTATTAATGTGAAGCACAATGATAAAGATATTCTTGAGTCAAAGGAAAGAATGGCTACTCAAATATAGAGATTCGAATGTTGAATATCTTGAAAATTGTGTATTTTTGTATAATGGATGGTCTGAAAAGGGGTTACACCTGTAAGCATTGAGGTGTACCAAATCAAAAAATGTGGATCCATTATTATTTTAGGAGCTATTTTTATTCATGGAGCTGTTCATATTTCTATGTGTTAGATACGCTTGATCCACACAAAATATATTGTTACGAATATTGCTACAATCTATACTACTAGTTCATTACAATTTTATGCTGAAAAAAGGGGGGAAATTAAGCGCTTCTATTTATTACCTTATTCACCATTTTTGAACTCACTCAATAAAGAAGCGTTGGTTCAAGATCAAAGCTTTTTTCAGTAGTGATAAGCTCACAAAAAAAAAAAAAAAAAAAAAAAATGAAGCAATTCAAGGTAGAATAAGTGAAGTTTCTAAAACAATTATTAATTCAGTTTTAAAGGAAGATGTATATCATTCAAAGACTTTATTTATTAATGGAAGAAAATTTTGTAATTTTATCAAGTACTATAAACGAAACTCACAGTTGCTTTATTTTTGTATATACAAAGGGTATTATAAATATAAACGAAACTAATGGTATCCCGAAGCTTTTTACATCTTTTATCCAAATTAATAGTTTACCCGGTATCACACTATTGTCTGTTTAAATATGCAAATGCCTAGCATTATGGCAGATTTTTATCCCTTTTCTACTTTAATCTTATCTTTCCAGTCAACATAGAAAGCCGGGTATTTTATACGAAACAATTCCTCTAATTTTGCTTAGATTATTCGCTGGTCTACAATATATAATATACTCTTTTAAACTTGATTACTTTCACTATGGTAAGAGTTCTCAAGAAATTCCCCACTTCTTCTTGGTACTAACTTCATCAAATGGTTATTACGGTAATTAATTTAGTATTTGAAGATATATTTCTCCTTTTCTTGATCTGACATGTGAAGTACAGTATTCATTTTATTATATGCTCAAATAGAGCTTTAATCATATTTGAATCATGAATGACTCAAAGACGATAAAAGAAATCGAAGCGTCTAATTTAGTTAGACACAAGTAGATATTTTACTCAATCAAAACCATCAATTTAATTGGCTAAAGTCAACAAATTAAATCCGCCAATTATGTCCGGATTAACTATTATGTCTTTGATGAACAATAAAGGGAGATAATAATGTGGGGAACTTTTTTTTTTTTACCCGTCTTTTCTTCTTCTCCTTCCCACCCTCCCACCCTCCCCCTCACTCTTTCTTACATTTTTTTTTCTACTCAAAATGTTTAGAACAATAGTATCACAACGTATAAGGGCCATTTTGCCACATGTCCGTCATTCGATTGTTGTTCAACCATCGACGGCAATTCGTTTAACAACAAATAGTGTACGCCTCATTTCGACCTCAAGACCTCAAGCCATCTGGCTTCCCTTTGATCGGTCTGAATTACCAGAGGATGACCCACGTCGTAGTGAGCAGTTTGAAGATGAAACTGACGTTGTCATTATTGGTGGTGGTCCTGCTGGTCTTGCTGCTGCTATTCGTCTTAAACAATTAGCTAATGAACGAAATCAAGAATGTCGTGTGATGGTAGTTGAAAAAGCTGGTGAAATTGGTGCTCATACGTTGAGTGGAGCTGTCCTTGAGCCTAGAGCCTTAGATGAGTTAATACCAGATTGGCAAGAGAGAGGTGCTCCTTTAAATACACCTGTTACTAGTGATGCCATGCGTCTCTTGACGCCCACGATGGCTATACCTTTGCCTCATCCTCCTCAAATGAATAATAAGGGTAACTATATTGTATCCTTGAGTAATTTTGTTAAATGGCTTGGTGAACAGGCAGAAGAATTGGGTGTTGAAATTTATCCTGGATTTGCTGCAAGTGAAGTGCTTTATGATGAAAATGGAAATGTACGTGGTGTAAACTTGAATGATGTTGGATTGGATAAAAACTTTGAACCGAAAGTAAGTAGGGGAAAGAGAGGGTTTTTTTTCCCACGCTGTTGTTGCAATATTTTGTAAACTAAAATTATGTCATCTCTCTCTTTTTTTTTTTTAAAAAAAAGGATATATATGAAAGAGGTATGGCAGTTCAAGCCAAGGTGACATTATTGGCAGAAGGTTGTCATGGCTCACTCACCAAAACATTGGTTAAGAAATTTGATTTAAGAAAGGAGAGTGGACCTCAAAAGTATGGTATTGGTCTTAAGGAAGTATGGGAAGTTTTACCTGAAAAGCATAAACCAGGTAGTGTAATTCATTCAGTAGGATGGCCTGTTGATATGCATACCTATGGTGGAAGTTTCGTTTATCATTTTGAAGCAGATCGTCATTTGGTGGCAGTAGGCTACGTGGTAGGATTAGATTATAGTAATCCTTATTTAAATCCCTACAAGACATTTCAACAATTTAAGCATCATCCCAGTGTGAAGTCAGTTTTGGAAGGAGGAAAGTGTATTTCTTATGGTGCAAGAGCCATTAACGAAGGTGGCTATCAAGCAATTCCCAAATTAGTATTCCCAGGAGGTGCCTTAATTGGATGTACAGCAGGTTTCTTGAATGTTCCCAAGATCAAGGGTACACATACAGCAATGAAATCTGGTATGTTAGCTGCTGAATCTGCCTTTGAAAAAATATTTGGTGATGATGCAGTAGAAGATCAACCTATTTTATTGGATACATATGAAGAAAATATCAAGAATTCTTGGGTTTATAAAGAACTACATGAAGTACGAAACTGTATTCCTTCTTTCCATACACCTTTAGGATTATGGGGTGGTATGATTTATTCTGGTATTGAAACGCTTTTATTAAAGGGTCGTACACCATGGACCTTTAAGCATAAAAAAGCAGACTGGGAATACATGAAGACAGCTGCGTAAATATTTATATCAAAAGCATATGTGTATATATATCTTTTATTTATATCCAACATGTATTTTTTTTTTATATACAGTGAATGTAAACCTATTGAATACCCTAAACCTGATGGCGTTATTTCTTTTGATTTGTTGACTAATGTTTCACGTACAGGCACAAATCATGCAGAAAATCAGCCTGTTCATTTGCGTATTCGAGATAAAGATGTTCCTGTCGAAAGAAACTTAGCAATCTTTGATGGACCAGAAAATAGATTCTGTCCTGGTAAGTCTTAAGACATATATATGTATTTATATGTAATAAGAATGTTTGCACAAGTGATATATTAAGTTTATATTATACATAGCTGGCGTTTATGAATATGTCGATAATGAAGATAAACCTGGAGAAAAGAGACTCCAAATTAACTCTCAAAATTGTATTCATTGTAAGACGTGTGATATCAAAGATCCTTCACAAAATATTGATTGGACTGTTCCCGAAGGTGGTGGAGGACCTCAATATGTCTGGACTTAAGTTTGATAAAAAAAATAAGAAGAAGGGAAATAGAAAATTCCCTTTTTATCACATTTTTTTTTATTATTTCGTTTGTTTTTATATATAAAATAAATCGTCTGTTTTTTTATGTTCATTCCATCCTTTTTTTTTCTTTCTTTCAATATACATACATTTATATATAGCCGAATAAAGAAAATGATAAATGTTATCTGTAGTATTTGTCTTCAAGAAGTAACTGAGCCAATAGCTTTAGAATGCGGACATGTATTTGACAAAGAATGGTTTATTTATCATAAAAATATATATATATGAATATCTTAATTATATCAAAGGGAGAGGAGGAGGGAGGGAGGGAGGGACAGATTTATTCAATAAATAAATAAATATAGCTTACAATCATGGTCCCATTTCTCATTTTCCAGACGAGTATGTCCTCTTTGTAGACGTTCATATGTAAATCAGCATCGTCTTTATTTAACTACAGACGATCCATTTGAGATACAACACATCAAGGAACTCACAGATCAAATCCAAACGTTGAAAACAAATTTGAGCTCAACTCAAGATAAACTTGAGGGACACCAGTTAGAGATGAAAAGGCTTTCATTGGATAATGAAGAGAAAAGGAAAGAAATTTGGATTCTTAGTGACTTGGTCCAACATTATACGAACCTATTAAAGGCGCACGAAGATGTTGAAAGGGAGCGTGTTGAGATGAAGAGTATCATGATGAGCCTTCAACATGAATTGGTAACATTAAGAAAAGTTGTCTGTGAGAAAAAGGATATTGAAAGCAAGCTGAAGGAGAGTATTGATGAGATTATAAGGGAAAGAAGTGATCTTCGAGTGAAATATGAGACTGTTTACGCCGAGATTAGTAATAATAAAGAACCCTCTATCAATTATTTACAAAAGCATCTTTTACAGACTTTCAAGGATTTGGATACATATTATCAATCATTAGAAAGTCAGTTTAAAGTCGTCAATATAAGAAGAAGCCTTGTTTATGGAAAAATAAAGAAATTTAACAAATTAATGGGACAAATCAAGAGAGGTTAATAATAAAAAAAAAAGTTTATAACAATAAACCATTCTATGGAAGCATAATATATACTTGTATATAAGGCACATGTATCTCTATTGACCTTTTATTTATTTTTTTTATTATTACTATTTATTTATTTATTAATAACGATGACTGTAATTTGTGGTATTTGTCTTGAAAAAATAAAAGAACCCGTTTCTTTAAGATGTGGACATGTATTTGACAAGCAATGGTTTGTTATAGAAATATATACATATATATGTATATATACATTCTGTATAACGTATATTCATCATTCTTATATACATATAAACATACTTATATATATACAGTATTGAGCTCTATTTTGAAGTGACTCAATTATGTCCTAATTGCAAATGTCAGAGTTCAAAAGAACAACTACATAGAATTTATCTTAATTCGACCTCATCTATTCCCTCACAAAAGACGGAAAAAACACTCTTAGACCTAAAATCACATCAACAAATTGTCAATACAATGGTCAACCAGATCGCTGAACTTAACAATACAATTGAAGCCACTAAAGAAGCTTTTCAACCTACCCTCAGGGAGGTCGAACAGCTGAAGGCCAACAACTATATTTGTAGCAAAAATTATGAAGCAGTTGCTCGTACTAATCAAAGTCTTGCAATGATGAATGAAACCTTACGCAATAAAAATGGAGAACTCAAGATTCGTGATGAGGCTTTAACTGCTGAAAATGAGATATACAAATTACGTAACTCTAAATTAAAAAGCGCAAATGATTCCTTAACAAAGGAGAATCAAAAGCTAAAGGAAGATACAGACTTATCCAAGATAGCAAATACGCAGCTTATGAAAGACATATGTGGACATGTACGTAAAAATGAAAAGTTAGAAGACGATATAAAAAAGCTAGCCCACGAGAACTCATCTTTACGAATAAGTATTGAAACTCTCAAAGAAGAAGTGAATCATACAAACATGTGTACAAATTGTCTTTGTCAATTACTTCCGCATGTGAGATTTGGTAGACGTATGGCTCCACCACCACCACTACCATTGCCACTACCGCCACCACCACAACCTACATTTGACCGTGCATATTCTAGAGAAAGGATTGAGAGTTTATTCATGGAACCGAGAAATAATGTGACTAATACAACTGAATAAATAAAAATAAAATCTATAATTTAAAGCTATGTTATATTCTATATAATAAAAAAAAAATAATCATTTTATTAACCTTTCTTTCAAGTAACCTGTTTATATAAAACTAAAAGTTATCTGTAGCTTTATTCATTTTTCTTTTTCTTCTTTAGTTTAAACCAGATAACATATAAATAAATTGAAATAATTAGAAAAAAAAATATTTCAAAGTAGCAAGGCTGTTTATCTTCATTATAAAATATTATTGCTTAAATAGATAGATATGCTATTATTCAATGTATAAATGACTCCATAGACAATGACGCATATATTACAAATACTGTTAAATATCAGATTGAATTATTTACATATATAAAGCCGTTGTGGAAATGCATAAAAGCATATTAACATGTTCAAAATTGACTTTATTTGGCTTAAAAAAAAAAAAAAAAAAAAAAAAAAAAAAAAAAAAAAAAAAAAAAAAAAAAAACTTTTGGTATGATAAAATACAGAAATAGAATGAGTTAACAGTAGGATGATTTACATAACATCTCGATAAAATAACACTTGATATTCATATTAATGATAAATATAAATCAAATTTGGAAAGAATGAACTTGAACTAGAATTTATCATAGTAAATTAGAATATAACTTAAAAAAAAAGAAAAAAAAAAAAGAAAGAAAGAAAGAGAGCAAAGTAGGAGTTGATTTACACTTACTGCTTAAAAAATAAAAAAAAAAAATAAATACTTGCCTTTCTATACATGAAATATAAGAAATCATTTTTTTTTAATTTCTTTTCTTTTACTTAAACAAAATAGAAATGCAAATTATTTGTAGCATTTGTATTGAAAATATTACCGAGCCAGTATCTCTAACTTGTGGACATGTCTTTGATAAAACATGGTTTGCATAACAATTTAAAGCTTTTGATTCTATATTATAATTAATTATCAGCTCAAACTATATATTAGCATTCAGTGTCACTTTGACGTAACAACTTTATGTCCTCTTTGTAAATATGATTGTCATAATGATTCTTTTAAAACTCTTTATTTGAGCACAGTTGACCCGGAAAAAGAAAAAGAAGAAGCTAAAGCGTTACATGAAACGAGTTTGAACATAACAGATGAGCATATGTTTTTAATACACCTAATAGAAGACCTTGAGACTAAGCTAGCTATTCGTGCAAGCTCTGTTGAGGAAACACGTACATACAATACTCTCAGTTATGATTTGACAAAATATGTTAACGAAATTGACTCTAAGAAAGCACAGATCCAAACAAGATATCAGCATGCTTTAAAGACAGTTAGCGAATACAATAGGAGATGCTCTATTTCACCAGATATATCAAAGATGGATAACTTAAAGCAGGACTTGAAAAACTTATTCAAAGAAATACATACGCAGTATAACAAGCAAAAGACTCAACTTTATATCGCTAGAAAAACAAGCAGATTAATCGATAAAAAACTTAACAAATTTGATAGTTTAATTGTTCAAATTGAAAAGAAAGCTACTGAATAGGACTATTTATTGTGGTAATGATAATGCTCTAGGATATTAATTGTTGAATTTATAAATATAAATAGCTTCTTTCTTTTTCTTTTATAAATTTATATGACTTTACTTTTTTTTTATAATTAATGTACCTATTGTACTTGAAATAACGTAGATAAATATAATGAAACATATACTACGTGATATAATATGTATACATTTATGTATATTCTTATTATATATTTTATCATTCAATGTTTATAATTTATGATATAAGATATCTTTTTGCCGTATTCTAAAAAGATTCTATTATAATTTTATTTGAATCGTAATAGATACAATTGTATAGTATTTTTTTTTTGGCAATAAGCATGTAGCGACGAAATATGCTGTGTTGCCTGAGCCAGTTATGAAGTAGTTGTAAGAATAAAAGATCTCCCAAGAGACAAGAGGGGAAAAAGAAGAGAGCAAAAGAATCGAAAGATATAAAATAATAAGGTGTTGTGGTTTACAGGTAAGAATATAATAAAAAATAAAAAATAAAAGAAAACAGACAGAAGAAGTACATCGAGAGTTGTTAATATAGTTTATTAAGAGTTAAGTTCTATTCAATTATACCAAAATAAGAGTTAATAATGTAAGAGTATTTATACATTTTGTGGATAAGGATGATAATAAGTTTTATTTGATGAACGGAATCATGGAAGAGAATAACGGTTTAATTAAGAATCATTATGTCTTTTGTATGTACATATTCATTTTTTTGTTGAAAAAAAAATCACTAGTTGGAAAACCAAAGTTAGATTGCTTCCAGATAGAATAATGAATAGTTATGATGGCAAGGCTTGAAACAACTTCAAATTATTCTCTGAGGATGAACAGTCTTTTGTACAGCAATCAGATTATGAATGCTCATTATGAATGTTGGCTAGTTTTAGTCTTATTATGACAATGTACATTCTAGTGATGCTGGATTTATTTAACCAAATGGAATTTACCTTGAGAGGAAAGAAATCTTAGGGAAAATATACAATAATCTTTTTAATATTTATACACTGTGCTGTTAGAGTCTTTCACCACTTTTGTTATAAAAAAAAAAGAATAATACGCTTAATTATTAAATATTATTAGAGAAGCAACTTTATTATAGAACGATTTTTATTAAATTAGTTTTTTTTTTTTCATTTTTATTAATATTATAAAAAAAGATGCTTTTCTTAGTTCTCAAATCTCTTTAGTAGAAGAGACTTGATACTAACAGGATTAACCACGAGAAGGTGAAAGCATATCTAATCCCAAAAATAATATTACAACCCATACACAAACAAATTGATACGGGCTGTAATTTTTTCTTCTCCCTCTAAATTTCTACTTGAAAGATAAACGTCCAATTTCAACTAGTAGACACTTGGCAAAGTACCAACCTGACCCAAGCCTTGCTAGAAAAAAAAGATAGGATTCCTCACTTCCTACCCCAATAAAAAAATACAGTTGGATGTAAGTTTCATTGGAAGCCGGGCTAAACATTCTGACCTGTAGCGTGGCGAAGTGGAAGAAATCCAGATACATGAAGTGCACGACTTGACTATTGTTTACCTGAGAATGTCCCTTCTTTGACCCCTAGCATCTACTTTTGACTTAACAGTAAATACAAGCTGGGATTCTTCAACTAAATGAATAGATGAAAAAACCACGGTCAGAAACGTAAGCTGTGCATCCTTATCTATTTTTATTTTATAAACAGCAACTAGATAAAAATAAAAAGAAGGAAAAACCTCCAAAAAGAAAAACAGAAAAACTAAACCTTGAGATAAGCCCTTTCAATGGTGCAGACAAAGAGTACGCTAATCTCCCTAAAAAAGGAACAGGTTTACAATTTCCAACCCCAAGTATCCTTTTTATTTCCCTCCTCCTTTGGAAATAAATCAAACTTGAGCAGTCAAAATTCGATAAGGTCCCATCAATTATCTAAGGTTGCAATAACCCAAGGTGAAGGCGGATATGCATGTAGTAACCAAAAGAGAGTCTAGGCCCTCTCCTTTAGCCATGTTATAAACGGACAGTTCTACACTCTCAAGTAAGCCAAGCTATGTGACTTGAGCACACTTCATAACCCTGACAATGTCTACCCATAGTTTCAAGTAAAAATAAAGAAGAATAGGAAAAATAAAAAAAGCTAAAGAAAAGAAAAGAGAAAAAAAGGGAAAAAAAACGAAAAATGTACTTTTTTTTTATAGTAAAATTCAGGAGAAAAAAAAAATAAACGAAAAGGAGAAGTTATTAAAGTTTAATCTTGGCGTTTTTAATTTACTTTGCGTTAAATCTTCTCTCCTACCTTTCTACTTGTCTTTTTTTTTTTCTTTTTAATACTTTAGAGATAAGTTTTGCCTTTTATTTGAATGTAGTAAAGCATTACTATCTTTTTTGAAAGTAAGCAAGAAAGTAAGAAAAAAAAAGAAGTTTGTTTACTTTTTTTATATGTATTTTTATTCATGTGAATTTATTGAGCATTCTTGTAAAGAAATTAAGCCAAAACTAGTCAAATGCAGTTACACAACAGAGCATGATGTTCATACATTCTCCAAAAGAATAAGAATAGATAAGCTACAGTCAAGCTTATGGAAATTGGCGTTTTCTTAAAAATAATTGGCCTAAAGTCAAAAATAAATGCCCACTTTCGAAAAAAAAAATTATCACAATATTAAACTATTTTTGGCAGTTTGTCTAAAATAAATTGTCCATAAAAAGGAGACTAGTTTGGCCGGACATTTGAGGCAACTTTGACCAATTTCTGGTCAAATAAGTCACAAAGGTTCTTCATTAAAGTGTTCAGGAAAATGCTTTATGAAATGCTAAATGAAACTGCAAATGTTCAGCTGGAACATCTTCACTTCCTTCAACGCCCCTTGAGATAGGAGCTTCCACATCAGTCAACTCGCTTCTTCTGACTCTATTTTTCAAAGCTTTCCGAAACTGCCCAATAAGGTTGAGCTCAGGTGAATAGAATGAGAGATATACAGGTATATATTCTCGTTCAATAATTACAGGATTAACGATAAAGCGAATAGAGGGCGAGGATTAGCATTACTATGATACCAGTACAAGTTCCACTAATTGACAGTATTTGGCTTTGTAGGTACTTCTGTTTTCATATCATATTGGATGACCATTGTATTAGGATTTTGAATAGGATTAGGATGGAGGTTGAACCAAGTGGGATGTGGTGAGAGAAAAAGTGTAATTAGTAACAAGTCTAATGATTAATGTATGTTCAAATGTAGCAAGGGAGAAACCCAAATGGATGATGAACACAGATCGTCATAACATTGGTAACGTCGAGAGGTTTGTCTCCAAACTTACAAGAAAAAACAAGAGTTTTTTCTAGCAAGAATTTCTCTGACTACTACTCCCATTGCAACTTCTACACGTGTGCAGAAGAAACCCAATGCATGTACATCCAAGAACCATTCATCGCACCAGTGACAAGGGGGATTCGCCTCCAATCTCACACGAAGAAACCAAGGTTTCCTCTAGCAAGTCTTCTCTGGCTACTAACCACCTGCAAGTCCACACCGCCTTCCAGATGAACATTATTTTTTTACCTTTTACCTCGTTTACATCTTCAAAAATGATACAGTAGGACCTCGAAATAACGATATCAAAAAAATCGAAAAAAAATATCGTTATTTCAAGATTATCGTTATAGAAAGCAGTCAATAAACCGTCAAAATAATTGTGTGTGACATTTGATTTCCTTTTTAGTCAACCGTTATTTTAAGTGATGTTTTAAAGTAATTAACCTTTTATTCAATCATTTATATACAAAATGACTTATAAACTCAACAAGAAAAGCAATGAAAGAAACATTCGACATAGTTCCATAACATTCAATAGATCTAGATCTTTAATTGCCAAAAGAACAGCTTCAAACAAAGCACCAACTGTTGGAAAGCGCATTCGTTTCAGTAATGAAGAAAAGCTCGAAATATGCCACCGATATTTTGAAGGTCCAAAAATTTCGCAGAATGATCTTTGCATATGGGCAAAGGATAAGTTCATTCTAGACCAAGTTCCTGCCCAGTCTTCTATTAACGGTATCCTTAAGGGGTATGATTCGCTTGAACTTCTTACTACTAATGAGTTGAAAGCGTTCAACTTACGAAAGGCTCAATATCCGGAATTGGAAAGTAAGCTCGTAACATTTGTTACTGATATGGAGAAGCAAAACTTTGCAATCAACGGTCTTTCTTTACGATTGCAAGCAGAGGCCTACTGCAGGAGACATATCGAACTCTTAAATGGTTATGAAATGCCAGCGTTTTCCAATGGGTGGTTGGATAACCTTATGAAACGCAATGGCCTCAAATGCAGAATCATGAACGGCGAGGCTGGTTCGGTGGACATGACAAGCGATCATATTTTAACGGAAATTGACCGTATTCGAGGTGAAATTACCAAGTATCCTCTCAAAGACATTTTCAACTTCGATGAAACCGGGTTGTTTTACCGTCAAGCACCACAGAAAACTATTTCTTTAGAAGAGGTCTCTGGATCTAAGGTCAATAAAGATCGGTTAACCATTGGATTTATGTATAGTGCAGAAGGTGAAAAAGTGGAGCCTGTAATCATCGGTAAAGCTAAACAGCCTCAATCGTTTAAAAAAAATCAGGTAAATACAAGAAAAGATATTCCATTTCGATCAGTAAGACTGATTGCACCAATGTATATAGCCGAGACGTATGGCTTTAACTATTATTTCTACAACGAAAATGCTTGGATGAACAAGGAAATCTTCAGCTACTATTTCAAAAAATTCAACAATGAAATGAGAAAAGCAAACAGAAATGTTCTTGTGCTTTTGGATAATGCATCCGTGCATGATACCAGTTTGAAACTGTCAAATGTGAAATTGCAACCTTTAGATGCTGGTATTATTGCTTCCTTCAAAAAGCAATACAAGTATGTTTAAATGATGTGTAGTTATTATAATGAAGTAATTAATGATAATTTATAGGAAAATCCAATACATCAGAGCATCAGTGAAGTACTGTGCTGCTCAAAAAGTCAAAAAAAAAATCATGATAATCCTATCATTCGCGATAGTTCTTTGGTTGAGCGATACTTCCAGTTGCTACCACCTAGTCTTAGAGATAACAAAAAGAAAAATTTCTTTCACCAAACTCAATTGACTGGAATGCAAACCATCCAGGCTGCTTGGAACAATGTATCTGCAGAAACAATCAAAAACTGCGATAACCATACCAAGCTTTTCGATAAAGAGATCGCTGTAGACGAGCAGCTTGTTGAATTGCAGAGCGATGGAGTTAATAGCGAAATTGAAGAGTCTATGAAGTTAATGGATATGGAAGATGATTCCGTTGACCTTTTTCCTGCCTATGAAAATTTTGGTATTAAAGATGCTGGTATCGCCTTTTCAGTAGATTTAGAAGAGGTTGAACAAAGAGTTGATGAAGATACCGACGATGTAGAAGAAATTGAAGAAGAAATATCAACTTCTACCAGAGCCCAAGTTCTTCTCACTGCTGGTAATGCTTTCCTGGAGTTTTGCATCCCGAAAAATGATTCTCAAGTACAACTTCTTGTCGATATTATGGCCTTCATGGATGATATTAGAAATGAAGAATACTCTAATCGAACCACACAAACAACCCTAAATGCTGATTATTTTAAAAGAAATTAACATTCATTCTCAGATATTTCAAATTATCCAATAAAAATACAGAAAAAATTAGTAATATAACGATATTTTCAAAAAAAAATATCACAACGTTATTTCAAGAGTATCGTTATTTTGGCTGGTAAACCTTAATTTCTCAAAAAAATATCGTTATTTCAAGATTTATCGTTATATTTATATCGTTATTTCGAGGTCCTACTGTATATTCTTTATATACCAAAAACGTTACTTTGTTTCAAATTAAGACGAGTGTCCCAGTTTTATTTGAACGATCCCAGACTGATTATAAACACTGAAATAGGATCAAAGATAATAGTGTGAAATAAAGCAAGTAAAAAATAGAGAATTGGGGAAAAATACCGATAAGCTGTGAATCTCTCCAGTTGTGCTCTGTCAAAAAAAAAATCTCGTTAATCAGTAAAAAGACGATAATACACTATTTCTGGAAATTATTCGTTCATAAAAAAATAAAAATTTCGTTCACAAAAGAAAAAAAAAATGCATTAAAAAATAAAATAAAAAATCGTTCACAAAAAAATTAAAAAATAGTTCACAAAAAGATTTTAAAATTGATTACTCGTAGGAAATAATCTCGTTCATTTTTCGAAAATAATTTTTTTTTAACAATGGACCAATTTATACATGAAGATGGTAAAGGAAACCTTCGTAATGAAGAAGGCGAACCAGTTGCAGTTCTTGAGATGGAAGTTGATGAATTAGAATATCCTCTTGAGGATGTTACTAATTACGACATGTACTTGGACTTGAAGCCACCTGAAAAACCTGCCAAGATTGAACAAGTGGTTACGAAGGACGAAGAAAAAAAAGATAACAATGAAAATAAAAGAATATATCGAACTTATAAGCCTGAAGTCAAAAACTACTTTTTTTACCTTATTTATGAGAAAGGGATGAGTGTACGTGCCGCTGCTGAGGAAATAAAAGTGCCTCAAAGTACGGCACAAACTTGGAAAAAGAAAGCAGAGCTTGCTGGGGATGAAGAAATGAGTCTGAGACAAACTGGAAGTGGTAGAAAAGCTGGTAGACCTCCTATTCTTACAGAGGAACATAAACAGTTTCTGATCAATTTCATTGACGAAAAGTCATCTTCTACATTGGAAGAAATGATAGAAGGTCTCACTAGTCAATTCCCCGGTATTGAAATAAAAAAATCAGCAGTTCATAACTTTGTAACCAAGAAATGCAATATCACCCTGAAACGAGATCATTTCCACTCAATAGAAAGAAATAGCCCTGAAAAAATTGAGGAGCGGTACCACTGGGTGAAAAAGATACTTGAAACTGATATGGATTATTTCAGCAATTGCGTTTTCATAGATGAAGCTGCGTTTCATATTAACATGAAGAGATCAGTAGCTTGGTCTAGAAAAGGAAAAAGGGCTGTAGTTGTTGTACCTAAAACTAGGGCAAAAACAACAACTATACTAGGAGCCATATGTGCACATGGCATAGTTAATGTTAGAGTAAGACGACCAAAAATTCATGCTCCAAATAAAAAAAGAAAAGCAGAGGGAAGTAAACCTGTTCCTAAACAAGCAACGAAAGGGGGCACAGTTACTGGTCATTATTTTAACTTCATTGCTAGCTGTTTAGATGTCATGGATTTACATCCAAAATTTAAGGACTATTATCTGGTAATGGATAACGCCCCCATTCATAAACACGAAGATATACAGAAGTATATTGAAGGTCGTGGATATCGTTGCATATATCTTCCTTCTTACTCACCTGAATTGAACCCTATTGAACAATTTTGGTCAGTAGTCAAAAGTAAACTTAAGCGAGAAAGGTTATTGGAGGAAGAGACAATGACATCAAGAATCCGAGATTTATGCAACAATATTTTGCTCAGTGACCTTCAAGGTTTCTGCCGCTACTCTGTTGATAAGTTTAATGATTGCTTGAATCGAAAGCCAGTTTAATATTTCGTTTATTTCGTTCACTAAAAACGAATGAATTTTAAAATCTTTTTGTGAACTATTTTTTAATTTTTTTGTGAACGATTTTTTATTTTTTTATGAATGAATAATTTCCGGAAATAGTGTACATTACTTAAAACTGAATTGGGTTGCAGCGAGATTATCGACATTGTGACTGAACAACGACTCAAATCTCTACAAACCACTGCTGCAAGCAACGGGGCGTCTAGTGGCAATTCCTCTGCTCTTAATGTTTCTAGCAATTCTTCTGTTCCTGAGGTCTCTGATTATTCCTCTGCTTTTGACATCTCTGATGATTCTTCTGCTCCCAATGAACCAACAAGTCTCACTAATACCCTGTTGATTGAAGTGAAGGACTATTTAGTCAGTGTCATGAATAACTTTGTAAATGAAGAAGATACAAACGATAATCCATGGATGTTCAAGGATATTAATATTAGCCATTTATTCCGCAAATACCAAGCTGCTACTAGCGAAATCCTCGTGAAACACAAGACCCTACCAGTGGAATCCTACGTGCATGAACTCGCGTCTTTGACCCACATTCTTTTTCTTTGCAAAGACCAACATAGCGAGATTGCAGAAAAGGTTTTTTCTTTGGAAACACTGCAGCAACTAACGGCTTTCCTTGAACAAAAGATAATAAACCATAGCCTTGACTTTCCCTCGAACCATTTTATGACAATCACCAATACTCTTACGGATCTCAGCTTAGCAGAAAAAACAAGAGAACAAGCAATTACGGAGTTTACAGTTCTGGCTTCTCAGATGAATTATGGCCAAAAACGGCTTCTATATGGTATTAACAACCTGTAAGTTTGATGGACTTTATAAAAATTATGATTTTACTGACTTTTGTTGTGGGGCTTCGAGTTAAGGATTCAAAAACTCCCAACAAGACCTTTAAATGACTACAAACAAATTAGTGAAAGCGAGTTGTGGAGTACGTACTTCGATCCCCTATTGTCTTGCCTCATAAGCGATCCTGACCGGCTCATTCATCTTCGCTGGACTAATGCTATCCCTATGGAAAAAGGAAAAAATCGACCTGATGCAGTAATTAGTGAAAAACGACAGATGTCATTTGGATATAGTGTTGGTTATGGTGAGGCCAAAACCCTACAAGGTTCTTGTAGCAAGTCATTATGTCTGGACACGCTCCGTTTGGCAATATTCACTAGAAATGCCATTGATATAAATAAGCTTGATGGTGCTCTTGCCTTTCAGATACATGGTTTCAATATCATTTTTTACCTTCAACAATTAACTGCCAAGGGCATATATACCTTTATTGAAATTGCTCACTTTCGCTTTCCTCAATCCCTGGATGATTTACCTTCTCTCTTCACTATGATCAATATCAAAAAACTCCTTGGGGTCAGTGACGTTTTCTGGAGCCTCTGTAGAAAATCCAAGCAACCCGATATAATTGAAGAAAGATACAGAAGAACTCTAGTGAGTTTGGATGCCATGATTGATACAGCTCAAGACAGCACACGCCGATGTGTTTTGAGATTTGGCCACTAGTAAATAATCATAAATGAGTATATACTATTGTATAGTTTCTTTTTAAAAAAATACTGTCTATTTTAAATTAATTAATGTCATCTTTTCTGTCTCATGGCAAACACATATATTGTTATGACTAATGACATTCACTAAAGGAAGACATACAACTTACCAATCATAAGATGTATTATATATAAATCCATACATTTGAATTTATAATAAGAACATTTGATAACCGTTACAAAGTATATTTATTACTTGTCTACTGTCATTTTATAATATTGTTAATCCTGTAATTATTGAACGAGAATATATACCTGTATATCTCTCATTCTATTCACCTGAGCTCAACCTTATTGGGCAGTTTCGGAAAGCTTTGAAAAATAGAGTCAGAAGAAGCGAGTTGACTGATGTGGAAGCTCCTATCTCAAGGGGCGTTGAAGGAAGTGAAGATGTTCCAGCTGAACATTTGCAGTTTCATTTAGCATTTCATAAAGCATTTTCCTGAACACTTTAATGAAGAACCTTTGTGACTTATTTGACCAGAAATTGGTCAAAGTTGCCTCAAATGTCCGGCCAAACTAGTCTCCTTTTTATGGACAATTTATTTTAGACAAACTGCCAAAAATAGTTTAATATTGTGATAATTTTTTTTTTCGAAAGTGGGCATTTATTTTTGACTTTAGGCCAATTATTTTTAAGAAAACGCCAATTTCCATAAGCTTGACTGTATCAATAATATAAAAAATGTCATTTTATACAGCGGTTTTATTTCTTACAGTTTTACAGGATGTTCCCTTTTAGCTGTGTTGTGGAACGCTTTTTTCAATTGTAATTTCACAAGATATTCTTGGTGGTTTATGCATTTTAAATAGTTAGGCTGTAAGCTTTCTTACTACTGTATTATGACAATTGAGCTCTTTTTTTATGATGATCATGATAACAAGGCTCTTTAGGTTTTGATCAGTTTGAGAGGAATAATGGCTTTAAAGAGAAGAAAGAAATAGAGTTTCAAAGAATGTACAAAAGATATGATATCTTTTATTATTATATGTTCAGGCTTATAGTTCGTCCTATATTATATAATCTATCTTTTTTAATATTACTTGTGCTTATATCCAGAACTTGTTCTATAACAAAATTATAAAGAATCTCTCTAAAAAATTTTAATAAAATTACAAAAAAAAAACCTTTGCGACAATACCGCTTTTCCTAAAAAAGACTATAAACAAAAATAAAAACGACAGATTGAAAGTTCTTTTGCCACAATATCCATTGTACTGTCTGTACTAGAAAGAAGAGAATATAAGTAAGTAATTAGTATTGTAGTGAACTCTACTGCTGCACATAAAAAAAAACCTCTGTGCCTAATAATTGTGCCAATCATAATCATTTCCTTCATTGAGTTTAAATATAAAAGCACATCAAGAAAAAAAAAAAAAAAAAAAAAAAAAAAAAAAAAAAAAAAAAGATAATATATAATTCAAACTTTAATATATGCATGTAAAGTACTTTTTTATTTATTAACAACTAAAACAAAACCACTTTTTGATAATTCTAAATTTTAGTTTCTTTAACGATAATCCTTTTACTAAAATCATACGACGTAGCCATTTTCCTTTAGTTGCTTGACTTAGTAGATATTTTGCTGCCCAATGATCCTCACATAAATTTAAAGGAATGCCGAAATAAGCTTCACAAGCGCGTTCAAAGTTCTGTAATGATTCCTCCTTTGTTACTATACTCTTCTTCTTCTCATTATTATCAAATTCAATACAATATTTATATTGATTTTCGTCGTCATCTTTTATACTGTGTTGCTCTGATAACCATTTTAAACCATCTTCAAACCATTCTAATTCATCTTGTTTATTTATTTTACAATGTTGCTTCAAAATAACAGACCGAATAACGCTCATCGTTATTGGTATATGATAATGAGTCTCATTTGTTGATTCATCATAATAGCAAGAGGGTCGTTTAATAAGTCCTGTATCAATGTCATATTCAAGCTTGTATATTACATTATTATAATCGATAATTGAATCATTTGTCATAAACAGTTTTCCTTTATTGTTTGATGATAGTCTTTGTCTTCTTCTTTTTATATTTGGTTGATAATCTATAAGGATATCTTTATCATAATACTCTTCTTTAGTAGTATTTGTTGTTGTCTTATTATTATAATGGAATACTGTGTTCATCGTAAATACATGTATAAAAGAGAAAAGGACATTTGTATATAAAAATCTAACTGCAAATAATTTATACATGCTCAAAAATTAAAATTTATCAGCCCGATTTATTTTAGATATTCACTTCCCAAAGCCTCATTAAAGAAATTTGTTAATTATTATGTCAAAATATTAAATACAGAATACAATACAGACACTATTTTATTCTTTATAATTTGATGTAGCTACATGTAATTGATTCCTATTAAGCTGAATACAAATATATAATGTCTTATTGTATTGCTTGAAGAATAATGCTGAAAGGGAAAAAAAAAAAAAATAAAAATTTGAGTGGAGAATAAATTCATATATGCATGTAAATGTAATACATTTATTTATGAATATATACAAATACATATAAAAATATATGAATATTTTTTTTTTTTTTTTTTGAAACACTTGGGTCTATCACTGTCCTTTCTCCCTATTAAAGTGATAAAGTGACTGTATTAATTAAGTCTCAAGTTATTCTTTTTTTTTTATTCTATTCTATTCTTTTTTTTTTTTTTTCCTCTTCTCTTTTAAATCATGCTTTCTATTTTTATTATTGGCATTGGAGATTTAGAATAGTCAAATGGACAAGCAAAAAAAGTCCAATTTAGTTTCCTTTGATTTCGAAATATCCGAAACACATCAATCTCATGAAGAAGGTGCCTTTTCAAAAATATTTGACAGAGTATTACATAATCATAAAAGACAACAATTAACTGAACAACAACTTAATGATTCGTTGCATGAAACAATTAATTTAAATAAACATCTAGCAACTACAAATTCTTCTTGCTCTTCATCCACAAAAGAATCAATTATTAGCAGCTTTTCAGTCCATTTAGATTCGACTGCTGCCGTCGTGCCTCGATCGTCTTCGTCAACTACAGCTACAACAGCTACAACTGTAACTGTAGGTAATTCAAAATTTGAATTAAAAGATCAACCTTTGAAGGAGCCAGCTCAAGTTACTGTTCAATCTTTGACACCTACTTTACCAAAATCCCAAGATCAAGAGGCTTTAGACTTTTTGTTACCAATGCCGAAAAGACAGTCATTTGACAGTGATACACAATCTATTGTAACTAACTTTTCCATCAGTAATTCAAACTCACTTTCCAAGATATTGGCTCGTTTAAGAGGACAAAGGAATGATGAAGAATTTTGGATGCCTGACGAACAATGTAGAGAATGTTACAAGTGTCGTAAACCTTTTACATTTTTAAGAAGAAAACATCATTGTCGTACTTGCGGTAAGTAGCTTACATATAACTATCTATCTATTAACTTAAAATAAATATCGATTCTTTTCCTTGAGGTTAGGTCAGATATTCTGTGGAAAATGTGCTTCTCATATCATATCAGGAAAAGTATTTAAACAAAAGGGACATGTCAGAGTATGCAATTTTTGTTATGCAGAACATCAACTAAATGAAAATTCAACATCTGCTTTAGCAATACCAAAAATGGCTACGCCTACTATGAAATCTGAATATATTATGGCCAGTTCACCTTTATCAAAACATACTGAAGTCAATGATGATGATCCGTCAATAAATAATTCATATTCTTCTCCAATTATACCCTCACAACAAAAGCCTCCACTCGTTGCTCCCAAGATGCAAATTCCTACAACAGCTCTTAAACAAGCTCGTGGCCATTATGGAAATGTGGATACTACTACATTTGCATTTGAGATACCTTCGCCTAATGATACAGAAAGACCTCTTGATGCTACTGATTACTCACCAACTATCCCCACTATTACTACAACAGGAGCATCTAATAATGACCTGCCTTTGAACGGTAATAGTGGTTTAAAACGATTATTGGATGCTGGCACATCTTTGTTAATCAAATCATCACGACCACGTTCCAATACCTCTTCATCAGCACCTCTTTTTGACGATAGATCACATCTATCTTCTTCTTCTATTTTAGACTGTGGTGGTGGCACTGTAGTAGCAGAATCAGAGCTAAGTCCATTTTCATCTAATAGCACAAATAGCCATGCAGCAGCAAATAGCTATTCAGCAGAGTTTTACCAAGACCAATTACGTCACCATCCTTCTACATCACCTAAATTGCCACAGTATGGAAGTGATGATGAATTATATGATCGACGTACAAAGCGTCCAGAGGAATTACGAGGTAGATTTTTTTTTTTTTTAGAAAGGAAGAAAATAAAATAAACTTATCATTTATGGAATGAATATTAGGTCATGAGGGTTCAAAAAGGAAAGTCAAGATACAAATTAATACTATTGGGCTTCCCAAATCATTTCAACCAGACTACGACTGGTCACCAAATCCTTTTCTTTCACCTTTTCTTATTGATGACAATAATAAGTTTTCACCCTCTTATGGTAATAATACAGAGAATCGATCCTTTCGTTTCCCACCATTATCGCGACAACGACGTCAGTCAGGTCCACAGCCAATGGTTGAACTTAGTTTTAGTGCCCGTACTCATGCTCGTAATATTCTCCGTCAATTAATGAGGGATATACCCATTTTAGCACTTGAATCTCATTCGGAATGGGAAGATGTCATTATGGAGTTGCTTCTCAAGACAACTAATAATGTAAGACCTGATATTAGGGCAGGTGACGACATGGATGTTCGACATTATGTCAAGATTAAAAAAATACCAGGCGGTTTACCAAACGACAGTTTTTATGTGAGGGGGGTTATGTGCACTAAGAACATTGCTCACAAAAGAATGGCAATCCATCTCAGGAATCCAAAGATTTTAATTTTGATGTTTAGTCTTGACTATTCTCGCGTTGAAATGGAAAATCAGCTGTTATCAATCGAACCTGTGATCTCGCAAGAACGTGAGCATATTCGCAAACTAGTAGCTCGTATTGTTGCATTGCGACCATCATTAATTGTTGTCAAATCAACTGTCTCAAGACTGGCTCTTGAGTTTTTGTTGGAAGCACAAATACCAGTTATTCATAATGTGAAACAGAGTGTCATTGAAGCTGTAGCACGATGTACGCAGGCAAGCATTGTGACATCAGTGGATAAACTACAACAAGCCACAATGGGACGTTGTGGATCGTTTGAAATCAAGACTATAATGCACGAATGGATAGTAAATCGTCGCAAGACTTACTTAGTATTTGATGATTGTGCACCAGAATTAGGAGGCACTATTGTATTACGTGGAGCTCGTGTTGAAGTGCTACGAGTTATCAAACGACTTTTAGATTTTATGGTGTTTGTTGTTAACAATCTCAAGTTGGAGACTTCCTTGTTGCTAGATTCATTTGCAAAGAGTCAAAATGAGCCACTGTCACGGTCGTCGTTATCTTCTAATGATAAGGATAGCTCTAATTATATTGATAATTTACTTCAATTATATGGAACAAGAATTTTGTCTGTATCACAATTTGTCGTCTATCCACCACCTTATCTATTAGTAAAGCTGAAGGAGACAGAGGATCAGTTGGCGATGATACGAAAACAAAGGCAGTCCAAGATGATTGAAGTATCACCAACGCGATCCGTTTTCGAAAAGCAACAACATCAAATAGATTTAGAGATGACGATGGATGCTGAGCATGAATTAATCCTTAAGAATCACCGAATTGCAAGAGCCTGGGAGGTATACATGGGTGAAAATCCCGAATCAGTTTCACCTTTCTATCATCAAAATATTGTGGTACTTTATTCAAGTGTTTGTACCGTAACTACCGTACCTTGTCAAGGTCCTGAAATCCGTATCTTTAGTTATTATCGATTTCCTTCTGACAAAACATTAGGGCAATATTTAATTGATTTATTTAATGATGCTCGGCAGACATGTTCATCCTTTATGTGTGATCATTCCATGATGCAGCATTATCGATCTTATGCACATGGAACGGCGCGTGTAATTGTAATGATTGAGCCCTTTGCTTGTCCATTACCCGGTATGTCTGATAAGCTTCTAATGTGGAGCTATTGTAAGCTATGTAATAAATATACACCTGTAATGCCTATGTCTGAAAATACATGGAATTATTCATTTGGTAAGTTTCTTGAGATCTTTTTGTATCAAAGGGGTGTAAGATGTCGTGCAGATATTTGTCCACATGATATTGCACAGACACATGTTCGATTCTTTGGTTATAATGATTTGGCTATTCATTTCCAATATGACTCTATTGACTTATTGGAAGTGTCACCACCGCCTATGAAGCTTTTTATTCACCACCAAGCACAGATGGATCTTAAGGAGACCGAACTCAAATCACTTCGATCTAAAATCAACAAGTTTTATCAGTCAATTATGGACCGTAACAAGAATTTCCCATTTGATTTAGTGGACCCTCGACGACTAGAGTCATGTAAAATTGAGTTACAGGAAATGTCTATGGAGGCAGAAGGTGAGCGTAAAGAAGTTTTACAATCATTGCAAAATATCTATGCGACATCCGATCCATTGGATACGCTGACAATTCAAATTATACAACGCGACTTATTTCAGTTTGTCACGCATTGGGAGAGTGTCTATACAGACTTTGTACAATATTACTTGAAACCTGAACGGGAACTCAAGAAGCTCACTACGATTCAATTGAAAAAGATGTTTCCTGGAGATGAGGCTATGGTACAGCCAATGATTATGGCTTCTGACATTATTGACTTACCATTGTTGGGACAAGATCTAGTAGAAGATAATAATGATAATGAAGATAAATCGACAGAGTTTTCGATGATGCCTACCCTATCATCATCTCCCTCTCTGAAAGATAAGGAACAGCCTTCTTGTTTACAATTCGAGATACGTCATCGACTTTCGTTAGAACTCATGCGCGAATTAAATAGCAAAACTACACAGAAAAGTCCTCGTCTATCGGCCTCCTTTTCACCACGTCGATTCTGTAAAGGTGATTTACCATTGCTATTATCAAATGAAAAACCTAAACAAACTAAGCATCAAAGACATTACTCACTTGGTCAACAAGACTGGAAATCTGATAAACAGTTGATATCTAGTCGTGATCGTTTACCACGTAAAAACACATATATTCAGGTGTATACACAAGCAAACGACCTTGTGCAAGAAGAAGAGATGGATGAATTTATGGACGATGATGTGTTTTCACGACGTCGTCATATTGAGCTCTCTAAATTTCATTCAGATAATGATTTATCGCCTGCTGAGGAGAACATAGACTACTTTTCAAACTTGGCACCTTATTCGCTTGAAGTCATGAAGCCGTATACTAAGCAAGTATCATCACCACAAGAGATAAGACCCTTTAGCGATGGTTTGGATTTGTCATCCGGGGTATCAGGGGATGAGATAGATGAAGATTTACCAAGGGCATCTGAATTGTTAAAAACACAACCCTTAGCCAACATTCATCCTGATCTGCTGATCGATAGTGTAACATCAAAAGGATCAAAAACTGTTCATTTGGATGACACACGACATTCTTCTATCGAGAAAATATCCTTTATGAAAACATTGACTAACTTTTTGACAGATAGTGGGGTTGGAAACTTATTACCACTGGAACTACCATTGTAAGAAATTAATATATATATATATATATATGAAGGATATAAGTTTTTTTTTATTAATATAAGTTATATATGTATACATATAGGCAATCTACAGAATATCTTTTTCCTGATTCGTATGTAGTAGTACGAGAAGATGAGCCAAGTACAATTATTGCTTACACATTAAGTTCCGAAGATTATATTGATAAAATGTGTGATATTCACAATACAGCTGAATCGTCTATTAAGGCGGCATCCTCTTCAGAACTTAAGCTTGACAACATGGATGACATACAAGAGACCTTATTGCGTGAATCAGGCACTCATATGCGCTATAACTTTTCTACCGGATCTACTAAATTCTTTTGTAAAATATTTTTTTCAGAGCAATTTGATGCACTTCGACGAAATTGTGGATGTCATGAGAGCTACATTATGTCGTTGGCTAATTGTGTTAAATGGGACTCGTTAGGTGGCAAGTCTGGATCAGCTTTTTTAAAGACAAAAGATGACCGACTATTAATGAAGCAGATGAGTAAATATGAATTAGATGCCTTCTTGAGGTTTGCGCCGGCCTATTTTCAATATATGTCAGAGGCATTCTTTAGTGATTTGCCGACAGTATTGGCCAAGATTTTTGGGTTTTATAGTATTGGATATAAAAATGGAGCGACAGGTAAATCAATGCGAATGGATGTATTGGTAATGGAGAATTTGTTTTATCAAAGAAAGATAAAGAAGGTTTGTAAATTAGCTCCTTTTTAAATAGATATATACATATATGCATATTTAAATATTTAAATAGATATTTGATTTGAAAGGGTCCATGAGGAATCGGCATGTTCAATCTACGGGGAAACAAGATGAAGTACTTTTGGATGAAAATTTAGTAGAATGTAAGTCAATATGTATATATACATATTTATATAAATGGAGGGATTCTTTATCTTCTTAATTTTTACTTGTTTTATTTAAAGTGATTTATCAATCCCCTTTATTTATTCGGGCTCATTCAAAGGAAATTCTTCGAAGCTCATTACATAATGATACCCTGTTCCTATCAACAAGAAATGTCATGGATTATTCATTACTCGTCGGTATAGATGAGGAACATCGAGAATTAGTTGTAGGCATTGTTGGTAAAACTATATCATTCAAATACATTTTAGCAGGTTAATAACAAATGTATATTTATATATATATATATATACTAGATTTCATAAGAACTTTTACATGGGATAAAAAGTTGGAGAGTTGGGTAAAAGAATCAGGTATTTTGGGTGGAGGAGGTAAAGAGCCTACGATTGTATCACCTCGGCAATATAGAATTAGATTTAGAGAAGCAATGGAACGTTATTTCTTAATGGTACCTGACTTCTGGGCTTTAAGTAGACAAGTGAATAATAATGAACGTGTAGCCTTAATACAACAGCGACCCAGTTCATCGATACATCATTCAGAATTAGATGAAGAATAAAGCTTTTTTTTCGAGAAGCTTTTTTTCTGGAAAAAAAAAAAGGAAAGAAAGGAAAAGAGGTAATTTCCTTATACATATGTATTGTATATATTAATTGTGTAATAAAAAAAAGTTCTTGTAAATATAATGTCATAAATATAAATATCACTAATAAATACAATTTTTATAAAGTTGGAAAATGATCATAATTGACGTAAATACATATACATATTTTATTCAAATACAAGACTTTCGTATATAATATATACATAGAAAAAAAAATTTTTTTTCTATTGCTTGTGATCTCTTGGACGACCCATCTATAAAATAAAGGATTCGAGATATTACATAGAACCGCAAGTCTTGACAACTAAATTTGTTTTCAGAAAATACATAGGAAAGGTTTTTTTTTTTAAGAAAAAAATTCATCTATAGCAGTATACTATGAATCCCATTCTCTTATTTTTAGTAGATGTGCAACTTAGCTTGACATTTAAGGAGGAAGAGTACAAGCTGAATCCAAGTTTATATATAGAAAATGTCAGTTATGTTATACTTAATATACATTCTTGCTTTGTCATTAGTACAAATGCTGTTAAGTATACAAAAGCATTCACAGGAGCATCATAAAATAAAAAAAAGACCATTTTGTTGCATCATAAGTATTAATTATGATAGCTATTGATGTTTTGTTGAATGATGAACCCTGTCATCAAGTTATTGTTAGAAAAAAAAAGGGGGGAAAACAAAAAATTAATTATTTGGTAGTGCACAGTCACTGATGATAAGATATAAATGTAAATTCATGCTACATGTACAAAATTCTTTTATTATTATTAATATTCTTCCCCATCCCCCCCCCCTTTTGTTTATAGTCATGTATTATTATCAGTTGAAATGTGTATTATATACACCAGAACAAATCACATTCCCCTCTAATTTTTTTAGTCATTCTTTTCCAACTATCAATCCCGTATCAATTGATTTTTTTGACGATTATAGGAATAAATCATTAATTTCATCTTCATCGTCATCATCATTGCAAAGACGACCCTCTCAACATCCCATCAAACATGTCCCTCCTACACCCATTAGTCATACTACGACTTCTAATGCAACAGAAAACACTTATCTTAAAAATCATACAGATTTTCGGTTAGGATCTATTCACATTACTTCTATCGACAAACAAAATAAAAAAAAGCAATGGCATCTTGGTTATGGTATCCTTCATCTCTATCGTAGTATGGAAGAAACAGAGCCTGACAGTGATACTCTTTGTATTTTGGCAGTACCTTCTTATATGACAGATACTGATTTTATACAATTTGTGGGTAGTCATCATAAAAGTCATATTCTACAGTATAGGTTCATAAAAGATTATTCTCCAAACAAATATACAGTACTAGTGAAATTTGATAGTCGAGCAAGTGCTCATGACTTTTATAACAAGTTTAATGGAAGACGATTCAATATGACTGAGGTAAAATATTATAAAATTTGAATAGTTCGATGACTTAAATTTTTTTTTTTTTTTTTTTTTTTTTTTACTTGCTTATTAGCCTGAAATTAGCCATGTTGTCTATATCCAACGACAATCTATTGAATCTATTCATATCGCTCCTCATACTTACCCTCATATGAATGAAACTTTAGGTCCACCTACAGATACAGAATTACCTACTTGTCCCACCTGTCTTGAACGACTTGATGAAACAGTAACGGGACTTAAACCGATCCAATGTCACCATATTGCAACACAGTGCGTTTGTCTTGATAAATGGGGACAAAACCAATGTCCTATTTGCCAATACTCTCAGAGGCCAACTCATCAAAGGCCTCTTACAAAATCCCTGGTATTTGATCGTCAAAATTGCTGTTGCTTTCAATGTGGCTCCTCCACCTGTAACCTGTGGATCTGTATGATATGTGGTCATATTGGATGTGGACGATATCAATCTGCACATGCCTATCATCATTATCGTGACTGCCAACATAGCTATGCATTAGAAATTGATACTCAACGCGTCTGGGATTATGTTCAAGATGGTTATGTACATCGACTGATTCAGAATACAGTGGACGGTGGGTTAGTTGAATTACCGTCGATGCATCGAACGACTCAAGCCCCCGAGACATCATCCTTGTCCAATACATCTACTACCAGTGATAATCATGAAAAGTTGATGGATAGTCTGTCGGCTGATCATACTTATATGATGACATCTCAGCTTGATTCACAACGTATTTATTATGAAGAACAATTAGAAGGTCTTATGAAGCAACTGACTGTGTTTACAAACCAGATAAAATCAATACATGACGCGATTGAAGAAGGTAAGGAAAAATATAATGTATTGCTCGATCGAAATGTGTCGTTAGATATGGCGATGGAAGATTTGAAAAAAGACAAAGAAAAGGTAGATAAACGGATTCAAAATTACAAAGAAAAATATAAAGTGATGCAAAAGAATTTAGCCGAAGAGAAACTGGTAAATAAACAAACAAACAAACAAAAGGGGAACATGAGTAAACATATACTTATTACTGGGTTTTTTTTATTATTATTATTTTCCTTTTTTCTTATATATATATATTTGTGTACATATAGCTTAAGAAATCACTCATCAAAAATAATGAGTTATTAAAAAAGAATGTTGAATTAAAGGATGAACGATGGAAAGTTCAAAGTGATCAAGTTAAACAATTAATGACATTATTAGAAGAAACAAACCAATAATAAAAATTGGCATGACTGCGATTTTGTAGTCTACAAAATTTGTTATTTTATTTTATTTTGTTTTCTTTTTTTTTTTTTTTTATAAAATTATACAAATTAAGGCAACATGAGTACCGAAGAATTAGAATCATATCGTTTCCAATTAGAACAAGTTGAACTTGCATTACAATCTGACTCAACTAATGAGGAATTACAAAAGTTACAAGCAGATCTAAAAGAATTAATTGCCATGTTTGAACAAGTACAGTCATCACCTGTTAAAAAGTCAAATAATGCGGATGCCTCACCGACTACAACGACCATGGCTTTAAAAAACAATACATTTTCGGTCAATCAAGAAGTAATGGCACGTTGGTCAGGTGATGGCCAATTTTACAAGGCCGTCATTACAGCTATCGGTGGCGCCGATCAAGTCTTTTCAGTAAAATTTAAAGGGTATAATGATTCAGAATTTGTTAAAGCAGAAGATATTAAACCTATTATTGAAAAGAAGAGGACAGGTGTATTTGAAGATGTAAAGGCAAGTAATAAAAAAGTTAAAAAAGAAGCTGCATCATCATCATCACCATCGACAACATCTGCTAGTAGTAATAGTAGCAAAATGAAGAAAAAGACAGTAGAATTTGAAAATAAAAAGAATGCATGGTTGAGCTTTGCAACAGGAGATAAAAAGAAGCATAAAAAAGCGGTGCCTGTAATTAATAAGAAGAGTATTTTTAAGACGCCTGATAATCCAGAAGGCAAAGGTAAAAATATAGATATTTATATGTATATAGTTAAAAAAAAATGTTCATAGCAAAATTTATTAATTTACATGTATTAGTTGGTGTTGTTGGTAGTGGTAAAGGTATGACATCATTTCAACAAAGAGGAAAACATATATATACACCTTCTTCAAATACAGATGATTAAAACACTAGTATTCATAATAAAAGTTTAATATACATAGTATTACGTAATAACGTACTTCTTAAGGGACTTTTTTTTTTTTTCTGAACTGATATTCTCCCAATAAGAAATTATTTTTTTTTAAAAAAAGGTGGAGATTTTATTTATTTATTTTTTTCTCTCTTTTTTTTTTTTTTTTTTTTCTTTTTTCTGAATTTTGCTATATAATGCTGCCTCAATTTGGTTATATTGTAGCACAGGCTGGTGCAGATTCATATCCAAATAATAATCCACCATCCTACTATTATCCTCAACGATTGCCTCCTCCTATTCTAGCTGACAAAAGAGATGAACAACAGCAGCAACAGCAACAACAACAACAACAGCAGCAGCAGCAGCAACAACAACAGCAGCAGCAACAACAACAGGGATATAGACCACTTCAACCATTATTATTACCATCATCAAGAATAAATGACACACAACCACCACTTCCACATATGATTTGGCATTCTGAACAACAACCATTGCCTCCTATTAACCACCAGCCACCAGATGATCATAAAGTAACAACGACACCAGCAGTAGTAGCAGTACAACAACCAACAATAATAGAAAAAGATCAGATAACAGACGATCAAACTTCACCTTGGCATGGTAATTTATATATATACATATATATCCACGCCACACACGAATATTAACAATACTATATAGATTTTAAAACCAACAATAATAATAATAATAATAAAGTTGTTCTTGTACGCCGAATACGAGAATCGAACGACCTCATTAGTCTCATGGATACTGAATTCTGGGAACAATGCGACGAGTAAAGAAAAAAATAATAAATATTTATATATTAGCCAAATTATAGTACTTACCTCTAATTCTTTATTTCTCTCTCTTTTTCTTTTTTTTTCTTTTTTTTTCTTTTTTTTGTTATCATAAATAGAATTTATAGGGAAAAACTCGACTCTCTCCAAGAAGAACTTCGAATGATTCAACAAGGTCAGATTTAAAAGAAAAAATATTTTTTTTTTTTTTGCGTCGCCGAAATTAAAAAATTTTCCTTTTGTAACATATGAATATAAATATATATAGGCACACATTCGGCATTTCAAGAAAGTTTAAATGATCTTGAAAAATATCGTGATAATACAATTGAAGATGCCTTACTTTTTAAAGAATATGAAATGGGAGTTGTTAAACAAGATTATGATGAGGAAACGGGAAAAGTAGAAGCAGAATATGAAAGTGAAAGAAATGGATTAATGGGAGTTTTGTTACAAATAATTGAAGAAAAGAAAAAACAAGTGACAAGAGAAGACGGTGAATTAGATTTAGATGTCTTTAAAGATGCTTATAGAAAATTAAATGGAAGAAGGAATTTAAGGAAGACGGTAATAAATGGAAGACAAAGTCAAAGTCAATCTCCTTCACGACATCAAGAAAGACGTAGTCGAAGAGGTAATAAAAATATATATATAACATGCTTTTTATTATTATTATTAATATTTTTTTTGTTTTCTATAGATCGTCAAGCTACACCTCATAACATTCATGCACAACCTACTTCAACAGAACAAGAAGAATTAGAAGCTGACTTTCATAATATGAAGGTATAAAATAAGCAGTCTTCTATTTACTATGTCTTTTTTCTTTAATTAGTGCTTATCTTAGGGCGATCTATCTTCTTCTAATCTAAGAAAACAACGATAATAATGTAAATACAACCGAAACAATTATAGTATACACATACACACACACACACATACACATACACATACATATATACATATATATATATACAAATATATGTATGTGTATATATAAATATATACATACATGTATTATTTTATTTTATTTTATTTTATTTTGCATAAATAGAATTAAATGTCCGTTCAGGTTTTTTTTTTTATTTTATTTCTATTTTATTTGCAGTATTTTCGGACGTTTTTAAAAAATTTTGGGAAATTTTGAAAATCATTTCGAGGACCTCATGTAATATTTTTTTTTTTTTTTTATATAAATATAAAATTGTTTGTTTGTATATTTTCATAATAAATACTCTCGTCCAGTTTCTAAATAACATTTAAGTTGTTGATGGATACAATAATATTATACTTGGGTAGGATGGAGTAGTATACAAATATATTATTTATTTTATTTTATTTAATTGACGGACGCTAATGTTTAAATTTTGATTCTTTTAGAATTGTAACTAGCATTGTTACGACGACGCTTTTGTATATTGTTATCATTATTATTAGATCTGTCATTAGTAGATACAAGGTTAGCTTCATTTGAAGGCACTTGTTCATTACGACGTGCCCAATATTTTCTAATAGGAGAGAGAGAGTAGTCAAGGAAATTACTAGCAGACTCCCAAGTAATCATCGCTTTCACCATAACCTTTTCCATCTGACTTGGTATAAGTAATTACCAGGAGTAACCCTTATGGTTGATTACTACCTCAACTTCATCATAAGTATCCGTTTCAGTATTGGCCAATTTAACTTTACGCGATATCACTTTAATATGGGAAGGAGGTACGTCTCTTGGTAAGAGTGGACCTGTACCATCAACCAATACATAGTTTCCACCCTGAGTTTTTCTTTTGACAGTGTAAACGTTTATAGATGATGGACTTTGTTTTTAGATATCCAGCGTTCAACTATACTATTTGTACGAGGATGATAGCTTGTTACAAGCCGATGGTCGATATCAGAGTGTTTAATATAAAGTCGTACTATTTCATTTACGTATTCTGTACCATTATTGCTTTAGATAATTTTAGGTCTTCCCATTAGAGATAGATAGTATATTTCTTATCGTAAGTGTTATTGTTAAGGATAATTTATCAGAGATTGCTCCAAGTACACAAAATCTAGTAAATATACCAACAACTAGAAGGATGTAGTTATTTCCTTGTAAAGACAGTGTTATAGGGTCCAGCGGCGTCAATACAAATATGACCCTATGGAGCATTAGCATAAATTGATTTTAATGGATGATATTCATGTTTTGACAATCGGGACAGTTTTTTTACTGTGTCAAGAGTATCTTCTTTAAGCTTTGTTCAATGAATTCATTCATTATGTAAAGCTGTTACCATAGCTTGAGCATCACGATGTCCTTCTAAATGAGTTTTTATCAGTAGATTTAATCCTTCTTCTAGTGCTGGTGTTATTAAATCAACAGGGCATCATCACACGAGATGTAAGAATAGATCCATCGTCGTTGACATTTTTTTGTCTTTTTATTATAATATATATATATATATATATATATATTTGAATTTAAATTGATAGGGTATTTATAAGACTTGTTAAAGAGGTCTGAGACAAGATGTGAATCAGAAAAGTGTTAGTTAACGACCGAATAAGATATGTTATAGATAATGAAATCTTAGAAGCTTTAATAATATTTGATGGAGTGGATCAAAAGAGTTTCAGGAAGATTTGGATAGAGCTCCTTAAATAATTTTATAATTCACGTGTTTAATCAAGAAACATGACATTATAAATCAGCTCATGACAGGACTAAGTAAAATACAACCCACAAAACGAACCTTTGCTAAGAGCACAGTATGAGATGGAAGTTGATGATAATTATGAGCTTGATTTTGGTACATTGAATAATTTAGTTTGTTCATGTTGAGTCTTTAAATTAACAAGTAATCGAATCTCAGCCAATGGAAGACTTACTAGAGGAAATCACAGTTGACATGAGTAAAGTCAAACTCAATATGAGGAAATATATAAAAAGTATGTAGCAGATCAGATAGAAAGAAAGATTCATTAAGATCCTCCAAGAAGAGGTATTATCTGTTCCTAAAGCGGCTGCGGTATACGGCATACCTCATTCAAGTAGCTTATAGGCTTTTGGACGAGTTTAATAGAGGTGACGGGCATGTACTTCCAGGCACGACAGTCCAATCGAAAACTACCAAGCCAAAAAAAAAAAAAAAAAAAAAAAAAAAAAAAATTACATGAGGTCCTCGAAATGATTTTCAAAATTTCCCAAAATTTTTTAAAAACGTCCCAAACTCAACCGAAAATACTGTAGTTTTAAATCAAAAAGCCTTTCTTTTTCTCTCTCTCTTTTTTTTTTTATTTACATACATAAAACAAAATGATAATTTTATTAAAATATTTACTATTGATTTTAAATACTATTCATTTTACCTTATCGCTTAATTGTGACTGTGGCTATTTTGATTCATCTACAAACGCTGTCTGGTCTACTATGTATCACCTTAATTTCCAACATCCGTCGTTATCCACTAATAATCATTCTATTCTTTATAATAATCATCGTCAAGACCTTTTTTTCGCTAATTATACTATTCCAGCTAAATATAATGATCCATACTCGCGTATTTTTCATCGTGATAATGTTCGTTTGACTAAAGATTCATTAGAGATTATGATTACTAGATCAGATATCATTCAATGTGGAGGTGTAGGTACACGTCGTCATAATTTTTTATTTGGATCCTTTCGGGCTTATATTAAAACTACACATGTACATGGTACTGTCTCTGCCTTTTATATCTATAATAGTCCAACCGCAGAAATTGATATTGAGATCCTAAGTGCTCTACCAGAGCCTCGTCCAATCTATTTTGCAATTCATCCAAATTTATTTGAAAGTAACGGGAAAGCATCTGTACTTACACATGGCTCAGCTAGGTTATTATTACCCTTTAATAATTCTGATCCTACTCATGATTTTCATGAATATCGTATTGACTGGTTTCCTGGTTTAGTTGTCTTTTATTTGGACGGATATGAAGCGTATCGATCAACGACCAATGTGATGAGGGTACCAAGTCGTGTTATGTTAAATCATTGGACAGATGGGAATCCAAAATTTAGTCAAGGTCCTGTAAAAGAGAATGCAAGTATGTATGTTAAAAATATGACATTCTTTTTTAATGAAACTACAAGTAATAAAATGTCATGTAGCCATACGAACATAAAATGTAATATAGAAGGTAATTTCTTTTTTTTTAAAAAAAAAAAAAAGGTATATTTTTGGTTTTCTTTTTCTTTTTTCTTTTAATGTAATATTATATAATAATGCAGATATAATTCAAACACTAAGTGATTCAACTATACTTATAAATAATGACACATTATTACCTATTGACGAGAATGAGATTAAAAAAATATCAAGTCAAGCTTCTTCATCTAATATTATGATGAAACCAACAATTTTAATAATATTATTATTTCATTTATTAAAATAAATATTTATTATTATTATTGCTTCAAGTGTTCTAATAACATCTTTAATCTTTTATTTTGTACATTATTTTGAAATATGTTATCATTATTATTTAACCAATTTAAAAATTCAGTATTAGATGCAAGTACGGTTTCATAGAGGGAATCGCTATCATCTCCCATAAACAATTCATCATCATCATCTATTACTGCTACTTCTGTCGTTACCCTAGTAGCAAAATTTGTTCTAAATCTGGATAATAATCTTGAATCATAAGGTGTTGTAGGTAGATTGGATAAACTATTTGCCAGTTTATTATCGAATAAAGGATCTTGTTTCGTATTTTTTAAAGACATGATAATAATAAAGATTAGAAAAAAAAAGGAAAGAAGGAAGGAAGAAGAAGAAAAAGGAAAAGAAATTATAGTTGTACTTTTCTTTATCTTATGATGATTACTAACATGTTTTTTTTTCTTCAGCTCTTCCCGGGAGCTATTTTACCTTTTTTGGTTTAAAATATTAATTTCACTTTTTTTTTTAAGATATAAAAGATTATTTTTCTATCTATGAATTGTTACTGTAGAAAATAAAATAATAAAAAAAAAGTTAGTATTTTGAATCTTTTGTAAAGGAGAACAACATAATACGAACCAGAATTAAATGCTTCAAATGGATCCCCATCTTTCTCTGTCACTATGACTTGACTTTGTAAATCAAAACTTTTACTTTCTTTGATTCTATTAAAGTGTACAGCTCGTATTGGGTTATCTGTATTAGGTCGAATTGGTGGCTTCATATTCCTTAGTAATGCGAAATTTATAGATTTGAAAAAGGAGTGTGATTTAACTTCACTTGCTCCTCCTGCACGTCCTCCTAACCTCTTGGTTTCATTTTTTGTAAGTAATTGACGTATAAAGGACTTGCATGTGCTAGTCAGTGGGTTAAAATGGTCCTCTGGAAACACAATAGAGTTGTGCAGAATTTGTTCAAAAGTCTCATCTCTTGTTGAACCTTTAAACGGTGTATATCCTATCTTATAAATAAAATATCATTAATTACTCGAAAGAAGGAGAATATATTATTTAAACGCTTACTAGCATTTCATAGATTAGGATACCCAATGTCCACCAATCTACTGTACTTGTATGCCCATTCCCCTTTATCACTTCAGGTGCCAAATATTCTATCAAAAAAAAAAAAAAAAATTAGAATAATTCAAATATCTTTACATTAAATTACTACCCTCTGTTCCTACAAATGAATTTGCCCGTATGTTCATACATGATCTTGTATCTAATAATGGTTGTTGCTGCTGCCTCTATAATAAATTCATATATGTATACTATTAGGCGCAACTCACTCAATAAAATAATTTCCTTTGTTTTTCTGTTGTTTATTTCTATTTCTTTTCTTTTTTTTTCTGGTTTTTTTTCCTTTTTCTTTTTTTTTTTTTTTTTTTGTTTTACATTCATTTTATTTTACCGAGGAGAATGGAGAGCTAGGTCTTGATATTGTAGGAGGAGCAGCAGAGGGTGATTGGACTGAGAGATCAAAGTCAGATAACATTAAATGACCTGATTCATGTAAAAGAATATCTAAAATAAAAGATGAATATAAAAGTCATATAGATGAAATATCGAGACACTTACTCTCAGGCTTTAAATCACGAAATACGATGCCCATTAAATGTAAGTATTCTAATGCAGCCACTACCTCAGCGGCATAAAACTTGGCTTCTTCTTCTTTTAAAACTCTACCTGGTCGATTCTGCAAAGCTATAGAACATGCATAAATAAAACTCATATTATAACCCCCCTTCTCCCCCCCCCACTTTTTTTTTTTTTTGTTCTCCATCTCAATAATTAAAAATATAGATCTAATAGAATACCTCGAAAAAATTCACCTCCTACACAAAATTCCATACAAAAATAGACATATTCTCGACTCTGAAAGGAATGATAAAGCGGTACAATAAAGGGATGATTAGCAGTAGACAAAATAGCTTGTTCTACCATGACCCGCTTCACTTTATTGCGTTGTATCATGTCTCGTTTGGATAAAACCTTAAGAGCAAATAGGTTATTGGATTTAATATGTTTAACAAGATAGACTTTACCCACATCACCTTTGCCTAACAACCTGATCTTTTGGAAATCACTAGGTCCAACTGTCGCTTTTTGAGTTGTTAGAGAATAGGATGAGGATGATGAGGATGATGAAGATTTAAGTGTTATGATGGGAAGTGATGGTTTGAGTGAATAAATGCTACCACTGTTGACTTGATTTGTATGGTTGCTATGATGGGTTAAATGGTAATCACCTATTGCATTAGGTACAGATGCTACTCTTCTTAATATTCTATTTGGTAACAAAAGTCCATCGTTCATTTTAAGCGGTTGCTGCTTTATTGGGAATAGTTTTGTTTCAGGTTGATAGCTAGGTTCCGGGGATGAAGGTAATGACATTTTTCTTTTATAATAGTAAACCTTTTGCCAAAATGATGTCGTAAGAAAAAAAAAATAAAGTGATGCACTTCTAAAAAAAAAAAACCCCAGTGTCGTATGTGTTTGGAAAAGAGTATCGCACAATTCAGGAAAATATTGGTTTTTTTCCATATCTTTGACGGGCTTTTAAATTAAATTAGCATCCTTTGATCTTATAATACGATTAAGAAGAATTTTATTTAAAAATTAAAAAATGACCAATGAGCACATAGCATTTATATGCTGTTTTGCCCTGGTCAGATCGCTATGGAAAAAAAAAGGAAAGAAAAACCCTTTTGGGATAAAAGGGAAAATGTTAAAGTGTATGTATAAGTGATAATAATTAACTATCAAAAATTCGTTGTTGTATTGAAAGAAGATGATGGTCAGAGGATTTAGGGATTTGGGAGTGAAGCTAGATAATCCATCTCCAAGCAGAATTGCACATATATAGAAGGCCAGCATATGAGCCAGGCATTAATTGATTTTCTCACTTTCTTAGTATGGAATGTTGATGGTAATAGATTCAAGAGAAAAGAGAGTGGATCTTCAATAGATTTGGGGCATTTGAAGGCGGTTATGCACACGTAAACAAGAAAAACTATGTGAGCGTGTGAAGAGTTCATTTGGATGGAAGGGATGATCTTATAATACAGTATTTCTACTTTAAAATTAGACGATGTTAGTATTTTTTTGCACGAATTAAAATTAATTTTTAGACATTTGGCTTACCTTTTTTTGGAAGAATGGATAGATCAATTCAGACACACAACAGTTAGTTTTCGCGTATTTTTTTTTAATACCCCAAGAAAATGTATAAATCAATAATTCTTAACAAGATTGAATCAGTAAAAGAAAGCAGAGCGTTAGGTATAGAGTATGAGATAGTTTAAAGCTGCTTTGTTTCTCATAAGCACTATATCTACTTGGTAGAGAAATCACAGCCAACATGCAAGGATTATAAACAAATCGGACATTATAATAAAAACTATTATAAATGTAGACTTTATAAAGAAGACAAAGCAGATGACGGTGAGTAAACACAAACTGATAAGTTTTATGCATTGTAACTCTTTTTTGATAGTCGGTACAAGCCGAAAACGACAAAGTTCAGAAACCAAAAATATCAAGATACAAGCAAAGCGGCAGCGGGTAGAAGTGGATTCAAACAAAAAATGTAGATCTTATGGTAGCATCAGTCATAAATCAAAACGTTCTCCTGATTGCTCTCAACATATACTTAGTAAACTAGAGGTTCTTACCGAAAACTTGGGGACAGGGTTTCAAACGTTCACCAGAAAACTTCCACTTGATACCTGTGTAAATGATCGGTACAGAAGTGTACTTAAAAATAGGATTCTCTCTGCTAGTGAAGATGTTTGACAGTTACTTTTTAGAGCTCAAATATTTGTGAATCATTACATCATTCTCCATTCAAATGAAAATATCCCAGCTTCTATTTTTCAACAGTCATTCTGGTATTCTATGTGTCAGTTAGTCAGGGACGAACGTGTTACGAACAGCGCTGCAACCCCATCTGGATTACTTGATGATTGGGACAACTTCCAAAAAAAAACACAATACTATTAAATATAAAGTAAAGCTGGCTAGTGGCAACACTCAATGTCTAACAGAAGCGTATGTTGAAGTATCTGTTGCATACCTGAATGTGATTGTAGAAACGTTTGAAAAGAGAGTGTTGTACTACTTGTATTTCTTGATTCAAAATATGTTATTGACAAGATAAAGATAACAAAAGAATAAGACAGAATAAATCTGTGAAAACTTTGTATAAAACTTTTATTATCGGTAAAAAAAATTAAAAATAAAAAAACTTAATTTCTCAAAGATGAGTGCAAAATGGATCCTTATTTATATCTTGTGGAGAACGGGTTACTTCGCGACAGGAACAGAATGAAGATAACTTGAAAGAAGAATATTTTGCCATTGTTGTGGTTTAGGTAAGTTTAAGGATTAAATATAAACAAAAGAAGTAAAAGAGGAATAAAATAAAATGAAGACAGAAGAAGTACGTTGAGACGTGTCAATAAGTTTATTAAGAGTTAATTCAATACAAGTATTGTTATGTTCAGTTATGAATTATGTGTTATTAATGTAAGAGTATTTATATATTTTGTGAATAAGGATAATGAGTAATAAAAAGATAAAAACATAACAAATTGTATGTGATGATATAATTATAGAATGATTACTAAGAGTTATTATAGATCTATATCCATGTCTTTTGTATATAACTAATATGTGTATTCTGAGTGGAATCAATTATTACACGTATTTGCATTATTCTTAGTTTACTCCAGTTTAACTTGTATAAAGTTATTTTTATAAATTTATATTCAGCAGAATAATAATAGAAGAAGTATATTTTTAGATGTAGGACTTTTTATTAATTAATTATTTTTCTATACAAGGGTAAATATACTAAATATGTTTATAGACAGAATTATTGTACAAGTGCACTATATATTCTATTATGACTATTTATCTTATTGAATTAAGTTATAAATCTTACAACCATGACAATCCGAATTATTATGCAATAATTTTATAGGTGTATATGCTGTGATTCTCTATCTATTGCACAGAAGAAATACAAGAAAACCACTTTAATCTACTTAGCCGCTGCAGATTTATACTTAGAAAAGATGTTTAATTATTGTATAAGTAGAGAAATATGTTGGGCTTCTAATGCAAATGCCATTTGATATGAAAAATTTAAAAAAATAAACTTCTATTAGGTTATTTTGCAAATACGCTTTATTGATCTTTTGAATTTTGTATACAGAGTTGTCTAAGGCTTTCAATCATCTCGTTTGTCATCTTTACGTTTCTATGCCTTTCTGGGTATTTTGATCGTTGTTTCTTAACACGTAGCTGGATAGACCCAATGCACATCCCCGTTATGTAATGAATCTCTCGTATTGTCAATCCCATATCAAAATACAGATGAAGACAATTATGAGTATATTTCTTTGTATAGTTTTTTCTTCTTTTGGCGCACCTAAATTTCTCTTGCTCTTTAGATACCTCATCTGTGGTAACAATGCCATTTTCTAATTGAAATTTTCTTTTAAAAGAAGAATTAAGTTCAACAATGGGCGCAGCTAACATATAGTCATCTATCTTTTCATTTGAACGGCAATCAATTGGAGCTTCAACTGTATTATCAACTTGTTCACTAGAGTCTTGAATGAAGCTAACTTGCTTCTTTTTTTTACCTAGAACTGAGAAACGCATAAATGCAAAACAAGTATAAAAATTTAAATAAGTGAATGCCAGGTAGAGTTGTGATTTAAAGATTAGTATTATACATAAATAGTATTATTTTATCAAAATTACAGGCAGCGACTGTTCTCTTCATTGTTAAATTTTGGGAAGCAAATTAGTGATACGACCACAGCAATACTAGTACTTAAAGTATTTGGTCTTGGTTTTTTCTTATAACACCCTGTCCCATTTTGTATTTTGCTTCGTTTGTTAATTGCCTTGTTTAGGTTAATGTGCACTTGTACACTTTCTCAAAAATAGTGTAGCATCAAAAAAGGAAATTATGTTACATTTCTGAGTGTTGCACTCTACCAACTTCTACTAATTTTAAAATAAAAGTGACGTAGCGACAATTTATTTTCTTCATAAGTGTAACATTATTTCTTTCTTTGATAAAATATTATTTTTAAAAAGGTGCATAAGCCTGTTGATAAGACAAAGATAACAAAAGAATAAGACAGAATAAATCTGTGAAAACTTTGTATAAGACTTTTATTATCAATCAAATTTAAAAATAAAGCTTTAAAAAACTGAATTTTCAAAAGATGAGTGCAAAATGGATCCTTATTTATATCTTGTGGAGAACGGGTTACTTCGCGACAGGAAAAGAATGAAGATAACTTGAAAGAAGAATATTTTCCCATAGAATAATTAAAATTATTGTGTTAGAGCTCTAGTCTTTGCCCTGACTGAGAATTAATCTCAGTTAACTCTAATAAATATTAAATTATTGGTGCTTGATCCAGCCGGTTATTTTTCTTGAAACAAAATAATAAAATCTCGTTTGTTCATACTTGTGAATGATATAGGAAAGACACTTTTGATATATAGATTTATATTCTAATCAGCTTCTTTATATTATATTCATTCCTCAATGTACTACTTAAATGAATTTCATTATATTATATAGTGTATTCAATTAGAATAGAGCTCTCATAGATTGTATATGATTATATTTATAAGTTAGTATTTTAGACAATATTAAATAATAATGCACATATATAACTAATAGGTATAATCTATAACTCATATATCTTTATCATTAATAACTCCTTACACTATGTTTTTCTCATCATTATTTCGTAGAGTTAGTATTTATTATAACATTATTTTTCTCATCACAAGAATGTCTTATAAACTGAAATCAAATAATATTGTATGCATAAAGTGTATAACTAATAACTATAATATCATTCGGTTCTTCATGACTCTGATTTGTACATTATAAGATATTATGTAATACATCATTATATACATAACAAAGCCTCTTAATTTCAATTCAACTCCTGTTTCATTAAGTGTATTAGGTACATAAATTATGTGAGTTTTATGCTTCGTTTTATAGAGTTTGTTTCCACAAAAATATGAGAGTAACTGTGCTCTTGTATTGCAAGGCATTGACGTTTTGTGCTGTGTATTAACATCATTATGTTCATTAGTATAGTTATGTGCATTGCCATTTTTACTACTTTCATACTCTTACGCTACGTCAACTAGGTATTATGCGTGTTACATTATTTATGTTCATTAAGATATTTATGCATTACCTTTTTGATTTTCCCTTCGCTATTGCACCATTATGTTCATTACGTTCATTGCGCTCATCATTGTATTTATCACCCTTGCACCACCTTTTAAAGACGTCATTTTATATGTTCATTACATACATTACCATCATAGCTGTCAATTTTGACAAGATGCCGGCAGTCAGATTTTTCTATAAATATGAATAGTTCCTGCTTTTGTGCCAGTTACATCTCTTTTTCTAAATATACATTCTTATCAATACAAAATGTCAAGCAATACCAACTCTTCTTTCCAAATCGTCATGGACAAGCACTGTGCTCTTCTTGAGGAATCCTTCTCTGATCTTAATACCGACGCTGTTCATCCAATCGAGGCACGCAAAATTCAAGATGACTTTGTCCACGCTGTTGACATGGATTAGACCAAATCTACCAGTCCTCACACTGAGGTTCAACAGCTCTTGACTTTGTCCAACTTTCTGTCCAAAGCTGTCACCCAATGCACCACCAAAACCAAGAAAACAAAAAATAATTCTGCTGGTGGCATGAACATTGACTCGATCCCTAAGGCTGATCAAATTGTCAAAACCCAGTATCGCAAGTACACCGAGACACAGGTTAAAATTTTATTTCACTTTTTTTAAAAAAAAAAACCAAACATTAACCGTCTTTCTATAGGTCAATGAACTCTTCCGTTTGGTCTTTTTGGAAGGAATGCTCGCTTCGGAGGCTGCCAGGCAAACGGGAATAGTTGTTAGCACTGGGCAAGACTATGTGTGCAAGACCCATTTATTAATGGAGGAAATAAGAAAGAAGGAAACAATGGAGGTAGATAGTGATGAAGAAGTTGAAGTCACCGAGCCACTTCCTCCAAAGGAGCGCAAGTATGGTAACCAGAAGCTCTTTCAGGTCTACTCTCTCTTTTTTCTTGATTTTTATGAGAAACGTGCCGATGCCAACCTCAATGAAGCCAGAAAGGCGGTAATGGAGGCTTTTCCTGGTTTAGAAATTGATATTTCTACAATTTCGAAGCACCTAAAAAAACATTGCAATTTGACCATGAAGAAGTTGGAGAAGCTTCCCAAGGCTCGTAATACCCCCCCCGAAACTTTGAAGCAGAGAAAGTAAAAGGTTTTGGAATGGCTTTCCCTAGATGATTTTGACTTCATGAAGAACTGCGTCTTCATAGATGAGGCTTGGTTCAACATGAACATCAAAAGAACCTTTGGTCGCTCTGTCAGTGGTTCCCCTGCTAAGATTGAAGTGACTGTTTTGATAGCAAAAAGTTAAAGAAAGAGAAAAGACAAAAGACAAGTCTGTGAAAACTTCGTGTAGTTTTTTATTAAGAAAATAATACAAAAAATTGTACAAGGAAAAATTATATGAAAATGTAAAGGGTTATTTATATGTTTTTGCAAGGTAAGTGATATTAATAGAACTATGATTTGGATAAGCAAATATTGCTATAATAAAGCATTAGTCATAAATATTTTCTCCGAATAATTCTGCTTACAATAAAATCTATTTTTATTCTTTTCTGCCTGAGCTGTCGCTGTTACTAAAAATATTAAATTATTATTTCTGGGATAAGCGACGCGTCAATATTAATTCACAGTGAATATGTCAGCTATAGCAATACCAATTATTTATATGCTACTATTATTATTATCCTATAAGATATTATTACATAACAATATTTATCTTTATAGCTCTCTATATATAATATGTATGACTTATAAATAATTATGTAATTGAATATAACAGTCATAATCGTATTGAATTATTATTATTACATAATATAATGTATATAATTATTTTTAATGCTTGAATACTCAAACAATGACTATTATCAAAACTGAGAGTAGAATGAATATTATGCTGTGAAGCGCGATATATTAGTTTTATTTGAATAACCTCTTTATTATGTAATAAATGATGGTTTATTTCTATTAACTTAATTATAAAGGCTACCACAATCACAACAATTGTGATGGAACGTTATATAATAAATAAAAATAAAAAGAGAACAAAAGGAAGTATAGTTTGAGACTGTTTTTATTCAATGAAAAAGAATAAAAAATGAAATAGATGAATTAAAGGTTAAAGATTATGTTGTGTCTGCGCCACTACTTGTATTTATACTAATAAATCCTGAATCAAAGAAATAAAAATAGCTGTCGAAGAACATGAGTCATGAAATGGTGTTAGTATTCAGGTATACATCTTGTTGATTCAAGAGACTGATCTATGGATTATCTACAGTAACTCACAAAACTGTCCACGAATTTGCAAATTTTACATAATTAGTGACATTTATTAATTATATTATATATCAGCAGTATATAAAACTTATATTTCTAGAGAGCTTAAGAGTCAGACATTTTATTTATAGAAAAGTTTAATAGAAAAAATTTATTAATTATTATTGAACCGGCTTTCAAACTACAGTATACAGCGTGAACAGTTTTGTGAGGCCCTAACGAAACTGCTAATTATGAAGAAATTGAGATTTCAGTACTTCGTCCAGTAACCTTTCGCCTTGATATACTCTTCTATACGACGTGGCATACTTTCAATAACCTTTCGGCATTCTTCTATAGTGATTACCTTATACTATATATATAATACCCGTTCATATAGCTCATTCATGCCTTTTGGAGGCGTATCATATTCATTTAGACGAATCTTTAATAAATACCACATGTTTTCGATTGGATTCAAGTCAGGAGACTGTGCAGGCCAGTCCATAAGCTGATAATCTTGTCTATTGAGGTATTCTAGGACTACAGTTGACGTATGCTTTGAGTCATTATCTTGTTGGAAAATGATTTGGTCACGTCTGAGGTTCATTTGTTCACATGTATGCTGAATAGTATATGACAAATCTTCCTCCAAAATGCTTTTATAGACATAACGGTCCATTGTTCCTTCGATCTTGCAAATCTAACCTACATCTGCGTAGACATCTGCGTAGGTAATGGCACTCCAAAACATTAGACCGCCTCCACCATGCGTTCGTGTTTGCTTGACATGTTGCTGCTGAAGGGTCCCACCGTCTCGTATCCATGCCCAGACACGTCCATCAGAATTAAACCTACTTATTTTTGTTTCATCAGACCATACTACACGCTTCCAATCGTCTATAATCAAATTGCGATGTGCAAGACACCATTCAAGTCTCCTTTTTGCATTTGTATCGCTTAGGGCAGGCTTCCTTTCCTTTTCGAAAGACCCCAAATCAGCTTCCTTTAGCGCTCGACGAATAGTCTTAACACTGACATCAATGGTACAGTAAGTGAAAAAACTGGTGCATAAAACGTAGAATTGTTGTATCTCGTGTTTCCCTTAAGATAGAAAGTTGATCTAAAATGCAATTGAAAGAGTATAAAACACTAGACAGGATAGTGACGTTTGTGTAACGTTACATTACGTCATAGTGATTTCTTATAATAAACTCATTTTTCTGACACTCTAAAAAATACGTCATATTTACAAATTATGACTATATTATCATAGTTACGTATAGTTACGTCATTATTTATGGATCACACCACGGAGGCACTGCTTCACTTTAATGAGATATATAAATAAGCAGGGTTCACCTATTTTATTTTGCCTTAATTTTTATATCTTTTTATCTATCACTACTATTCATAAAATGCTTTTTACACATAGTCAAGAAACTCACAACTCAATCAAAGCACTTAGTCTTAATGGAGTGTCTACTGCTGATATTGTTCAACGTACTGGGGTATCAAAATGGACAGTTAATAGGTTGAAAACGAAGCTTAACCCTAGCTATAAACGACCCTCTGGTGGTAGAACCTCTAATTTAAGCACAACAACAGCAGTTACATTGCGTTTTAAAGTTAGGTATGGTTCTTTACCCACAGCCAGAGCTGCCCACCAATGGCTGAAGCACAATCATATAAATATCAGTTATCGTCGAACAATTCAAATTTTATATCAGCTTGGCCTTTATGCAACATTAAAAAAATCGAAACCTTTTCTCAGATACGAGCATATGAAGAAACGACTTTATTGGGCTAAGAAATATAAAGAATGGACAATTGAAGACTGGAAGAAAGTTATATTCTTAGATGAAACGAAGATAAATCTATGGGGGTCAGATGGAGTTCAATATACTTGGAAGCAAAGGAGTCATCCTACTCGTCCTCATCACTATAAACAAACTTTAAAGCATGGTGGCGGCTCTTTATTGATGTGGGGCTGTATGACAGCCGAAGGACTAGGTTATGCATGTAAAATAGAAGATAAAACTCTTGATTCCGAAGGATACACGTATATCCTAGGGACTACATACATGGATACATCAGAGTACTATGGGTGGAGTAAAGAAGATGTTATCCTTCAACAAGATGGTGACACAAAGCACACATCAAAATTCACTAGAAAATGGCTTGAAACAAAAGGTATAAACTATATGCATGTATGGTCACCTAATAGTCCGGATTTAAATCCCATAGAGCACCTTTGGCATCACTTAAAGATAAGATTGGCAGAATATCCAACACATCCAAAGAACATTAATGAATTATGGAATAGAATTGACAAAGAATGGAATAAGTTCCAGAAAGAAGATATGTTGCCTTACTACGAGAGTATGCCATCAAGAGTTCAGGTCGTTATTAAAGCTAAAGGAGGATACACAAAATATTAACTAAGTTTACCTTCTCCTTGTTTCTATGTTGATTACGTAATAAAGCTTCTAATGTATATTTTGTCCAATTAAAATTTACCAATCTTGTTTAAATTTCACAAACATATATGAGCTCTTTATAGCTAATATTTAGCCTATTTTCATATATGTACTATGCATTCTCATAGAGATATAGTCAAAAAATTAAAAAAATTATTTTTATGCACCAGTTTTTTCACCTAGTGTATAATCCATTTTTAGTTGTTTTTGGACTTCAACCGCATTTTCTAGACGCCCTTTGGTTACTAAATGCACGCAATGCCTTTTATCTGCTGCAGTCAAGATACTATGTCTTCCGCCTTTATTCTTATCTCTGTTAAAGCAATTTTGTCTTCCAATTTTGGATACTCCACCAAGACTAATTCCAACCCTTTTAGCTACTTCTCTTGTGCTGACTCCAGATTTCAAGAGAGGAATAACGCTATCACGTTGATCTGCAGGAATTGCAGCCATATTCAATAAACGTACCTATATATTGAAGTTAAAACCTAATAATAAAGAGTAAAAATGATACAAGAAGCTAAATGCTGGCTAAGTAGCAGTCCGATATATATCAAAAACCGAGTTGTGGTAACGACTTTTTAGTTTTTTAAGATACGGTCACAAAACTGTTTACACGGACATGTTAATTTGAAAGCCAGATTCTAGACTCCGTAGTCCTCCAGTTAGAATACAGTATTATTCCAAATAAATAACGGCTTCGGCTTATAAAATATAGTTTTGCGTTTCTGGAAATGTAATTTTGCGATTTTTGAAATTTAGTTCGCGGTCTCGGACCTTAGACTTTGCGCCCACTGCCATTTAGCTTTGCGGCCACCGGATAAAAGAGTTTGTGGAGACATTTCTGAAAATGACAATTAACCGAAATTCCTGACACAATTATTCAGCTTTGCATTTTTTTTAAGTGCGCAATTTTTCTTAAAAAAAATGTAGAAACTCTTCAACCTGATATTAAGAAAATCGGCTGTGCTAACGTGGAGGTAGAGCCGCTATTTTCAGAAGGGTCGCATACAATGTTTTTGTTTTCTTTTATACTAGATTGAATGTATTTAAAGGTTGTTGTTTTTACTTCTGAAGGCTTCTGCTAAACTAGTTTTTATTATTGGTTAATTTGTTCTATTCTATTTTTCAAAATGTTTTCTTTTATATTTAGAGCCCTTTAAAAGTTTCTTAAAAGAAATCGCTGGTACAACCAACTCAAGGATAGATTTGTTTATTTAAAAAATTTAATAAGACTAAATATAAAAACTAAAGCGAACTTTTTTTTCTGAAGCTGTTGTAGTTTGTTTATTTTATTTTTTTTGATTAGATTTGGCAAGGGAAGCGATCTGTGAACAACAGGCTCAAAAAACTCTTCGTGTTTTTTACAATTGCCCTTACAGTGGATACTGGAATATCTAAACCTCGGACAATTTTTGTAGCTGGAAATCTGTCTACATAGTACAGCTTTAGAACCGTCTCTACGACTTCTTCAGTGTAGAATCGTCTCTTTCTTGTTGCTTGGAATCTTTTTCGAGCTACAGGAAGCTTGACGGTAGGCTCTGCCGTAGAAGAAGTTGGAGCAGAAACTTGATTCCTGGAAAGCTCATCTAGTTGGAGAGCTTGAATATCTGTCTCCATTTTGTCTACTACGGTAGACATAATTGTTCGAAATTCGTTTGTTTCTTTGAAAATGATGCTCTTTTCACCGAAGTACATATTTTTTAGTGTAAGTTTTGATTGTAAATGTTATAAAATGAATTAAGTTACATTTAAATGGGTTTTACTTCGTAACACACAAAAAGTTTTCACTAATTCCGACCGGATGGTCGTGTAGTAGTAATTTAATGGTACTTATTTTCTCATGTTGTAATAAGCAAAGTACGAAACACAGTTATAAGTTATGCACCAATGGTAACCCGAATGCGAAAAAGGTACTAGTTATTTTCTATATTTCATGAGAAGGCAGTTTATTTAAGAGCTTGCATGTCATTATTTAATCAAAATTTGATAATAACGGCAATGATGCTTTATATTTGCAGGTGTTTCAACACCGAAAATCTATTGTGTTTCGTTCTATTTACGTATTTCTAAGACCCTGATGTTTTGATAGTTATGCCTACGCGCTTATGTTCATGTATCAATATTTTTAAAATGTTATATTCCTGTTATCTATTTTTCTAAATATCAATATTTTGTTTCTTTTTGGCAACGTCCTTATATCTCATTATAATAATATTTATAAGCCTATGTACGTACTGGCTTATGCTTATATTTTTTGCACCTTAAAAACTAATGTGTTTATATTCTCATGGCACAAAAGCCTTATATCACAATCCTTCATATGCATTACTTAATGCTTTCTTCGCATTGTACTAATATGTTTATAACTGTACTCTTAGGAAACCATGTAGCTACGTAACTATGTTACTATTTTACTATGTTACTATGTCGGTTATGTAATTGTGTGCTGATGTAGTACCTGATTATTTATTCATCGCAATGTTCTTATATGTTTATGTAATTATTTTACTACTTAATTATGTGCATTGCTTTTCCGTACCTTTAAAACTATATGCTATGTTCATAAATGTATATTACTAAGCATCCAATAACTAAACGCCTACGCTAATAAATTTGTGTATTTATTCATCTACGGTTTTGAACTTGAATTACATAAATCTTTTAATACTTGTATCACAAATTCATAGTTTTTTTTCTACAATTATTCCAAAAACAAACTTGTTGTGTCTCACAACTTCCTTAACAGGAATTGCAAAGAACATGCAGTTTACTCAACTCAAAAAAAAAACTATAAATATCAGATTGACTGGTTGTCTTTCTTTACCAAAGCAGCAACAATATCTAATTATCGCTTTTAAACCCTTTGTAAGTTGAGAAGATAAATTTAACATCAATAATTCACTCATAATAACTTTTTTTTTGATAGCTACATAATGTCATCTAATCAAACCTATCAATTTGTTATGGACAAGCACAATGCCCTCTTGAATTCCGAGTCTATTAGCTGTACCCCCATGGAAGATGTCCTCCCTTTTCACGCTGATAATGATATTCAAGATCTCCAAATTAGAGTTCAACGTCCTCAGCCCGATAATCAGTTACTTACCAGTGCATCAATGGAATGGTCTTCTAGTAACAATGGCCAAGAAAAAATATTGGCCTTCTCTACTTTCAGACCTAGCGGAGCATCTAAATCAAATAATATTTCTGCTCCAAAAAAGGCTTAAACTTCTGGTGAAAGGTCTAAAAAGGAACAACCATCTCTGGCCAGTCGCCTTTTTAAAACTGGCTACCGCAAATATACCGAAGAGCAGATTAATAGTCTCCTTTATAGATGCTTAGTTGAAGGAGAAATCGCTGCACATGTTGCCAGAGATATTGGGATCAAGGAGCGAACTGCACAAGATTATGTGCTCAAGGACCAGAAAGCTTGTCGAAGAAGAAAGAATTGTAGAGATTACGGAGGTAAATAGTGACGAAGAACAAGCTGAGCCCACCGTCCCTACTGTACCAAAAGAAAGAAAGTGTGGTAATCAGAAGCTCTTTAAAGCTCATACAAAGTTCTTTTTGGAGCTTTATGAAGCAAACCCTACATATACATTAGAACAGGTCCATGCTGCTTTGATATGTGCCTTTGAAGGAATGAAAATCATCCCAAATGCAGTTGGAAAACATCTGAGAAAGCATTGTAACTTGACAATGAAGAAGTTGCAAGTGGTCTGTTTGGAAAGGAATGATCCTGAAACCATTGAAAAGCGGAAAGACAAAATTTTGGAGTGGCAAAATCTTCCCGATTTTAGCTACTTCAATAACTGTGTATTCATTGACGAAGCCGGGTTCAATATGAACATGAGGAGGTACTATGGTAGATCCATTAAAGGCACGCCAGCTAAATCGCTTGTTACTACTACTAGAGGCATAAACATAACTATCCTTGGTGCCATATGCGAATCTGGTATTGTAAATCTTACTGTGAAAAAACCCACGGCCGTAATTTCAAAGAAGAAAATAAAAATCAACTTTGACAGAGATGTTGAACTCGGTATAAATGGAAAGATTGGAACTCGTACAGAACATTTTATGGCGTTCTTGAATGAAACAATGGATGAGCTGGATGCCGCAGGAATGAAAGGACGATATTTGGTTATGGATAACGCTCTTATCCATCGGTCAAAAGAAATTCAGGATTTGGTGGTGTCGCGTGGGTATAAGTATATGTTCTTGCCAACGTATTCACCTTTTTTAAACCCAATAGAGGAAATGTGGTCAAAAATCAAATATGGCATCAAAAGAAATGGTCTTACTGACAAAGCTAATCTTATACCACGAATTATAGAAGCAGCAAAACAAGTCAGTACCTCTGATTGCGAAGGGTGGATTCGCCATTCAACTACCTTTTTTGAGTGATGTCTTAAGCTAGAGAATATGCTTTAGTTTTTTTTTATTTTTTTTTAATAGATAAATGTGTTATTTTTGGTACCTGGGAAATTTTGGTTAAATGGCAATGGGCGCAAAGTTAATGGTAGTGGGCGCAAAGTCTAAGGTCAGAGACCGCGAACTAAATTTCAAAAATCGCAAAATTACATTTCCAGAAACGCAAAACTATATTTCATAAGCCGCTATTTATTTGGAATAATACTGTAGTATGATTATATACAAATCAAGCAGATGTAAAGCTTTCAATTAGTATTGGTATATTATATGTGAATTTACTGTTTTAACTTTGAATGTTAATTTTTTCATATCCGTAAAATTTCGGAAAATGTAAACAGTTTTGTGAGTCACTGTAATATCGCCAGAAGTACTAATATAATTTATATGTTTTCACGCATTATGCCCTAATTTTTCTAGATGGATTTCACTGTCTTTTAGTCGACATATCTATTAAAAAAAACGTGCTATTACTTCATATGTGAAGTGAGTATTCTTTTCGCATTTATCGCTCACCATTCATGTAAGATAAGATGGTTGTGGTGAGCAGCAACTAGAATATCTATTGTATTCGTCATGGAACTTCTATTCTGTCTTTGTTTTCTCAACCACTTTCTTATTTATATCAATTATTCCAACTCCCTTACATCAGATAATAATTTCAATATCTTGAGAAAAGAATATCATTGCGAGTTCCAATTATTTCCTAATGTCAAGGACATTTCACATTTGAGAGTTAGCCGAGCAATATTCGTCATTAGCTTACATATAATGTCTGGATTAGTTGGGTTTTTTTTTTATTACTTTTCGAAGTGGCTTACTACGTAAATGTCGGGGGTACCATCAATGGCATCAATTATACTAACCAAAGTACTAACTTATCAGACTCTACAATATGTATATATGCTAGTACAAGTTAATCTTATAAACCATATAAACAGTGGTTTTATGTTTAAGTATTATCTAAACCAATCTTAAACGAAACTAAAATGATACATTTTTAGAACAGTCTACAATACTCTTCCATAAAGAAGGATTGAACAATCAGACTACCCAGGATGAAACTACAGCCCAATGATTGTAGTACATTATTCAACAGGATGTCAGAGGCTGTCACAATCAACAGGCTTAAGCAGTCGACAAAGTCAATCAACTTAAAATCCTCTCGAAGATTCATATGTATAGTAGAGCGCCATGACTCGGCTAGGGACATGAGTTTCTTTCAAGATTGAAATGGATACAGCTGAAATTGTCGCTGAAATTCTCTAAACTTTAGAGCTATTCTACTTTCCTTTGGGTGATGCCAGTATTATTCGGGTAGTTTAATTCGTCATAATTGCCTTCTTGTGTTTTTATGGCCCTAATAAACAGTAAAAGATTAAAAGAATGGAAAGATTTAAAACAAGTGAAAAGAACCCAAGGGATCTAAGTTGAATTATCAGCAAAATACTTGTATAAATGGTGTTTGTAAATGTCCACAGCAAAAAGGGATAAAGTGTATTAGAATAATTTTTGGTGAGGGAGTATTTAAAATACAATTGACGAGATGACGGTTTTAATTGGCAAATCGCGTCATTTTTTTCGGACAAACTGCCAAAAATAACCTAAACTTATGACAAAAAATTTTCTAAAGCGGATATTTAGTTTTGGCTTAAGAAAACGACAGTTTCCATAGGTCTGACTGTATGGTTTATTAAAATACAGTTGTCCGAATAATAGGAGCTTCCAATTTTATCAGTAATAAGTTAGTTTTGAAATCATTTTATGCTATTATTAAGTAAACTTGTCAGTTTCTGTTAAGGTTACTTGCTTATGAGTAAATAATATTAGCAGCTTAATAAAATGACTCAGGCTTATTTACTTATCTTACTGTGTTCGGACTTCGAAATACATCAACACATAAATGTCAAAAAACTACATTGACCACCTATGCCGACGTAACTACCTATGCCGTTTTTCGTGACTTATTTTTATAAAATCTATTTAACAATATATATTTATTAATTTTTTACTTCCCACTCAATTTTTGTAGTCTAGTAAAATATATATTACTTAGAGAGTTTATAATAAATAATCAAAATTATTACTATATAATGTAGTATAAATAAAGGGGATTTTTTGTTACCTTTGTGCCACACTCTTCATTTCTTCTTCATGTTTACTACATTAAATCACTGATAAACCTAATTATGTGTCATGATTTGACGGTGAATTTACTTCAGTCAATCTTTGGATCACCTGTTTTAAATGTATTTTATGTTCTTTCAAGTTAGAATTCATACAAACAATGTCATCAATAAAGTAACGTACGAAAGGCATACCTTCGAGAATTATACTCATTATTCTTTCGAAGAAACTACTGATATATGTTATAGCGAATACACAAGGTATAGGGACATATTGTGTAGTACGCCAATTTATGTTGATCTTTTTCATTTAATTTCAATGAATGGAAAGCATATTTAAATCTAAGGTGGAATATACAGCTTCACCTTTTAATTCTTCAAATAGTTCACTTATTATAGATGAAGGCATACGATCATTACTTTTTAATAATTTATTAATATGTCTGGGGTCATAACATACTCTATATCCAGTAGTTTCACCTCTAGAATTAGTTTTCTTTACCACTGTCAAAGGTGTATTCCATTTAGTGTTGACAAGTGCTCCTTTTATAGTACCTTCGTTTAACCATTCATTAACTTGTTCATCAACGACATGCATTAATGATAATGGAACAGGATATGGCTTTCTATAAGCAACAACATCCGGAGGGGTTTCTAAAGAGACTACACTTTCAGGTATTGTACAAAATGATCCTTTAGGAATATCACGGTTCTTATTTGTAAATGGCTTAATAAAATCCATAGCTTCTTTAATTTCAGAAGGTGAACCAACAGGGCAGTTTACTAACGCTTTATTTTCTTTTTCAATAGATTCTAGTAAATCACTTTTATTATTATAACGTTTATCAGCTTCGATTATTTCTTGAGCAGAATTACTATCATCAAATATAATAGGTAAACCAGTTAAACCAATTCCTAAGATAAACATATAATCTAAACCAATACTGAATTCATATTCATTATTATTGTTTGTTAGATTCATTATTTCAAATTTACGTTGAATTCTTTTATTGTTACATTGAACAGTTAATACGCAAGTACCAATTCTTTTAACAAACATATTTTTATCAGCTAACTTAATAGTATTATTATCTTTATTATTTTATTATTAAAATATTTAATAGGAACTTTGTTTTTTATACAAAAATTGATATCACAAGAAGAAAAGTTAGCAGCGCAATTCATTAATGAGAATGTTATTGTAAAGCCATACGGTTGATATTTTCATTGATGTCATCAGCATCCTTTATATCATCTTCATCATATACCGCATGTTTCGACATCATGGCCATTCTAGAGACCTTCATATTTTCTTTATTGATTCTAAGTTTCTTGCGATATTCAAGGAATTCACTGCACTTATGACCTTTTACCCAAACACGACCACAATAATTGCAGGGTTTGGAAGATGCTTGTAGCTTAGATACTTTATTAGGATTATATTTTCCTTTACTAGTATCTTTATGAGGAGAGGAACTACGTCTATGACGTTTATGTCCTTTATAAATCTCAGAATCAAAATTTTTACTAGCCACAGAAGAAGAGGAAGCAACCAAATCAGAGTCATTAGTAGAAGCAATCACTAGGTCAATCATGGATTCAATATTGGTAGGTAGTTTTGTACCGTAGTGAGAGGCAACAGCAACTGAAGAGACATTCCTTACTTCTTCCCGAAGAGAGCACCAAAAGTTAAGTACCAGTTGGATACCATCTTCTAGATCAGCTTGACGACGTAATTTTTGGTATTTGGCAGCATAAGACCTAACAGATTTAGACTTTTCTTGTTTTAAAGACCATACCTTAGTCATCAGCACGAACTTGCGATAAGGAGTATCAAAATGATCCAATATCATTGCTTCAGCTTCAGACCAAGTGAGATTCTTATGTTTGAGCTTTTCTTCCAACCAAGACCTAGCTTCTTTACTAAAACAGGGGGCAAGAGACGTTCTTAATGTTCATCCAAAGGTAGAGAGTGTGCTTCCAAGATAGTTTTAAATTGGTCGCAAAAATCATAG